TATAATTATTATATTATCTTCGGCGGGAGTAGTATCAAAGAAAACTCCCCAAATAATTCTTATAGTATTAATACGGCTACGGGTACATATAAAATCCGATATTTAAAGGTTAACTAACCTATTTATTCGTATAAAGTTGATATAAAACCGCTTTTCGGTATCTAAATAAATTAATCCGTCCTTAAGGAGAAGATTAATTACTATCTAAATCCGATCGACCACTTTACCCTTACCTTTAGGGTCGGATTTACCTTTATAATATAAGACCATAACTAAAGAGAACGGATCGGCAGCGTAATAAGGGAATAAAGCAGTTAATGAGGAAGGCTTAATATTATATAGGGTTAAAATTATCTCTTCAATTATTCTGATCGTCTTTATTCTTATTTTTTAAATAGTAAGAGTTTAGTCGATTTAATAATTTTTAACGAGTTCGTTAAATTTAGCGAGGATAGAAATAAAGTATCTTCTTAAGATATTAAGGTCGGTAATCTAATATAAATAATATACAAATATATTATTATTATTATATAATTTATTATTAATTATATAAAACGTACTTTTACCAGGCTTAGGCCGAATTCTCTTACAATAGTTAAAAACCGCCAAGTCGTAAACGTCTACGATCGCTTATAAGGAGTAGTTAAAATAACGTTCGTAAAATCTATATAAACTATCGGCTCTCTTATTATCGGCTTTAATTTAAATATTAGGAATTATTTTAATAATGTGGGACGCAATTCTGGGGGGACGAAGAAATAGGTACAATAGAGTAAAAGTATTTACGAAGTAATAATAAGGTCGTCAATTCGATTTTGAACTATAGAAACCACTTACTACGAACCAGGGAGAGCTGGGTTCATAGTCACTATTCTACCTACTAATAAAGTCGTTAGTTGACGGATTCTTTTAAGAGAGAAGAATCTAGTAGTAACGGATTTATTAAAGGGATTAATACGTAGCGGAAATTATTACGATGGACGTAACGGATTCTACTTGAAAAATTATAATTAATTACAACCTAGAATTTAGGTTAATAAATAATTTTACTAAATAAATATTTCTGGTTGTAAATAATAATTAATTGAGTGAGAGAGGAATTCGTCTCAATAGAGACGAATCCGTCACTAACTATCTAGTATTGCCTAGAGCTATATCGGGGCTAAGATATGCCGAATCCAGCATACCCTAGTTCCAGTATACTCTAGCCCAGCCGACCAGTCGTTATGTAATACCTAAAAACTACTCCTCTATAACATTAAATAAAATATAAATATACTATTTAAAGAATTCAAATACTATACTAATAATTCTCAGAATTAAAAGTTAAACGGCGGCGAGCTTTTCTACTATAGTCTCTAAATATAAAAGGAAACCTAGCCAATTAAGCGGAGTTAATTACTTATTTCTACGTAATATATATAACTTTACTAACTCATCTTAATATTAATTACTATAGCAATAAAAGGACGCTCTATCTTACTCCCAAATAAAGTAAATAATAACCCAACGACGGATAACGTAACCGACGTAAAATCTATCCACCTCTAACATTAACTAGGCTTTATAAAGCAGCGCTATAAATTTCGCGAAAGTATCAAGACTATACCAAATTACACGTTCTTAATAATTTCGAAGATAAACTATAATCTAATAAGTTCGTTACCGCCTCCTCCTCCTATAGCGGCAGCGCGGGGTAACTTGTTCTACTAATTATTATTATAATATATGTGATGGCATTTGTGGGATGCATCTGTCATTACAACTATATAAGACCACTTGAGCGACCGAATTGCCAGCTTCGGTTACTTGTACCCTTTTGCGGGGACACGGGCTGGTTAGTGTAGTGGTCTGCCACCACCGTGACAATATACTTATTGAACGAAGGCTTATAATATTAACTTAGCACGTTAAATCGACTATACGGATCTATACTATAACCCCCATCAGGTAATTATACTAATTTAATTAATTTATAATATAAAAGAAATAATAAAAAGATAATCTCTAACTTACCTTACTAAGATAATAACGAACTTACTATAATGTATTATTATTAAACCGCGAAGGCGTACTAACTATAATTTAGAAGCGCGGAAAAAATTCACAATAACTATAGTCTATTATACGAAAACTTTAAAGGGTTTAATACTAATTAAATCTTTTATTCATAATTATAACGAATATAAATCGTACAAAATTATAAAGGATACTCTAAACCAATTTTAAATAAACTTAAATATTGTACGCCGGGCTAAAGTATATATATCGGTAATAAAACTATTAATTTTAGCTAGAGTATTAATCATTTCATCACAAACATTCGAAACAATACCAGCAAAATTTATAGTAATATATTCAATTACTTTAATATACTAGTTTAACTAAAAAAAAGATGTTCCGCTAGCGGTAGTAAAAAAAATATTAATAATACGACGACTAGCGTAATTATTAAACTTATTAAAAAAATATTAACATAAAAAGTAGTACGTATATATTAGGCAATAATCTATATTTTTATTTACCTATAAATAAAGGGAAACTACTCGTTAACTATAGTGGTAACGTTAAGAAAGGTATAAATAAGTACGATAGAGTATAAAAAAGTACATATAAAAGAATTTTTAAAAAGGTTAAAAAGCCGCCTATCTAATAGTATTATTTCAATTACATACTAATTAATCTTGTTCTTTTGAATACTATTTAATTGAATCGCGTACTAGCGAATATCGTTATAATTCTCAATTTACTAGCGGAATTTATAAAAGCGGTATACCTCATATTCTTAAAAGTAAGCGCGTAAGCAAATAATATTATTAGTCTAGCGGTTGTTGCAATAAGTATATTATACAATGGGAATTATGGGACTAAAGTTTTAAATAAATTCGAATTGGGCAGTGATAACCTCGTTTCTCGCGTTACGTACAGGCAGTATAACGAGGAGGTTGCTGGCGTTAAGGGGATTCGAAGAAGTAATCAGAATACTAAAAAGTAGGTTAAGAGAGGAGGGGGCACGGGCCATTGAAAAAAATGAAATTTCTGAAATTTGAAATTTTCCGAAAAAATGTCATTTTTTCAGAAACTATCGATCCCTAGTCGGTGCCGGTACGGCCTCGCTGGGCTCCCTGGCAAGTACGCTAGTGAATGCGGGTGAGTGCTGGAGTGCAACGCTGAGCAAACTTTAACTGAGACCTCTTGTCCTCTGGGAAGGAGTTCTTGCGAGGACCGAGGAGTTCTTCCCCCCACTCGGTGAGTGTGACCGGATGAACACCCCCAGGCCCCCCTCAACGCTCTTTCCCCTTTGCAGCCGAAAAGACTGACCGCCCGCTCATCGTGTCGACCACTTGGAGCAAGAGCAGCACAGCAAACAACCAGAAAGAGGAAGGAACATGTAATGTGAACCCCCTCAACAGGAGACGGAAAGAGACAGGTCAGCGGAGATGGGGGCAGATGGGGGCCCTTGGCTTGACTTTCCTCGCTCCTCATTCGCAACATTGGATCTCATCGACGGCCATCTAGCAGGTGTGCTCACAGATCTGTCCTCCAGATTGGCTCAATGGAGCTCCCCTCGCTACTGCTGCATCTCCGGGCCCCCTCGTACCCAGGTGGACACGTGCCGGACCTCTCTCCAGCCCGAGGTCTCTCACTCTCCAGTCTCTGAGCATCTCACGTCATCACTCTCCACTACCAATTTCACACCATCATAGAGCTAGAGGTAGAGCCATCTCAGCTTAATCACTTCATCTCACTCAATAGCCCAGTGGCATCTCTATGTGGGATGATTAACCTCAGCTTCTCCTCAACCAACCCATCCTTTGACTCTTTGCCATCAGCTAGCATCACCTTGAAAAACAAACTCAAAGCACCATGAGCGGTTTTCTCAAAGAGTCATCATCTTCCCGTTTGTTCATTCAGGTCTTCGGGCGCTACAAGCCGACGAAAGGACCACAGTCTCAGTCACAGACTCACAGTCCCAGTTGCAGTGACACCCCCAACTTGGCTTCTCACTTGTAAAACCCCTTCGTCCGGCCGTCCTGCAAACACCGCGTCCAACGATGTGGTTTCGCCTGCAGAACCATTGTCAACAGCATCCAATGACATGACCATCAGAGAGCATAGCGGCAGGGCTTACGAGGTTAGTTTGCTGCAAGGACGGCATCTTTTGTTCCAAACTCACGCCATATCATTACCGACTCCATTCCAGATTTGAGACCTCATGGACCCTTTAGACAAGGGTACTTACAGATCGAGACCGTCATCGTTCATTGTTACCGTTGTCCTTTTCGTGTCTAATCCGTGATCAGTCAAGCGTGTAATACAAGGTACACTAACGACAAGCACAATGCAGATCAGGGCCTCTCAAAGGCTTGGTATAACGGACATTTTGCCCGGCCCCGATAGCTGTTCCATTTCTGACTGTTCCCCTTTTATTTTGCTGACTTCTACGCCTTCCAAACCAAATCTTGCGTTTCCATGCTGCAGCAGCCAGAACATCAAGACAGTCCCGACCCATTAACCCGCTTTCTGGATTGTCAGTCCCTGGTCTACTTTGGCATCCCTGCTAGGCAATCTACAGCCCTTTTTCCTATTCGTCCCTCTTTCTTACTGAGGATAGCCTCAAGACCCCCTCTCCATTCTTCTCCGTCCCTCAAAGTGCCGGACAAGGCAATATCCAACATGCTCTCTTCATAATATCGGCCTCTGTTTAATCTCCCCAGTTGTCAACTACCCCGGCTTTGCCATATTGTATAAGACACCACATCTCCATGCTTAGCCTTGGATTTACTCCTTCGACAACTCAGCGTTACACTTATACGTAAGCGCCTCGCCCCTGCGTGCCACCCGTTTTGGCCATATTGTCCTCGAATAGACCAGCAAGACAGCATCGCTCAGAGTCGATACAGATACGCCTGTACACCAGCACAGTCGACTACAACACTAGTTTTTGTGCCTCGAGGGGGCCACCGCACTGGGCTGTCATCCTGCTCAATACCCCCAAGTACCACTCGGCTACTCGCAGCATAGGTCACCTAGCATCTCGTCCAACCTCTACGCCGGCCTTGTTCTCACTCCTGGAAGCTGGAATCGCCAAGTATACCCACGGCCTTGCATGTAACACCAGACGCCTGCACTGCTGGCATCTGTCTTGGCTGGACCTATTGTTCTCCCAATGTAAGACATACAGCCCATGCTCCATCCCAGAACCCAGTTATCCGGGTTCGTATCGGTTGTTGGTCGGAAGCAGAACCGGCTCCATTTGCATTCCTTCGCTGTTGCCATCTTGTAACACAGCAGGATCGCCGACCTAGAAGATCCCTTGACTGACACTGCTTACAGAACCATAACCACATCTGGTTCCCCTCCGTCCTACGCCCTCTTTCTTCAATGTCTACTGCTGTCGAGTCTTCTCATCACATTCTTGGCACCAACCCTACGCTCAACACCATGTCTCGATCACTTCACGCTCATCGCGAGGCCTACTCCTCAAGGCACGCACACTACACGCCAGAACAGCAACCACAACAGCCGCACTTGTATCGTCAACAGCAACAACACAGGCTGCCTCCCGTGACCACCATAATACCCACCACTGGTCCTGGTCTTGTTTCTTCTTCCTGCGATCCAGCTTATCGAGGCCATAGCCGGACTTACTACTCCGACTACCCAACTCCTTCACCAGTGGGACAAACACCCCCTCAACTCCCGATTACATATAACGAGGCTCGTTCTCATCATGGGAGACACCTAGACGGCCGTCTTTCCCCGGCCTATTCCACTGCTGCCAGTGAAAGGTCAACCGTGGAGTCCACCTACGAGTCTCGTTCAAGGCAAATGAACCATATTCGCGATCACCAGGTGCATGCTGAGCCATCTTGGTCACCTTTCCACCAGCAGCCCTCGCGACTAAGACAGGAGTCATTCAGCCATTCCACCATGACACGAAAGGCATCCGCACCCGAAAACAACCACTATGGCAACAGCAACAACAACTCCCCACCACCCAAGGGATCACAAACTCCATCAAACTCACAGCAAGGCGGTTCTCCAAGGCAGGAATCCCGGCCCATGAGCATATCCAATCTCATAAGCACCGACAATACCAGAAACACACGGAACCCGGTCCCCCCACCACCCTCAGGCAAAAAGACCGACTACCAAATATCCGTCCGCCAACAGCCCTTCGCCGCCCGCAGCTGCGGCTTCGGCGAGCGCGACCGGCGCGTCATCGACCCGCCGCCCATTGTGCAACTGACCATTCACAACGATACCCTCTCACGCGAAGAGCTCAGCCGCCTCCTGCGGCACCAATTCAGCGTCATCCACTGCAGCATCTGGGACGAGACGGGCGTCAAGGACATGAGCAGCATGCCCGAGGACTTCCGACAGCAGCGACGTTTGATGGGGACGTTGGTTGCGTCCCCCTTTGTCGGGTTGGATGAGAACGGGGAGGAGGGCTGTTTCTTTTGTTTCCCCGACCTGAGCTGTCGTACACCGGGGATTTTTAGGCTGAAGTTTGCGCTGGTGGTGCTGGACCCCGCGAGGATGATGGCGGGCGATAGAAGCAGTATTGTCGCCACGGCGATGAGCGAGCCGTTTCAGGTGTATAATGCGAAGGATTTTCCGGGGATGAAGGCTAGTACGCCGTTGACGAAGAGACTCAAAGAGCAGGGGTGTTTGATTAGTATTAAGAAGGGGAATGAGAAGGGGGGTTCCGGGGGTGGGGGTAAAGGTGAGAGGGAGGAGAGTGGGGAGGAGGATGAGGGGAGGGATGAGGAGGATGTGGAGGAGAGCGGGAGGGGAGGAGGGAGGAAGGGGAGGAAGAGGCAGAAGAGGGGGTCTTTGTGAACTTTTTTTCGGTTCGGCTTTTCGGTTTCTTCCCGATTTTCACCTATGTTACGGCTCATGACACGCTATATACCCATTTCCCTATTTCTTCTCTATCTAGGGTTTTCAAACGATATCATTTCACCTCGTCGAAAAGCGGTTTGAACAACAGGTTGGCTTTTTGGTTTCAAAAAAGCGAAGAGCTTCTTTTGGTTCATAAGCTCTGCTTCCCCACAATTTTTATCAATCATCACTTAACAGCGCCAGTGGTTTAGTGGTAAAATCCATCGTTGCCATCGATGGGCCCCGCGTTCGATTCGCGGCTGGCGCAAATCTTTTGCATTTTTTTCCAACCCTTCTTATCCCTCTTTAGTAGTCTCCTTCACTTTCCCTTTTTCTCCTTCCCGCTTGTTGTTCGAATCAGCCTTTTTTGGGGAGAGGAAGGAAGGATGGCCGGGTTACGATACCCTAATTTTTCTTTCCCTTATCATGGAAGGAAGGATCCAGAGGAAATGGGGTGAATAGGGAAAGAGCAACAGGTTGTGCATGGATAACTGAAATTGGTAAATTACCTCTATTTCTGCTTCTAGGCACCAAAAGCAACAAGGGAAGGAGCAAGTTGGTGGGATTCTGGAGTTGGTTCACAGATCTTCTGGCTCCATCTCTAATTTTGGCTTCTTGGTGGAAACCTATCATCGATGGGGGGCTTTGTCTGATCATGCCCTGGATACCGACAACTCAGAGGAAGAAATAACAAGAGAGAGCACGGACAAGGCATCAGGATCAGAGAGTGATAACGCATGTCACGCCTCACCAAGCTCATTGGCATCTGGGGTTATCGTCTAGGGGAGCTACTAGGCTCCATTCCGCCTTCCCTTTTCATCACCAAGCTTTACAACTGCTGGTCACATTTGTTGGAGACAGCTGTTGGAGACATGTGAAAGGGAAAGGTGAGATAATTCAAGTGTGCGTTTTACCAAAGTACTTATCATCTACCAGGTACCGGCATACTATGATCACCAGACCCGTTACCTTGCTTTTGATGTTTGTGATCATGATGCTCTGTGGGCGGCTGGGTTAAGCAGGCACGCAGTGTCTTATCAACTTTGACTTCGAAATAGACTCAACTGCAGTCTGCACACCTCTATCACTTACCCGGCTACCCGGCTACCCAGCTGCCCACCCAGTTACCTACCCAGCTACTTACTTACTTACATACACCTGCCTTTTTCACTCCATCTGTCCGAAGCCCATCTAGTGTTTCCGTAGATGGTATTGGTTCCCAAACAAAACTCCAGTTACTCTAGTCACTCTAGTCACTCTAGCCCAAGCAGCTACGATGCGAGGTATGTCTCACCTTTCTCCCCCCCCCCCCCAATTTCATGATCTTCAGGGTATGCCCAAATCCGACCTTTCTTTCTGAGTCCACTAGGTTAAGTAAATCATCACAAAGCGCAAGATTCGATATGTGTATGGGCTTTGGCGGGGGGTTATTATTGAAGCGTTGTCGTTGCTTTTGCGGGCTAGAGCCCTCTTCCATCAGTATCTCATGTCGATCTTCGCCTATTTCGTGGGTTAGGCTTGATACAATCTTGGGAGCTTGGGGATTCGGGGTAGGTAGGGGTTGGTGAATGTTTGTGTAACCATGACTACACTACCAGGACAACCTATGTACATTGTACAAGAACCTTGCAAGCCTGACTACCAGTTACTGACACCGATCGTGATAGCGATGGGGAGGATGGATGGATCGGGGTGGTAGGCAGAGAAGGGACGGGACGGGAATGAGGCGGGGAGTGATGAGATGGGCAGGTACGTAGTCAATCAGAGAGAGAGATTGATGAGAGAGGAGGACCAAGGGGGTACAATGGGAGGAGGAAACGGGGGTGATGATGGCGATGAACAGCTGGAGGGACATGAGGAAGGGTAAGATGAGTGCTTGAGTGGTGAGCAAGCGGTACTTGTCTCGTAGAGGTCTCACTAGCAAATCGTTTTGCTCATGATAGAGGAGATGGTATCAATGGTCTGTATTTTGTAGCCTCCATCCATCATGACCCAGAGGCAGCAGTCGTCCCCCCCCCCCCCCCCCCGGCGAATACACCCGGGGCAGACTCCTTTGCTGTTCTAGTATTTCGGCTTGAGATCGGCAAAGATTGGACCGGTCTGCTTCTGCGTGTCATCATCTGATTTCCCCCTGCCTGCGATCTCAGCCCATTCCTTAGCAGCCAGTTTATACGCCTCCCTCTCCATCTTGGAAAGCCCAGGCTCATCCATTCTCGTCTTGCAAAGGCGCTCCAATTTCATGGCCGCCTTCCTTTCGCCGCCTTGCGCCGCTCTCTTCAACCGCAGCTCCGCCTCCTCATTGAAGAGTCGCATAGCCTCAGTCAGAGCCTCAACATCCTCACCCTTGTAAAAGTCCATAAAGGCATCCGACAACTCAAGCCCTTCTTCCCCGCCACTCTTGATCCAGTCATCAAGCTTTTCAGCCTCAAACTGCATCAAAACCGCCAGCGCATAGTGCCCTTGCTCCTGATCCAGCTCGTCGGCCGCGATCCGCAGCTCCTCGACGGCTGCGCTGGTTTGCTTCATCATCGCCAGCGCCATCCCCTTCCTGACGCGGTACATGCCCTCCCACGTCCAGAGCGGCACGCGCGCGGGCTGCTTGTCCAGCGGCAACAGCCGCATGAGCATCTCTTGCCTGCGCAGCGCGTACGCGCCGGTCTCCTTGCGGACCACCAAGCCCAGCATCATCTCCTTCATACCGCTGAAGAAGCTCAAGGTTCTGACCAGGAACGGGAGTCTTTCACTCTTGCCGCCTGATTCCAAGGCGTGGAAGACAAGCGGCTCGACCTTGTACCGTCCCGGACTCCGCTTGTAGCCGTCCATGGCCTTGTTCAGGTACATCATCGCGATCTCGGGCCTCTTGGGATCCCACAGCTCGACGGCCTTCCAGGTGCAGGCGTTGGCGTCGCCCTTGTTCAGCAGCTCCTGGTACTTGGTCTGGATGTAGCGGTACGTCTCGCTCTTGGGGTCGCGGCGGCGGGCGATGTGCTCAAAGTAGCGGTACAGCGTCAGGATGGCGGGCGGGTAGTTGAGCGTGGACAACATGTGCAGGATGTGCATGCCCATTTGCCAGAACGCGGGCACCTCGAAGTGCGGGTGGATGAGCAGGAAACCGCAGTAGTAAAGGCGCGAGACGGGGAAGTAGTCCTCGCGCATCATACGCGTCTTCCACGTCGACTCGTGCTTGACGGCCACGCACATGTAGGCGAGGAGAGTCTCGATGCAATCTTGCGCGGTCATGTTGGGCGTCTGGAGGTGGGAGATGAGGAATTCCCATTGTTCAAAGGTGGGGCCTTCGTACTTTTCGAAATAGGGACCGGTTTCAGTTCTTCTTCGCTGGATTTTGGCGGCTTTGGCGTATGAACGTCGTTGCTGTGATGCCGGTTGGCTATGGCTGCTTGGCGAGCTCGATGAGGATGGTTGGTGCGATGGTATCGACGCCCATACATGATGAAGCGCAACTGGCGACACTGGTTGTAGAGATGAAAGGCGACATGTTTGCCGCACCAGAGCCCGGGATCTGTGCATGACTGGATGTGAAAGGGTTGTGAGCCTTGAGCTCACTTTGACTGAGGTGAGTTGAAGGAGGTGAAGTGAGGTTAAAGTGTGGTGGAGAATATGGGACTGTTGATGTTCGGGTACCTAGCTGTTAGTGTATCCGGTAGTACCGTACCTCTACCTGTTAGATATGTTCCTGCTTTGGTCTACAAACCCACCATACAGACGGTATTAGCCCATAATCGTAACTGGGATAGGCCAATAAATTGTGACCGTAATAGATATGAAAAAAAGGGTATATCTGTGGTATCGAACAGTTGTGAGCATCAGAGTAGAACACCGGAGTACAGAGACGCAGGTAGCGGTGCGAGGGAAATTGTTAGTGCTCCTCGACGTTGGATTTGGTGTTGTTTACGCCTCTGCAGGGGGGTGTGCTGAATACAAGAAGAGGGTCAGGAACCGCAAGCGCAATCAATTGAGCCAATCAGGAAGCTTTGAGACTGCCACCAGACCCTGTTCGGCCGAAAAAAAGTGTGAATTGGAGAAAGTTCAAACCTTCGAATTGCGAACCCTTTTGGTCCCTTCACTTGAGATTCCCGTCCTCATATCGCCTCATCCGAACCACTTCTTTTTTTTTTTTTTTAAGTTTTCCCAAGAACTGGAATTTCAGTTCACACACAATTCTTGACAAGAAAGTCGGATTTTCAAAAAGCCGTACTTCAGAGAAATCTTGCCACGGCGCATCATCAAAATGGCACCAAGGACTCGAGGCCAAACAGCAAGGGAGAACTCCCCCGAAAAGGCTGCTGCCACTCCCGCAAAGGCACCTCGTGCAACCAAGGCTGCGGCCAAGAAGAACACCCCCAGGAAGACTGCTTTGAAGAGGGCGGCTGAGATTGTAGAGACTGAGCAGGTGGAGGTTGAGAGCACGGTTCAGACACCCTTGAAGGAGTCATCGACAGAATCCTCCGTCTCGATCAGGAGTACCAAGCACGTCGAGATCGAGATCCCTATCCCAACATCGGCCGCCAAGACACAGGACCCTGATACAACAATGGAAGGAGAATCGCAACTATTCCAGACCCCAACCGAGCAGCCGCGGGGAAAGCACATCACATTTGACGAAAGCGAGCAGGAGGAGTTTGTCACGCCAAGAGAGGCGCCGGCTGTCAACCCGTTGGAAGAGAGCTTGAAGGCGAAGAAGGAAGAGCAGAAGCAAAGTGAGGAGGATTCGGAAGAGGAGGACAGTGACGACGAAGCTCCTGAGGCGGTCTCTACTAATGCGGCTCAGGCCAAATCTTTGGAGGCTGAGAAGGCTGCCCAACGGGCCGCCGAGCAGTAAGTCACTATGCGGTACCGCGGGATGTGGTGATTGAGACATGATTCTGACAAGTTACTACAGGAAAGCTGCTGCGGAGAAGAAGAGACGCCAAGAGCGCGATGCCATCCTCAAGGAGCAAGCAAAGTCCAAGAAGCGCGCCGCCAAGAAGGTTGAGCAACCGAGTGAGGACGAAGCCGAGTCAGAGGCTGAGGAGGATGCTGCGGCGGCATTGCCCGAGAAGAGGAAGCGGGAGATCCCGAAGCTGCTTCCCCTTGAGCTTTTGGAGTCTGACGATGAAGACGACGAGGCTCCTCAGAGGTCAGATTCAGCCGATGGAGCTAAGAGGAGAAAGGTGGTTCGTGAAGCCAAGGGTCCCAAGGACGAGAAGGTCGGTTCGACAGTGTTCAGAGTTGTGCCGAACAACACAAACCAGAGCCTGGCGCCCAAGGTGAAGAGGCAAGCGTTGAACCTCAAGGAGACCCTCCTGCTCCGAAACAGGAAGCCGCAAGTGAAGAGCGGGTTCTTTAGGCGGTAAGCTGCGACGTGCAGATCGTGGGAGAGGACTGAGGAAGTGAAAGAACGAGGCGGACAACTTACACGTGTACAACCCGACGATATCTCATTCCGCTGGTGATCAACAATAGCGATCACACTGTTCCTGGCGGTGGTAGGAACTCGAGAGCCGAGCGGACGAGCGGACAGGAAGTTGGCACAACAAGGACTCCAGTGTCATTAGTCGGACGCAGGTACAGCGATCCACAACTGGATGGAGATATGACGAAACAAGGGTCCCAGTTAATGATACCAAACCACCAAAAGTAAACACACCTTTAGCCGAGTCCCGTTTTGAACATTGTCTCGTGAAAGTGGTGTTATTTGCTTCTGAAAGATGAAGGTTTCTGATATGCTGAATCGCAGATGTATCTGGCTTAAAGTGGTGCCATAGAAGAACTTGCAGCTTGGAACCACCATTGACAGCAGCGACAATCGGACCTTCTCGCAACTGGATCCCACCCGCCAAGCAACCATTCACGCGAAAACCTCAAGGAACGACAACCAGCTCCGGGTTGGGAATCGCACGTGTGACAGGCTCTGGTGCCCTAAACTTGCAGATGATAATCCACTTTTACGTCTGATGCCTCCGCCCTAGCTACCTACCGAGTCCCGACCCCTCTTCCAGCGACATAAGGTACAAGAGGTACGTGATCCCACTTGGTCCCGTCCCATCTCGAGCTCTGTTTCCAACTTCCACTCCAACATCACATCATCACAACTTTGACATCTGCTTCTGCTTCCTGCAACCCCCTAGATACTCCCTTTTATAATACTATCAAACAAACAAATCGCCCAAAATGGCTCGCAAGTTCTTCGTCGGCGGTAACTTCAAGATGTGCGTCAATTCCCAATCCCAGAGCTGAGGGGAGCTTCCCCAACACTTTTACCCCGCCATTACCATCATCATCGCATCCCGTCATATGTCACGAAAACCCCCGCGGTAATGACTCGGTCGGCTAACCAAACAAACCGCTATTTCCAGGAACGGGACCCGGAAGGATCTCAAGGCCATCGTTGACAACCTTAACAATGCCCAATTGGACCCCAACGTCGGTATGTTTGCAACGCCAGAGCAAGAACTGGGGGAATCAGCAACATAATGCTCAATGCTGACCACAACATAAACAGAGGTCGTGATCGCCCCTCCCGCCCTCTACCTTGAATTCGTCAAGCAGAACCTCACCAAGCCCAACATTGAGGTCGCCGCCCAGAACGTCTTCAACAAGCCTAACGGCGCCTTCACCGGCGAGATCAGCGTCTCGCAGCTCCAGGATCTCGGCATCAAGTGGACCCTCCTCGGCCACTCTGAGCGCCGCAACGAGCTCGGCGAGTCGGACGAGTTCGTCGCCTCCAAGACCAAGTTCGCCCTCGACAACGGCATCTCGGTCATCTGGTGCTGCGGCGAGTCCAAGGACACCCGCCAGGCCGGCGAGACCATCAAGTTCGTTGAGAACCAGCTCGCCGCTCTCGCCAAGGAGATCAACGACTGGAAGAACGTCGTCATCGCCTACGAGCCCATCTGGGCCATCGGTACCGGCCTCGTCGCCACCAAGGAGCAGGCCCAGGAGGTCCACGCCTCCATCCGCAGCTGGCTCAAGCAGAACGTCAGCGAGAAGGTTGCTGAGGAGACTCGCATCCTCTACGGTGGCTCTGTCAACGCCAAGAACTGCAAGGACCTTGCCAAGGAGGAGGACATTGACGGTTTCCTTGTTGGCGGTGCCAGCTTGAAGCCCGAGTGTGAGTACACGCCATTGTTGCAACGAGATGAAGAAAGATGGCTAACATGATGATACGCAGTCGTCGACATCATCAACTCCAAGCAGTAGGCTACCTGCCCATAAAAGTTTCATAGCTTTATAACAACCGCACGTCTTGTCAGCGCATAGGGGGCTGACATCTGCGGAATTATATAGGCTGGGAAACGGTGTTGAGAACAAGGCTAAAATATAAAAAAAGTTAAATGTCCTATATGTGTTTCAGTTGGGGATCGAAAAAGGGACTATGTGCTTCCTGTAGTCTGTTTATGACTTCCCTGTGACACTAATCACCGTAACTCTTTATGATTCCTCCACTCGCTCTCCTCAGATGTTCACCACAAGTTCCAGCGTTGACAGTCGATCACCAGGAACCACAGGATAATGTCTGATGCTTGGAAACTGGGAGAATCCATCATCGGAACTTGATAAATCTGGAGAGCGACTTCAGAACAACCATGTAACCAATCGTACTCCTTGATACTGCCAAAAACTTTTTGATGTCCTTATTCATATTCATACATTCCACATGGTATATACAATCGACCCAACAACCGAGCCAAGCCAGCCAGCTACCAAACCAGCACCGGCTCAGCACCGGCGTAGCCCACCTCCAACATTCCCCAACACCAAACACAACCAACGCCTTATACAACCAAGCCCTGCCCGTGATAAGGCGACCAGACGCCTCTGACACTGGGGTTCGTGCTGGTGACGGGCTTCTTGAACTTCTGGGGCTTCTCGCCGCTCGCGTCCCGGAGGAGCTCCGCCTTCTTGAGGATCTCCAGCGGCTCCATGTTGCGCACGCAGATGGCCTTGGTGCGCCCGTTGATGTAGTGGCCCATGATGATCGGGTGCTTGGCGGGCCGGGGGGAGACGACGAACTCGATCTGAGGGTTGGCGGCGGCGAATTTGGGGAGGAGGGATTTGATGAAGCCGCTGTGGGTGAGAGAGGGGAGGACGTGGTTAGTAACTGGGGCAGTATGGGGGGAGGAGGAGAGACTTCGAGGAGAGTTGGGGGTTTGCAAAGGTGGTATGGAGCGAGGGCGACGTAGGAGGACGTGAAAGTCTTGGTCTTGGATGATGAGGATGGTGGTGTCGAGGACGTATGGAGGATAGGACTCGGTAGGTAGGTAGGGAGAGTATTCGATCGGAAGGGATAATGCTGCTGCTGTCATGTCGAAGGATCGTGAACGTACTTCATGCCCCGGGAGCTGCCAGCCCAGTCACTGTAGTGGATGTCCAACTTCTTGCACTGCAAGACGAATGCGCCGACGCCATTCTACCAACGATTAGCAACTTTTCTTGATTAGTGTAATTGCTCAGGGCTGTTGTCTAACTACTTACACGGCCGGCAGAGGAGATCTGCGTCAATGCTTTTATCGTCATTGTTGTTGTGATGCTCTTCTTCGTCGCCGCCGTCCTCGCCTTGCAACAAGTCCGAGTCCACCAGGGTTCACGATCCGGAGGGTGCGACTTGAACTTCTGCCAGACTCCCGCCCGTCGCGCGCCGGCACGGCACTGGGGGACCCACCCACTGCAAAAGCGGTCGGCAGAATTTCATTGCGATTCCACCCCTCATTGGGTGTGTGCGTAGTGATAAAGATGAAGGGTGCACGGTCCCTCTTTCGCAATGGTCAAGCGCGCGAGAGCTGGAGCAAGAGCTGCGAGGCTGCCAGTGGACGACACAGCAACAACGGTCGCCCAAACTGGACAGGGCCCTTGCTGCTCCCGCCTCCCGCCCTCTCTCTTTCTGTCAAGCAAAGTCGCGAATGCGGTTTTGACGTTTCTCGCAACCCGACAACACCACATTATCGCCATCACGAGCTTTGGCAAATAGTAACAGCGTTAAAGCTTGGTTATTGAACTGTTCTCGCCCGGCTTTCTGAACAGCGGATAAAACGACAGACGACATTTCCTGGTTTCCGACCGACATATTTCATTCGACGACAAATAAGATCAACCACAACACCAACAACCAGCTACAGCGACACGTGAAGCGGCAATGACGGACAGGCTCCCGCCTAATCTCCTTGCGCTCTTCGCGCCCCGGCCACCTCTGCGCTGGGTGCCGCCCTGCGATGTTGCTCCCGAAGAGCGCAAGTCGGCCTTCATCACCCCAGTTTCCGACTTCCTTCCTGCCATGCAGGCCTACGAGCAGGAATACGAGTACCATCCGACCGAGAGCTGGCTGGAGGCCCGCGACCGCAAGAAGCGCGAGAAGAAGGAGGCTTTGGAGAAGCTGGTGACCGAGGGTCCCAAGAATTGTACGCGGCAACCCCCCAACGTTGCGCGCAGTTGTACTCGCTACTCCTTTACTTGACAACCGTGTTTTTGTTGTTATGCGGCTTGCTAACAGATGACGTTTGTTGCAGACAACCCCAATGACGATCCCAACATCAGAGGAGATGCTTTCAAGACGCTGATAGTGGCGCGTCTTGACTACCGTGCTGATGAACAGGATCTCGAGCGCGAGTTCAGCCGCTTCGGTCCCATCGAGCGTGTGAGTTTGCCATCCCCCACCATGGCAGCATATCTATGCATGTGTTGTTGACGTTTGGCTGACACGAAAACAGATCCGTATCATCAGAGATAGCCACGCCGATGAAAACCCGAACAAGAAGAAAAAGCCCCACCGTGGCTATGCTTTTGTCGTTTTCGAACGCGAAAAGGACATGAGAGGTAATGACCAGCCCCCCTTGACCCCCCCTTCTTGACATCCAACCAGCACACACAGACAAGGAAACGCCCGCTGTCGGTGCTTTCTGTAAGCCCACAACCAGGACTCAATGGCCCTCAAGCTTGCCTGTCCTGCGGAAACTTTTTCGTCTTCCCTTTATCCATTCATCTTCCACGTCGTATACCTTAAAGGTAGTATTTGTTCTTCATGGTAAGGCCTTACTGACACCTGCGCCTGTGGCGCATGCGCAATCCAGCTGCTCTAGATGGCTGTGATGGCATCCGTATCAAGGATCGCCGCATCAAGGTCGATGTAGAGAGAGGCCGCACGGTCAAGGGATGGAAACCTCGTCGTCTCGGTGGCGGTCTTGGTGGCCGTGGTTACACCAAAGCGATGCCTGCTAGGCCCATGGGTCCCGGTGGATTTGGCGGTCCCGGTGGCTTCCGCGGCGGTGGTTTCGGTGGTGGATTCAGAGGACGCGACCGCGGCTTCAGGGGTGGTGGCGGCCCCGGCGGCCCCGGCGGCGGCTTTGGAGGCGGTGATCGCTTCGGTGGACGTAGCGGTGGCGGCGGTTTCGGCGGCGGACGTGACGGCGGCCGTGGCTTCGGCGCCCCAGGTGGCAGCAGTTTCTCCCCTCCGTCGAATGCTCCCAACGGCCCCGGCGGTGGCTTCGGCGGCCGTGACCGTGACAGCCATCGTGACAGGGACCGCGATCGCGACAGCCGCAGGGACGGTCCTAGCGGAAGCAGCGGTGGGTACGGTGGGCGTGATGGCGGTCGCTCATATGATGACAGATCTGGCGGCGGAGGTTTCCGCGGCGGCGAACGCAACGCTCGGCAGACTGGCAGCAACATGGAGCCCATCAGGCCTAGAGAACCCGGAGCCCCAAGGGAAACCAGAGACGGTGGGTATCACGGTGGCCGCGACTACGACAGGCCCAGAGATCACGACGACTCGTCGAGGAAACGCGGGTACGACGGCGGACACGAAGACCCCAGAAAGTTGCGTCGCTATTAGACATGATGATGGTCGCCGAACAACATTGACAGACCTAATCAACAACATACTGGTCCGGTTTGTCTCGTGGTGGGTATCATCAGCCCCCTCTCACTGCTCTCAAGTTTCTACTCAGTATTCTTCCCTTTTCCTTCGACGATAAGGGTAAGCCACGACGTTCACTTCTCACGTGTCATACTTTGACTATGGGCCGTGTCAACTATCCACGACCAGGATAGTGGGAGGTATCGATATTTCAGACACTTTGTCGTCCAAAGCGGATGTGATTATCTTTCCGATGGCTAAGGTAACCGCGTCATAACGATCCAAAGAGCAATGGTTTGCATGCTCAGCAGTCCAAATGGTATCCTCCGACTTTTCGTCACATCAGTCCAGACAACTCAAGAAGGTCTAGAAAACCAGGTGGCACTGGTGAGAGAGTTCGTCAACGCATGCACGGTGGTGGCGCCCGTCGCATACAAACTTCGCAACTTAGGACAGTACACTCAAAAGCGTTCCGCCATTGTCTTCTCAGGAGCAACAAGACATCCATCAGCATCCGTCGCAGGAAGGTAAAATCGAGGTAAAAAGACCGAAGGCCAGTTGCTTTTCGCGCTTTCGATCTTGTGTCTTCTTCCTTTTTTCTTTTTCCGTTACTTGTATCATATCAAGTTTTTGTTTAACCCGTGTACTGTTGAATCAAAACAAAGGAGCAAAAATCACGGGTGGGTAGGTAGGAAAGAACAAAATGACATTGTTAGCGTAAAGGTATGAAGTTGATAAGCGTTGTAGCTTTGTATCTCTGAAATGTAGCGTCATGTTGGCTCTTCGAGTCCCAACGTTCTGAGAACAGAGCGTAGTTGCTGGTTGTATACAGGAGCAAACCGAGAGGGGATGCTGAAGGTACCGCTAGCGCAACCTCAGGGCACAACCAGAGAAGGAACCTTTGCTCGTTTGTCGATCTTCGAGTTGGGGGTGACAACGGTTCAACTTGGGGAACTCGTGGTTTTGTTGTTTGGGTTTCAAATTGTAGATACCTTCCTGGCAGACAACCCGAACCCTGAGGGCACGAGTAGTCTCGATGCCTTCACTTTCTTCTGTTCTCTTAACCTTGTAAGTTCAAGTCAGAAACAGCCATCACAGCAGCTCATGTCATTGCCGATGCCCGCATTCGTGACCTGCATCATTTATCCCACAAAGCTGTGGATATCAAGGACAGGCATAGAACTTACACCAACCCCAACCCAAACAAAATCGAAGCCCTCACCATCCCCCGGTCTCCACCACACAAAGTGGAAAGAGACCAGGGTCGCTGTTCGAGCCTGCTTGCTCACAACCACAAAATCTTCTTTTCACACAGAATCACCATCATCATAATACGAACAGTTACAAAGCAGACTTCGAACCATAGCCAGCCCTCAAAACAAAAGAGGATAAAATGCAAAAAGACAACAAAAAGTCAAAAAGAAGAGGAAGTGTTTGATCGTTTATCACTCGGATACCGGGAGTCGAACCCGGGGCTGTTGAGAAGGCAGACACTTCTGGAGAAGTGAGAGTCAACGATGTTACCGCTACACCATACCCGATTTTTGGAGGGGGAATGGTTTCCGTACTTCCTTGTTGGAGGGAGGCTTCAGATGACGGACTTATGTATCGGGATCCGCCTCTCGTCCGCAAAATGTACAATTTTATTTTTGACTTCTGACGCCATCTTTGTCCTCAAGGAAGGAGCTAGGAATCTGAGTTGGGGACTTTGTGCAGTGGAATGCGGTGATCATGATGCGCTTCCGCGTCGAAAGATGTATATATCCTTTGGTTCTCATTACTTTGGAGCACATGATGGCGAGGGTCTACTCTCTTGCTCGATTCATCTCAGCTGTTTTAGCAGAGCTTTATCACGGGCTGGGTGTACCATGACCAGGTCCTAGAAACCACCAAAAGGCAGACGATGTTTTAGTTGCCAGCAGAACTCGGATGTGCACACTAAAAACCCTGTCACCAGATCTCGTGACAAGCACCACACAGAGGCAGTTTACACACAGGAAGATATATGTCTTTATAGCCCTTTTATTCGGGAGCTTTTGCCCCCTATCTCTCAATACGCCTGGTAATACATAAACTAAGATGACCGGTTTTATGTCCCCAGAAGTAGCCATACAAGATGGTATCATCGTAACCTTTCCCTATGTAAAACACGGAATGACGAGCAAAAGTAGTAAAAACCGAGAAAATGACGTTGCAAAAAATAACCGGCCCCCTTCATATTCCCCCCTCATATGCAGCCTTTGTCTGCATGGCTCCCTTTTCGTTAGTGGTCGTGCGTTGTTGTGGAACCCATTGCACGGCAAGGCCAACCGTCTCATCAACCAACCACTCTCACTCCTTCATGCCCCAAGGTATAAGCTTAAGAATCTGGACACCCCTTACTCATCATCCTCCTCCATCTCCTCAGCACCAGCAGCCGCCGCCTCACCAGGCTTCTCCAACTCGGTAACCTCCCCGCTCGCCGCGCTCCAGTACGCCAACAACTTGACGCGGAACTCGCTCAAGCAGATGCTGAACAGCTTCAGCAGCCTCGTCTGCCTCGAGTCCAGCGTCTCGCCCTCCTTGCAGATAACGTAATCGTCGCCCTCGCCTTGCTCGTCGCCGAGGCAGACCTTGCCCTTGACCATGCGGGTGGGCATGCCCAAGCGGCGGAGCTCGGGCTCGAGCGTGTGGGAGACGGGCACGTCGTGCTCGGCGGGGACCTCGCCACCGGTCGAAAACAGGGGACCGGAGGGGATGGTGATGGTGCGCGTGGCGACGGAGCCGGCGCGCGCAAAGTCGACTTGTGTCAGGTTGACGAAGTAGTCCTTGATCTCGCTGGGGTCCCGGTTGGTGAAGATGAGGCCGACGGAGCCGGCGAGGTACTTGGAGAGCTTGTCGAGCCCGTCGGCTTGGGCGTCCTCGGGGGTGGTGCCGAGGGCGCGGGCGGTGAGCTTGGTCTTGCCGAAGAAGATGCTAAAGCACAGGGAGAAGTCTTGGTTAGTGATTGCGCTTGCGATTGGACTCCTGAGTAAGGAAGGTAAACAACATACCGGCAGTCGTTCAGCTCCTTTCTGACGTCCTTCAGGTAGTTGTTGCGCATGTTATCGATGCTGAAGACGAAGCAGTGCTGGTAGTTGGGGATGCATTCTCTGATGTTCTCGAAGAGCTTCTCCTTCTGCTCGCGGTTCTTCTTGGTGACCTGGGTGAGGTTGTACACCTTCTGTCTCTTGGACTTGGGCATCTTGACGGTGTGTGTGTGGTTGTGTTGTGGATGGGGTTGTTGATGTAAAGATTAAAAGAGACGACCTAAGCACAATAACAATGCCGATATAGAGACAGAAAAGTTGGAAGAAAATGGGTTGTTGGTGGTGTAGATGCTTTTGTTGTCACAACTACCAAAGGGAATCAAGAGTGGAAGTGGAATGGAATCAGAATCACCAATTGATACGCAGGCGGTTCAGACAGTCGGCCAATGCAGGTCTTTCTGCCGTGCCGGCGGTGCTGTGGTGCAGTCCCTATCGCTGACTTTTGTTTTTTTCTGCCGCGCGAAACTTTTGGGCGGTGAGCCGCTGATAGGCTCTCCCCCACAATTGATTCGGCAGGGCCCACCAAAATGCGTGGATTGCGGCCAGCCTACCCCACCTTGAACTGTGCAGCCAGCATCCCTGTCGCTGTGTTTTCCCCTGATTTGTCGACCATCTTTTGATTGCTTTCACTTTTAAGGTTGTCCTTTTCTTGACATTTTCTCTCGACATTGAAATCGAGCTGTCAAAACTGACACGACCCGACCTGAACCTATGTTATTTCGTTATTCATATTTCCCTGGCGCCAATAATAATAGTACCCCTGTGTTTAATTCTTCGATAACTCTCAAGGCTCATCCACTGTCACCCTTGGGCCTCATTTGCACGGTGCGCCTGTTGTTTTAGCCACGCAGGCCTCGACACATGGACACGAAAGCTCTTCCCGACGGGATCGATTTGGGATCGTGAGATATTCTGGAGCAGCCCGAATTGGTGTCTCGTTCCCGCGGCTTCTCCAGGTTTTCCAATGACGGTCGGGCCGTTGAGGACAAGACACCCGGTGATTGCGACCGAACGACACGCACTTGGAATGGTGTACGGTTCGATTTTCAACACGAAAAGAAGATTGTCCTTTGATGCCAAGCGATGTTATCCATTGCGTGAGAAGATGAGGCGCAGTCGGAAACGCAACCGGCCACCTATGGACATCATGATCGTCGTGGTGTGATGTCAGGCCAAGTATAGGGCTTAGTGCAAATCCGGGGAACGGGTCAGGAAACGCAAACAGCAGACCGACAAGCAGGTACGTACTTGGTTGGCACGCAGCTAATAAACCGTCTCTTTGTTAGGGCAATGAGATAAGGCCATACCTATGTCCAGACACAAGTAAACAAGCTCGGACTTGGTCGCCAATCGGTCGTCCCTCTTCGGATCGGATTTAAAAGCGGAGAAGAGTCCGAAAGCTCCGAAAGAAGTCCCCTAATCTTGACGGCGAGAGGTCTGACAGGTGGGTTGCACGCCGTGAGCCCGTCCACGCGGCACCCGCGCAACTGGCTCACCCGCAATTTGCCTATCCCTCCAAACCCTCCAACTCGGCTGCCGGATCCTGTGCTGCGTGACTCATACGCCGAGAGTATGGGAACCTTGACGGAGATGTAAGATGGGAAAGCTATGAGTTGTTCAACACCCTGAAGTCGTACAAGCCCGGTGGGGCTCAAATTAAAGTTCAAGTTGAACAAAGATTCGAGGCGCAGAACCATGTCAACCCAGAGTCCCCTAAAATTCGGGGAGCTTTATCCACCACGCCGATGGCCTGGACCGCTAGGCCGGTTGTTTGCTGGGCATCGGCCAGCAATGTCCGAGCACCGACATCCCAGCATTCGTCAGCTTCTCGGTCTCGGTTTCAGCATCGCCTATGATCGCCTGTTTTGGCTTTAGCGATTGGGGGGATATTGGTAGCGGGTTACATGCGGTGAACTTGGATGATCGGAGTCCGAACAGTCATACGTAACGGTAAGAAGGTTTCGGTGTTATGTTCCGAAGGATCTGCAAATTGCACTCCACATGAAGATGACAGCTGCATCCGCCGACTTTCCATCTCGAATTATACAGGAGGCTATGCATTCGTTTCAGACAGAAAGTTTAACACTGACAACCTCAACGCTAAATTAGAGATCCAGGGACCAGCTACCTACTACACCCGGTCCAGCCAGGGGAAAATGGAGATACAGCCCACGGTTACTTGTTAACTCCGGGATAGTTAGGCCCTATTCTATTCAGTGGGTCAAAGCCCCAGACACCGCCGGCATAGTATTTGGTGAAAACTTCTAGAAGGCCACTAGATAGGGGGCAAAGAGTCCGAGATGCGATTGGTAAAAGTGGAAGTGTCAGACTGTTAGTGCTGACAGCCTGATAGCGAGCCGAACCAACATCAAAATGACTGCAGTGGTCTCACTTCATGATGGAAAGGGAGCCGATATCCACGGGCCGTATAGAGAGAGGGATGATTGGTGAGACAAAAGGTACCCATCGGTCGGTCGGATCTTGACAGGCCTATCGCCGGTCCATGGCATTGGTGCTGATGATGGTACGGTACCAACACGCGTATCTCGGAGTACGTACTATCCCGATGGTGTGGAGGACTGGAGTTGGGGTTGGGGGGTCTTTCCTGTTTCGGCCTGGCCGACAATTTAATTCCTTTTGTCGCCAACAGCCAAAACCACTAAAGAACTGGTACTTGCCTGCTTCATCTCATCTCCTTCCTCGTCTTCTCTCTCTTCAATACTTAATCCAGACATCGAAGCAATTCTCTCGAGGATCTTAATCCTTGGCTTCTGTCTGTCCTTCTTTTTCGCACCACAACTTAATATCAACCTCTCCCCCCATCGCGCCTCGTGGTTCCCCACCCCCACTGAGTGCCTCGACAAAAGTACGTACCGGTACATCACCATCAAACGAAGGCTAGCCGAGTCGATTGCTACAGCAAGAGAGACGAGGTTCCAATACCAGAAATCAAATACCACCTCTTCCATCAAAGCCAAGCTCGCTTCACTTGGTCACTGCAGTTGCTCCCCCACAAAGCCCCGTCAACATGGCGGCGGGTAGCCTTTCCGAAAAGGATGGAGCACCACCTTCGACCGGCGGCTCCACTCACGAGATAAACAAACCCGATCCTCTTACTCTCGAAAAGGCCGACACCCAGGTCGTCCCAGCAAAAAAGTCGCTCGACGATGACCCTTACAAACACCTCCCTGAGAGGGAGGCCAAGATCCTCAAGGAGCAGGTCATCACGCCCGATGTCAAGGTCGGCATTGCAACTCTCTACCGCTATGCCACGCGCAACGATCTGCTCATCATCGCAGTCTCCGCTATCTGCGCCATCGCTGGTGGTGCTGCTCTGCCGCTCATGACCGTCATCTTCGGTAACCTCCAGGGTACTTTCCAGGACTACTTCTCGGGGGTCACAAGCTATCATGACTTCACCCACGAGTTGTCTCACTTGGTTCTTTACTTCGTCTATCTGGCCATTGGCGAGTTCGTCACCATGTACATCGCCACCGTCGGTTTCATCTACTCTGGAGAGCACATCAGTGGAAAGATTCGTGAGCACTACTTGGAGAGCTGCATGAGGCAAAACATTGGTTTCTTCGATAAGCTTGGCGCCGGTGAGGTCACCACTCGCATCACTGCCGACACCAACTTGATCCAGGAAGGCATTTCGGAAAAAGTCGGCTTGACGCTCCAGGCTCTTGCTACCTTCTTCGCCGCCTTTGTCATTGGCTTCGTTAGCTTCTGGAAGCTTACCCTCATTCTCTTGAGTACCGTTGTCGCCTTGACCCTTGTCATGGGCGGTGGTTCTCGGTTCATCATCAAGTTCTCCCAGCAGAACATCGCTGCTTACGCCGCAGGTGGCTCGGTTGCCGATGAAGTTATTAGCAGTGTTCGCAATGCTATTGCCTTTGGCACCCAGGACCGCCTGGCTCGTCGGTACGATGCTCATCTTACTCGCGCCGAGTACTTTGGCTTCAGGCTCAAGGGCTCTCTTGGTGTCATGGTCGCCGGCATGATGACTGTTCTGTATCTGAACTATGGTTTGGCCTTCTGGCAGGGCTCCCGCTTCCTTCTCAGCGGCGACACCGAGCTCCGCAAGATCCTGACTGTTATGATGAGTGTGATGATAGGAGCTTTCAACCTCGGTAACATTGCCCCGAACTTGCAGGCTTTTGCTACCGGCCTGGGTGCTGCTGCTAAGATCTACAACACTATCGACCGCGAGTCTCCTATCGACTCCTCCAGCGACGAGGGTGCCAAGCTCGAGAATGTTACCGGTACCATCCGTCTGGAGAACATCAAGCATATCTACCCCTCCCGTCCTGATGTCGTTGTCATGGAGGACGTCAGTCTCGTTATCCCTGCTGGCAAGACTACTGCCCTTGTGGGCGCTTCTGGCTCAGGCAAGTCCACCATCGTCGGTTTGGTCGAGAGGTTCTATACTCCCATTGAAGGAAAGGTCTACCTCGATGACGTCGATATTTCAACCCTCAATGTCCGCTGGTTGCGTCAGCAAATCGCCCTTGTGTCCCAGGAACCGACCCTCTTCGCTTGCACTATCTACGACAACATTCGCCATGGCTTGATCGGTACCAAGTGGGAGTCTGAGTCCGTGGAGCAACAACGCGAGCGTATCTATGAGGCTGCCCGCAAGGCCAACGCGCACGACTTTGTTACCAGTCTTCCCGAGGGTTATGAGACCAATGTTGGTGAGCGTGGCTTCTTGCTCAGTGGTGGCCAGAAACAGCGTATTGCTATTGCCCGTGCTATCGTATCCGACCCCAAGATCCTGTTGCTCGATGAGGCCACCTCTGCTCTCGACACCAAGAGCGAAGGCGTCGTCCAGGCTGCTCTCGAAGTTGCCGCTGAAGGTCGCACTACTATCACGATTGCCCACCGCCTGTCTACCATCAGGGATGCCCACAATATCGTTGTCATGACCCAGGGACGCATCGTTGAACAGGGTACGCACGATGAATTGCTCGAGAAGCGCGGCGCTTACTACAAGCTCGTCACTGCCCAGGCTATCGCGGCTGCCAATGAGATGACCGCTGAAGAAGAGGCGGCGCTTGATCAGGAAGAGGAAGCGGCTCTTATCCGCAAGGCGACCAGGAACAGCCAAAAGGAAGGACCTGCCGGCTATGTGGAGGATCCCGAAGATAACATCGCCCAAAAGTTGGATCGCAGCAAGTCGCAACAGAGCGTCAGTTCCATTGCTATTGCCGCACGCAAGAAGGAAAAGCCCAAGGAGTACGGCCTGTGGACGCTCATCAAGCTTATTGCTAGCTTCAATAAGAAGGAGTGGCACATGATGCTCATTGGTATCTTCTTCTCGGCCATCTGCGGTGCCGGTAACCCTACTCAGGCTGTCTTCTTTGCCAAGCTCATCAGCTCTCTGTAAGTTGCTGTCCCCCAAACTGTCTTGCTTACCAAAGCCACTAACCGGTTATAGCTCTCGCCCCATTGTCAACGAAGAAATCAGAGCCTCCATCAAGTCCGATGCCTCCTTCTGGTGCCTGATGTACCTCATGCTTGCTATTGTACAGTGCCTCGCCTTCTCCATCCAGGGCTGGCTCTTTGCCAAGTGCAGCGAGCGTTTGATCCACAGAGTTCGCGACATGGCCTTCCGCTCCTTCCTTCGCCAGGATGTCGAGTTCTTTGACCGGGATGAGAACTCGGCGGGTGCGCTCACCTCGTTCCTGAGCACCGAAACCACCCACGTTGCCGGTCTGTCTGGTGTCACCCTCGGTACACTGGTCATGGTCACGACTACCCTCATTGCCGCTTGCACTGTCGCTTTGGCCTTGGGCTGGAAGCTTGCTCTTGTGTGCATTGCTACCATCCCCATCCTTATCGGCTGTGGCTATTTCCGCTTCTGGATGATTGCTCACTATCAGCGCCGCGCGAAGAGCGCTTATGCTGGATCCGCCAGCTACGCTTCCGAGGCCATCACTGCCATGCGTACTGTCGCTTCCTTGACTCGCGAGCAGGACGTTCTTCAGCACTACAAAGACTCTCTGGCCAAGCAACAACATGCCAGCTTGATCTCGGTTCTCAAGTCCAGTCTTCTCTTTGCTGCTTCCCAGTCTCTCATGTTCCTTGCTTTTGCCTTGGGTTTCTGGTACGGTGGTACTTTGATTGCCAAGCACGAGTACGACATGTTCACGTTCTTCATTGTGTTCTCGTCCGTTATTTTCGGTGCCCAGTCTGCCGGTTCCGTCTTCAGCTTCGCTCCCGATATGGGTAAGGCCACCGAGGCCGCTCGTGAGCTCAAGGAGCTCTTTGACCGCCAGCCGACTGTCGATACCTGGTCGAATGAAGGTGACTCCATCAAGCAGGTTGATGGTACCATCGAGTTCCGCGATGTTCATTTCCGCTACCCGACTCGCCCTGAGCAACCTGTCCTCCGCGGTCTCAACCTGTCTATCCAGCCTGGTCAATATGTCGCTCTCGTGGGCGCCAGTGGCTGTGGCAAGAGCACGACCATCGCCCTTTTGGAACGCTTCTACGACCCTCTTAGCGGCGGCATCTTTGTCGACGGACGCGAAATTAGCAGCCTCAACGTCAACGAATACCGCAGCTTCATCGCCCTCGTCTCACAGGAACCAACGTTGTACCAGGGTACCGTCCGCGAGAACATCATCCTCGGAGCCAACAGCGACGTCACAGACGAGCAGATCAAGTTCGCCTGCCAGGAAGCCAACATCTACGACTTCATCATGTCTCTCCCCGATGGCATGAACACCATGGTCGGCTCCAAGGGTGCATTGCTCTCCGGTGGCCAGAAGCAGCGTATCGCTATCGCCCGCGCGTTGATTCGCGACCCCAAGATCCTGTTGCTCGATGAGGCGACGTCCGCTCTGGATTCCGAGTCCGAGCACGTTGTGCAGGCGGCGTTGGATAAGGCTGCTAAGGGCAGGACTACCATTGCTGTTGCGCATCGTCTCAGCACCATTCAGAAGGCGGATATCATCTACGTGTTTGACCAGGGCAGGATTGTGGAGCAGGGAACGCATTCGGAGTTGATGAAGAAGAATGGAAGGTATGCGGAGTTGGTTAACCTGCAGAGTCTGGAGAAGCATTAAACGGTGATGGGGACAGAGGAGTCGAAAAGTTTTATGGCACTTGGCATGGCGTTATCTTAGAAATGGTCTGATCTTGGCAACTCTCAGCTCGGTTGTTGAAGGTCTTGGAATTTTTGACGGATTTTTGCACATGTTAGACGATACCACTGTATGTACGTACGTATTATTAATGGCTAGTATGGTTGAATGGATGAGGGGGATGTTTGAATGGAATAGACACCACTCACAAGATACAAGAATCTTTTTCGTTGACAGTTTCGAAGCCTGTGTTCTGAGTGATCTCAGGATGGGAATGCCTTCACAAAGCCAAGTTCATGCATTAACACTTCACCCTATGTTTGTCACTGGAAAATGTTAAGCAACCGTGATTGCCACCACCACCATCACCCTAAGAGCGGGGCTAGATCCTCCACCAGACCTGGGGCTGTCACTTTAGCGCTGTGGGACCCGCCCAGTAGCCGCCATTACCCGCCGCTTTGGGCTGCCTCCCGCTTTGCTCCACTCGCTGTCACTGAGGAGGGGCCGCGAGGGGGCGCGGGGGGCAACGTCATGGGATTTCTTTCATCTTTTCTCCCGCTTTCCCATCGGTTCCGTTGGTTCACAGGGCTGTTCGCCATTGTGAGTCTGGACTCTTCGTTTCAGACACAGGAGGGTTCAAGGATTGAACGGACGGGTGGACAAGTGTCCTTTTGACTTTTATCATATCTATCGGGAGGTTTCGTTCTGTGGATTGTATGCTGCACTCGAACGGATTCAACGGGATTCATATGCAAGTGTGACTGAGAGGGACGATGCACAGAGAGACCCTTGCTCGCATCACTTCGTGTTGACTGGACGACATTCTCCCTCTCTTACATCTTCCTCACATTCGCCTACATATTCTCCTCTACCTAAACTTGACATCAGCCCAGGTTGGACTGGCTGGGCATCAACGGCTTGAGCCAAATCTAACCACCCATCTTACCCATCTTCATCTTCATCTATCGAGTACCGACAAACTCAGCTCGACACGACACATCTACCTTTTCAGCATTCGAGTCGCATCATTTCCGCTGCTGTATATATATACCCACTCTCGCACTACGACCACGCTCGACGTTCGTTTCAAACAGTCACTCGCGCCCGTCGAACCTGAACTGAAATCTCGACAATATCAATAACATCTATCATACACCCACGAGCGCACTTACGAGCACATTCACGAACGAGCGAACCGAACCGAAGTAAAACATCACAACGATGCGCCTCCTCGATCCATCGACGCTAGGGGCAGCTGCGCTCCTCCTTTTATCTTCGCTACCCAACGGTCCCAACGGTGCAGAAGCAGCAAAGTCGGGGAAAGCTAAGGATGCGGTTTTGCTTTCTAATGTACGTTTCCTCTCCCCCTTACTGTCTTCTATCACCATCACCAACGCCCGTTTCCATTATCACCACCCCTCTCTCCCCCTTCATCCCTCTCCTCATGCCCATCCCCTTTCATCCCTCACCCCATGCCCATCCCCTTTCATCCCTCACCCCATGCCCATCCCCTTTCATCCCTCACCCCATCCCCTTTCCCTCTCCCCTCCTCTTCTCCCCAGCCAGACACATGCTAACAAACCCCCCTCCAGATCCGCACCCTAACCTTCTCCTCCAACCATCTAACAACCGGCCGCCGCCTCCCCCCCATCCCCCAACTCTCCTGCACCTCCCCTCCCACCCTCTGCCGCCTCGCCGCCCCGCACATCACCATCATGCGCTGCGTCAACCAAGGCCCCCGCTACAGCAAAGAAGACATCCAATGGTCCTGCACCGTCCCCTCCCTGCCCACCACTCTGCAGCTTGGGTCGACGGATGTGATTTGCGAGGGGTACGATAGTCCGGATGACGAGTATGTGCTCAAGGGGAGTTGTGGGGTTGAGTATACTTTGACATTAACGGAGGAGGGACGGAGGAGGTATGGGGATGGGTATGGAGACGGGGGATGGGACGGGGAGGGAGAAAATCCCGGGTGGCCGGGGTACCTGTTTGGGATTTTGTTTGTGGGGGTTTTGGGGTGGATTGTGTATAGTGCTTGTGTGCAGGCTGGTGCTAATCGTCGGGGAGGTAATGGTGTTGGGGGTGATGGACAAAGAAGGGGATGGGGAGGAGGAGGTGGTGGTGGTGGTGGAGGGCCTGGGTTCGGAGGAGGACCAGGCGAGGGACCGGGTGGTGATTGGGATGATCCGCCGCCGCCGTATCCTGGATCAGGATATGGTAATAAGCCGAGTGGAAGCCAGCAACAACCGGGACAGCAACAGCAACAGCAGCAGCAGCAAGGATGGAGACCGGGGTTCTGGTCGGGAGTAGCGGGTGGTGCGGCGGCTGGGTATCTGGCTGGCCAGAGGGGGAGGACCGGGAGGGAGGATAATAATAACCGCAACAACAACAATAGGGGGTATAACTATGGGAGCACATGGGGTTCGCCGTCGTCGTCGTCGGGGTCGAGGAACAGGAGTTGGGGATCGTCTTCATCACCGAGCTATTCTGGTGATAACGGCGGCAGTTCGGGGGCAACTCACGAAAGCACCGGGTTTGGGTCGACGAGTCGCCGGTAAATATATAATAGGGCTTGGTTGGACGAAACGATGATACTGTATATACATGTACAGACGCAGCAAACAAGGAAATACGACGCAAGAAGGGTATTTATCGGCATACAGTTGCGCGAGCGTATAATGATTCTTTGGAATTATACAAAGGCTTGCTCTGAAAACAGAACAGAGTTTAAATGGCTTTCCTCCCGTCCCGCTTCGGTATCACACACACGCTATCCCCGTCATGAACCATACTCCCATAGTGTTGTACATCAAAGCAATTCGATGCTGATCGCTACCCCTCCAAGACGCCGATAGAACCATTTATTGGATGTACTTCTTTCCTTCTATTCCAGTACCTAACATGACATACCCTTCCTTCCAAGATGGCTTAGATCCTTGGCAAAGGCGAGGGGAGCTGGCTGTAGATGGGTTTTGGGGACGTCGCCAAGGGTCGTCCACCCCATGTTGCGGACATGCCCCATGTTGCGGACATGCCCCATGTTGTCCCTCTCCGGCGCGAATTTGTCCTCCACCTATCTCCAACCGTTTCTCTCGACAGAAACCGGTCGTAAGAATAATATCATCCCAGCCTCTCGGGCTTCATGTAAACTCTGTCGCCGCAAGTCCTCGAGTAGAGTGTATCGATCGATAATGGCTTGGTGATACTCAAAAATGCTGACATGACATTGTCATATATGTCTCCCTCCTCTTAACGTGCCGGTTCCGGAGCCATTTGCCGACGCTTCTCTGCCGAATCCCTCCTACCAAATCCTTCATTACAAATGAGCAGGCATGGCGTCAGATCGATCGAACGCCTTGTTGCAGCTTGGGCATTTTCGCATCCGGTTCGTCAGTCGGTTGTCGACACACTCGTTGCAGAATACATGCCCGCATCCCTTGAGTATCGTGTTCTTGAAGTTGCTCCTGCATACGGAACAAAGGACCAAGTTCTAGAAAATGTGCGAGTCAGTTTATACGTCCGAACCCAAACTCTCCCAAAATCGCCACTTACCCTGAGCATTTCCTCCTCCTCAGTCGAGTTGGACTGGCACTTCGTCTTCCACTTATCGCGTTCCGAGCTGACTTTGTCGAGGCGCACCTTGAGCTTCTCCACCTCTTGCTCCTTGTCCATCGCCTTCTCCTTCAGCTCCCTACCTGCCGTATCCTTGGATTGCACAAGATTTTGCAGCTTTTCGATCTGCGACTTCACAGAATCTGCCCGCCGAGTGGCCTCGGAACTCAAGGATTCCAGCTTCTTGCTCTCCGTCACAATTGTCGTGTTGGACTGCTTCAAATCCGCAATCTGCTTCTCCAAAGTGGTAATGAGTGCTCGGTGCTGGGTCTCGACATCCTTGAGCTGGGAAATGATCTCGGAGCTCTTGCTGTTCTGTCCGCGCAATGTCCGTATTTCGGCTATCCGAATGTCCATGTCCTTACGCGCGGCAAAGTACTTCTGGTCTGCTTTGCTCTTCTCCGCTGTGAGAATAGCAACCCGCTCCTCCAAAGCGGTGAAATCCATCACCTTCTTGTGTGCGATACCCATGGCCTTCCTGTACGACTTTTCAAGTGCTGGAAGCTCCTTGTTGATCGCTTCGTAATCCCTCTCCAACTTGGCAAACTTCTCCTGGAGCTCCTCAACTGAAAGACCGCTCAAATCCTCCGTCGAAGTGGCCTTGGCTGCGTCTTCTGTTGGTCTTAGCCTCTCAAGCTCGGATTCTAGTTGAGTTATCCGATCCGTCATGGCCTCAACAAGCTCATTCAGGTGAGCGGATGCTGTCTTTTCCTGTTCCTGGCTTGCCTTACGCATTGCAAGTTCTGCCAGAAGTTCATCCCTTGCGGAGCGGATTCTCGTAAGATCCTGGTCCTTTTGTTGTATCTGGTCCTCCAGATCCGACGTGAGAGCCTGGGCTTCTTGTTCCAGCGTGGCACGGTACGATGTTCGTTCAGCCCGCAGCTTCTCGGCGTCTTCCCGTAGCTGCTTGTTGACGGCCTCCAGGTTATTGATGCGCTTGATGAGATCCTCGTTTTGAGCTTTGAACTGCTTGAATACGTCGGTTCGGGCATAATCTTCCTCGGAAATGCCCTCTTTCTTGACCTTGAAACTGGCATTTTCTTCTTGTAAGCCCTTAATCTCGGCAAGAAGGGACTCGATCTGTTCTTTTTGCTTATTGGCAACGGCAATAGCTTCCTTGTACTTGGTCTTGTACTCGGCGCCGTCGCCATTATCCGTACTCGAACCCGTGCCACTTTCGTCATTTGTGGTTTGCCGCGTTGTCGAGTTGGCCAGTGCCTGCTGTTCCAACTTTTGAACTTGGGCACTTCTAACCCTATCGAGCTTCCGTTCGGCCTTGATCACCTTGAGAGTTGCGGTATCATACTGTTCGGAGAGCGTCGCATTTTCGGCCTGGAGTCTGTCGATTTTCACTGCTAGTTCCTTTTGATTTGCCAGTAGAGACTTCACCTGTGCTTCCAGTTGCGCCACATCAGGCTTGACTTCGCCGCGGGAACTGGCGAGCTTGTTGAGTAGCGACTCGACCTTGGAAATGACGGGTTTCTTGATATCGTCCAAATGTTGGCGGAATTCCTTGCTGTCCTTAAAGGCGAGGCTCGATACCCAGTTGGAGTCTGCGGGCTTCAGGGTTATGGATTTGAGTGACCCTTCGGCAATCAACTCTAGCTCTTGAGTCAACTGGGGGGTGTCAGCGAGCTTTGTCGTGTGGAGATGGAAGTGGAGTCGAGGCATACCTGCGATAGCCAGTACTTGATAACGCGCAAATGATCATCGTGAAAAGCCGCGCTTTTCTCGGCTTCTTGTAGACGGTGTTCTAGGTCGACCTTTGACCGCTTGTACTCGAGCATCTGCCGGTAAATGGCACCTTTTTGATATTCCTGCGCATGGTAACCAGTCAGCCAAGCCGTCGCCTTCAAGCCCGTGAAAGGAGATTCATGTACATCGTGGGCGGGTTAAGGAGCGTGGTATCTGGGAGTAGGTAGGGTCAAGGCATTGCATGATGAAGAGAGAATCCTGGGAGCCGGGCGTGCTGTTGCCAGCAAGCCGCGCATTAGCAAGGGTCGAGGAGGAGTACCCCAACAAAAACATCGCGGTGAGGGTCATAAGGAGGTTGGCCGACACGTAAGATGCTCTCTAAAGCGGACGCGACTGCGGTGGATGGCAGGCGGCGTCGAGGGACAGACAGGATAGAACACACTTGATAGGATACGCGAGGCTAGGGTGGGATGTGATATGAGGGGGGCGTGAAGCGGTAGCCGACGACGTGTGACACTTACCTCAATCCAAGCCTCTTCCCTTAAATCGTTGGAGTCGTCCTTGGACTTGTTGGTGCCGTTGACGGCCTGTCGCTTGCTAGGAGGGGCAACGTCGTCCGCGTTGGCGGCGGGTCTCTTCCTGTCCTCCATCTTGACGGTGGTAGGACGAGGCACTGCGGAGGGAGAGGTGGCAACCGGCATGAGAAAAGGCGCTTGAGGGAGCGGACCGGGTACTCAGTTGTCGGTGCGGGCGGCGAAGGGCGCGAGCGCGAGCGAAGAAGGCCAGAAACCAAGCAGCGGGCAGAAGAAAAGAAGTTGGAAGAAAAAGCGCGGTCGGCAATGGAGAGCAAGGAAGTCGAGAGCAGCCAGCCTTGGTGCGATTGAAGATCGATGGTTGATCTCTTACCGCCACTGCATACGGTGGATGACTCGTTCTCCGTCGTCGATGAGGGCGTCAACGGATGCGGAGGGGCGTGTCGGCGACGACGATGTGTTGGGTTGTGGGTGAGCTGGGCGGGTTGTGACTTGGACAGACCCGGTGTGCAGACTTGGCTTGGTTGGAAGTGAAAAAAGGCTGCCAAAAGGAGCGTGCGGGTTACAGTCTTGGAAGTGTCGGAGGATGGAAAGTGTGGAAAGGACGGAGCAGCACCTGAGTCTGAGGCAGGTCGAAGAACGTGACTGGAGCAGCCGAGCCGGACGGGGCTCCAGTTGAGTTGCCAGCCAGCCTACTATAGTCAACGGACCTGGACTGGCCGGGGAGTGTCGAGGCAATGGTCAAGGCAATCAATCTCTGCTCTCACTTCGTGACGGCGTCTGCCATTCTGTCTGTGACGAAGGGCGGAATGGAGGAATCCAAGGCGCAAGAAGACAGACTGCAACCTTTCCATTCTCAACACTCATCGGCCGCTCGACACAAAAAGTGGGTCTCTGAACGGGAGCGTGAAGACCTACTCACGGCGAGGGCGACCGCCAGACAGAATCCACTCTCGGCCCTCTGGATGCGTCACGCTAAGCCTCTTTCAGCCTTGGCCTGCGGTGCCTTTATCGCACTCGGATTTCTCCACTGCCACTGGCTGATGGGAATGAGGACCCTCCCCTCTTCCCTTCCGCGAAGCCTGGACGCTGCTGAACCGATCAGTGCACCACCACCGGGACTGGATCCTGACCACCCACCCCGCCCATCTTTTTTCCCATCATCACTTTATCGCATTTTGTCATTCACAAAGTCAACAATCAACCGACTCCGCGTCCTTCAATCGCGTGTGCAGCAATCGATACCCTCGACCGCGCGCTATTCTCGATCTCCAGTCCTTACGATTGTCTGGATACGCACCGATTCAGCATCCCATCAAAACGAACTGGCACAATCAGTTGAGCCTCAGAATACCCCCCGGTCTTTGCTTATCGTCGGCAGCCTTGTGTAGGCCATGCTTACCATAACATCGACATCCCACCTTCTTTAATTCAAGAGTCAAGATGCTCAAGAAACCGGGCTTCGGCCCCAAGGTCAAACCCAAGGTGGTTGCTCGTCGCAACGCGCCAGCTTCAGCAAAGTCAACAGATTCAACTCCCGCCCCGACCGAGACAACGTCACAACCCACCACAGCTGCCGCTACTCCCACAGCCGAGTCCGGTCCCTCGACCCGTCAGGTATCGCCGGCTTCAGCCTCAGCTCAGCCTAACCCCCCTGCAACTCTCCCAACCGATACGGCCCCCGAGAAGGAATCTTCGAGTGTTACCAAACCGGTTTCCAAAGATACCGCTCCAACGGACAAGCAAGCACAACCTGCAGCGACCTCAGCTGCAGCTCCGGCCCCAGATCCGGCGCCAACTCCAGCCCCTACCGCAACGGCGAGTACACCGGTGGAAAAGCCAGTAGAAAAGCCAGTCGAGAAGCCGGTAGAGAAGCCTACAAGCGAAAAGAGCTCGAATGCTACGACCGAGACTCCTAAAGCAGCGACTCCAAAACAAACACCCTCCAAAACCAGGGGAACGGCGGCGGCGGTTATTACTCCGACCATTATCGAAATCACGAGGCCTAGAGGCAGAAGATCCGTGGCGACATCTGGTACATCAGAAATTATAGCACCATCTCCGTCCAAGGCTACACGCCCGACACCCGCGGCCGATACATCCAGCACCACGTCTTCGACCACCCGAAGTGGAACTACATCTACAGAAGCAGCTTCAACGCGTTCCAGCACAGAGACTACACAACCGACGGTTTCAACACCTTCAATTACCCAGACTGCAGCTGCAGCCGCCGAGAGCTCGACTGAGAGTCGAACTGAGTCGAGTGCCGAGGCAACGGTTGAACCAACAACCAAAATTACCAAGAAGGCACCTGCAAAGAAGGCACCCGCAAAAAGGGCTCCTCGGGCTCTTCCTCGAAAGCGCAAGGCGGATGCAGCAACCAACGAAGACGAAACGAACAACGATGAAGCCGAAGCCGAAGGTGAAGCGGCAGCACCACCTCCCAAGAAGCGAGCACGGACGACAAGGAAAGCAGCGGCCGAGCCGAGCGCCGACGGAGAGGAAGCGGCTGAAGCCGAAGTTGAAGCGGCAGCACCAGCTCCCAAAAAGCGAGCTCCTCGAAAGCGCAAGGCGGATGCAGCAACTGGCGAAGGCGAAGCGGATAACGATGAAGCCGAAGGTGCAGCAGCAGCGGCACCTCCCAAGAAGCGCGCACAGACAAAGAAAGCAGCGGCCGAGCCGAGCGCCGAGGGAGAAGACGGTCAGGAAGCAGCACCCAAACCGAAGCGGGTGCGGAAGCCGAGAAAGCCCAGGACAGAGTCGAATATCGATCCAGCTCTCCTGGGCGATGATGAGCAAAACGAAGCTCAAGCTACCACCAAGCAGGGCAGGCAACAGCGTGAAGCCACCCCCGAAAATGCCGAACAAGTCCAAATTGACGTCACCCAGCTAATAATGGCCGAGCTGGCCAAGGATTTGCACATCGGCAAGAAATTCAGTCTACACGACGAGCTCGCCGAGCGTGAGCGAGCCAAGCGACAGAAATATTATGAAAAGCGCAAGAAGCAAAAGCGCGGCGAGACAGCCGACGGTGACGAAAATGCCGACGGCGGTGCCAGCGGCGAAGCATCCGCCTCTGGCACGCCCGCGCCCGGTGCCCCCGGTGCCTCCAACGGCCCAGCCTCCTCCCGCCCCGCCATCGACGAACCGCCCCTTGTCGACAGCACCGTCGGCGCCGTCGGCGAGCAATACATCATGATCGACGGCGAAATCCGCCTCAACGAGCGCTCGCTCCAAGTCGACCGACACGCAGCCGTCGACCACGCCAACTACGAAGTGCAAGAAGAAAACGACTTCACCCACTTGACCACCTCCGCCACTTACCTCCGGCGCAACATGAAACCAGGCCAATGGACGGACGAAGAAACCGACAAGTTTTACTCAGCTCTAACCATGTTCGGCACAGACTTTGAGACCATCGCCCGCCTGTTCAAGGACAAGACGCGCAAACATATCAAACTCAAGTTCAACCGCGAGGAAAGGGCCGATCCGGACAGGATCCAAAAGGCGCTGGTGGGCGAGCGTACCGTGACGATCGATATCGAGCAGTACCAGCGCGAGACGGGGCAGGAATTTGAGACTGCCGAGAAGATTTATGAGGAGCAGAGGAAGGCGGAGGAGGAGTTTGAGGCGCGGCAGAAGGCGATTGAGGATGCGAAGGCGGAGGAGGAGAGGAAGAAGGCTGAGATGCTGTTTGGGAAGGATGGACAGGGTGGTGCATTGGGAGGGGGGAAGAAGAGGAGGGGGAAGAAGGCGAGGCCGGAACCTACTTGGTAGAGGGGGGAAGAGGTGTGTGTGGAGGATTATATATTCGGGCGAAGTCTTCTTTCTATCAGAGGGGAGATGTTGTGGTGTGTCTCTTGGTAGGAGAGGCTATCACGTCACGTCTTTTCCAGGAGATTATCAGAAGGTGTTCAGAGCTTGTGTTTGTAACAGATTCCTTGCTTTCTAAAGACACTAGTAAACCTACTAGATGAGATGGTCGCATTGGTAGAGATGAAAGGGAACAAATCATGGAATGGGTATGGCGGAGGAAAATGAGACGCCTTCAAGGAATCAATCAGGTTTATATACCCATCAACCGGAGGGCACTTAGGTATGGAACAGGCTAGTGAGAGTCAAAAAGACACAAACAGGGGACTTTGATCATGTTATATACGGAATGTCCCAGGCTATTGCATCTAATCTTTGCTCTCATTGCTGGTTCTGGTTGGTCATGCACTGCTCCAAGTCGTTAAGTTCGGGCGTTGCCCCTTCGAGGGATTCACTACTCAAGAACGTGTACAAAAGGCGGTACCTTGATCGTGGACCGTGAGAACATCTCTCATCTTCTCAGTTGACATCGCTACGTGAAGTAGCCTCGATATCATCACTCCTTTACTCTCGCTGCCTACTTACTAACCACAATGGAATCCTTCGCATGGGAGAATTCAGACACACAAAAAGCCCACCCATGTAGTGAATGTGAACGTTGATCAGCAGTATTGAGCATTTGAGCTCCCTAAGGTATAGTGTTATCATAAAGTCTTCTCCAATGCATCCTTCATAAGCAAGCCCAAACCATCCAGCCGTCGCCCACGTTTCAAATGCAAAGGCAAGCTGCTAACGAAAATCCTCCCTGTCATTGACTTTTAACGCCTGAATACAGAAAACCCAAGATATCATCTCAGCCTACAGCCTCATTCACCCTTATTGTTGGGGCATGTCATCATCCTCCTCGGGACCTTGGTCGAAGAGGAAGTTGGCAGCAAGCTCCTCGTCCTTGTCGCACGCGAAGTAGGCCTGGATGGCCTGATCCTGGGGGAAACCCAGGCGGGTAAGACGCTCAATGGCATCGCGCTCTTCCTCCGTGACGGCAATACCGACACTGCCGCCCTCGCCACCCTCGCCGAGGAGGCTAAGGAACTGGTCGGAATTCTGAGCGATCATCTGAGCGAGTTGAGGGTTACCGGCTCCGAGCTGTTGCAGGATAGGCTCCAGCATCTGGGGCTGCTCCTGTACGAGCTGACGCATTTGCTGGAACTGGGCGTTGTTCCGGAGGAAGTCGAGGTTGCCCAAACCAGCGGCCTCGGCGCCAGCACCCTCCGCACCGCGAGCACCACGTCCACCAGCGCTGTTGCCAAGCTGCGCGGCGAGGTCGAAAAGGTTAACCTGGTCGTCGTCGTCACCACCAGCAGCAGCGGGCGAAGCGGCCTGGGCGGCGGGAGCAGCAGCAGCAGCCGGGGCGGCAGAAGGCTGACGAGAGCTGGCAGCCTGTTGTTGTTGAAGGTTGGCGGGAATACCCTGAAATCTGTGTCAGTATACCATATACAGCATGGCGAGTTGTATGACTTGTCAAACGTACGTTCAGCAGGTACTCGACGGCGCGCTCGGGGTTGTAATACGCAGCACGCATGGCAGCGTCGATTTGGGAGCGCTCGAAGCCCATGGCCTCCATGTTGGCAATGGCCTCAGCACGCTGCTCGCCCATCGCAAGAGCGTTAGCATCACGAGCACCGGCAGCGGGGGCCGCCTCAGGAGCCGCAGCGGTTCTAGCGGGTGTCGGCGTCGAGGGTGCAGCAGCGGCAGCGGTGGAGGCAGCAGGAGCGGCAGGGGGAGCGGGTGTCGAAGCCGGGGCGGCGGCAGCGGGAGTAGCAGGGGCGGCGGCGGACGATGACGACTCGGCCGGCTTGGGGGCGGTAGTCTTGGGCTGCAAAAACGTCAGCTCTAATCCTCCTACTGGCACATGGATGATCGTACCTTGTTGACGACACAGACAACGAAACCCTTCTCCTCGATCTTGTAGGACTCTACGGTCTCCTCATCCTTCAAGATTTTTCCTGTTGAAGGCCCAGTCAGTATTCGGGAGTTGTACCCATCGTTTTGAAAGCAAGCGATGCTTACCGGAGTAGATGAGCTTCTGCAGCTCGGGAGCCCAGCCCCTCTCCTCGGAGATCTTCGCCTTGACCTTGGAAATCTGCAGCTGGTTAGCCTATAGCTCGCCAGATTCATACGTTTCCTCAAAGTGACATGGAGGCTCGCGACGCCGACAGAGCATTTTTTCGATTGTTGAGGGCTGCCACGGCGTGTGGAGTGTCGTCCATAATATCGGTTTAAGGTAAGACGTGTAAGGAAACGGGAGGCGACGAGGGTAACCCACGGTCTCGGTAGGCTCGATCTCGAGCGTGAACTTCTGTTGTTTGAGGTCCTAGATGAACGGTCACTGTTAGTATTGGTTATATACTTTAATAGCTTAGAGGTAGAGAGAGCGAGCTCCGATTCAATCAGGCAGACACGATCCAAAGGAAATGACGGTTTGTTGCCAGCTTCTTGGGAAACTATCGCGGTACATCTGGCTGGTTGTCTGCCTGCCTGCCTGGCTACGTCAAACACTCGACATGGGCAAGCTAATGGGCACGTACCTTGAAAGTAACCTTCATGATGGGCAATCTGTCGCGCAGCTATACGGCTGCTACGTTGACGATAAGAGTATGGTGATGTAAACTAAATCTGTCGGACGGGCGAGCTTCGTTGGGTTCGGAGTCGCGACGGGAGAGAGAAGGATTCGTTGCGGTCGACAAAGTTGGGCGAAGAAAAAAGTGGTGGTGGTGGTTGCTGTGGTAAGGTTGATAAGTGGGAAGGCGCCGCAGATGATGCGAGGTGGCAGACAGGGGAGGAGGTGGTTGTAATCGCTGTGGCAAGAAATAGAAGGAAACTTGACCGTTTTACAGCGGGTTGTGATGACTGATGGGGCAGCTTTGAGGCGGAGAATTTGGGGTTTGTTCGCTTCACCTGCACTCACAGTCGTCCCTCCTACGGTAGCGCAGTGGTGAATGGAAGAGGGGCAGCCAGTGCTACGGCAGTGAATGGCTGGGGGAAGCGGCAGGCAAAGTGGGCAGGCAGGCAGCGGCATTGTTAGGCGGGGGGCTGCGCGGCATCTTGCCGCCTGGAGCTGGTGTGGAGGTCACACTGCCATCCGTCTGTACACACAAAGGTTCCATCCATTCACTTGGTTGTAATCTCACTGCTTACTTCATCGCCATTCGTTGGTGAGGGTGATACAAAGTGAAAGGGGAGCATCTGATCCCATGCTTTGAACCATCCAAAGCAATCAGTTTCTGCCATGAAGAAAATGAAGTCATTGATGGTTACGGCAGTGTCACGGCAACAGATCTCCACTCATAAGCGCGTAGAGTGGAGCTCGACAGGTTCTTGTCCAATCATACTCCGAGCATTGTAAGGAGCTGATAAGATAAGGACTCACGTCAGTGACATCGTAGACATGGAGGAAAGCTTGGTTGCTCTCATGTTGACGACGAGTACCTTCCCTTCGGTTATCATCGCAAAATGAACGGTAGCATTAAAATATCTCGGGCACGATCTTGTGTTCTGACTTCTTCATTTCTCACCGGCTACATCTTTCAATCGTCCCTCTCGCGCAAGGCGCACAGAAGCATCTACCTAAACCCATCCATCATCTACCCATTCCTCTACCCCTTCCATTTATCCAATCTGATCCTCTATATACAATCCTCCTTCTCTTTTTCCCACCTATCCAAGACCCATCGTCTAGGTATAGAATTTATATCCAACGCGTCGCAATTAAAGGTATCATATTCATGTCTCAAACCCCCCCCCACCCCAAAAAAAAAAAAAAAAACCCCCAAAAAAAAAAAAAAAAGAAGAAAAGTGATATCTCTCCCCCAACAGCGACCTTTCTCACGATCTGAGCGGAGATCAAACCAACAAGAAAGAAGAAGAAGAAAAAGACAAAGGGTAAAGAAGAGAAAGGTATCAAAAAGCATTCATGTCGTAACTTCGTTTCAGGGCATCCAACACAACCACACCAACCAACCGGCCGTTCGATGCCCGTTATACACCCCAACCAAACAAAACAAAGGAAACTTTTTTTTTCAGCCGGCCATGTTTCGTCATTGAACGGAGGCACCAGCAACACCCTCCTCCTCCTCAGCCGGCGCAGACGTAGGCGCCTGGTTTTTCCGCTGATTATACCCCAAGAAGCTCGTCCTCGCTCCAGCATCTAGGATCCAGCCCGGAATAGGCGGCGTCATTTCTCGATCCACCGGATCATCGTGAGCCAGCGACGGTCTTGGTGAGGGCGATGGGCTGCTCACAGCAGGAGCTTTCCCCTTCCCCTTCATCACCACTTGATCCCTCTCATCATCATCATCATCATCCTCCTCCTGCTCGTTCTCATCATCAGATAAACCCTCCTCATCATCCTCCTCCTCCTCCTGCTCGTTCTCATCATCAGATAAACCCTCCTCATCCTCCTCCCTCAACTCCTCCGCTCTTGTCCCCGGCCTGCTCCCGCCCTCATGCCTTGTTACTTTCGTCCTAAAACTCTCTAGCGACCCTTGTCTGCTCAACGGGCTTGATACAGCCGGGATACTCCCGCTTCGCTTCCTCGCCAGGGTTCGGATGCTATGCTTATCCGAGAGGACCTGCCCGCCGTTGGGCGCCGCGACCACCACCGTCCCTGGCGAAACGATGGCTGGCGGTGTGGGCGAGTCAGATCGGAACAGAGGGTGGATGTGCGATTCGCTGATGTGCGTTTCGGACATAGCGGCGTGCTGGGTGAACGCTTCCCGGGCGAGCTCCATTGACCGCATAGAGGCGGGACTGAAGGAGCGACTGCGGCGACGGATGGACTTGGGCGGGATGAGCAGGTTGTTGCCAAGGTCCACTTGGCTGTCAGTAGGAGGTAGCCCGGGACTGGGTTGCCTGCTGGCCATGGGGCTGGCGGGGATGGTTTCTAGGAAGGGAGCAGGTGGCATTGGCGGAGAGCAGGTGGAGGCAGCCTCGGCGACAGCTTGTCGGTTTTGAGGGTCGACGGAGGAGGTATCCCAGGAGTCGAAGCCGTTCTCGAGAGTCGCGGCAACGGAGGCGGTGTGGTGCTCACGCATGGCGGCTGAGTCGACCGAGTCGGATTGGCGCATGCGCACAGGCAGCGAATACTGGCTGTTACTCGCTAGGAGATGGGTCGTTGAGGGGACGGGGCGCATAACCGAGTACAGCGACGAGCGCCACGAGCTCAGGGAGTTGCCCACCGAGTGTGCATAGCTTGGACGGGGAGTTGCCCGCGTCGACACGGTCGGGTCTTCAAAGCGGACCTTCTCTGTGTTGGGGTTCGTTTGCTGATAGGGGATCGCCTTGATTTGTTGTCTTGGCGAGCTCTCCTCGTCTCCTGCGTAACCCATGCCGCCCATCCGAGCACCGATGAAGTGCAGAACCTGGAAGAGCAATTGCGTCGCAAATGCAACTCCCAATGCCACCGAGCCTCCGATCAAAAATCCCGACGTCTTCGTCCCCGCTACCTCCTTCGGTAGCTTCGCCGAATCCTTGCTGAGAAATACCAAAGTGGCAATCGATAGTGCAGCAGCTACCGAGCACACAAAAAGTCCAACCCCGAACAATACTCCATTGAACCTCCTAACCAAGCGTGAAGCCACGCAACTCGAGACAAGGAGGAAAGTTGTCGTGAAAAGCGCCAAGCCCTCAAATACCGCGGCAACGATAGTCGTCGTCTTGACCGGCGAAGAAGTCTCCTGTGCTAACGACCGAGCCAGGATAATGTGAATAACAAAGATGGCCGTAGTCGCAAGGACGGCTACTGTGCCCAGCAATGCTGGGATCACATGTGGTATCACCATTGCGTATTGCTGAAATGTGAAGGCAGTCGAACAAAAAAGCGGAAGAGAAAAAGGGATGAAGAACCGAAAGTCCAGAGAAAAAAGGTTCGGGTATGAAACACTTATGGTTCGGGCTCTCGGTCGTCTTTTCGTTTGTTAACCCCAGTAGTTCGTGCCGTGTGGCGGTTCGGGAAGGGAGAAAAAATGTGGAACGAACGAACGAACGGCTCCGACGGGTTTGCTGATTGATAAAAAGAGTCCGTGGAGTCACGGAGTCAAAAAAGAAGGTTATTTTGGTAACCTCCCCCGGCTCTAACCCCTCGCTCCCGTCCTGCCGTCTTGTCGTGTGTAAAAGTCGGCGTTCGATTCGATTCGCGATTGCTTGTCCCAAGACGTTGGTTCAACAATGGGCAGGGCAGAGCAATCAACCAGGAGCCCTTGAAGCTTTAGCTTTAGAAGAAAAAAGGTAAGAGGTCGGCGGTCAGCAGACGAGACACGATAGGCCAGCTAGTATGTAAGAGAGGAAAACAAGATGTGGTCTATGCGTTGCGTTTCCGTTTGAGAAAAGCAAACAACTCTTGTTACTTGTCTCTCTCCTTTGTGTGAAGGGCGGTATGATGGTGCTATACCCCGGTGTTTTGCAAGCAAGCAACCAGTACAGTACAGTACCCCAGCCTCCCTTTCTCTCTTTCGAATTCTCTTTCTCCTGCAGTTTCCCGTTGGTATTGGTCCCTAGTAACCAACCCGCTTCCGTCGAGGATTGCGAGGGGTTATGAAACAGCTACCAGAGTAACCAGCTCCACGCGGATTGGATAACACGAAGCTGGGGAACGACTGACTCGAGATGTGTACTGTGGTATCGATGGAGTAGATGCGGTGAATGCAGTGAACCAGTCCAGCCGTTGGTCATGTGAAGGCTAACGAACGTCGAATGTCGTGTGTCTTCTTTTTTTTGGTCGGGCTCGTGTTGTAGTTGGATAGTTGGATAGTTCGAAGGAGTGTTTCAAGTCCAAGTCCAGTGCAGTGCAGTGCAGTCAGTCGGTAACCAGCCGGTCGGTGTGTTGTTGAATCGTTGATGTAAGTCGAAGTATCGGATCCGATGATTTGATATTCTCACTTAATCGGTCCCAACGAAGGCTTCGAGGAACCAAGCGATTTTTTAGTTGGAAGATGTAAAGAATGTCTAGGGATTTGAGTGAAAAGTAAGATTTTGTTTCGTTCGTGTAAAGAGGCCCACGATGATGACGAAGAAAGTTTGTGTGAACGTCCAACTCCGCGGCCTCTACTCTGTAGGCAGGTAGGTATCCGTAATCCGTCCGGGAATTAGTGGGGAAAGAGTTCGATAAAATTCTGGACCAGGAAGGCTGGTCAACGGGAGGTAAGAGGCATGGAGTCGGAAGCGGAGGACGGATGAAACTGGAGACACTGAATGGGACCTTTTTTTTTTTTCGATTGGGTATGAACGAATGACAGACAAGCAAAGCAGTTGATATTAATGAATGAATGAATGAATGGACGAGAAAAGGCTCTCAAAGTCAAGGCAAGAGCTTCACGAGTGGAAAGCCATTGTTGGTAAAAGAAAAAGCTGGGTAAGAGAGAGATAATCCGTCCCGGACTTCACTTCATGGGAGAGGGGAGATGCAGTGGTGAGGGGGCATCATTGGGTAAATGTATTACCAGACCCTACCCTATATTACCGAGGAAGACAGAAAAGAGCTGAAAAGAAGAAAAAGACCGCGCTCGCTTCGCGTATGTACGCTTGCATGACTCTGAGAATTGTTGTTGGGCACACGGCTGCTGCAGGTTCGATGCCGTGCCTTACGTGTGGATCCCCGGCCATTAGTTGTGGGTTGTTAGGTCGTTTCGACGGGATGAGGGGAGAGATGGAGGTGGGTAAACATGGGTTTGGAGCAGCTCCTTGTTATTCCAGGGACTTTTTTTTTTTGCAGGGGTGACAAGCTTGGCTCGTTTCCGGCCGCCTGTCCGCTTCGCTTCTAATGTACCTGCCAAGCCGTTCCCAGATTCGTCGTTGAAGACGTGCTGTTCCGTGCGTGAGGGCAGGGCGATGAACTTCTTCCCGACTGGCATGGTGATCTCCCCCTCCGCCCGTATTCTTGTAACGGCACCTGGTAGCTGGGATCGTGATGGACTTGCCTGGCCACACTTGGCTTTTGGACGTCATCTCCGATCCAAGGCTTATTCTGTGAGAGGCGGTATAGTCCTGGCTTGTCGGAGCTATGAGTCCTGTGAGCTCGACTATACGTATGCTCATAAAACGGCGAGCCCTAGTTAGGTTTCAAAGGCCCTCTTATGTTGTGTAAAGAAATCAAAGGTAGGCCAGGGTCGGGTCTCGCTCTCCTACATGGAGATACATAATATCCGTGTGGCGTATGTCAGCTCATGGACAGGCCAGGGAGAGACAATGCTGAGTAACGTCGAGAGTAGTAGGCCTTTGGAGAAGATGTAAAGAGATTACCACCAGTTCGAGATTGCCTCTTCGCCTTTGATACTCGTGGGAATGGTTGTCCTCGTCTCCAGCGTGTAGGCCACGAGCAACATTGTACGCAGATGTTGTTGTTGCAACGGATGGCAAAGAGAAAAGGTGGTTTGCGTTGCTCGGCAGGTTACCAAGTGAGGAGTACACATGCTCGTTCCCATGGCCTAAACAAAATATGGTTCCGGTGCTATGTTTCCAAAGATCGGAAGTTGCCATGTTCTTGTGCTGGCCTCCGTGAGAGCGGTGTTGAGGCAGTGAGCCGGAGGGTAGCGGAGAGAAGTGGAGTGTGTGTACCCCATTCTTTACCGCAGTATTTTGTGATCGTCCACCGATTCGAGAAGAGCTTGCCTCCATTGTATGTTACGTGCATTCTCTGCGATCCTGCAAGGTCAGTGAGTTGGTTCTTCGTTTTTGTCGTCGTCGTCTGAGACACCTTCTGCTGCTTGACATCTGATGACGTGAAGTCTGAAGTGAGACATTTGGTGCTCACAGTGGTAGAAGTGGGCACTTTGAAGCTTCTCCCAAACGGCGGGCAAAAACCAAAAAAAAAAAAAAAAAAAAAAAAATGAAATGAAATGAAACATGGAGAAAGGATCGGAGAGAGGATGGAGCTAAACTTCAATGAGAGTTAGTTTGCGAACTGTCAGACGCAGGTACCGTCGTGCACGGACCGCGCTCTTGGTTCCTGCCATGCAATTGTGGGGTTGCGCAGTGGGGCACGACGGGACTGCCAAGTGCCCGAGAAAACTCCTCGTAAGGCCCGCTCCACTTCGTCCAGAAGTTTTCACTTTCAGCTGCTCCGTTTTCCGTTGTACCGTACGGCGTAAAGCTGTTTCTGTAATTTCCGGTTCTTCGTAATCCAAAAGCCTCGGTCATCAACAAGAGCCTCCTCTCGTCCATAATTCGAATGATGCTGTCAAAGTCCCTTGAACGAAGGGCCGAAAGGAAAGAGGCAACGAGTATCTCAGAAGCACAAACTACTGCTGTGCCACAACTAAGGAGATTAGATTTGTGTTTTCGAACCCTTGAATCATCTCAATGATGATTGGTCAATGGCTTCATGCTGTGCTCAAGATGGAAAAAGGTGGGGAGGCCGACCGTTTATTTCGGCCATGTGCCAAACGGCCGGCAGAGGATTGAGGTCAGTTCGCGCATCGTCGTGTCTCCGTTCATTTCATTTCAAACTTGCAGCTCGACAGCAGGCATTGTCCTTGTCAACTGCTGACAGCCGTCACGCGAGCTTCTTCCTGGGAAGGGCGCTCTTGAAAAGGCATCTTGAAAGTCAGCCGAGACTTACTTACAACACTATTCCTTTCTAGAAGCGATTTAGAAACGACAATCCTTTTATATACCCTACGAAAATCTTGCCCGTTTCGTGGGTGACGATCCTGATATCTCCGAAGCCGCGTCTCACACAGAGCTTCGGGGATGAACAGCAACTCGGCCCCCGTCGCCCGAGGCTCGACCGAATGTTCGGTTCTTTCGAGAAAGCCTTTCGAAAACTCTTCACCCATCCCGTCTTCCCCGAACATCTTTCTAATCCACTCGCATGAACCGTTGCGGAAACGATGACCGAAGATCTCAAAATGCGGGAGTTGCGTCGGAAGCAAAAAGAAAACGGTCGGTCCTACGTGGTGGAGTTCTCCCAATTTCCCAACAGTGGAGATATCTTCACTCTTGCAGTTAGACACCACCGCAGCTGAAGTTCCAGGGCAAAAGTGTAGCATCGTGGGAAATCCGCGAAGCAAGAGGCGGTCTAAACTCGATCTGGCAAGCACTCACGCGAGCACATCAAAATCGATGAGAGAACGGGGATCCCGTGAGATCTGCATGTAAAGATGTGAAATGGGCCTGGGAATACGATGTCGATGGCAAGGCCGCAACGCAAGCTGCTGAAAATCATGGACGGACGGCGGACGGGACGGGACTGGGAGTTGGAGCGTTCGTTAGCGCGGGACTTCACTACATACGCACTCTGCCCAACTCAACTCAACCACCACTCCACCAAATTTCATGCCAAACAATTGTTATCTACCCGATGTGTTTTGAGGGCTGCTTCAGATAGTCTCTCCAATTTTTTTTGCTTTGAATGTGGTTGTCCCGCCGTTTTTCTGTGTTGTTGTTTTGCAGACCCCTGTCACAAGAACCGCACTAACAAACGAACCAGCATTGAACTGTATTCTACTCTTCCACGGTACTCGTGAAAAGAGAATCTCGATCTCATCGTTTTTTTAGACATTCGGCAATTGTGCATTTGCGTCATCATTAGTTACCATCTAACAATCGCAAACTTGTGGAAGTTCGTGTGAAATATGGTATTCACTATCATCGACACTAGAGGCATATGGTTCTTGATCGAAAGTAGTCATCGCGATCTGCCATAGCATATTCCGTACCGTACTGGTACACGGTAGGCCCGGGAGATTACCTACGGACCACCCACCATATTACGTACTGGACTTGAACTTCCACTTCCGTTCTCAGATCCAGCCCGGCCCGGACACGCCGGTGGTTGCTCCAGCTCGGTTCGGTACTGGGGAGATTGAATGCCGAGGAAAAGCTGCTATGTAGTGTAGGTAGTTTGTGAGCGGATGTTTTGGGAGTGAACCGAAGGTCAGTGCGCGATGGTCCTTGAATGTCCGACATCAATTACCAAGAAGGAACTGAAACAACCGCCATACTCACAGAATGAATAGGAGATGCAAGGCATTTATTCCTTGCAATCCCCGTGGGGTGTAGGCTCCGGGGAAAGCTTGAGGACCAGTGATGAAGTTGGCTTCAGTTGTCGGCGTTTCAGCAGTTCGAAAGTCACCATTGCAAAGCCAAGAGAACAACGACGGGGCCGAGGAACAAGGCAATGTCCGGCCAAAAATAGGAGTCAATGCACCACGTGAAGGAAACTCGAAAGCTTTTCTCTTTACCACAAGAAAGATATAGCCTCAAGAAAGAGAAGAAAACAGATCGGAGACAGTTGGGAATGAGAAAAAAGGAAAAGAAAAAAGATTGGTCTCTCCCGCCGGGAATTGAACCCGGGTCTCGAGCGAATCGAACTGATGTTCAAGCTTGACAAGCTCACATACTGACCACTATACTACGGAAGATGTACAACTGTTAATCAGCTGTCGTAGTTGGTTGTTGGGAAGCGCAGCGGTTGATAGCCTTATATGCTGAACGCTAAAGGCGGCAAATATCGTCAACACCACGATATCTGGTACTTGCAGTTCGTTAAGATTACACGACGGTTTTGTTTTCTTTTATATTCGCAAGAGTCTTATTATCATAGGAAGTGCTGCTTCTTGATTTGGACGCACTCTTGTAATCTTCGAACTGGTGAAGCACCCTGGTGGTGTGCATCGCTGATGATCATCTATCTGCACACAATGTGGCGTGGGCTCACTCGAGCTGCTGGAAAACGGGTGCACTTGCAAATACACCACATAGGACTGATCGTTGGGTGAACAACAAGCTGATCTTGAACGAAATAGCTTTATATGCAATGCTAAACTATGTGAAACCAACTTCTTTCCTATCAATCGTACATCCCCCCTCTGTACATACACTCCCCAATCACCTTTTCACCGACCCTCTAAGCCATCAAAGCAATATGCTTCAACTCCTCCTGCACCAGCTCACCGACCTTCATCGGCGGGTACGTCTTCTCCTCGCCCTCATCCCTCCCCAGATTAAACTGCTCCGCCCTCAACCTATGCGCCTCCTCCGCCAACTTGGGGATAGGAGCAAGATCATGATCCGAGTTCAGATGCCAGAAGAAAGTGGACGAGATGCGAATAAGCGGGCGGTCGGGAAACTGCTGCTTGCGCTTCTCGATGACCTCGACAGTGCGCTCGTTGACCACGACCTCGTGGAAGCCGGCCTTGATCAGGCCGCCAGTGATGTGCTCGAGCTGCTTGCCGGCTTGCACCAACAAATAATTGCCGGGCGGGATCTTGACGGCGATGCGCTTGCCCGTGTTGCGGGCCCAGATGTGCAGACCCGGGTAGCGCGAGCGGCCGTGGATGGTGAGGAAGTTAAGATCAGTGTGGAAGCCAGCGAGGATGGTGTCCTTTTGGCCGTACTTTTCGAGGTCGGAGGCGGTGGGGGCGAGGAGGTGGGGGCTGTTTTGGGGGAAAAAGATGTTAGTGATGGTGAGATGGCAAAAGTGGTTGTTGGTAAGAAAGAACTGCACTAGAGACATACCCGTATTTGCCCTCATCTTTAAAGGTGCTGGCAGGCAAACCGAGACCAACGGCAGTCATCTCAGTGAGACCCTCAACGGCGCTCTTCATCGAGGCACCCCACTGCTCCATGGCCGGGTTCCAGCGCTCCCTGATGTGTGGCGCTTGAGGAACGACATTCTCGGAGTTCAAGCCGGGGAACTTGGTCTCGTAGGGCGGCTGCTCAGCCATGCGCCAGAAGAAACGGCACTTGGGATCGGGATGGTGGCCGGAAATATCCAATGGCCTCTCCTCGGGCGCAAGGCGCTGGATGACGTTCAGACATGGCTCGTCAACGGCGCACTTGGGCTTCTCGGTGTTCTCCAGAGTGACACCAATCTGGTAGCTCAACTCGGGACGCTCATCCTTGCGGAGTTCCTCTTCGGGCTGCGCAAAGTAGTCCTCTAGGAGGTCGAGGAAGGTCTCGTTGTCCTTCTCTGCGACCCGCGAATCGTGGAGCACGAGGGCGCCGTAGGTGATGAGAGCCTTCGCGGCCTTTTCGCACTCGGCCTTGACTTCGGGGGAGTCGACGGGGTTGTTGAGGTAGACGTCGAGGTCGATGACCGGAAGGTCCATGGAAATTTCCTGGGGAACAATGCTCATGGTGAATGCGGGGGTGGGGTTGATTGCCGGCACTGCAGATGCGCTGTGATCAGGGGTTCAAAGGGTGCGTTGGGGTATTCGATGCGCCAATGTCAACAGTACAAGAAGTTGGATATTCAAGAAAAGAAAGAGACGTGGTTTGGGGTTGTTATTATTGACAGGTTCAAGACGCGAAGATATGGCAGTTTTCTAGATATCCAGGCTCCCCCAGTAACATTTTTTTCTTCTGGGCAAAGTGTGAAAAGATTCTGGTCGCGACCATGACAAGTGAAGCCCAAACAGGAAGGTCCCCCGCATAACCTGGCGATGAAGTCAAATGGTGCCTGTAACGTGCCTCTGATCTGGTAATTCTGGGCGCATCTGGGTGCAACCAACATCGCATTGGCAGCAGGCCAAGCCCTGAATCCGGCGATATCCGCCCTCATCCGCCCATCTGGAGGTGTCTGCCTCGCCCCGGAGATATGAGCTTGAAACGAACTGTTAATCTGCCTGGAGAAGAAGATTCACGTGATACCAAAAATGGATAACCGCCGGAGAGGTTGGGAAAGGGTTGGTGATAATGCGCCGATGGAGGTTGTTGTGTGGAAGAAGAAGACAAGAAAAAGATGGAGCCAGACAGCAATGGGCATTTCAAAGGAAAGGGAAATGAATCCCCGTTGTTGAACAATTGCTTTTCTGAATGCATATGTGCCTCTGCAAAAACATGCAGTTAGACACAGGCGGGCGTTTATAACCACACCATCCAAGAGAAATTCCAACAACAACTACGACAGCTGATCACAGCTGTAAGTCTTCCGTAGTATAGTGGTCAGTATGTGAGCTTGTCAAGCTTGAACATCAGTTCGATTCGCTCGAGACCCGGGTTCAATTCCCGGCGGGAGAGACCAATCTTTTTTCTTTTTTCCTTTTGCTCCATCTGGTCGCGGCACCTGTAAAGTTGTAATGATGCTCATGCATGCTATCTATTTTTACTTTTATCTTTATTTTTATTTTTATTTTTATTTTTATTTTTATCTTTATTTTCATGGATTGGGCTGTTCCTTTTTCTTCCGATCATCCATCCCTATGGTTGCCAAACGCGTGATACCATCAACCAACATCGCCACGGTACATAACTGATATGACTCCTGAAGTGTGCTTGCTGGATTGCAGTGCCAACCAACCCAAACTCCTTCTTCCATTCCGCATTTCCTACTAACCTTTCTCCGCTCATCATTTCCTCTCCCTCTTCACATCAAAACCCCCGGCCAAGCATTCGTATCAGGCGGCAATTTATACCAGCACCGATTTCTCTCCGGCACCTCACCACCACCAGGCTCTCCTCCTCCTCCTCCTCCGACAACCCTAATTCCGGAGGAGGAGCTCGGAGGCGCCGCCGACGATTGACCACTGGCACTAGCACTAGCTGCTCCAGCTCCAGCTGCTCCCAACGGAATGTTCTCCGACGTTAACTGACTCTGGCTTTCCAGCGGCGACTTACTACCTGCCGTGCCGCCGCCGCCGCCGCCGCTGCCGCTTTGGGGTCGGCTAACAACTCGTGAAAGGGTTGATAGAGAGAGGATGCAAGAGGCGATGATGGTGAGGGCGGATTCGGCGGTTGCGTAGTAGATTAGGGGGGCGGTGTTGACTTGGTTTGTGTTAGTATGGGAGTTGGGAAGGGAGGGAGGGAGGAAGTAAGGAAGTGAGGGGGGTACGTACAAGTAAAGTCTGAGGAGGTGAGGCCTGAGATTACGGTTGCTTTCATTACGGCGCCTGCCCCGGAGCTGGAGGTTGGTTGGTTGTGTTGGTTAGGAGACGGAGTTTACAGTCGTTGCTAAGTGAAAGGAGGGAGGGAGCGGTACATACACAAGGGCGACAACGATGGCTAGGGAGATTCCGAGTTTTTCCTTCCAATGGAGCATTTGGAGTTGAAAGAATAATGCTAATGGTAGGAGAGCTAGGATGAGGTCCACGGCTGCGGAGTAGCCTGCACTCGTCGATCAGTATCGCGACATCCAAGCTGGCACAGGGCATACATACCAGCAGCAAACATGGCATACTGCGGATACACCTGGTTATCCCAACACGTCCCCTCCATGTAGGTATCCCACGTTTTTGCGGCCGGCGAGCACCTGATCCACATGAAGAGGGCGTTGACGATCAAAAAGACGTGGATGGTAGCGACGCCGAGCCAGAGGAGGTCTTTGGTCCATCTACCCGACAGCAACCGGAGCAGCGTGAGGGCGAACGAGGTCTTGCTCCATACCGAGGCGAGGATGGAGAGGGTGCCGATGAAGTTGCCGATTAGACCGATGGTGGGGAGGTTGTCTTCGGGGATAGCTTGGACGTGTTTGCCGAGGCCTTTGGAGGTGGCGATGGTGATGATGAAGGTGGAGGTTTTGAGGACGAACTGCAGAAGTGTCAGTCGTGCCATGAGCGTTGACATTGGAGAGAGAGGACTTACCCATGAGAGAGAACAAACATGGTCATCCCACCATAGCTTCTTCTTGGAACGAATCTTCCATACTATCCTGACAAGAAGGGATAGTGCTGCCAAACCGGTGAGCGTCCAAGTAATGGCGAGGATCTCGGATCCTCGATTTTCAGATTTCATGTTAACGAGAGTGATAGTAGTAGAAAGAGAAGAGCAGCAAAACCGTCCATGAATGGGGTGAGAGGACTGTGCCAGACTGAGACCTATCAGGGGGGGTTCTGGGTTCAACAAGCTGTCAATAGTGTCTTATAGGTGAACAAAATTCCTTGGGCAAGCTTGCGATACACAACATATGCGATCTGTTCGGGCCCATGGTGCGTGGGCCAAAGGTCACACATAGTGACCGTCGACCCCGAAGAGGAGAACTCGAGGAGAGGTAGGAAGCCTACTTGGGACACGTACTGCTGGATCCCTTTTTGGTACTTCACATCCCTCGGAGTCGAACTCTTGAGACCACCGCACCACACCGGGGCCGAGAGCACCTCACCGGGTCAAAACAGCTTTTCCCGTGTCCGAGGTTGTACTTGGTTTGCTGGCGGGCGGTCACTGCTGGTAGTGTCACGATGGGTTTCCAGTAGGACCAGTCCTTTGGCTCGCTTTTGGTGTTTACGGACGGTTGCGCGGCGATAACACCCCTATTGTTGTCATTTGGGGCAACACATCAGCCGGCTTGATAATACACCTCCCTTTTCTTGTGATACCTGTGTGTTATGGTTCCTCAAGATTGCTGTCGGTATGGGACTGGACTGGAGTGAGCTCAGGCACCACCATAACCGTTGGGGTTCAGCTTCCCATGATTGATTCGAGTCTCATTGCATATTCCGCTTGATCTTGATTGCTGGTCCCAACGGCGGGATCGTCAGGCACAAACCTGATGCCAAACCCATCACTTCGAGGCGGGAATATCACAGGTACTCCCCCCTTTCTTCAGCAGGACTGGTATAGCTGACTGTGCTCCAGTTCACCAAGACATCGACGTCAACCGCATTATGTTATTTCCTAGTCTCCTGGAAAGTGAGGAGAATACTCCCAGGGAAACAGTCTAGCCAAGAATTTAATCCATCCCTGCTCGCAAGTCGGTTTTCCATTGGGAACCGTGAGGTATAAGATGCCATGTTAACATGTCAACAGGGGCGTTGTGAATACCGACAATGGTTCACTACCACCTTATAACCTGCTTTCCGGGCTTGTCAATGCGATGCCAAATTCAAGGCCGGAAGTAAAAGACCATGATGTGAAATTACTGATAACCAGCGATATGTCGGAAGATGTGAGGGTTCAATTGCACGCGACTTGTGTTGTCCTTCTTCGGGTTCATTGAGCCGTCGACAGATGTAAAGAGGAAGAAGACATCGCGCCTGCAATGACAAGAAGGAGCATTTGGCTCGCTATCTTGGCGCTATGCTTGGCCCAAGCTTTCGCTGCGCAGTGCTCGAATGACAGCTGTCTTAGCGGTAAGTTTGCCCTGTAGCCAGCTGCTAGCGGGTGCTGTTGACGTAACCGTCCTGTTTCAACCTCCCGTCCTTTCTTATCACGATTACTCGAACTCGAACTCCCGTCTTCTTGCTTGCGCATTTGATCACTGACAAACTGTTTGTCGAACAGCCATCCGAACTGCGCCAACTGGCAGAAATGCCACGGCAGACTGTCTGTCCTTCCTTGCGCAAGCTACCCCCACGGGAATACCCAGCAGGACGACGACCACGACCACGGTGACCAGCACAAAGAGTGTCGCGACTCTTACACCACATCGCTCTGCGACCGTTACCAGACAAACAGGGCGAACGAGTCCGATCACTTCCGAGACCGAGCATAATGGAAACCATAAGCGGACCGAAGTCAAATACAATGTTTTCAACGGAAAGGGCTTGGGCTACTTACCCGTACAGGCTCTCCAGGAGCGGCGGGTGACTACGAGCCCAACTTCGGCGACACTACCTCTGTATGCGAAGAAATGCGCCTTAGAAGCCGATTACTCTTCGGCATGCTCTTGCTTGGGGCTCTCTCGAATCACTAGGGCTGCTGCTCAGCCAGTCACTACGAAAACAGTTACTGCCATCTGGACAGTTTCGAACGTTACTCTGCCGCCTTTCTTCACCAACAGCACAAGCCCAGCAGGGTACAATGGGACAGGGCCAGGGACAGGAACAGTTGCGAGCACCATATACACCGGAAGAAAAACTGGAAGCAGCGGTTCTCTACGTCCTACGACTTTGTTCACGAGCCGAGTGACTTCTTCCAAAGGATCAAGCAGTGGTTCGGAGTTGAGCAGCGTCTTCAGGACAGCAACATTCTCGATCACCAAACCCTCAACCATCAAACCAACCGTACATGTGGTGACCATTGCAACGCTGACGACGACGAAGGAATCATTATGGGTGAATACGACGTCGACGCGCAGTTATCCAGCTGGAAAAACTACAGTTATTCACTACACAAACTCTACGGCAGCTCTAGCAACAGCATCTGCGAACATCACAACTTCATCCTCTTGGCTCAATGCCACTACGAGTGCCAAATATCCGATTTCCATCAACAGCACAGCGTCATGGTATAACGGGGCGTCTACCAGCTCATTACTGCCAGGTACTGGCACTGGAGTGGTCAAGACAACCGCGAGCGTCAAATTCACAATTCCCAAGAATAGTACGGCCTCATGGTACAATGGGACATCAACGAGCTTTCGACCACTGGGGACCGGGACCGGGGTCGTACTTACAACCGGCCCAGTCGCATCCCCAACAACAACCGCCGCCCGCTTCCCCTTCCCCCTCAACACCACAACCTTCTGGTCCAACGGAACCGCAACAACAGCTCCAACAGTCCGAGGCACCGGTACGGGTACGGGTACGGGAATATTGGTTACTGACACAGGCTATTACAACACCTCTACTCCCCTTCCCACCACCTCCACCTCCACCTCTACAACATCAGCCAAACCAACAGCCACCACCCAAGACTTAACCTGCGGCGAAACCTCCACCCCGTTCTCGCTTCGCGTCTCCCAACCCGGCGGTACCTTTGACAATTGGTTCGTTCACGTCGTTGGTAATGGTCTGCTCTTTACCAGCAGTCAATCCCTCGCCAGCTCGTTTAGTGTAGAGGGGACTGGACATTTGTGTGCTGTTGGGTATAACGATGGGAGTAGTGGGAGGCCGAGGATTGCGGCGGTGGGTGTTGCTGGTGCTGGTGCCGGGGATGATGGGAGTGGTGACGGGACTGGTGAAGGGAGTGGCGAGGGAGGAGGGTATGAGGGGCCGGTGTGGATGTTGAGGCAGGGGACGTTGAAGGCTTATTGGGAGGAGGATTATACAGCTTTGGAGTGTACGAGGGATGGGGGGTTGAGTTGTAAGCCTGCTAATTCTACGAGTGGTGCGGTTGGGAGGTGGGTTGGATGTGGAGTGCAGTTGAGTTTGGGGAGTGAAGGGGTGGGTGCTGGGGGGGTGAACTGTACTTCTGTTTCTTTGGAGGTTGTCGAGTCTTAAGGTGAGTATGAGCTTGCCGTAATGGTTTCAGCTCGTTCAATACCAATTTAATAACATAGCGTATACGAGCGCGAAAACATAAGAGCTTCTTGTGCCTTATTTGCTTTCCCAAATTCTTTACCTTTTTCTACTGACCCAAGATTTGACTTTCGGTTGCCCTCGGCATGAAGGTTAGTACTTTGCTTCCTCGGTATTCACAATGAATAGGGTAAATTTCCATGAATGGCAGGCTGTACCAGATATTTCACCTGCTTTTGTTTCTTCACATCAACGAGTGGGTAATAAATAGCGCTCTAGAAAGCTTCGCGCGCTGAATCAGCATGGAAGTTGCATGTCAAGTAGACAGGATAGGTAGGTATACAGGCATCCACGAGTCGTGTTTGATAGGTAGAGGTGGGTAAGTGAATGGGAACCCCCGGGGAGATATGTATATTCAGTCAGGTAAGGTAAGGTAGGTATCCAGTGCCAGCCAGTATCAACAAGGGCACTTATCCCAACCCTTATATAAGTACCTGTACCCAACATCCCAAAGCATCCATCCATGCCTCCCCCCGTTCCAAAGCACACCTCACTCACCATTCACTAATCTACCAAGAGACAGTGAACCAACCCCCTTACTTCATATTAGCCAACAAATAATTCACCCCCGCCCACGCCTCAACACCACTCGGCAGAATCTGCGCAGCAGGCAGCACGAACCCGTTGGCACCGGTATCTCGGAGTTCCAATGTGAACGAGTAATCGGCGCCCGTGACGTCGAAAACATAGTCGACCGAGGTGCCCGTGGTCTTGTAGATGGTGGAGCAGATGGGCCCGTAGTTGAAGGTGGTGCCGTAGACGGCCTTGATGGCGGCCACGGCGCCGCGGGCGAGGGACTGGTACTCGGTGTTCTTGGCGGGGACGGCGGAGCAGGTGTAGCCGTAGGCTGTTGAGAAAAAAAAAATTAGTTGTTGGGGGGGGGACTGGAAAAAAAAAAGAGGGAGGGGGGAGGGGGGACGGGAAAGGATAAGGAAAAAAACGGGAAGGGGAAAAGGGGAAGGAAAAGGGGAACGAAAAGGAAAAAAAAAACGTACGAGACATGAAAAGCTGCGAGTACGAGTGCCAATCAATATACAACTTCAAGCCCTGCGCAGCCTTGACCTTGTTCAGGAACGCAGCAAGCGCCGTCGTCTCGGGCGCATCGCTCTGCTTGGCGCCCTTGTAGTCCTCGGCGCAGGGGCTGGTGGAGGCGCCGCCCGAGGCGGACCACTGGATGGGCCAGTTGCGGTTGATGTCACGGCCGACGCACGAGGAGCCCGAGTTGGCCTGGCGGTTCTTGCGCCACAGACGCGTGGTGGTCTGGGTGTAGATGAAGCCGTCCGGGTTGACGACGGGGAAGATGTAGAACTCGTACTTGTCGACGAAGGACTTGACGGTGGCGTCGGAGCCGTAGTTGTTGAGGAGGTACCAGGCTTGGTACTCGGCGACCTGGAGATGTGTTAGAGATTCTATTCCTACATGACAGTTTAGGGTGCCGTGACCGTGACATACCATGGTGGTGATCCACTCGCGCGCATGCACGGTACCGTGGAACACAATGGCGGGCTTGACGCCCTTGCCGGCGCTACCCCAGAAACGGATACCAGTGATGGCGTTTCCGTTGACAGAGGTGCCCGAGGTGACGATCTCGGACTGGTTGGGGTGGGCAGCCACGAGATCCTTGAGGAAGGTCAAGTGGTCGGCATAGGCGTGGTACGAGTTGAACCAGCTCTGGTCAGCCGTGCCGGCGTAGGCCTGGAAGCCGGACTCGTTGGCGATGGAGACGCCGAGATCCTCGTGCATGGTGAGGGTCTCGAAGCCCTCAGCCTGGGCATTGAAGGCAGCGAGCTTGGTGGGCGGGATGACAACGTCGGCGTGGCCGCCAACCTTGGCCGCACCCTTCCAGGTCTCGAGGTCGAGGTCGGCGATGATCTTGTTCAGCTTGGCGGCATCATCACCGGCGGCGACACGGAGGACCTTGTAGCCATCGTACGAAGTCCGCTGGGGCCGGGCTTCGGAGCGGATGGCGGTGGCGGAGGCAAGGCCCAGGAGGGCGGTGAGGATGGAGAGGGACTTCATGGTGGTGGTGGGCTTCGAGATGCTGTGTTCTCCGTCGCTGCCTTCTCCCTCTTGATCATGATGGCGGTCGATGGGTCCTCGGCCATCTTATAGTTGCCCGTTTTGCGTGTAAAGCTGGGGTACCGGTCGGTGAAAGGTCTGGATCAGCATCAGCATCGTGAGGTCCGAGCTAGGTAGAGTAGGTGATAGAGTGGATAGTTGGGGTAGGTAGCAGTCGATATCGAGGTCAAGCTCGAAGCGGAAGGTGTTTGATGGGCCAAGTAACCGGCCTCCATCCATGTTCGGCATCTGGATAGACGCATTTTCGAGGTGCTCAACTTCAGACAACCAGAGTTCGTTTGTCGGGAGCCCCTCGGATGCCCCTTGATACTAATTCCACCGGGAAGGGCAAGTCGGGGACGATTGCTTGGATTGGTACCTTTTGATCGGCACGTTGGTTGCATCAAGTCCCTCGGTCCTGCATCACGGCATGACCCAATCCGGAAGGTTGTGATCCAGCCATGGCGCTGCATTATGCCATCTCGTATTTCTCTTCAACGTCAAGCGGCAGTCAAGATCACAGATGGCTGGATTGACGTAGCATGCTTGGCAAGATCGAGAAGGTTGCAACGGGCATCGCATGAGTCTATCCAACAGGGGTTGTGTCGAGAAACTGCAGAAAGCTTAGGAAAGGCGCCATTTTCCCCATGTGTTTGCGATTGTGTCTTGATTGACTTGTATCACCATCTCAGCTTCCTGTTCCGGCAACAGCTATAGCCTCATCCCCTGATTCTTGAGAGAGAACCAAGGCTCTTGCCGCGGGGAGGGAGGAGCTATCGCGACATGGCAGAGGCGGGGGTACGAGGCACGTAAAGGGAAGGAAGGATGAAACGCTCATCCAAAGGTCAAACGGATAAGGCAGAAGTTGTCAACATGATTACACGATGAAAGAGCTGCTGTTGGTGTTGCTGTTGGTGTTGGTGTTGTTTCAGCGGTTGTCGAACGAGGTACAGAGTGGGGTCCTACGGCAGTGGTCCAGCAACAAGCTCGGTGAGCGGGCGGGTGAGCTCGGTCTGGCTCGGGACCGCCAAGCACAAACAGATAACCCCAACCCTCATGCAAAACACCAACAGGTAAAACAGCGATGTTTGAAGCACAGATTTAAATCTGACATCAGGAGCATATAACATTGTCTTCAAATTACCTTGGTATTGTTCTCCCATAGTAGCCCTACCATGCGTTTGTAGTTTGCATTCTTTTTGACAACTTCTACATGACAGCTTCCCACCGGTAATCAAAGTGCGACAACAAGCGGGGATTGAGCTCTTCCAACAGACCGGACATGACTGACGATGGCGGGCCATCCCCCTCGACCTCGAAATTAAGCGGCAATTAATAAACTGCATATGCTTGGTGGAGAAAAGAACGTTGAGATCTCAAAAGACCAAAACTCCCACAGTTCACCATCTCTTGGCCCCACCCACTATTCTAGACTCCACCCGCTACAGGATTTAAGGTTTGCCAAGCACCGAACCCCTTCCTCGGGCGATCCCGTTCCATCTCCGACTTCCGAGATCTCGCAAAGGTCGACACCAACAAACCACCGGCGACTAGCATAACGCCCTCAAATCAAAAATAAAACTGCTGCTGAGGTGGCTGGCCAGGTGGTGGATGGGCTAAAAAGTCGAAATTCATCGTGTCTACGCCGGTGTTGAAGGGGTCGGGGGATTCTATCATGGGACCCAGACCTTGTCAGCAAAAATCCGGATAGGGTGAAGAGAGAGGGGAAGGGAGAGGGAAGAAAGAAAAAAGAAAAGAAAAGAAAAAAACTAACCCCAGAAAATGGAATCATAAAGATCCATCGGCGACATATAAGTAGCCGGATCAAACTGCGACATATCCTGCGGCATTACACCACCCGGGCCCGGGCCGGCGCCGGCGGCACCCGGTTGTTGGAGAGGTGGCATGTTGAACGGTACCCTGTTTCTTCGTTAGCACACCCCTTCCCTTTCCTACAACTTCAGTCAGGTACGTGATAGAAGGACGACATACCCTCCCTGATACTCCGCCCCCGCCCCAATCTGCTGTCCCCCATTCTGCTGCTGCATCTCCGCCATCGCCAACGCCGCACTCTGATGCGGATCCAGAGGTCCTGTCGCTCCCATCTGCTGCTGCATCCCTCCTGCTCCTCCTCCTCTCCCTTGCTGATCCTGTCCGAGACCATACAACGGATACCCATTAGGGAACCCCGCAAGCTGGTTAATCTGCAGTGGCGTCCTCGTCCCCGACGCCGGCCCGGAAATGCTTCCCTCGCGCTTGATCCCCGTTGGTCCCACCACCGATCCATGATCATAAATATTCTTCAGCGCCGTCAACGCGCGCGACAGTGGGCCTGAGAGCTCAATATCGTGATCAGACCGAGGGATGTGCGGTTGCGGCGAGGTTTGTTCTTTAGCAGCCGTGGCGGACAGGGCCGAAATCAAATCACCCTGGAGCTGGCGCACTTCCGGGTCGGCTTTGGTCTCGCCGAGGATACCCAGCAAAACGGCCGACGACAGGCCGTGATAAGTAAAAGCCCAGGAGCGCGTGGGAATCACGGAGAGCTGGTGCATGGCGAGGAACATGCGGACTGTTTCGGTTAGGTTCTCTTTGCATTTGTCGGCCAGGTACTTCTTTTGGGACTTTTCGAGCTGGCTGTTTTCGCGCTGGAGGGCGGGCCGGCAGCAGACGGAGACGACGAAGGAGGTGTGGAGTTTGATGGCGTAGTGCTGGAGGCGGTCCATGGCGGATTTGCAGGCGTCTTTGGTGCGCAGCTGTGGATGGAGCTTGTCTCGTATGCTTTCTACGTCTGCGCAGTTGGTCAGGATTTGCGTGTAGGTGGCGGTGGCTGCTGCGTCGGGGTTTAGGCGGTCCGAGATGATTTGACAGAGGTGGTACATGGCCTCGAGATAAGACCACCCATCTGTCTCGGCGGTCGATGAAAGGGGAATAGGACAGCAGGCAATATGTGTCATTGGATATCGGTCAAAGGATAATGATGTGAGTGTATCGTGCCAGAGGCAAGTCCACCTGTGGAGAAAGTTAGTATGGAGTTACGGGTGTCCCTTGAATGGATGATCAATCTTACCAAAGCTTCCTCCTAGACATCTCCTTCTTCACAATTTCGGGCGACTGACGGCCGTCCAGAATCTGTGGACGGTGGAGGCCAAGAGACTGTGCCAATCGACATGTAAGTCCAAGCAAAGCCCAGGAAGCTTCCGCTTTCATGTCATTGAGTAATACGAAGCTTGTCATCAGCAGGGCCTGTATCGAGTCAAGATTCGGCCTAAACACAGTTAGCGGAACCATTGAAGGGTCCGGGCTGATATCGGAAGGACGCTTAACATACCTTAACAAAAAGTTACCGAGCCTGAGAAAGTGGAAAGAGATTTGTATGTATTTTTGCGCATCTCGGGTTCGGATATGGTATGGGGTTTCGTGGTACTGGGAGCCGACTGCGAGGACGGCGAAGAGGATGGCGAGCCATGATGCAGAAACAGGCTTTGTTGTCTTTGTAGCGGCCCTGGCGTTCTTTGCTCTATCTTCGAGATAGATCATTAACCGGGACTCGAGGTCGTCAATGTCGATAACGAAGCCCCAGAATGGTTGGGGTATTTCCTTGTAGGTTCGGAAAAGTCTAGAGGGTGTGAGTCTATGTTTATCTCCAGATATCAGGTGAGGGAGAGTACTTCATGACCTCCCGGTCGGAAGGCAGTTCGGAAGAGATATCGGACGTTAGCCTGTCCAAGTGGCGGGAGGACATGAGCGGAAAGGGGGCCGAGTTATCGAGCCCCAGTAGGGAACGCATGTCTTGGCGTATATAGTTTACGTCTTGTGGTTCATCGGTTGCGGTTTGTTCCCTTAGAAGAGCTGGAATGCTATTCTGGCCAACATAACGGGTGATCTCCACGGCTTCGGGCTCTAACAGAATGGTTAGATGTGACCACCCACCTTGTCGAAAAAAAGGGGGAGTTGTATGACACACCGTATGTTCTTATTGATTCACGGGCCTCATGGCTCAAGCTCCGGCCTTCTTGAGCGTCTGGCGAGTGCGGCCTCTTCTTGGAGTGAGAGAGATCAGGCGGAATCGATGACGGTTTGCCGGATGCTGACTTGTTGGGTTTGTAGGAACAGAGCTGTGGGTGTTCCCGCTTGACACAGTTTTCACATGGACTTTTGTTGTCACACTTTACTTTTCTCTGTCTGCAGGGCCAGCAGGCGGTACCTGTTAAGGTGAGTAAGAATTTGATTCAAGAGTAGGTACTAAGTGATGGTCACGGACTTTTGAACCGGATTGCTGGGACCGGACCCGGGAGGGTATGGGAAGCGTGGGGAAGGTTGGGGGCAATGCGCATAAAGTACCTGATGATGATGACATGGAAGGGATGAATAACTAAGTAAGACCCACTTACCATATCGAACCTTGCGGTGGGAATGGATGATGCGGTTGGCCTCCTCAGGAGTAAGATCCTCGAGGTTGGGGCTCTCATGGGAGTCGGACATGGACATGGCCTTTGCTGTATATGACTAAGGTATAGGTATGAGGCGGAGACGGAGGCGGGACGTGGTAAGCCTTGGACGGGATGAAGGCCGGAACGGGGAACGGGGAACGGGGTCCGCCGACCAGACCACCATCCGACCACTTGTTCCTTGCTTTTCGAGTAGTCTCTCGGGCTCTCCGGTCCAGTCGTCAGTCGTCACTCTTTCTGAGACGATGAGGCGAATCCGAGGATAGTGTAGACCGTAGTGTACCTCCGAGTGCCCTATGAGCCTCTGAGCCTATGCACACTGCAACAGCGAGCAGCAAGTCGGCAGCGCCAAGGGCTTGGGATTGGTGGATCCGCGGCTATTGGGAGGGAAATGGAAGGGATTGACTTGATGGACACGGGCCCTGGATTGGGGAAAGGGGTGAGTGAGAGAATAAGGTATGGGGGGAATACCGATGGAAATCCGAAGGGAGGGCACTCTGGGTGATAAAAGAAGCCGAGAAAGCTTTTGGTAGCAGAATAGGAGGGGCCCTTTGTCGGAATTGGCGGAATCTTGAGTGGATGTGTGGCGGACTCAAGGCGGCAGATGGGGGTTACATTTCGGACTTTGAATCTGTCCAATGGTATGGCATGAACGGCGAGTGGGTCACAGACGATTTAATGTAGCAGCGGAAGCATCCGTCCTCGAACATCAAAACCGTTGAAGCGTTTTTCGTGCGTATGAGTTCCTGACATGTGTTAGGCATATGTATGCATAGAGCATGCGCCGCATATCGGAGAGCTACCTGTAACTATGTAATAGCACGTATGTATCCCATGCAGTCAGAGTCATTTTCTGTAGCCCCGCCTTTTGGATCAGAACCTCACAAAATGCACCTGCGCTGCCTGGACTTTGCGGGCCGTTCCTTCTTGACCGCGCCAAGCAGCAGACCGGTTGGTTCGTGTTCCTGCCCTGGGAGGTGGGAGTGACGAAGGCGATTTAAAGAGATTAAAAGAAGCAAATTTTGGAACCTCGGACCTAGTTCTCCGTGCTCAGACAAAAACTCGAACAGATCACAGAACCCGCCGTTCAAACATGCTCTCTCATGCTCTCAACCTCACGTCTTCCATCCGATCCCCCCACGACCCTGACCTGTCACTTACTGTGGACTCCTTCTAGGCCATTCCCGAAATGGTCCCTTCGCATGCGAAAAGGCCGCGAGCCTGCGACACCTGCGCGGCCACGGCGGCTATCCTTCACCACCACCAGTGATATCACCACCCATACTCGTCAGGGCTCTTTTGAACATCGGGCTGAATGTGACCAATTGCGCCGACAGCGGGCTTTTCGATCCTGTCCTGTGGCAGCGGTTTGGGCGTTGATCTGGGAACGTGTCGAGCTGGATTGGGACTATTAACCACTCCAAACAGTCGACGGCTCGGCGCGATTCTATAGCCATCCACCGCGATTGATCGTTCCCTTCACTGTTTCCTGCAACTCTCCAGATTAGACGAAGCTTTTTAATTATACTGCGCACCAAGTAACCACGGCACGAAGCTCGCCAAGTTCGTCCGAAATGCTCACTCAAATTGCACGGACAGGACCACGAAAAACCACCTTGGCCCGCTCGCGCGAACCGTGTCTTTGAACTCGATCAGCCCAAATTCCAACCCAACTCGCCTTTCCCCGCTGCACCTGCTTTTGCTCCTCGATCCCGACTTCGTGAAGCAAACGAGACCGGCGGCTATGGCCAAGATTGATTCCATGAAAATCGGTTAATCGAGGTCAACAACTACAGATTTCCTTGTCGCTCACCCTGACAACCGCAAAGCCCTGGAGGGCAAAGCCGCTACAATACCACACTTGTCGCCCTTCACGCCCAAGAAGCTCCCGCTCTGAAAAAGCTCAAATCGGGACATCAGGTATATCTCACAGTCGCCTTGTCTTCCTTTACCGTGGTGGTCGATTTTTTGGCCTTGTCGCTAACCCGTTTGTTTACTGCTCCAGGCCCGATCTCCCACGGCACAAATGAACCCTATCACTCCTAGAAAGAGGAATAGCCCCGTCGAGGAAATCATAAACCGGCTCAATAACGACTATAACCTGGGCATCCAGTGCGTCGCAGACGCAAGTCTCACCCCGCACCGCCGGAAGGAGCTGGCCGAGGGAGACGAGGATTTCGGTCGCCATGACAAGATATACAGAGCCCTCAATTTTCTCTACTGGCGCAAGGATGACTCCCTGAACCAGGCAGAAGCCAACTTCTTCATCGAGGCCAAAGCTGCGAGCTCGAACTGGGTGCCCAAAGCCCACGCCGACCCTGATACCCTTCCGTGGTCCAAGGAACCTCCCCGCGCCGCTACTGCGGGCCAACAATGGGCATTGCAGACTGTGTTGCTCGAGGTGCTTAATAGGTTTATGCCACCTCCCAACAACACGCCAGGTCGAACGTTTGGAAGAACTCTAAGCGGCCCAAGCGGCCTAAGCCGCCCAACCCCCACCACCACTAAACGGAACGATGAGCCTGCCAATGTCACTTTCGCCGATCCGCCCAAACGCTCGTTGGCTCGCGCTGCCACAGGGCCTCCTACTCACGGCGCGGCGATACCCCTAAAGTTTCCCGATCCAGTGAATACCGGTTCCAAACGACCGTCTCTCGAGAGTGAAAATCTCAATCAAAGCACCAAACGGGCTAAGGGCAAGCTGTCTGATAATGTCGCCGCTGCCGCCGTCCCGCCCGTGCCTATTGCGAGCGCTTTGGACAAGGTACCGACTCGACGGCATGCCAATACGAGAGATCCCACGGCAACAGGTCCTAGACGAGCGGACCAGGGGGATTCTTTCACTACATCCCAAAGCACTTCCTATGGTTCGAGTGTCTTCAGCACTGGCCGTCACAATCAGAACACTAACCAGAGTAGTATCGAGGCTCCTCCTTCACAACACAGGGAGAAGCGGCCTGTGGATGCCACGGTCTTTGAGGCTGGAAACTTGGTTGAGTCTCCTAGCAAAGGAAGGACAACAAAGGCTCACATAGAGAACCAGCTCCTTTCTTCGTCTTCCCAGGGTGAAACATCGTTAAGCACTTACTACGAGTCGTTTCCAAGTTCTGGCGGCGAGGGCGTAATTCCCGAGCCGAGTCGCTCAAATGGACTGGCTCGGAGCGAACAGAGCGCTCAACCTCAGGCTCAAGTTCATGCACCGGCTGTTGCAGCTCGGCTGAAGGATATCTGGCCAAAATTCCCCAAATGGTTACACGAGGCTCCTCTCGCTGTTGCCTGGGAAGTTACCAGACTCTTCATGCACTGCAAAGTGGATTTGGACGACGAGAACTTGGGCTTGAAGTACGACCCTTCCTGGTCTACCGCGCGCGATGTCACGGATATCTGGAAAAGTCTCTACCAGCTCGATGCTTTCCGAGGCAAATCCTTCCCAGAAAAGCCGGCCAACGACGTGTTCGTTACCGCAATGACGGGCAACTTTGAGAGCAAAGGTAGTGCCGTTGTTCTTTCTGCTGTGATGGACTACAATCCGGACAACTCGCCCACTGCGCCCCTTTACCTGGTGAAACTGAAGCCGCTCATGTTCGAGCAGGGCTGTCGACTCACCCGTCGGTTCGGTCCTGATAGGTTTTTCGAGATCCTTATACCGTCGCCTACGAGCACTAGCCCAAGTGTTCCGCCGGTTGTTAGTAAACAACCAGGTGCGGTCGAAGAAGTCATCCAGTGGCTCACGAAGGAGCCGCATTCCCTTGTAGGCCGCCAATGGCGCGCCTTCTTCGCCAAAGATGCCGGATACAGGAAACCTCTCAAGGAGTTCCGCCTCCGCGCCGAGGATCCAAAACCCATTATCAAGGAGAGAGTTCACTTCTTTGCTGAGACCGGCATTACGTTCCGGCCTGATGTGTTCAAGAAGAGATCTGTCGTCCCGGCAGAGGAACCTGTGGAGCAACGGACCGAGTTCAAAGTCAGCCAAATGCTGGACTGGCTACTGCAACTCGACAACAACACTTGGCAGCCGCACCTCAAGCTGTTCTCCCGTATCCAGCTCGGTCTGAGTAAGACATATGCCATCATGACGTTGGAGCCTTACCAGATCAGACACCACAAGTCAGATCTCCTTTCACCTTCAGGCACTGGCGAAGTGATGAATGACGGTGTAGGCCGCATGTCGAGAAGCGTGGCCAAAAAGATACGCGATGTTCTCGGTTTGGGTGATGTGCCCTCTGCTGTTCAAGGGCGGTTTGGTTCGGCCAAGGGAATGTGGGTTATCGACGTTGACGACACGGGCGATGAGGACTGGATCGAAACATACCCGTCCCAGCGCAAGTGGGAATGCGACTTCATTGATAAACGTCAACGTACCCTCGAAGTCCGGAGCGTGGCTTCTGAACTGAAGTCAGCCGGTCTCAACCTGCAGCTGTTACCTGTCCTGGAAGATAGGGCCAAGGACAAAGTAAAGATGCGCCAGGCAATCGGTGACCGCCTCGTCAACGATTTGCAACGACAGTTCAGCGAGCAAAAGCATGCTTTGAATCGTCCGGTGGAATTTCGCCAATGGGTTTACGAGAGTTATTCCAGCCGCGCAACTCGAGTTAGCCACGGCCGCGTGCCTTTTCTTGCTGGGCTCCCTGACAGTCAAGAGGAGACACTGAACTTCTTGATGAACAGTGGGTTTGATCCCAAGAAGCAAAAGTACTTGCAAGACATTGCCTGGGATCTTCAGAAACGGAAATGCGACACCTTGAAGTCCAAGCTGAACATCCGAGTCGGTCGATCAGCGTATATCTACATGATTGCCGATTTCTGGGGTGTGCTCGAGGAAAATGAGGTTCATGTCGGATTTTCGTCCAAGTTCAGGGATGAGGAGGAGTCTTTCACGCTCCTATCCGACTGCGATGTCCTAGTGGCGCGATCTCCAGCCCATTTCCCTAGTGATATCCAACGGGTTCGAGCCGTCTTCAGGCCAGAGCTCCACAGTCTCAAGGACGTTATCGTCTTCTCTACTAAAGGAGACATACCCCTTGCTAAGAAGCTATCTGGTGGAGACTACGATGGTGATATGGCGTGGGTCTGCTGGGATCCGGAGATTGTCGATGGGTTCGTCAATGCGGAGATGCCTCCGGAGCCTGACCTTTCTAGGTACCTGAAGAAGGACAAAACGACCTTCAAACAGCTTATGGCCTCACGCGGCGCGGGCCCAGAGGTTAAGGAGCAGGCTACGTACGACATGATCCAAAAGAGTTTCCATTTCGCCCTGCAGCCCAACTTCCTGGGCATGTGCACTAACTACAAAGAAAGGCTCTGTTACATCAATAACAGTGTGTGTAACGAGCCGGCCATCATTCTTAGCTCACTGGTGGGAAACCTCGTCGATCAGAGCAAGCAAGGTATCGTCTTTAATGAAGCGAGCTGGGCTCAATTGCGTAGGGAATTGCTTGGAGGCGCGTTGTCCCTTCCTGACCCAATGTACAAAAGCGACAACTGGCTCGGCCGCGGAGAGCCTACCCACATTATCGACTACCTGAAATTTTCCATCGCCAGGCCTGCGATCGACAAGGAGCTGGAAGCCTTCCACAAAGCTATGAAAGTGGCCAAGGATACAGAAGACGGCGCTCACTTTTGGGACCCGGAACTCGCAGCCTACCACACATTCTTCAAAGACTTTGGCAAAAAGTCGCGATCGTGTGCATTACTCCTCACGACCCTCGAGAACCGCATCGGCGAAGTGGAAAAGGAATACGGCAGGCTGGTCAAAAACAAGGACATGAAAGATAGCGCCGACTCCTACCCTGTCCGCGTCAACCAGGTCTATGAGAAATGGTGCGCCGTCACACCCGAAGCGATGGACAAGTCCGAAGCCAACTATGATTCTAAGGTGGTCAGGTTGCTCGAGCTGTCCTTCCTCGCGGATCGGGAGATGAACACTTGGGCTCTTTTGCGGGCCAGCACGGCTTTCAAGTTGTACTACCGCAAGAGCCCCAAGTTCGTCTGGCAGATGGCGGGCAGACAGCTCGCGTACATTAAGGCGCAGATGACGAGCAGACCCGGTGAAGGCGCCCCGGCGCTGATGACCGCGTTCATGTACGCGGGCTTGATGCCGGATAAGAAGTTTATGAAGCAGTATGTGGCCAGGCTGGAGGGCGATGGATCAGAGTACCCCGATCCGGAGGACTATGACTTGCTGGGCGATGAGGATCTTGATGGAATTGGTTTCACAGGGAATGGCGATTATTAGTCGGGTTGCTTGGAGGGGGCCAGTTGCATCTTTACTTTTCTGATTTTCCGAGTCTTTGGCGCTGGGAAAGGGAAGCTTTTTTAACATGGCATTCCCTATGGATGAGTGCTCATTTTATGGACTTCAGTTATGGCAATTTCCTTCGGCTTTCGAATCTGGCTGAGCAAGCGAGGCGTGGGGCCTGTAGTTGGTCGCTGGAAGATAAAACAAAAATGGGAGACGATATTATTCATGGTGGCGTGATAATACTGGGATATTTGGGTGTTGTGCTTTGTTTCCATGTCGCGGGTTTTCTTTTTGCATCTTTCCTGCTTGTTGCCCGTGGAGCAGATGGTGTCAAAATCTCATACGACAACCAACCTCAAGGAAATTATCGAGCTCGATGAGGACGCATCACGTCTGTGCTGGACCAAGGCGACGACAGATCTGACACTGCGCGGCCTCGACGACAAGAATGAGTTGTCTCGTCCGCGGCAGTTCACACCTCGGAGTATGTGGCCTTTTGGAGCGGCGGCTCAGGTAAGTAGCTGGGATGCTTCATCTCATAAAGGTGACGGGAGCCAGCCATCAACATTACATCCCTTCTTCCCACGAACTGTGACGCCATAGCGTCGTACGAAGTATTGCCGGTGGTTTTTGCCACTATCTCCATTTCCCGAAAAGCATTCCATCATCAACCAGAAGCACCAATGAAGCCGTTCATTCGGGCCCCTTTCCCGAATCATATGCCATATGCAAATCACTGATCGGATCGACACCACCCAAGAACAATCAAGCTTTGCGGAGAAATGACGCTACGGGGCTTGTGATTTCCCTCCGACCCTCCTTCCCCAGCTGTCTCTCTCTTGTCCCGTCGTCCGATCTCCGAAATGCATGTGAAGGAAGGAACCAATAACGATGCATGTGCTTATCTGAATAACATCACCCTCTTTTGATGTCTGTTTCGAGCCTAGAATCACCGTAGTGCAGTCCTTTGCTCCGACCCGGACCTACAGTAGTTAGGAAAAGAAAAAGCTTATATAGCGTGCTCGCTCCCTTAGCCTCCGACCTCCATCGTAGGTGGAGCCCACCGGGATCTCTTAGACTGCTTTTGGATCTGTCCAAGTGAGATATAGTGCGAAGCGGTTGGTGTTACACTTTCATATTACATCAACAATACAGTTCGAGATACACATCTCCGGTTTTCTTCCGATTGACACTACTTTTATAATTTTTTTCTTAACCCCTGACAAGAACTTTTGTGACACCTTTTCATTGAATTAATGATGGCTCTTTCAGATTCCGACCTTTTGACCTTTTGCTCTTTTACCGATTCATCGAACTTGAGAACACCCCGACTCTACCTAGGAACTTGCGACTCGAGACGTATCCGATTCATACCTACTACGTTCACCGACCTACCTACCTACCCTACGTACGTACGCAATAAAGAATACGTATCTCTAGTCATCCACACATAACCTACAACAACTCTAATCACATCGGAAGCAACAACCATCAAGTTGAAACTCCGTCGGTACTATTTGTAACCGAGTGACCTCACAACTTTTTTACTTGGAATATTTCTATACACGCTCAAAGATACCTACATGCACACAAACACACAACAAACACAATGAAGCTAAAGGAATTCCTCGCCCGCCGATCCTCCGCCCCGAGCCACATGAACCCCCAATTTATGAGCGACGAGTACATGAATCGTCGACGATCATTCGGCCGCGGAGGAGCAGGGAATATCCGTATGTTCAGTTCTTTCCTCTTTTCTCTTTCCTCTTCCTTTTTTTTGATCCACTGTTGCAAATTGCATTCCACTTCAACCGTCCTCAAGTAGACTAACTAACACAAACCCCCACAGGCTCCCGAGAAGAAGCAACCCTCCCCACGCCGCCCCTCTCCGGCATCCCCCCCAACAGCAGCCACAATACCGACCTGGATCCTCAGCAGTACCAGGAAGGAGACCGGGAACGGGAAAGGGAACGTGAAAGAGAAAGAGAACGGCAGCGAAGGAGAAGCAGTGTGTGGAGCTCCATGTCTATTTCCTCTTCCTCCGAGTCTACGGGCACGCACGACGAGTCTGATGCGTTATCTTCTAGTGGTAGTTGGTTGAGTGGGATGAGGCAGGTGTTAAGCGGTGGGAGTGGTGGTGGGAGTGGTGGGAGTGGCGGGCATGGGCATGGGCAGTCACCACCACCATCGGTACCATCGGGGAGGAGGAGGAAGGGGAGTTTATAAAGTGAGTTTGGGGAAGGAACGGGCGTGATGTTGTGCCAAAAGAAAAACAAGAAAAAAAGAAAAAAGGAAGAAAGGAAAAAAAGAAAAAGAAGGGGGGGGGGGGGGGGGGGGGGGGTTGTCTGTCTGTCTTTTTGCCGATGGTTAAAATCGAAACGAAAAGTATTGAGGATGAATGGAATGGAATGGAAATGGAATATCTTGGACCTTGGTAGCTTGGTAGGTAGGAAGGAAAGGAAAAGTTCGTTGTGTTTTTTCACTGATGATGGATGAGTGTTGAAATGACAGGAAAGGACGGCCATCAAAAGTTTCAATACTAGCTTGATAACAGTTTTTGGTAGAATGACCAATACTTGATCTTCATGATATGCGACGATTTCCCCCGCAGTTTGATGACGATGTGTTGAAGACGATGTGTTGGAAAGTTTGAAGTGAAGTGTGGAAGTGGCGGCGAGGGGAGGTTGGTTCAGTTGGCGGCATGACTCTCATTTCCCTCACAGCCCATTTGCCTGCCGTATATAAGCACGGAATCCAGCTAATTGTTTCAACAAACAGCTTTAAGGGCGGCTCTGTGGTGTAGTGGTAGCATACTTGCTTTGGGTGCAAGTGGTCCCAGGTTCGAACCCTGGCTGAGCCCTTCTAGCAATCTTTTTTGCAGTTTTTTTGCTTGTCGTTTTCCTGCACGAGTGGATGCCGCTTGCTTTTTTGGCTGCGTCTGTGTGTCTTGGCCTGCGGTACGGAGTCCTGCCTGCCGCTGGCAGCCATAACAATCGTCACCAAAACAAATCACCTCATCTTCAACAACCACTCAACCTCACGAAATGTCGATTTTGATCTTGACGATAAGACCTCGTGCTAGCTGAGTCCTGGAGGACGCCGTTTTTTTTTCTCGTCAGTACCGATTTTGCGGCGTTGGAGAACTGCTGGTTCATCATGTACCGTCCCTGCGCCGCGCTTCCCACTTCGTCGTCCGCATGTTTGGCATGTTGGCTTGTTGGTTCTCGGCTGTCGGTGCCGTTCAAACGTGGACTGAACCACGAGCACGGAACTGGATGTGTTAGGGAGGGGCATTCTGAAAATCAAGAATGAAAATGAATCCCGGAAGTTCCTGACGCCGAAAATGTTGCGCGCCAGATTTCTTCTTGGTCCAATCCGACGCGTCGCATAGACGATCGTCCCAGTCGAAAAGAAACTCGCGGGCAAAAAAAAAGACGATGATCTACAAGTCATACGAGGAGACGGCTCTCATGATCGAAAGGATTCACCAAGTTTTACAGCAAATCCGACCAATGGACATATCACCTTGGCACATGCTCCCAAAGCCTCCCTTGACCACGTTTTGAGCGGTGCCCGTCACCAACATTCGTTCACAATGGCATTCGCTTCCCATACAGCAATGTCTCACATCAGGACTGGGTATCTAAAGTGGAAGGGGGGGAGACATTCCAGTTCGGTGATATTGATCGGCCAACGGGTTGGAATTCATACCTTTGCACCACGTTTTGCTCGTGGGAATCCGAAGAGGTATAGTGGCGTGAAGGGAAAACCAACAGAGAGCGAATGGGTATATCTACCTTTCGAGCCCCGAGGGTATTTCTCAACTTCTCTTTCGACCTGTTGCGTCGAGTTGCTGTATCAAAGAGAAGTCTAACGCAATGCTCTACTCACAAAACATCGCCTCTCTGGGCGCTCTGCTCCTCTTGGCCCAAACGTCAACGACACTCGGTCATCCTAGCAGACACACTCATCACCACAAGCATCACCTTGCCAGGGATGTTGGAGCGAAACATCAAATGGGGGTTCCAGCTGATACAAGTGAAGTACTGTGGTCGGATCATACCGCGCAGAGGTCGTCGAGAAAGAGAGGAAGCCAGGATGATAACAAGGGGCGCAAAGAGGAAGAAGGAAGACCTTCACCATTCGCCAAGTCAAGAACCCTCGTCCTGAAGGACGAAGCACCGCACAGCGCAATGGTCTATCGGCTTTGCTTCATGCCTACGCCAAGTACGGCGTTGAGCCTTCGCCGAGGATCAAGAAGGCTATGAAGCTGAATCCGGCTTTCCGTGCCTACCAGGAGGAACTTGAGAAGAGTACGACTACAGTGCCCAATATAACATAGAAGCAGAGCTAACAAGCCTGTCAACAGGAGGCGACATCACCGCCACAACCGCAGCCATCCCCCCTCCCGGCAACTACGAGTACATCTCACCCGTCGAGATCGGCACACCTCCCCAAACGGTGTGGATGAACATCGACACCGGCTCTGCCGACTTGTAAGCCTACCTACCGGCCCCCCTCTTTTCCTTTAACTCTCCACGGAAAAAAAAAAGACACCACGACTAACGCAGACCAACAAACAGCTGGGTAGTCTCCACCGACACCCCCCGCTACCAAACCCGCGGCCACGCCATCTACGACCCGCACACATCCAACACCTCGGTCCTGATCCCCGACCTCAACTGGCGCATCACCTACGCCGACGGCTCCGGCGCCCACGGCATCGTCTACCAAGACCGCGTCTCCATCGACGACACGCTGTCCTTCCCTGCGCAAGTCGTGCAATCCGCCACCTCCATCTCGTGGGACTTCACTACGGACCCGTACGTCAGCGGCATCATGGGCTTGGGTATGTCGGCGGGTAATACGGTTAGTGAGAGTATTAAGGATGTGGAGGATAAAACCGGAATAAAGATCTTGACGTTTATGGATAATGTTATGAGTCAGTTGAGGGAGCCGGTGTTTACGGCTAATTTGAGGGATAATGCCGCGGGGAGCTATGGGTTTGGGTTTGTGAATGAGACGGAGTATGTGGGGGAGGTGAGGTATGTGGATGTTAAAGAGGATGGCATCTTTTGGGAGTTTGAGGTGGGGGGGTATTTGGTTGGGAGTGAGGAGGAGAAGGCGGAGAAAGTGGAGGGAGAGAGGGATGTTCAAGTGGATGGGGTGAAGTCGGAGGAGGACGAGGAGTCTGAGATGATGATGGAACCTGCTCAAACCGAGGAAAGCCATTCGGACAGTGAGCAGGAGTCAACGACCATCCAGCCAGATCAACCCAAGGCCTCGAGCCCTCCTGCCACGACTCATTCGTCGGACCAAGCAGACGCCCAGGACCAAGACCCAACAAACACCCTCCTCGAAACCACAAACTCAACCATCATCCCCCGCCGAGCCACCAAAAGCCACACCACAGGCCAACGAATCTCCTACCCCTTCACCACCATAGCCGACACCGGCACCACGCTCCTGCTCCTCCCCGACCGTATAGTATCCGATTACTACTCCACCATCCCTCACGCCTCCTACTCCCCCGAATGGGCCGGCTACCTCTTTCCCTGCGCTTACACCTCTTCTCTGCCCGATTGGTCTTTCTTTCTTGGGGGGTCTGCCGCCCCAAACACCACCACTGCCTCCACTGATTCCAAAGCCGAGCCCAAGCTTGATATCGGACCAGAAGAAGGAGATGAAACGAAAGAAGGAGGGTTCTACTACAAAGGCACAGTCCCTGGCCGGTACATGAACTACGGCGAGGTGAACGCGACCTAGTGCTACGGCGGGATGCAGAGCAGTGAGGATGTGGGGTTTAGTATCTTTGGGGATGTGGTGCTTAAGGCGCAGTTTGTGGTGTTTGATTTGGGCGGGATGAAGGTGGGGTTTGCGGGGAAGGAGTTGGAATGAGAAGGAGGAGTGATGGGGTTTTGAGTTGATCGATGAGAGGTGGGTGAATTGAGAAGTGACGGGTGAGGAGCTCACGAGTAGAAGACGGAGCGTGTACTGACAGACTCTAAAAGAGAAGGAAGTGACAACCGCAAGAGGCGGGTACTACCTACCCATTGTATGTCTGACAGTCAGCGAGGAGAGAGCCTGGTAAGGCTGTCTCAAAAGGTAGGTACCTCTACCTATCTTATCGATGTAAGGCGATTTACTCGAACGGAATGAAGCTCGGCTACTCGGGTGACAGGATCTTGTCTCGCGCCCGATGGTAAGCCCAGCGGTCACTCACTCACTGCTTGGCGAGCGGCCGCTTTTGGCCCCCAACTTGCGCGACCGATTGGAGAGCCTCAACTTGGGAGAGATGAGTAGGCGCACAGGCCATAGCTCGGAGAGATATCGGAGTTTGAATTGAGTGTCATTTGTCAGTCTCCGAGGTTGCTTTCAAGTGTGGTGGGCTGGCTGGTGGGATTGACGAAGAGGAGAACGCAGGAGAATGAGAGCTTGAGGTACGTGTGGAGCTTTTGTTCGTGTTCTCAACTGGAGTTCCCAGATGATCATAACAGCTGCAACAGCATGAGATGAGATTGATTGTCTTCACGCTCTTGTGCTTTGTTTACTCGCCAGTTATCGCGAAGTGGTCAGTGAATCAGGAAGTGTACTACACAAAAACAGACCCAACCCGAACTCGAATATCGGAAGCAAACGATTGGACATTCTTCGACCGGTGTGCCTTGGTCTCTATTGAAGAAGGCATTCGGAGGCATACCCTCTAGCAAAATATGCCCGGATCTAGAAGGAGGGGGAGATAGAGATTCAGATATCTCCGGCGAGTGAGGCTTGACGTTCGACGCCGGACATATGTCCTATGCACCGGCTGGTATGTTGAAAGTTTGACCCCGCTTGTTCCTGTGTTCAAACATCATGACAAAGATCTTAACAAGTCTGTTCGTTCCAATCGCTTCAAAGGAGTGGAATCAACGCGAGAGAGAGAAAACGAAAAAATTACCTTCCTCGGCCCCGTGTTTCCATGATATGGTTGCGGCCGCTCGGGTCGGGTGGTTCGCATCCACTCCTCCAACCGTCCGCTCCCGTCCGATGCGTTTTCTCCCGCGCGGCTGTGACCTGCTACTGCTGTACTCCGCGATGCATGTCTCAGTTCGTGCTGCTTTCTGCAATCACCGATAAGTTCACTACATAATGACGGCGTCGAGGCGTCAGGGGCAGACGGGGGACATGGAGGAGCGGGTGCATCATTTTGTTCACTATGCCACGCTTTCTAGGTACCTAAAACCTCCAGAAGAGGATAAACGGCCCGGTTTCTTGCTTCGTCGTCAACGAATCATGGGGACCATCACATTATACGCCAGGTACGTGAAAAGGCGGAAATGAGAAAAGGTGGCTGGGGGGTGGAGGTCCATGTAGTGTAGGTACGCTGCGAGAATGCGTAGTGGGGGAAAAGAGGCACTTTTGACACACTCTCTGGAGCAACGAGACCCAATGACCGGTTTTCTGGATTCAATAGTCCTGCAGGTGGGATGGCGGTTGGCGCCGCATGGTGATGTGGCAGGTTGGATGGCTCGAGGATGGGTGTAGGGATGGTAGGGCAATGTTCACTGGCTCCGAGGCTCCGAAGGCTTGCATCAAAGCCAAACTTGAGGAGGTCCAGGTTCCTTGTGATGATGGCTTGTATGTTTGAGAGGGTCTGGACTCATCCATGGGAGAGGGGAAGGGAAAGGAAAGAAATGTTGAGGCGTTCGAGATTGGAAAGTAGTATGTATGTAGATGACGGACATTCTGCCTTGGCCGAGAGCCTGCTGCCGCTCAAATGACAAAGGGTGTACACCATGCGGGAAGATAAAGTGAACACGGGAGATATTTCAACCAGCAGTGGTGTTCACACGGCATGGCTTGGGTGACGAGAGTGATGACTGGTAAAACGCCCTGCGCCTCTGCGGAATTGTATACCTTGGAGTGCAGGTGTTTGCCTAGTCTGGAACCCAAAAAGGAAATGGGTTGCGTTCTCGACAGAGCTGGCAGTTCTTGCACGAGGTAGTATTCGGTTTCGGTGTCAGTTGCTGTTAGACAGGTATGTGACGACTGTGTAATGCAGATGTCGTAGGTACGTTCCTTCTGGGGTTTTCGTGGGTCGGAAGGAAAGACTGACTTGTATACCTAACCTGTCTTCACCTCAACAAGATGAAGCACTCCTTTCCTCAGGAACAATGACAACATCGTCGAAGGCCAAGCTCCTACCCACCTATAGGGCTGGCGGGACACCAGGATATCCTTGGATGGCTTGACCATCATTTTGATCTCCGATGAGAGCAACGTGACGGCGGGGACGGAATGGTGGGGGTCAAGGGAGGATTTCGAAGGGGCTTGGACTTGAGGCCCTCATTCGAGTGTCGATCACTTGGACAGCCAGGAAAGCCCAAAAGAGGCACCCGTCGACGCCTCATCCGCTTGGCAGGCGTTGTGGAGGTCAAGTTTAAACCGGCGAGCTCGCAAGTTCAACGAATGACCGTGGTTATTTGGAATTCATCACCCGTGGTCCTCCACAGAAAGAGGTGGTTGCGTTCTAGAGAAGGTGGTGTGGTGAGTTGTTCATCAACACGGGACAAGGGGTTCAGGAACGTCTGTCACAACCAGGTAGAGGTAAAGAGCTGGCGTCTCAACGGGCGGGGGCACGGGGGCTTGGTGATGGAACTTTGCACGATCCGGCTTTCGAGCACACCATGTGAAATGTAAAGTTCTTTCTTGCACACCTCATGGGCGAATGAGGACGTCCATAAAGGAGCACCGCCCAGCTCAGCTAGGGGGAGACGAGCATTAGCTTCACATTCCCCACGTTACATTTTCGTTACCGGAAGCATGGAACACAGTGTAAACACTGAGAGCACCAGTTGCTCGGATTCAGGGGATAAGTTTTCTGCAAAGACCGAGGAAAGTAATATTGCGAACGTTAGAAACGAAAAGTTTCGCTAAGGAAGAGGCTTTTACCTGCTTTAATTAATGTCCCTTTTGTCTGATAGACATTTTATGAGTGAGTGGCCGAGTTATGTGAAGTCCGGAGTCAACAACATCCGCGCTAACGAGCGAACCAGGGTTGGATATACCTTACATGTGTGACCCGGATCCTTCAGACGCCACACCAATGAGGTATTGTGACGAGCGCCAGCTATAACGGCGGCCACCCACCACAAGCACCCGCGGAGGTCCTGATGGGGTGGAATACAGGTACGCACGTAGAGCGTAGAGGGGGGCTTGTGAAGGAAAACTCGATTCAAGCCGCGCCTACCACACTCTAATGCGCGGTGCTACATCAGCAGCATCATGATTGGCAAATCATATAGCGAAAGATATCATGAAACGCTCAGGTGGCTGGCAAACAGTGTCATGGCAGACATGGGTAGGCACAAGCTGAACGTTGAAAGAACGAGGGTTCACAGTGCTCTGCCACACGTCTGCCCTCAAGAATCAAGCGCCTCTTCCGGCACCGTCTTCGTTTTAGGAATTCTTTGCATCTCCGTTCTCAGGCATGTTCCGAGAGATCCACCTATTGTTCTTCTGGATCTGACTTTCTTGCATATTTTTCTGCCCTCCTTTCTGCCCTCCTTCGGGCCCCCTTATACCTCCTTTCTCGGGATTGGTTCGATGTGAATTAGATATGACCACCGTCGAGGTGACACGGAGATCATCAAAATGCCACACAGTAGTCACTCGCACTGCCCCTTATCCAATACCAATAGTCAACACCGTAATTGCGGAACCGTGCAGTTGAGAGTAGCGAGAACACTGCCGCCAGGCATACACACGAGAAGGACTCCCTCCGCGCCCTCAGAGAACCCAAAGAGCGGGTAACCACTTACGTCCAAGACAACATCATCATGCGCATCTCTTCCAACTCCCACAACTCCCAATCCTCCTCCTCCAACCCCTATTTGGGCTCTGGCACCCACGCTCATCACTCCAACCTCGACTTCGACCCCAACGGCGGCATCGGTCACCTCTCCTCCAGCGCCAGCTCCTCCAACGAACAGAGGGGGGGCGCCGACCACAGAAGGAAGTGGTACCGCGAACGAATGGCGCGGATTATTCAGGATATTGAGCCGGGACTTCCGCCTTCTGGTGGTCGTGGTCGTGGTCGTGGTTACAACTCTGGTGCTGGTTCTTCTGGCAGTGCTGGTGGTGCTGGAGGGGGGTACGTGTACTCGGGTATGATGGGTATGGGAAGTGGCGGCGCGGGTGCTGGCGCTGGAGGATATGGCGGCACTGGTTCTGGTTCTGGTGGTTATGCCGGTGCTGGTGCCGGTGCTGATTATGGTACCACCAATGGTACCAACGGTACCAACGTTCGTGATAGCGGCTATGGGAGTTTCTCTGGAAGTGGAGGAGGTTCCTATGGTCGTGGCCACTAGGTTTAGCTCAACATGCAATGTCTACCTAGTAGGTGAGAAACATTGCCCGGTCTGACGGATGATGGGTCCAGCATGGACTGGGTACCCGGCCTTCCAGGAAATGAATACCACTAGACTTAGGTGTGGAAAGAGCGATGGTTGATAGAAGAATGAGGGATTAAACGGATACATACAAACCAATAAACGAGAGACTGACGCACCGATAAATACCTGTTCATTATTGCATGCCTTCTAGTGATATCTGTTACAGAGTCCATCCCAGTAAAGACCGAGTTCATGCCCAAACGTGATGCATCCCAACCAACCTGAACCCACCTGGGCAGCGACGCCCTTTCTCTTACTTTGTCACCTCCATGTATCCAAAAACACCATCAAACCCCCATCTTCCCACTTGAAAACCTCAACTCCTCATCCATCGCATCCACACCGCAAGCCAATCTTTCCTCCCACTCCCTCTTCCACTCTCCCCATCCTCCCCTCTCCCACCCCCCTCCCGAACATCAGTCACATCCCCCGCAAACCTCGCCCACCTCAACGTCAAACTTCCCCCCAAAACCGGCAAAATACTCACCAACTCCCCCAACCCCGCATACTGCGGCGGTATCCTGATCCCTCCTCCCACAAACTCAAACAGTCCTCCGGCCAACAAGATCGCAAACACATTGTACACAAAGCTCCAGCCAAAGTTGAACTTGATCCTGTGCATCGCCTTTTCGCTCATCTCGATTAGCGTCAGAATGCCAGTCAGGTTGGACCGAATGAGGACTACGTCCGCGGCGGCCTCGGCTACGTCGGTGGCTTGGCCGTTGGATTCGGCCATGTGCACGCCAATGGTTGCGCGGGCGAGGGCGATGGCGTCGTTGGTACCGTCGCCGCAGAAGAGGACGGTGGGGGGTTTGCTGGGTTTTGGCTTTGGGTGGATGTTGAGGAAACGGAGGGATAGTCGGGAGCGGGGTGGTGGTGGGATGAGGAGGTGTTTGATGTAGGCTTCTTTTTCTTCGGGTTTACAGCGGGAGCGGATGTTGTGCTCGGGGATGTCGAGTTGGCGGGAGATGGAGCGGACGGCGAGGTCGTCGTCGCCGGAGATGACGTGGATGGAGATGCCGCGTTGCCGGAGCTGACTGATAACGGATGGTGCCTCGGGGCGGAGTGTGTCGTGGAGGCCGAAAATGGCAGCAAGGGAATCGTCGATCGTGAAGCAGAAGGCAGTGTAGCCTTGGGAGAGAATGCGCTGGACGGTTGAGTCGGACTCGAGGCCTAGCCAGCGCGAGTTTCCTGCTCGGAGTACTTGGCCGGATGGTGAGTGACCTTCGACGCCTCTGCCTGGAAGGGCTTTTTGGTGATTAACGACCTCAGGGGTCACTCCCATGAAGAGGAGATAGGCAGACACTGATGCGGCTACTGGATGCTTGATGTCATGCAGCAACCCAAGTAGTAGGGACTTGGAGATATTGGAGTCACTCTCCATGAAACGCACATCGTGGACGTCGAGTTCCCCCTTGGTGAGAGTCCCTGTCTTGTCAAGCACGACGTGGGATGTTGTGCGGGCAATCTCCACGGCACCTAATGACTTGAACAGAATCCCTCTGTCTCCTGCCAGACCGCTGACCATGGTGTTGACCATTGGAACTGCTAGTCCGATAGCACAAGGACAGGAGACAATGAGGACGGTTATGGCATAAGTGAGCGCTTGAACGATGGCCTCGGCAGCGCGTAGTTTGTGTACCTTGACACCAACAACGCACCATATGATCAGGGTGATGCCTGTCAGACAAAGAACAGCGCGGACGAGATACCCGGCAACGCGGTCGGCAATGCCCTCGATCTTCGTTTTGGCCACCTTTGCCTTGTGCACCATTGTCATGATGACGCTGATGGTGTTGTTACCGGGAACAGTCGTGAGCCGTACCCGAAGAGCTCCTGAGCCGTTGACTGTCCCTGCAATCACCTCAGATCCTTCGCTCTTGACAACTGGTCGCGACTCGCCAGTGATCATGGACTCGTCCACTTCCGAATCACCCTCGACAATAATGCCGTCGGTGGGGATCTTAGCACCTGGCACAACTTTGAAGTAGTCTCCATATTGGAGTAGTCGTGCGTCGATCTCCTTCTCGTTGCCTCCGTCTTCATCAACAAGCAGCGCGGTATGAGATTGAAGCGACTTGACCTTGGAGACCGACGCGACAGCCTTGTGCTGTGCGAAAGCGGCAAGGAAGCGGCCAACCATGATCAATGTCACAAGCAAAGTGCTCGTCTCAAAGAACTGCCCTGTCGACAATGGACGTCCGCATACCAAAAGTGCAAATGAGACCACGGAGAAGATGTATGCTGTAGTGGTGCTGAGCACAACCAGGAACTCCATGTTGATGGCCCCTGACTTGATCAGCGGACTCAACGCCTCGCGGTAAAAAGGGCCAGCAACGAATATTTGGACGAGTGTCGCCAGCGATAATGATGCATATCCGTACGAAACCATCCGCTTTCCAGATTGCGGAAGGTAAGCCAAGACGAGAACAGGAATGGTCAATATCCAAGAGAGCATCGTCATAACGAACAAATGACGAACGTTTTTCCAACCAGCGGTCGTGTTTTGGTCGACCGAGCTTTTCGCGAGCGTTAGAGGAGCCCCAAACCCAAACTGCACCAAGTCTCTGGCGCCAATGACTTTGGGATCGTAGTAGATCCTGACGATCTTCTTATCGATGACTGATACTTGGGCGACTCCCATCGGTAATGGCCTAGACACAAACTCGGTCGGATTTTCGGGGACAATGTCAAGACTGCAAGCTCCTTCGATGACTCGCTCACACTTCCAGGTAGTTGACCTTTGAATCTGTTCGATCACATCGACAGCCGACGCGAGACTCAGATTGACGTCAAAGTCAACCTGCTTATGTGGCACGCTGACTTTGAGGTTCCTGATGGCCTTGATATTAGCGGCCACTTGGTGGAGTTCTTGGCCACAGCACATCTTTTCGATAATGAGAACGACATGCTCATATCCAGAAAGACCTTTTTCCAGATCGGCCGTACCGTCCGACTGCCCGCTTACTGACTGAACTGGCGCTATACTGGAACTCGCGGTTGCTGACTCACTATCTGTAGTGGGGATACTGGCAGATATTTGTTCGGTGTGTTGACATTCCGATCCGTGTGTATGGTGTTTGTGGTTGGAAAGCGAATTTTTTCTGAAAGTGTTTTGGGATAAGGCGCTGAACGTTCTGGCGAGATTTGGGAACCGGCTGTAGTTGTGGTTATGGCTGTGACTGTGGCTGTGATGATGCCCCTCACAGCCGTGTGATACTGCACACGGGTCTTTAGAGGATTCCGAGTGTGGTGGATGAGAATCGGCACTCTTGCTGCTTGGCCCCCGTAATGTTTGACTGCTGGTCTGGTTTTCGCTTGGCTGTCCACCACAGCACCTGTCCTGGCAGTTGTCCGTTGTAGTCTCAACCGTGTCGTCTTCCCCTTGATGCGACTCTCCATCCCTAATTCTGTCGCCAATCCCCTTTTCGTCGTCGAAATACTCCCCATAACCAACATTTGCAGAAGAAGTTGCTGTGGCTTCTGAACTCGTCGGGCTGGGATCCGTGTTTGACCCTTGGTCTCCTCGACCATGTGAAGACGTTGAAACCTCCTCAGGCGTAGTCGAAAGAGGGCGTTTGGAGGGCGCGCAACAGACTGAATTGCAACCCATTGTAAAGTCGGTATCGTTGATGATGATGATGTCTATTTCTGAACAGTTGTAAGGCAAATGTCGAACTCGCTATGAAGATGGAAGCGGAGGAAGTGCCCATGGGGGTCCTGCTCTTCGGTTTATAAGCCAATTCGGTGCGATTTGGTGAAAGCTGTCGAGGCCATTAGATGAGCAACGAGGGTCCAAGGCATCCTTCTTGACGGCGGTTTCAAGTAAGTTGGTGACAAACACGGGGGATAGTAGCATAAAGTTTATGAATGCGCATTGACTGCCCATGGGCAAGATGGGTCAAAGCGAACCTCAACGGCCAACACTCCCGGGAGTACAAGGTGCGAACACGAGGTGCAGGTGTGATGGAGTGACAAGCTATGACATTGTGCTGCGGTGCCAGATGGATGGACCCTGGGTAGTCGAGGTGAAGCGGCTCCGATGTCCACTGGGGAGGTAACAGCGATGATATATCATGACGACGGGAAGACCTGGCCGGAGTGGAGGGAAGGAATGGAGGAGGGGTTGGACGTCAGTTACATTCCGGTTGGAGGTTCAGTAGACCTTTCTCCTTGTTGCCGTGTGCCATCTTCCACTTGGAGATCTGGCATCTCTGGTACACGAATAAGGACCCGAAGAGTGAAAAGGCCTGTGACCAGTCGGCAACGATGATAACAAAGAGAGTGAAGGACAGGCATCGGGATTGACCCGTTCAACCCCTGGCGAGGCAGTGTAACACGGACAGCCTGCCGCGGGGCATAAATGACTGGAGAACCGGCCGTGGATGATTTTCCATCATGGTGATGATTGCTTCTTCAACTCGAGTAAGGCGAGCGAATGTATGTGATTTGTTAACCATGCTTCACTGCAGCGAAGTCGGACTGTTCAAGAGCTGCCATGCGTCGACTGCTGGTTGCCCTATGAAGGATGTTAGGCAATGCTCGAGATAATCAGATGGATGCCATCAAGGTGCTGGATATTCGTGGGGGCATTTGATGTTGACTGAATGAATCAGTCAGGCATGTTTTTACAACGAATTGCGAACACTCATCTTGAAGAGATTGGGAGGAGGTTGAAAGAGAAGATGAAAGTCGAGACCGATGTCTTGTGGTGGAGACTGCTGGTGGGTCGTAATAGTGGAGCACATTTTTCCAGGTGAGTCCTCAGAGCTTATCTGTTATCGGAGAGGGTCGAGGCTTGGCATTTCTGTCTCCCGCCCTGGGCTTTCACATCTGGAAGTGACAGAAGCTCAGAAATAAATGAAAGATGTTGTACTCCTTCGGCATATTGCACAATCGCCAGTTTCAGATTTATACGAACATGATAGCTGAGAAGATTCAGTTGGTTGTTCAAGACTGGCTGCTCTTTCCAAACAAGCCGAATCCTCGGCAGCTACCGATCCCTTGAGCTCCTTCCCCGCGACGGGCCATCTGCCTGTGCGTTGTTTCAGTTGCAAGATGGCGTTCGTCATCTCTTTGAGTGGCAGAAAAGCCTTTTTTTTGCTCAAGCCAATCAGAGGCCCAGATTTCCAAAAAACCCACTTCTTTTCGACTTGCTAGTACATAGGGCATAACAGCAAAAACGCAGTGACAGCAGTGTTTTTGTTAGTGCAGCTGGTTGATTTGAAGGTACTACAATATTTCACAGCTTGCGGGTTGGCTCTGATTGGCTTGAGCAAAAATGGCTTTTCTGCCACTCAAAGAGATAACAGGGATACCAGTTGGCGGTGTGCTCCAAGTCACCATCGTGACTTCCGCGTGGGGTGTATAATCGTCGCTTGGAGAAGGAGGGAATGAGAACCCCTTTGGATATCTCGACTAGCTCTTTTCCTTTGGAAAAATCAATCGCCCGAAAAGAAGCTGTTCTTTCCGTTGCACGGGCGATATCCACCTTTCCGTTCGATTCCATTGTTACACTACCGTTACCCGACCGGACCTTCATCCGGATGAAAGGCGGGTGCTTCGATCTTAAAACTTAGTTTCTCCTATAGCCGACCACCTGTGGTGCTACTACTCCCTCCTTATTTCCTATCACCTTGACTGCCTTGGCTATCTGACCCGACTCGGCTTTTGTAGGAAACATACACCATAACCAACTTTGACTTGAGAAGACACCATGTGTGCGTGTTCTTCGCGTACAGATGAGCCCCGAAGAAGAGGAAGCAAGGGCTTCAACCAGAGCCCTAACCCACTATCAGCCGATCTGACGACAAATCAAGACTTGAACGGCATCGCCAATCAGAGGGAAACCCGAGTTGGTAGTAGCACAGGAGTCTCGTTTCAAGATGGTGTCGGTGATGATGGTGGAGGGTTGCCTCGGCCAGATCGAGATCGACCACCCGGCGATATCAAGGCACACTCATCACCAGTCTCGTCACCAAACACTCAGCCAAGCCAGTCTCCATCTACCACCAGCGTCAACCAAGGAAAAAGCCGTCTAGAACGAATCAAGCATGCCCTCATTACTTTTGGCCGGTTTGTGGGTCCGGGGGTCATGATCTCGGTGGCATACAGTGAGTCTCTTCCACCTACCACGAGCCTCATTTCACTGACAGAGTACTGTGTGTAGTCGATCCGGGTAACTATGCCACCGATATTGCGGCTGGAGCATCTTATCGCTTCCAGTTACTCTTCATCGTCCTCTTGAGTAACCTATTCGCTATTCTTCTGCAAAGTCTGGCTATCAAGCTCGGCACCGTCACCGGCTTGGACCTCTCGTCAGCATGCAGAGCCTTCCTCCCACGATGGCTGAACTACTCCGTGTACGCTTTGGCTGAGATTGCCATTATCGCAACCGACATTGCAGAGGTCATCGGCACCGCCATTGCCTTCAACCTCTTGTCTCCCAAGATCCCACTTGTAGCAGGATGTGCTCTCTCCATCATCGATGTCATGCTCATCCTCATCTTCTACAACCCAACTGGCCACATGAAAGGCCTGCGCATCTTTGAGTTCGGCGTCTGCATTCTGGTCATGGGCGTAGTGGCTTGTTTCTGCATCCAACTCTCCATGATCTCCAACACCAGCGTTGGCCAAGTATTCAAGGGCTACCTACCTTCAGGCGCCGTGATCGAGCAGCAGGGGTATGTTACCTTCTAGTTCTTGGAGATCGAGGTACTGACACACTACCAGCCTCTACCAAGCCTGCGGCATCCTCGGTGCAACCGTCATGCCACACAGTCTCTTCCTCGGCTCTGGCATCGTCCAACCTCGTCTCCGTGCCTACGACGAACAACGCGGTCTTCTCCCGGCCGAACCTGTCTCGGCCAACTCGTCCATCGCCAACAGTATAGACGCCGACAAAATCCACTACATCCCCTCGCACGCAGCCATCAAGCACTCGCTCAAGTACTCCATTGCCGAGCTCGCCCTTTCCTTGTTTACCTTTGCCCTCTTTGTCAACTCGGCCATCCTCATCGTCGCCGGCGCTTCCTTGTACCACAACCCCACCGCCATCGACGCTGACATCTTCGCCATCCACTCTTTGCTTTCGTCATCCATCTCCCCCGCAGCAGGAACCATCTTCGCCCTCGCCCTTCTTTTGTCCGGCATCTCGGCAGGCGTAGTCTGCACCATCGCGGGGCAGATGGTCAGTGAAGGAGCGCTGCGGTGGAAGATGCGGCCTTGGCTTCGCAGGCTCGTCACAAGGTCGATAAGCATCACACCCTCCATCATCATTGCTGCCGTCGTAGGAAAAGAGGGATTGAATGCCGCATTGCAGGGGAGCCAGGTGGCTTTGAGCGTGGTGTTACCGTTTGTCACGGCGCCGCTGATTTGGTTTACGAGCAGGGAGCGGTATATGATGGTTATGCCGGGAGGGGCGAGGTATCAGGTGGAAGGGGAGGAGGAGGATGAGAGGCCCTTGTTTTCGGCGAGGAGGGGATGGATGGGAAGGGGAAACGGTGGTGGGGAGGGAGGAGTGAACATGGCGAATTCGTGGTTGACTACGATTGTGGCCGGACTGGTTTGGGGGCTGATTGCTGTGATGAATGTAGCGAATTTGGTGTTGCTTGGGAAGGGGAATAGCTAGTTTGAAGGGTGGTTGTGTTAAGTTTGGCAAACGAAACAATACAGAGGAGCTGAAAGGATGAAAGGCAAAGGCCACAGCATTTTTACTAAAGGTCAATGAGCATTGAGGCTGTTTACAACATCGATGGTTCAGATGATGATGGATTAACATCGAATGCCAAGATTCATACAGTACGATTGTAACAAACGACACTGTGTGTCCTTCAGCGGGCACCGCAGATTGAAGACGCCCATAGCACAGCGCTTCCAATGAACTTCCACCATTCCCTGCCTCAACCTCAACCTCGACCTCAACTCCGCGATCGTTTTTCTTGAAACTTTCGCCAACACATTTCCGCTCAAATATCAAATATCCACATACTACGAGAGAGCAACAGATCATATCACATCGCCAGTTGAACTATCTCACATACAAAAAGCGCGCTCGCTTTCCCAACCTATCAACCTCACCTCACTCGTCACCCCCGCCAAACCTCACAACAGGCACCACAATGGAGCGTGACCAAAACACAACAGAGGATCTCTTTGGTAAGTTTAGTTCCGTAGCAAGAACTCATTTCAAGAAATATCCTGATCACTCACTGCCTCTTGCTCAATCTTCATTTATTTCACTCCCACCCACCCCTTCCTTCCTCCCCTTCCTCCCCATTCCTCCCCTTCCTCCCCTTCCTCGTCATATATCCACTACCCCATCCCATCCCATCCCATCCCATCCCACCCCCCCCTTCCCTTCCCCCATTTCCCCATTTCCCCCCCATTCCCCCCTACTAACTTCCACCTCACTCACAGACCTCGAAAACCGCCTAACAGCCTCCCTCCTCCGCACCTTCCAATCCCTCCTGCACCACGGCGCTTCGAGAGTTGACAACACCGCCTCAGTGGGGCAAGCAGCTTACAACGCCATGGCGACCGACATCCTGATGAACGCGCAGGTCAAATCGGTTGAAGAGTTACTCTCGCTCACGCGCAAGATGAGGGAGTTGTGGGTTGTTGGGCCCTTGAGGAAACCGGGCGAGGGGGATGAGGAGGTTGAGAGGGAGGTAAGGGGGATGTGGGAGGGGGTGAGGGGGGTGGAGGGGGGGTTTAGGGTAAAAGTGAGGGGGGAAGGTTTGGGGGGATTGCCGGGAGCAGAGTATAGAGAGGGGGAGGTTGGACCGCCGCCTGGCGTTGGTCAGCAGCAGCAGCAGCTGCAGCAGGTGTTTGGTCAAGGTGGTGGTGGTGGTGCTGGGTTGCCAGGGGCACAGTCTGGAAACGCGACGCCGAATTTGAGTGTGAGGAACGTAACGACAACAGGAGGAGGAGGAGGAGCAGGAGGCGGCAACTCGGGTGGCACGACGGCGACGGCTTAGAAGGCTTTTGCTGCGCCGGAGCCGGAATCGGATATCCTGCCACAACAACAAGTACGAGTGAAAAAGGAGGAGGAAGAAGAAGAGGAGGAGTATGGCGTCGTTGGTTCAGGTGGTAATGATAATGGCGGTGGTGGTGAAAGTGATGATGATGGAAGTGATACCTCATTCTTCATGTTCACAGACGGGACCAGGATGGATATTGAGTCTCCTTGAGAGAGAGAGCGAGAGAGGTATTCAGGGCGAGTGAGGGATACTCAAGCAGAGAAGGGAAGGAACTGAGCTGAATGATGAATGTTCCTCACTCAACCTAAGAGTACAGTGGTGAGGCATACGTTACAAAGAATTCAGGTTGAAAAGAAAACATCTGGGACAATTCAAGACATAGGACTGTGATAGAGGCTTGATTTCAGAAAGGACTCTTTGCGGCTCAACGCAATGAGCAAAGAAGGTCATCAAAGTTATCAAACCGCTCTACACCCGACAGCTGGCATATAGAATCCCCTGTGGTATACTCGGCAACACTACACTATGCACGCGTCTTGTTATGACGAGATGGTAATTTCTGTATCCGCGGCCCCTACTCTCCCAAAGTTAGGACCATCAATTTGATGAACCATCCTCCGCAACGCCATCAGCCTCATCGCCAAGCTCAGCCTGCAAAGCCCTGGGTATCTTCTCGGCCGTGCGATCCGACCGCTCATGCGACGCCTCGATTCCGCCCGGGGTCACCCAGAGGAAGTAATCGGTGCGGAAGTTATCGATTTGGTTGAAGAAGAGGTGGAACCTATCACCGCTTGTTAGTAACTTTTGTCAGGCTTATAGGGAATTTCTCGGGGGCAACTCACGAATTCTCCTTCTCCTCCAACTCAAACATGCGCTTATAAATATGCTCATCCTTAAACGCCTGAATCTCCTTGTCCCACTTTCCAAAATCAATCGGCTCCCTGCCCAGCTCCTTGAACTTCTTGTTGCTCACATCAAACACCGGCCGTTCCAGCATCAATCCCAGACCGGGTGCCTTGGGAATAGATATCCTGCGGGGCCCGTAGCTCTCACTAACCAGACTCATGGGCGCGCCGCACCGCACGATCAAAACGGCCATGGCTACCATCTTGCGGATCTGGTGCATCATGAAGCTCTGGCCGTGTACCTTGAGAGAAAGCCACTCGGTGTCGTTGATACGGATCGGCGTCTTGTTGACTTCGAACGACTTGATGTGACGACGGGCGGACGGGTCGGTGTGCGACTTGAGGATGGTGTAGTTGTGGAAGTTGTGCGTGCCCAGGTACTGGTTGAGCGCTTCTTGGAGCTTTTCGAGGCGCGGGGTGGTGACGCGGTAGCGACGCTTTGCGGCGACGTAGGCGGCTTTGACTTCACGGACGGCGAGCTCGACGGGGGTGAACTCTCTTTCGACCTTGGCGGCGGGGGCTTGGGTCTCGGTGGTTTCGGTGGTAGCAGCCTCGCCGTCTTTCGAGGGCTCGGTAGCCGTGGTCTCCTCCGCCGGGGTATCCTTCATGTCGACATCCTTGGTAACATCGGTATCGGGCTTCGAAGGCTCTCCGTCGTCGGTAAGCTCTTGGTCGGCGGTGTCGTGCAGAATGCGAATGACTTCGGCTCTGATTTCGGGATCCATCTTCTCGAGAATGGGCTGGATATCGTTCTTCTCGACTTCCTCCCAGAAGTTCTTGACGTCGTCCAGTCTGTCCACGTACTCGTCGTATGTACCCTTCTCCTTGGCCGCGTCGATGATCTTCTTGCCGAGGAAACTTTGTGGCTGTGGCGGCAGAAGAGCATAGCTGGGCATGAGGTACTCGTACCATCTGGAATCGCATGCTTGGTAGCAGCTGAAACCGTTGGTAACACGCTGAATGCCCCATACCTTGATCTGGTCGGGGAGGTGGCTGTTGATCTTCTCGACAATGTCCTCGTCCTCGACGATAAGCTTGAGCGACAGGACGTTGGCGGCAGCGTGCACGCCCTTATCGGTACGGGCGCATCGAACGAGACTGGACTTCTTGGGGTCGTCGGCATTGGCCTTGGAGATGGCACCGGCCTTGACGAAGGCGGCGAACAGATCGCCCTCGATGGTCTTTTCCTTGTGGTTGATCTGGATGCCGTGATAGCCGGTACCAGCGTAGCCGATCAGGACGGCAACCTTGCGCTTGGGTCGGCGTTCCTCGGCGGCGATTTCGTCGGTCGAGAAGGGGATGCTCATGTAACTGTTGCCATCAGCGGCTCCGTCGATCACCTTGCGGCGCTTGGCAGCACGATTGTCTTGAACTTGGTCGCGCTTGCTAAGGAAGTCTCTCCTACGGCCTAGTCAGCGTCGGCATTAGGCGCCTGTGGCAGTGATTTTGGGTTGAAGGGAAAGCAATGGCAAAGAAAGGCAGGTGGTGGTTCGTACTTGTTGCTCCCAAAGCCGCCTGTCTTGATGTTGTTTGGGTTTCCTCTGTCCCGGTTTGGGTTTCTGTTGTCCCGGCCTCTGCCTCTCTTCTGGCCTCTGTCGTTTCGGTCGCCATTGTCCGCCGCGTCGTTGGATTCGGCGTTTGTTGTCTCAACAACAGGGTCAGCAGCGGCTGCTGGCGCAGGGACAGGTGGTGTGTCGTCGGTAGCCATGTTGATAGTAGGCGACTTGGGAATGGCATCAGCAATGTTGTAAAGGTGGAGCGGCGGGCGAGGTGGTGTTGAAACATTAAATTTATTTTCCCCTGGCGCTCGTTGACGCGCTTATCGCACTGTTCCCTTACAACTGTACCTTGCCTGTCTAGCCATGGCGATAGCACGGACCTTTGACGCGGGGAAGTGGCCGGTGGAGCTGACGATCTCCAGCAAACTCCACTGTACACAGTACCAACAATCCTTCAACCGATTCTCCTCCTCACTCCTCCATGTCTTCACATTCCAGCGATACATCATGATGGCATTCATCCATGTGAGACCGACCATCCGAGTCAGCATGTGCTTTCATCAGTATGGAAGTTCTCTCCAAACGAAAAAAAAGACCTTGATGTGGTGACAATGAGTTCGTCGACTTGATCAGGAACCACCCAATCACCATCAGAGAAGCATCGAGGCTTGGGAAGAAGAAGGCTGTGACGAGGCAACCATGAATGGCCGACCATCAGACCGCCCCGCCACGTTGGGCTTTCAGCAGCACCATTTTAACTCTAACCATCATCCTCGGCCGCCTTTTCGAAAGTACACAACGCCTTTTATTGTGAACCACGTCGTCGACCCTACTAGAAGTAATGCTCTTGGCCCCGGACTTGAATCCGAAAACGTCCTTTCGAGCTGCCGCGATGGACCATGAGAATCAGTACAATTACCAACGGATCGACCTGTCTACCGATGCCATTCGACTGGTCCGTCTCCTGAGAGGATTTTGCGGAGACCCCATCCAATGCGAACTCTTCGAAACATTCCTCCACCAGGTGTAGGGTGTGCCTTACGGAGCCTTATCATATACCTGGGGCGATTCTCCCGACGCATACGAAATATTCATCAACGATCGGAAGTCGCTTGTCAAGGAAAACCTTCACATGGCCCTCCTCGCTCTACGGCAGACGGACGAAGACAGACTGTTGTGGATCGATGCCATTTGCATCGACCAGGACAATGACAAGGAAAAGGGCCATCAAGTCGGGCAGATGAGACAGATATACGAGAACGCTGAACAAGTTCTCATATGGCTTGGCCCCAGCAACCGCGGAATCGATTCTCTCATGGATTTGGCTAGACGGTGGGATTACCAAACAAGCCAACGACCAGGAGCCCATCGCGCACAGGGTTGGATCGATTCTTGGATCAAGCTCACTGCTGACGAGACCGGTCCGTACAAAGAGGAGCTTACCGCTGTACGTCGTAACTCTCTGCAAGAGATGTTGAGCCGAGCTTGGTTTCGGAGAGTCTGGATCCTTCAAGAGGTCGCGAGCGCAAAAAGGGCCACAATCTTGTGCGGCTCGAAAGCGATACCCAGCCGAGGCTTCAGTCTACTACCATTTTTACTGGACCTAAACCCGGAAGAACATATCCAAGCAGTGCTTGACATCCTGCCAGGCTACCGACGAAAAGAAACTTGGTGGGGCAAAAAACAGAATCTCGAAACATTGCTCGTCAAGTTTGGGACGAGTAAAGCAACTGATCACCGGGACAACATCTATGCCTTGCTTGGCATTGCTTCAGACGCTCGCGCCAGCAACACCCTTCGTCCAAACTACCAAGTTTCGCTAGGTCGCGCAATATGCCACACCATCTCATTCTTGCTCTTTGACGAGGCTTATGACCCGTCTGCGCGTCCATTGCCCGAGGACATGGACTTCACTACTTTTCTTCGTATCCTACCGAAGCTTTCAGACTACATTTTGGGCTGGGCGTTGCAAACCTCAGCACCTCGACATCCGAGTTTTTACTGATTTACGCAGCTGCATCCGGAGACAGAGGTATTTTCAAGCGGGTCATTTCGATTGTCACATCCCGTATTTGAAGTCATCGAGGAAGCCTCAAGACTCGACGGGCCAATAATGCGCTGCATAAGGACCCCTCCTCCTGAGTCACGACTCCGTCAAGTATTGTTTCATGGCACTGAGATCAGTGCATGGCTGGCCCACTACCTCATGTCCCGCGAAGGCGGCATCAAAACGGACAGTCCGGATGAGGATATTGACAGCTTGTTTGAGACGCTTTCCATACAGGTGAAGCTGTCACAGGTGAAGCTGTCTGTGCTCCCTTCAGGATACATTGCGATGGTTCTAGCATCATGGAGACTCAAAGCAAAGGGGACTCCATTCTCGTTCAAACCCTATTGAATAGCCTGAAATTGGAGTTTCCGCAGGATTTGAGGCCTATATTGGTAGCTCTGATATAACCGCCCGCGGACCTTGAATTACACTTGATGGTCATTTAGATCAACAAACGACGGAATCACTAAGCCTGCGTGGCCATGTGCAGTTACAACAGAATCTAAGGCCGCCCAAGATTGTTATTCAGACATGAAACAGCCATGGTATGTTGCATCGCCATTCCCGTAATTCTCCCGGTGAGGTGAAGCTGAACCAGAACCTTTAGATATATCAACGTTAACGCGTGGACCAAGAACGCTCACAGGTAGCAAGGGGTCGTTACGGCCGGTACAGATTTCCTACTACCAGTAGCTGAGAGCTATCGATCCTGGTCCTGGTTTTCATAAGGTTGGAAGACTCGCTACGGTTGATGTCAGAGTTTGGAACAGTTGTTGAATATGTGACTGCGGTGTGGGAGGTCATGTTACAAGCCATCAACTCGGGGATGGCGATAGAGTGTGGAATAGACGGTGTTACACTGAGCATGTAAGTACTTCTGCACCTCATCCTTCCTGCCTACACTAAGGATATGCTCATTTGGTGGGCAAAAGTCCCACCACTTAATGATCAAGAGGTGCACTGGCAATACATGTCGATGAGCAAACCCAATAAAGCAAGGTTTCAGCCCTCCTCGATCTTCTCAGGTCAGATGCGGTAGTTCTGTGACGACGAAAAGTCACGGACTTTCCTCCGCACGCCGTACGATGAGAACATTCATGAGAAATTCTATAACGTACTAGGTAACCAAGCCGGCAGTCATTCACATCTCCTTTCAAACTAAGGGGGTCCAACCACTTCTGGTGGCAATCAAGACCCCCACAGGTGGTTTACCTGCCACCTTGCCCATCGACAACCAAGAAAACCAGAGAACAGGGATCGCCTGGTTTAGCGAAATTACACCACTGACACCCAAACCCTCAACTCTATTTCAACGTCCACCATCCATCCGAACATTCAAGGAACCATGTACATCTAAAAGACTCATAGGATATCGTCATTAAGTCGTTACCTACCAACACCCAGACGCCGTCGCTTTAAACACTCAACTTGGCCATACACATCCTCAACACCCAATTTTTCCTCCCCGTCAACCTCTCTAACTCCTCAATCGTCCTATCCACGCCCCTCTCCAGCCTCTTGAGGGTATCTCTCGTGTACTCGAGGCTGTTCGAGCTCTTCAACCGCTGCAGCGTAAGCAGCTTGAGCGGCATACTAAGGGACCCTCGCTGTTGCCTCTCTTGAAGCACTTCGCGCACTTGTTGCGAACTGGACGATTGCCCTTCTGTGTTGAGGTAGTGCACGAGCGTGAAGGAGAGCTTGCCTTCGTCGAGATCTTCGCAGAAGCCTTTTTGGGCGGTGTACTGGGCGTGTGTTAGCTTGGGGTATAGGGAAGGAGGGAAGGGGAAGGGGAAGGGGCAACGTACCTCGTCGGAACTAATATTATGGTAGTCGTCACGGATCTGGAAGTAGATGCCTACTTGTGTGACGAGATGATTGACGAGGGAGCGTACTTCCTTGGGCATGTGCTCGCTCATTAGACGGGAGAGGAGGAGGAAGAGACCACCGGTTTCTGGGAGGATGTGAGTGAGTGGTGTTATCAGAGTATGTTCAACAAGAAATTGCTTACTCTTTGCTACCATTTCTAGGTACTCGCTCTCTGAAGGACAGGACATGTGTCTTGTCCAGTAGAGGTCGTAACTTTGGCCGACATGGAGATCTCGGAGTTGCTCCAGGGCAATATCCACAGCGCCAGGAATAGGCAAGCCCTTCGCCTTTCGTACAGCTTCAACAATTGCGAGGCTTGCGGCGTTGATGGTCTGGGGAACACCGAATACAGCGTGCGCTGCTGGGTTACCGCGTCGGAGCTCGGAACCATCCTCGACATCATCGAACCTACACACAACAGCGTTAACAAGCATCTTCAAAGGGCATCCTAGAGGTAGCACTTACATCAACGACGCCGTTTGCAAATCATCAACCACCTCCTTAATCTGCACCAACACCTCCTCTGGCAACCCCGCCCACAAATTCAACGCATCAATAAACGTTGCCCTCACGTTCTTCGACGGCAACGACCTCGTATATTCAAACGGGGCATTAACAATCTCCATCCCCAACTTCTCCTCCCTCGGCACCAAGGAGTCCAACGACTCCTTCTCTCTCTCCGCGTTCTTGAACTCCTCCATGCCGTCGTGCCTCTCGTCATCCGACGGCATAGCCGAAACACTTGACGACCTGCTGCTCGCCGCCCTGTCCTCCCACAACGAAGAAGTGGTCGAAACATCCGACTCGCTCTCCCTCGATCCCCACGAGGTAATCGACAACCTCTTCGCCGTCGCCTCCATGAGATCCGAAACGGAAACATCCTCCACCTGCTCCGCAGCAGCAGCAACATGAAGAAGAGGCGAACCCCTCCATTCAACCGTCAACCCATCCTCCAACCCTTCATTAGCCTCATACCTCCAATCCGGATGATACCTAGGACAATTCAGACTCCAGACCACATTCCCACTAACCTGGTACTGCAAGCCCCTCAGGTATCTCTCTAACCTGTCATTACTCTTCCCACTGCTCTCCCTAAATTTTCGACAACCCTCTAGAAACTCCACTTCAAACTGGTTAGTTGCCTCGCGAACCAACCACTTGGCGGTCGCCATGTCGACGGACTGCCATTGCATGTATAGCCATACGGCGTTTAAGGGTTTGGGGGCATCGGGAGAAGAAAGGGACTCGGCCCATTCACGGTCGAAGGAGAAGTAGTCGTTGGCGAGGGCTAGGGAGGCGTAGCAGGGGCGGATGATGGGGGCTAGGAGGGCGTCTTCTTCCTTGGTTAGGGTCTCTCCCATTCCAAACAACATGACGGATTCGACGAAGCTGCCAGCAATGCATTTGTTAGTTTTCCACTGGGTTTGGTGCGTGTTTCAATATGGAGGGGAAGGGGGAAGGGGGGAGGGAGAGGAGCTTACGGAGCGCCGGCGTCGATGATGCGGAACTCGAGGTACTCTTCCACGTTGGCGAAGGACTTGGATTTGTCCTTGGTGGTGGTTTCTAGCATCGTCTGCCAGACGTCTAGGACGCGCTTGGCGCAGACGGGGTCGGTTTGGGTGAGCTGGAGCATCATCTTTGCTTGGATCTGTTTTCGGCCGAGCTTGGCGTTTTGGTGGGAGGTTTCCATGTCGCCGAGGCTGAAGGCCGTCGTTGTCTTTTGATGACTGGTGCATGTTAGCCTCGCGTCAGAAATAGTAGAGGATGTGAAGAGACTGACCGATGCATCATCCTTCGTTACCTCAACCACATTATCATGCAAAAAGGCATACTCGAGGATATACGCCACCAGCCGGAGGCGCTCAGGCTTGGTCAAGGGCAGGACTACCGCAGTGAAGTTCCCGTTTACGGGGTTGCAGTTGCCAAACTCTTCCACGGGCCCGATGTACTGGATCCAGTCCTTTCGTGCTTCGTAGCAGCCGGCGTTGGCCAGTGTCTCTGCCTTGTGCCTCCTCAGGGTGTAGCCAGGACAGAATCCGTGGGTGTCGTATCGAGAGATGTCGATGAGCTCTGAAGTATGGTCGTCCATCTCCATGATTTTCTGACGAGCGTGACGGAGATTGCTAGGAGTGGTAGGAGGTGGTCGATGTCAGCGAGGTCGAGGTCGGTAGGGATCATTTGGTTCTTGATGTCTTTCGTTTTTTTTTCTTGGCTTCACTTGCGAAATGCTCCTGAGGATTTATCTTTGATGAAGAGGAAGGAGGAGTTGTGAAGAGGAAGGAAGAGTTGGGCCATGCTTGCCAAGCATCGTCAACCTTACACGATTTTGACATCGCCAATGACACAATACATCGTCACTCATAAAAGTACCGAGACACTGGGAGAGGAGAGATCCTCCTGGATGGTATGGTCACAGATCTGCGTCGATCATAGGATCGCCAGCCGGATTTTCCTTCCAGCTGGGACCTGTCATGATCGACTTTGACGAATTGGGTTTATCGCAGCTACTATCGTGGTCGATGATAATACTGATTCACACTTCTCCAGGATGATGAAAAGGACAATTTCGTTTTGGGCCATTCGAGGATCCCCAATTGGGATCGTGAAAAGATTGACGCTACCTATTCAGAATCCACAATAGCGCCGAGTCGTGATGTCAGATCTGGATCCGGATGAGCGACTCGAAGAACAACGAACAACTAAGAAAGCGCGGAACGGACTATCGCCGACCTAAAAAGGCCCGGAATCCGGAATCCGGAGTGTCCCTCTTTACATCACTCGATGGAGGATGCCAATATTTTCCTATGCGAGTTGGAATGCCATAGGATGCTACGTAGCACAATGGCACGTTTATCTACCATCATGTCTTGGATAATGCCGGATCAGCGACTGCTAGATGTCCTAGATCCCCACGCCCTCCAGCCAGAAGGGAGCCTCTGACGTCCAGCTGAGACATGCTTAAAGTCGGAGCTGGAAGGGAATCTAGAGCTGGACGGAGGATGAGGCCATGGATCGTTTTATCAGCGGGAGAGGTTGATAACTGGAGGATTGTATCCACCTGCACCTCTCATATTGACATGAAAGGATCATTAATGGAACCCTGTCGATTTGTCCAACCTCAGCACACAAGAGCCATCTAGAACCATGGTAGTACAGAGTCCAGTCAGGTCTTCCCTTGCAATGGGACTCACTGAGCAAGAGCAGGCGTCCTTGACGCATTACTGGAGCTCTGCCGCAACCGGGGATACCTTGACCACCCGGTAGGCCTCTCAAACGAAGACGTTCGGGATGGTCTGAACGATGAAACAACTCTTCTGTAGGCCTTTACCCGCTTCCATCCCGTCTACAACTGCTGAACCTCCTTCATTAGCCATGAACAACACTGGTAACGATGCAGGAGGTTCCTTCGCGGACGTTCCTTCGACGTAGATGGAGCCCTCAAGCGTGCAGTTTGAGGAAGCCCAAGAAATCCGCGCCTCAGTCGATGCAACAGCAGCATATGACACCATCAGCATCACCGACTTTGAAAATACCAAGAACATGGTACGTACGACCCGTCAACATGAGCCTAGGTAAGATGAAAAAAGAAATCTTGGAAACGAACGGGCGGGAAAGTGAAGCTAATCCTCCGTCGGAACCCCCAATCTCCGTCTATCCAGTACCCTCACTGGTCCGGCCGGCCGACGGGACAAACGCGGACTACACTACCCATTTGCCTCTTCGACATTGCCTCTCTCGACAGTCGACACAGCCACCACGACGAGTGAGCTACGGCAAGAACCGGCCGGACAACTCCCGACGCGACGGACGCGACGGATCATCTTGTGCCATGATTACCTTACCTGACCCGTTTTGTGCTTCCTCTGTGCTCGGCGGCCATGCAGCGAGACCGGCCAGACTAGACTCAGATTCCACCCCCGGGGCCCCGAGAATGAGATTGTACCCCCTGACAAGGAGCGCGGTTTATCTCGTCGATATTGCCAGGCAGCTTCACGTTCCAACAGGCCAGGCGTGGAACGTGCGGGCGGGCGTATGCCCAGGATATCAGAAAGCTGTTGGCGACTTGCTATCCCGAGGTTGTGGCTAGGGTGGGTTTATGTGAGTTGTCGCCTGCATTTTGATATTGGATTGTTTTTCTTTTGCTGACGCGATGGATGGAAAAAAAAGGTTCTCAATGCCTTTATTGTCATATTTTTCCAAGATCTGATTCTGGGGCGTGTTGAAGAAGTTTGTCGACACCGCGAACGGCGGAGAAGTTGCTCATTGTGCAGACGGTGGATGGATGTATTGTCTACCCTGAGAGAGACGATAGATATTGAGAACATTCCCGCCTAGTATGGCGGGGGACTCAACATCAAGCCGGTGGATTTTGCCACGCAGCTTTGCCCTGGCATTTCTCAAGCCATTAAGTGGGAGGGAACTTCTCTCCGCGAGATCCCCGCTGGGCCTACCAAGTTCATTATTGACGAGCAAGGTGGCAGGAGCATCGTGGCAGTGGGAACCACAACACGACAGGTGGAAAGATCAGGAAGGAACTGGTGGCCCGGCTTCCATGAGTATCTCCCGGGGGGTTTGCATGATGGGTCGATGTCGCGCATTTGCGGCTGTCAAGGCAAGAGACGCCGTCGGGGAAGGGGAAAGGGGAAGGAGATTCCGAGATGCGATGTCATGGGGTTGTGTTGAGCAGTTGGTTGATAGTTGGATGCAACATGTCAAATTTCGAGTCCAGATGATGACAACACACATCAAACGACAATTATTACGAGCATTAACGGGACCGATGTACCTACATGATTTACCCCCACGGCCTCCCGGTGAAGAGGCTCAAGGAGGAGCCCAATTGCTCGGACATGAAACCGGCGTATCAAGACCGAGAATATCAGACCAGATGATGAAGGCTGCGCACAATAACAAGGCTGGCAACACAATTGCTCGCCCCGTATACTTCATCCCAACTCTTCCTTTAACGTCATCTTCTGCCTATGCCAATCCAATTCATTCCAGGCAGTAGTCACCTATTGGCCTCCATTCAAGACAACTTCATCTCATGTTTTTCATTTGCCAACCACCGGCACAATTGCGTGCCAATAACAAGGAAACTTTGTACGAACCGTCGCAACTCCCAGATTCCAGGAATTCGGTATCAATCTTGCCCCAACGTTCAACAAGCAAAGACACGACGAATCGGCAGCACTGGATCCCACTCATGGTTTGATGCCGTTGAAGCGGATGGTTCCCGCCGAGCCGAGGCCTGCACGGCGTTCCCAAAACGGAAGAGCTGTCGTCGCCGGGCTCATGGAAAGCTCGGCTAGGTCCGTGAGGCGAAAAAAGAGACACGTCCCTTGTTTGGGTGTTATTGACAAGTGGGCTAAGAGGGAGCCGCAGAAGATCCTCACGACCTATCTCATATCATTTGTTTGCCCTGAAAAACCGTCTGTCTAGTGCTATGAGCGGGCAATATTTCCCATGCTCGTACTAGTTTTGGAGACTAGCCTACTGCACAGGTCCTGATAGTGTCTGCAAATGTTTTTCCTTCTCCTGACGCCGGTGTTTACTTGTCTAAAAAATCAAAACAAACCCCCTCTCAAGTCGTCGAGCCCCCCTCCTGGCCGCGTTGTAGCCTGGTATGGCAGCTGCATATTGGCATCATCCACAACTTGACGGCCACCCAATAGGACAACACTTGGCCCTACATACCGGCCTCTTGGGGGTGTTCCTTGAAGAGGGTTGCAGAAGCTGCATAACCCGCAGCTGCTGACAGCATGACAGCTCGCTGCCCCCCTGGCAGAACATGTAAGGCATGTTTGGATGCTACCATGACCCAGACGATAGGCCAGAGCCCGGCCTGCTAGTGGATGCAATTATCTGCCCATGCCCAACGCCGCGGTAGATCATCGATCTTCCCCATGCTACTGTCAGATTCTAGGGTGGCATTCTGGCCAGATGTGGGCTAGATGCCAGAGTCCCAGCCACCTGATTTAACAGGTCTTGGCAAATATGGGTTACCCCCAGAACCCCCCATACCAGAGCGCTCGAGTCAGATATACAGAATCAATTAATCACCAGCAAATTTGATAATTAATAGTCTGATATGCAACCTATTAATACAACGATTAGCACGTTTGAATAGTAAACAACAACCGAATTACAATATCCCTCTCAAAGCTTACCAAGACGAAAGAAAACGTCGTTTACTTTAAAGACGGCGATAATTAGTTACGATGGGAACCTATACTCTAATCGAAATATATCCTTAATACTCTTAAAAATTAGCTTTAAGGAAAGACTAAGAAACCTTCCGCACTAAGACAGCCTTATCCCAATCACTACCCTTTAATTAAGGAAGTAAAAATTCGTATTAGTAATATAGAGGCGGAGTTCGTACGTTTCGACGGCGGTATTAACACTTAATTCGTTATCTACGAAGATAGGACTAACTATAAAAAACCTATTAAATACCGCGACCGAAACGAAATCGTAATTAATACCTTTATTACTAAAGACGACCTTATTAATAAATAACTTTACAAATTGGAGGTTAACCTCTATCCCGACAATAAAAAGGATTGGAAGGAATTCGTGGTTAGCAATAAAATATACGTACTTAAATAAAATTGTTAATTAATTATAAATTATAAGATAAAGTTATAAAGAAGGAATATAATACCGACGAATAGTATTGAAATTTCAAGTAAATAACGAACTATAAGGTAGTCGACGACTAAATTAAAAGAAGGAAAATATACTATAAAGCCGTCACTATCCTTACGAAAGAGTTTGAGAATTAAATTAATTAACTATAAATTAAATCTCCCGCTATAAATAACGGCTAGAATAAAGGAATCGGGAAAATTTTCGTCGTTAATTTATAATATTCTAATTTTATTAATATAATTAAAATTATTCGCCCAAGGTAATATAATAGTACTTAAAAATTTAATAAAGAGATGGCCGTTAATATCCTTAAATATATAGAAGTTTATAAAGATTTTAAGCGGTACGGTATCGATAGCGCCCGTTGCAGGGTCGCTGCCGGAAGAAAAGGAATTTATTATAGTATCTTTAGCGCTAGCGAATCGTTTAGTATCGAATACGATGGCTAGAAATATAATAGTAAAAATATAACTATATTAAAAATAAAGACGCTCGTTATGAAAGTAAGAATAAAAAGCCTAAGGGTTTTAATATTAAAAAAAGAAAATTCTCGTCGAATAAATCCGAAATTTAATTATATAAGAAAAGTAATAGTATAATATATAAAATATACAAAAGAGGCTATTATTCTCTTAAAGACTATTAGTATATTAATTTAAGCGCAAGGCCTTTATATATCAAATTATACCCCTTTATTAAATACGTTATTAAAGTCAATTTCGCGAGAAATTTAGAATTCGCTAAAGAAGTAACTAAATTCTCTAAAAAGGAGGAGAAAGTTGAAAAAGAAGAATTAACGTTAGCATAATTATCGAATCGGATTTATAAAGTAACTTTCTAAATTAATAAGGTATTTAAAATTAGCAATAAAATTTACCTTTTTAAGCATTTAACCATATTCGATTTAAGTAATTCGTTCTATATATTTAATAAAATTATTCGTTTTCTTTACTTTCGTTATATTAATCCGGATAATTCTTTATAGGCTAGTAATATTCAAATAGAAATTAAAGAGTTTAGGGAGGTCGATATTGTTATTAAGGGTAAGAATAGTCCTTTAAAGTTGCGGTTAAAGGAAGTTGCCTTTTGCCTTAATTTTACTACTAACTTCGTCTCCTATTTCTAATTACAAAGGTAGGATTTCTATTAGAACTATTAACTATTAAATAACTATTTAAAGAAAGCTAACGGTTTATTCTTTTATTATTTAAATACTATTTACAATCAAACGGTTATTGAAACTATCCCTCTTTTATTTATGAGAGCCTCGTTCGTAGCTCGTCATTATTAGATTAATTTATATACGCGACGACTTTCGAAATAATTAGCGGAAGTATAATATTAATAGCTCGATTACTTAGGTCCCTAAATATTCGACTATTTATAAAATATTAATAGAATATAATTATGTAGTATATTTTTAATTAAATACGACGCGTATAGAATGGTAAAAATAAAACGATAAGTTAGTTACGTTTCGAGAGACCGAAGTTACGGCCTAGGAGAAAGATTCGCTATTAATTTCCTCGACTTTAAATTAGGATTTAAAAGATTATATTACTTTTTTCTAATTACCTATTAATAATTAGGATTAACCTAGGATTACTACCTATTAAACTGAAAAGTTATTATAATAGCCAATACTTTAGTTAGTTATATCCAGATATTTAAATACTAATATAATATTAACGTTAAGACCGTCGAATATAGTAACGAATTTATAAATAACGAAATTAAGGATAAATTCGTCCGGTATAATACGGTCCTTAAATTTTTTATTCCTAATATCTAAGTATAAAATAGAGAGGTAGAATATTTAGGAAGTATAATTAAAGAGAAATGCCGTACGATATTATTTAATTCGAAAATATTACAAGATTTCTAGTTAGAAATTACTTACGCGGCCGTTTACCTCATTAATTATTCCCTTTGTTACCTATATAATTAGAAATCTCCCTTCGAACGATTCTATACTTATATTATAAATTAATATAATTAATAAGAATTACGTAGATTAGATTTAAACTACTTTTAAATTTATAGGTATAAGGTATTTACTATAATAAGCGCTATTTAGAGGAAGGAGTAAAATTTTTAAAAATATAACCTAAAAGTATAGATTAATTATTTTATTAGTTACTTAGCGACCTTAATCTATTATATATAGAATCTTTATATAAATCGGATCGTTTAAATTAGGCATATAATATTCGACGAAGATATTACCTACTACTTAAACGTTAAAAAGCTTGAAAATAACTTTAAAATTATTAGCAAAGAATTCGTTAATTTATTTAATAAATTAAACGAGCCCACTAATTAACCCTCGGGGGTATTTAAATTATCTTATATTGAAAATTATACGCTATCGAATAATATTAATAATAGTAATATTAAACCTCTCCCGTCGAATTTCTTTAATTAAAATTAGGAAGATTATTAAGGGAATTAAGAAGTATCCTAAAATAAGAGTAATCGGTTATAAAAAGTATTAATTTAATAGGTTATTTATAATAAAACATTTATCGAATATATTATAGGTTAATATTTATTGTTTCTATTTACTCCGTTAGCCGTATTCTATACTAGTTATTCTATTAACCGAATTATCGACTAATATTCTTATTATTAAAAATTATAGAAAGCCGCTTTTAATATACATAGATTAGCTTAGTTAATAATTAAAATAAACGAAAAAATAATTATTAAAACGGAAGTTGAAAAGTTAATTATAAAATACAATTATTTTAATAGGGTATACTAATATAATTTTCTCCTAATATTTAAGAAGTACTATAATTTTAATAATTATATATTTAATTAATAATTTAAGGAAATGGATGAAATTCACTTTAAAAGCTATAAGGATATAAAAACGTAGATTAAAATCGACAAAGATATCTCCTATTCTAAATATAAGTAAATCTTCGATTATATATAGGTTTATATTTATAAATTCAATAAAAATAGGATATTCAATAAGGTAAAAGCGAGGCTCGTCGTAAAGAATAATTAATAAAAGAAAATAAGAGTAGATATATACGTATTTATTCTAATTAATTAATTATTTTATATTATTATCGCTTTCACTATTTATTTTAATTTTAAATTTATTTAATATAATATGATTAACGCTTTCGTAAATACTTACTTCGATAAGGAGATTTATATATATATACCACTAGGGTATCAAATACTTAAGAAAATTCTTAAATTTATTAAAACCTTATATAATTTTCGACGAATTCCTTTACTATAGTAACAAAAATTGAGCGGGGTATTTAAATCGATAGGATTGAAAGCGATCCTTAAAAACTTATATATTATAAAGAAAGATAGTATTCTTATACTATCCTATATCGATAATATTATTTTTATATTTGATGAAAATAAGATAAAGGAAATTAAAAAATATACAATAGAATTATAATTATAGTATTACTTAGTAGGAGGAGATAAATCCTAATGGCTTTTAGGTATTAAAGTTACATATAATCGAAATTAAGGAAAAATTTAATTATTTGAAAAGGTATATATCGATAAAATTATTAAATTATTTAAATCTAATTACTGTCCTACCCTAATACTTATAGGGTATAAGAAGTTAATTCTTTATAAAAGTATTATTAACTATGTAAAGATATGAGTGTATTAAATTATAATAGGTTCTTTATTATATATAATAATTAATACTTAATTAAATATTACGTTCTTATTAAATAAATTAGCTAAATATAATTATAATCCTAATCCTACTTATTTGGCGGCGAGCGAGAAGGTTATATAGTATTTAAAAATAATAAAAATATAGGCATTCTATTTTAGTAGGAATAATAGATTCGAAATTACCTTTAACGCTTCGTTTATTAATAATAAAAATAACTGTAAGAGTTCCTAAGGATTTATAATTAAATTATATAGTAGTTTAATTTATTAGGGAGTAATTAAATAGACTGCGGTTATTATATTAATAATAGAAATAGAATTATACGTAATCGAGAAAGTAGTTAAAGAAACCCTTTTTATAAACTGATTAATATTAATATTAGGGGTAAATTTATTAGAGGATCCTATTCCTACTTTATATTATAATAATTAATAAACTATTAGAGTACTTATAGAGGAGACGCCTACCTTTAGTATAAAGATGAGGTATATAAATATTTATAGATCTTAATTAAGAGGAGAGATTTTCGAGAAAAAGACTTTTAATATCGAATATTTGGAAATAAGGTTAATACTAATAGATAGACTAATAAAGGCATTGGGTATTTTAAAGTATAGGAGATTTAGGGAGTTGCTAGGTATAGTTGAGGTACCGCTGCGAGGAGATGGAGGAGGAAATAATCTGGTACCGGGAGAGGTGGATTTCGACGATTTAGATAAAATACTAGGACTAGGGATATAAAACGACGAGAGCAATATATAAATAGCTTTACTTTTAACTTCAAAGAGGAAAAGAAATCTACAAGTAAGGGGGTATATTAGATTCTAGGGTAGTATTCTAGCTAGATGTGGGTTAGATGCCAGAGTCCTAACCACTTGATTTAACAGGTCTTAGCAAATATAGGTTACCCCCAGAACCCCCTATACTAGAGCGCTCGAGTCAAATACATAGAATCAATCAATTACTAGCAAATCTGACAGCTACGGGTTCCCGATACCCGCCTGCCTGTCTCGCAAGTACCCAATAGTAACGTGGGGGTAGCATCATGACAGCTGTGGGAGTTCTTCTGGGTGAAAAGTGATTGGCTGATTATCCATCATGTAGGCACTCCTGCGTTCTGCCGGGGGAAAGAGGCTGCACTGTTTGCATTTTCTGCCCATCATCTCCCCAGACTAACTCCTCTTCCATTGCTGCCCTGCTCCCCGGGCCCGCTGCAGAGTTGACATCTCGAAGCTCAGACTCAAACAGCAGGCCGACCAGTCACCAAAAGGCAGCTGGGAGTCGAGGCCACATCGTGGCCCTTACTGAGCGTGGCTAACCGCAATCGTCTTTCCCCGTTCCACGGTACAGTCACGGCAAAGTTGCGGGCAGGCACGGGTAGCCAGGACTACGTCCCTGCTCGCCACCGGGCTGCTGATGGGGCTGCAAACCGAGAAGCCGAGACCAGGAAAGGCAATGGTCACGTTCACTCCTCCCAGCTGAGCCTCCTGTCACTTGACGAGAGCCGTGAGATATGATAGCTTCCTCTCGGGCCCTGGCCGGACTCGAAAAGCAGGCCTAGAAGATATGCGGCCCGAATGTTTTCCTCGTGCGCTCATTTCAAGAACGAGCAGAATAAGAAACTGGAACTTGCTCCATCAACGGAAAGGAAGGATCGGTCATCCCATCTAGGAAATCCAGCGTCCACAATGAGCATGGTCTCCGCCTTCTCCTGCCTCAACCGCCATCAGGCTCCATCATAATCTCCCGGTGCAAAGAGATGGGATGACTGAATGGGATGGACACTAGGCAAAACAATGGCCCCCTGATACCCACTCCTGGCGCCATGTAGCTTGCGGGGAAGACACTCGTCGACGAGAGATATCAGAATAATACTTAGTCCTCTTGATATCACTGACCCCGTATATCTGTGTTCCAGTCCGAGACACTTGAAACGTGGTGAACCATCATTCAGAGTTCCCATCAGTAACAGCTACCTCCACTTCCTTTGCCTTGCTTTGCACTCGTTCTGTCACATTGCAATTGTCACACTCCCATCGTCTCTCTTCGGATTTACCGAGCACACCTCGAGTCTACACTCGCCGAACTCCGACACTCACCTGTCATCTGAGATCCTATTCACCAAACCTTGGAGGTTCCCGCTCAAAGGCACCGACTTTCCATCTCCTCAATACCGCAGCCGATAACTTGAGCCAACCATATCCATTCCCTGTGAAGGAACAGGTGGTTAGAGTCAAGGCATCCACCTAGAAAATTATCAGGTTATCCCGGAAAGTTCGTCCTCGGCTGCCTACTTAATTCTTGCATGACGAACCAGAAATCCCACCAGATCTGATCGCACCACCCGCACGAGCCCGACGATTTTTTGACCGTTGTCAGGCAGCAAGGAGGAGTTCTTTGAACACTCCCCTCCCGCATCACCACACCACGCCATCGTTGCGGGGCTCCACCGACCCGGAGGGCAGCAGAACAGCCTTTGGAGCAAGACAAGGCCACGCAAGAACGCAGAGCAGCGGTGAAGATTGCGAAGAAGAATTGAGGGGAAATAATCGAAGGTATACGGAGATACTATCGAGAACTTGACGGCAGTTGTGGTGAGAATCGCACACCTGACTGGTCTGGCCATCGCATCAAGGACCTGGACGACGGCGGAGAACAGACGTAAGGAACAGGCTTGCAAAGCAACTTGAACTCACCGCCGACTTTCTCTTCAGCAAGAAGATGTTTATCAGTGACCCAAGACCCTCCCAAGAGGAAGCCGACGAAATGGTTTGGCACAATAACCTCCTCGAAACACCCGCAGTTACTGCTACAACCGGCTTTCCACCTCCTTCTCACAACGGTCTTGACCACGATTGGAACAAATCCGTGAATCTAGAAGACTTCTGTCAAACGGCACACGCCAACGACAACGCCACTGCTTCTCCCCTCCACCACATCCATCACAATCCTCAGTTTGACCCGTCTTCTTCTCACCTGGACATGGACATGGACATGATGACTTCCTTCAACACGTCCTTTGACACCATGTCTGCGAGTTCGCCGTCGGTGGGCGCCACATGGAGCGAATCATCTCCAGAGTACGAGACATGTCGCCAACATGAAGGACATGGAAACAACAACAGCAGCAGCAGCAGCAGCTTCCATCGGCCTTCCACCGAGAGCACCAACTGTAATGACGCACAGTCTTTCTCTCCCACGAGTGACGCAAGCTGGGGTTCGTCTCCCGCTCCGGTATGTGTGGAGTTCTTCTCCTGTTTTCCCTGTCTTTTGTCTCCATCTGTGTCTCTGTCACTGTCTCTGTTTCTGTTTCTCCTTCTTCCCTTCCTCCTCCCGATACACTGCTCCAATTCCTTCCCTTTTTTCTTTGTTCATGTTCATATACAAACAAACCAACATCGAACATGTTACTGATCAGGGATTACTTCCAACAGCAGATCCAGGGCAGCTACATGGACCTTTCGGATACCACCACTGCCACCACTACCATTAGCATCACCTCTCCCAACAGCAGCAGCATGTCTGCCTATCCCGGTCAGCAGCAGCAGCCGCAGCACCAACAGCAGTCAACAGAGCTATCACAACACGGGCTGTCAGATGCGTCTGCGTGCCTAGGAACCGTTGAAACAGACACTCTCTTCAACAATGCCGGCGCTTCTCATCCACAGCAGCGACAAACTCTGTCGGATTTTGTGGTTTGGACATCAGCCCCATCGTCATCACTCGCCTCGGCTTCTTCCTCGTTTGTTTCCCACCCTCAAGCTGAACCAAGGTGGCACCAGTACTCTGTCTCTGCTGAGCCAATGTTGGATGAACCTCGGTTGTCGTCTTCGTCACTTTCACTCGACAACATGTCTGAAGGCGGCCTGTCTACCATGCCCTCCAGCCCCATCAACCCATTCCACAATGGTGGTGGTGGTGCCACTGGTCACCACTCACTTGTGTGTGACGGCCTCCCCAGCCCTACGCACAGCAGCTTCGGACGCTCTTCTGCCAACGGTGGTGTCTCACTTCAGCACCAGCACCAGCACCAGCAGTACCCATCAGTCATGCTCAACGGCGGCCAGCTGGCGGCGGCGGGCGGCGTTCCGTTTGACAGCGGTAATAACTTCTCACATCATCCGTCTTCGTCCCCCTCCTCCAGCACCATTGGCGGCGGTGGTGACATCCTCTTCCGGGGTCCCATTTCCCACCGCACGGTATTTGACTACCCATCTTCGGCGGGTCCTACACACACAAACTTTGACCATGAGACCAATGTCACCCTAAAGGCCGAGGGACCACTGTCCGTCTCGCCTGGCTCGTTCCATGTCTGGCTGAACAACAATCATCAGCAACAACACAAGACGCCTACGCCTCACCCTTCAGTTTCACCTGAATCCTCGCCTATCGGCGCCAACAACACTTTCTTCCAGCACAACAACCAAATGCCATTGCCCATTGACTTTGGCGGCAACAACGCTGTTCAGTTCGGCGGCAGTGGTCATATCAACACCAGCCAACTACACCCCCATTACGCCCAACAAGTTGCCGCCAGCAACCGCAGCACGCAACGCAAGTCCCTGCCTCACAGCCCCCCGCACCGTGGAATGGGCAGCGGTGGCGGCCGGCCACCCAGCCCTCGTTACAACCCCGCCGTCATGACAACCAGAGAAATGCTCCCCTCCTCCCATCCTAACTCTCCCTCCATGTCCATGGCCTGGGCACATCACCAAGGACAGGGCCATCCTCACGGTCTTCCCCATCATCATCCCCTGATGATCAAGCCAAACACCATTCCCTCGCACCATCACCAGCACCCTCACCCCTCACTGGCTTCCATGTCCCACTCCCACTCCCGCAGACAACAACCCTTCCACCACGGCGCCCACCCCTACCATAACAACCACAACAACAACAGACGCCGCGGTCAAGGTCACCACCAAGATAACAACGCAACCGACCATCTCAAGCGCGCCCGAGCGGAACAAGACGCGCTTCTGGTTCGTCTTCGCAAGCAAGGAAAGTCGTACAAGCAGATCCGCCAACTTGGTCGGTTTACCGAAGCGGAGTCGACTTTGAGGGGGAGGTATAGGACTTTGACGAAGAGTAGGGAGCAGAGGGTTCGGAAGCCGGAGTGGACTGATAAGGATGTGAGTACCTACCTCTTTTGCTGGTGTGTGAAGTGTTGATGATGGTGTGGTGGGGATAGAAACCTAAGGGATGTGAAGGCTGACTTGAGTGGAATATAGTTGCGACTCCTCGAACGAGCTGTTAGAGAGCTGGCTAAAGGGCCGTTGAGCGTTACTTACTCTAACGCCTCCAAGAATTCCTCTTCTGTTGGCTCATCTTCGTCGTCCTCGACAACACCCGTTGGTGAGGCGGCCATGAGTATCACCTCCCTCGTCTCTACTTCTTCCAAATCATCCACCACAACTGCCTCCTCGCCCAGCACAACATCGGCCTCATCCCCTAGCATCACCACCACCCAATCCCAAGCCCAAGTACAATCCCAACCCCAAAACCAAAAGCAACCGCAAGGCATCCCAACAACCACCACCAAAATCCCCTGGAAGCAAGTATCCCATTACATCGTCTCGCACGGCGGCTCCTACAAGTTCGGCAACGCCACGGTGCGCAAGCGATGGGAGGAGCTGATGCGCGACCAGCTTGCGCGGGGCAAGGACTTGCAGCGGCCGTTTTGGGAGCAGAGGAGTAAGCGGAGTCCTTATCACTCTCTTTCTCTGTCTCAGTCTCAGTCTCAAGCCGCTTCGTCTTCTTCCGGTTTTGCTTCTAGGGCTGCTTCTACCCGTCAGGCTCAAAGCCAGGGCCAGGGCAAGACTGCTGGTGCTGAGGCTGTGGGGGAGGTTAAGAGAGAGAGGGACGCTGCTGCTGCTGCTGCTGCTGGTCAGGTGAAGAGCGAGAGGGAAGAGGGGAACGAGGATGGCAATCTAGCCTACTCCGATTGGCTCGACATGAGCGCCTTGGGCGATGATGCGGATGAGAACCATAACGACAACGAGGGAAGTAACAACGGCACTGATGGTGATGGGGACTACGACCTTTCTGATGCGTCGGACTCTGAGGAGGAGGAGGAGGAGGAGGATGGGGATGCAGATTCGGATGATGATTATATGGAGGAGTGATCCTCCTCTTTCCACCCCCTTCCTCCTCCGTCCATCCACCACCATCCACCATCCATCACCCATCATCCAAAATCTACCTCAACTGGCCACAAGTCACTCGACTACCTGACAGACAGACATGTGTTGTACGAGTATCTTACCCTACTCTATCAGTACTGCACGCACTTTTGTACCAGTACGTATTACTGGGGTTCATACAAGTACTACAAGCACATACATATACGCATACATGATGGACAAGACAACAAACACATGGCAAGGACACTAGAAGGGTCGGTTGGTTGGTGGTAGACAAGTAAGGATAGAGGGAGAGAGAGGAGAGGAGCCGATGGGGAGAGAGAAGGGAAACAAAGGAACAGAATAAATAGAGGATAGGGCATCAAAATAAGCAATGGAAGGAAAGGAAAACGGAAAGGGAAAAAGGGGAGTCAAAAGGACCTGGCGTTGCATTTCGGTACATACCACAGTAGCTATGACTTATTAGGAGTTTGGTCATTTCAGCGGTTTTCATTTACCCGTTTTCCTGTCGCTTTTTTTTGGTGTTTTCTGTCGTTTTTCAGTCGTTGTTGTGGTGTTCAGGCTCGGTTTGGTTCGGTTCGGTTCGGGAACAAAACGAGGAGGAAATGGAAATGGAAATAAATGCAAACGGTCGTCACTGGAGCTTGACTGACTGACCAGGGCGTGATCAGGCGTTAGCTAGATAGATAGATAAAACTGAGTTGCTGTAATTATCGATTTCGAATAATAGAGGACTGCTTGATTGATGGCATCGTTCATTGCTGGAGATGGTGATTTGTCGTCGTTCAGTGTCGATGCCCAAGTCTGGACAACCGGAGAAGCTCGTGAACGCTCTTCAACGTAACCGGTATCTGGCACACAGGATGCAAGAGGCCCGACTCCCGCCTCTCCAACGGATAGAAGTGGACGATCCAAACGGACATCCAGCACTTGTGTCCAGCACTTGTCCACCTCCCCACATCACCTCACAACACCCCCTTCCTCCCCTCCCTTTTGCCCTTCCCCTCTCTCCTCCCCCCTTCACAGTCATTAGGCACCCCAATCACCCCCAACAACTCCCCCACCCTCTCCGGGTTCCTCCTCAACGCATCCCACTCCCTCTGACTCTTCACCAGCGCCGTGCCCGCCAACACAGTCCCATTGAGCGCCAACTTACCCACCACTTCTTCCCCACCGCTCTCCATATTCTTCTCAACAATCGCCGCCCCCTCAGCTAACCTGGGAATAATAACCATCACGTCCCGCGTCATGGCCAGGTTATAGGATATCGTTGCTTCGCCGCCTGTTTGTATCTCGTCGACCTCTCCCTCTCCCGCTGGTGCCTCTTCCGCTGTCGTTGAAGTTTGCTGTGGTTGGCTTTGGCTTTGGGACTCGGATTGTGAAGACAGCTGATATTCCCTCACGACTTCCCTAGCCCGTCCATACAACCCCAAATAAACCCCATGCAATTCCTCCCCCGTCATTTGCGGCGTCAACCGTTCCGCGAAAGTCTTAAACGGCAGTTTCTTTTCCGTTTCCTTGTCCTCAATTAACCGCTGCGCCAATACCTCCCACATCTTATTCTTCCCTTCCTTCGTTTCTGTTTCGACACCCTCCAACCCCTCCCTCATTTTTTGGACTACCAACAGCTGTAAATGCCTATGCGGCTGTGAGGCGCCCGAGTGTTGGCCGCAGTTGAAGAAGGCGAATAACTTGCTTCCGGTCTCCTCCTCTTTTTTATCTTCTTCTTTTCTCTTTCCCGCCTCATCTTTCTCCTCCTCCCCACCAGCGGAATATTGTTGGTACGCCTCGATACAAGCCCTCGTCGCTTCCAAGTCGCTCTGCTCAAGCAGGTGCGTCTGCTCCTTATACTCCTTGGTACTCAAAATAAAGTGTTCCGGCACGATGGCGAATTTGTTCAGCACTAGGTTGTGGTGGGGAGGCAGCGGGCAGACGAGCATAGACGGGAGCGGGTTATCGAAGGGGTCGAAGACGAGCTTTTTCTTCGGTGGTGGTGGTGCCGCATCGTCGCTGATGTTTGTTGGGAGTGGTGAACCGACGGAGGTGGTGGAGGGAGGAGAGGGAATGCGGTGGTCGATTAGTCCGACGGGTTTGGGAGCTTTGGGCTTGTTGGCTAGGGAGGGGGAGAAGCGGAGTTGGAACTGGTTGCGAGGGAGGTTAGGATAAAGTTTGAACAGGATGGAAGCGTCAGGTTCCGGGGACAGGTACGGAATATGGGAGAAAAGAAACCACATACAGGAATGGAATTAACGTCCACCAATGTGACTTGTGTAGGATAAAAGTTGACATCCCCTGATGCGCGCGCCTTGTTGAAGGCAGTCCGGACGAGCTCGGGGAGGTTTGGCGGGGCTTTGATTGGCGACATATTGGTGTCTGCGTATGTGTTTGTTTCTGTCATCTGCGATGCGATGCGCGCGTATAATTGACTTCTACGTGTGCTCTCGTGTTCTGTGGTTGTCGCGCGTGGTCAGAAGAAAGTTTGGAGAACGTGGGGTCAATTGTTTGGGACCGATCGCCGCGAATAGCTTCTATGAGGTCATTGGTGGTCCGTGCGCTGGCCCCTGGTTCATGATGGTTCATGATGGTTAATGGGATTAGGGGAAACAGTAAAACATCGATATTACAAGTAGTCTATGCTATGCCACCGTTGCAATGCTACGGGTATCTCATCCTTCCTGGACTCAAATGGTTGTCGTCCAGCACCAAACATCCTCCTCTAACAATTCATGACTATGACTTAAAGACCAGGCAGTCCAACGATTCCACGCAACGCCGGGACAAAGCGCGGCACGATGTACGTAAAGTACAATCCCATGAGCGCGACAAGAAGCCCAGTAAGCTGTTCACAAGTTAGCAATCTGCTTCCCCAATACCTTCGTCAACGGGGAAAACGGGGAGAAACTCACCTTCTCAAACCACGTATGAAAGTAAATCGCCGTCATCAACAACATCCACGCACTCAATCCCACCACGCCCAAGACCATCTTCCCCCCATGCCCCAACGCATCCCACAGTCCCCCTCCCGCAACAACCACCTCCCTCGCCTCCCTAGCCTCATCCATCTCCGGGCTATAATCATCCCACCTCTTCTCCTCACCCGTCGTCGTCTCCCGAGGCAAATCCGTGCCCGCACTCTTCACAGCCCCATCATGCATCACCACCGTCCTCTCATCCCTGACATTCCGTCTCCAATAATGCTTCGCAACAACCCATCCAACCTCCTGCACCAAAAACGCGCTCCCCAACACCAGCAAAAACACATGACCCGAGATATCGTGTCCGCCCTGCCACTTGCCTCCCGCGGCTTTACACGCCGCCGCCGTGACGAACTCCTTGAACCCAGCCACATCCACCACATTACCCCCTTCACCTCCCTGGCCTCCGACAGGACCAGGCATCGAATCCGCCTTCACCTGCGCATTCACCCTCCCCTGCGCCTCCTGACACTTTCCACCAGTAACCCTGAACCCGCGATCGACAATCGCCGGACCAAAGAACCACTGCGTGACAAACACCCACCAGAGGGTAACCAGTGCCCATCTTACCGTCGCCCTGACCTTGCTCCCCATCCCACTTCCACTTCCACTCCCTCCCCGGACCCCGTTGTAACCAGGGTGCGTCAACAAAAACCCGAAAAAAGAAACAGTAATCCAGAACCAAGCCCTCTTCACAAAAAGGACATTAAACAGATTATCCTTTCTCGCAAAATACGACGGCACAGCGCCGGAATCTTGGACGTGCGATTGCGAGATGAAGTCGTAGGGACTGGAGCGGACACTGGGGTTGAGGAAGGAGAAGAGGGTGCCGAAGAGGAGGAGGGTGGGGTAGAGCGCGAGAGCGACGAGTTCGGTGGGGGTTGGGTAGTAGGGGTTGTTTCGCTGTTGTTGGCCCCGAGAGGTGGAAGAGGACGAGGAGGTGGCCCCGTTGGACAGTTCGGGGGACGTCATGGTGTTGGTAGGTTTGCGCCGGGTGAAGGTTGCGGAGGGTCGGTCGGGGGAGGAGGGGACGGCTGCGGCTGATGGCGCGTCCATTCGAGTGGTGTGGTTAAGTTGCCGACGGTTCTTTTCTTGTTTGAGTATGGTGCGAGTTGATATTGGTTCGCTCGCTCGACGTCAACAGTCTTGTCTTCGTTTCGTTCGGATATCGAAAGGGAGAGTGACTGCAATGCTGTGTCTTCTTCAGGGAGGACGTAAAGTTGTAAAGCGATCGATGCGCTGAAATGTTCGAGTAATGACAGTTTTGGTTTTAGGACGTAGTTGAAATCGCAGAAAAAGAAGTCTAGGTTGAAGTTGGCGAGAAAGAGATCAGCAAGAAGTTGTGACGATATTCTTGCTGTCGTCCGGCCTTGCTCTTTGGACGGAGAGCAAGGAGTGTGTCGCGATGCAAGATTGTTTGAGGGAGGCCGCTATGACGTTACTGTATCGGGCTTGCCTGCCCCGTTTGCGCCGGTCTTGCCAAGTTGCGAATTCGCTATGACTGCGACCGAGGCTTGATGACTCAGCAGCGCACGTGCATTTACCGATACGTGACAGCGGCAAAAACCCTAACCCGTGGAAGCAGCTAGCACAATCAGGAGACATCTTCGCTATGAACGCCATCAAACGCCATCCCCGCCATCACCACCACACCATCACGTTGTCACTCGGCCACTCGAATATTTAACAAAGAAGTCCTTTGAATAAAATCTATTTTCGGCAGTCTTCACTCATACGGTGAGACGCCATATTATGTTCAGAAAGGGTGCTTGCTATATACTGATCCTTTTCTAACCACCCATTTTCCATCGTGCTCAACACAAATGCCTTTCCCAACCTTTTGGTATCATATGTCAAAGTGAAGCCGCCAAAGTTATCTGATGTGTACCCTCCATTGTGACCCTCTCTGTTGTTCAAAGTGAACGCCATGATGCTGAAAAAAAAAGCAAAACAAAAAACCGGGGTATAAAGGCGACCTGATTTCAGGCCGTTAACAAGAATCGAAAAAAATGATTGTCATAAGAAGTGAATCCAAAACTTTCCATTCCATCCAGAGGGGTCACAGACCAAGAACCCCTTCGCGCTTGCACAGCACTACTCACGGCCCAACCGCCTAGGTCGAAGACCGGAACAGCGCCATCGTCGCGCAAAAGTTGTTCCTGTTATCCTTATCCTCCGCCATGCTCTTGCCGTCGATAGTCAGCATGTTCACACTAGCCTTGGTGCTGAGACCAAAGATGTTGACCGCGCTGTTCTCGAGGGAGACCATGTTGGTTTGGCACGACTCGGTCTTGAGGCAGTCCTGGCCGTAGTTGTCGAAGAAGGAGTAGAGACCGGCGCCGTAGATGAACACGTCCTTGGAGTTAACGGCGCGGACACCCCAGGAGCGCTCGCAGGTACCGCTGGTGTCGCCCTGGCAAGACTTGGAGAAGTCAGGGTCGTCGTACTTGGCGTTGACGTCGAACGGCTTGGTGGCGATCGGGTTGCCCTGGAAGTAAGGGGTCTCGGTCTGGATCAGAGCGAGGTAGACGTTGGAGGCGTTGGAGAACTGGTAGTTGTAAAGAACGGAGTGCTCCGAGGCGGTGGCCCAGCCCCAGACGGGACCCTCACCCTCGATGAGGACACCGCGGCCGTTGAAGACGTCGATCTGCTGGTTGTTGGCAGCGGGCTCGAGGTCGTGGTCGGCAACCCAGTACCAGGTGTTCTCGAGGTAGACGGAGCCCTTGGGAGCGACGTGGAGCATCATGAAAGAGCCGAAGCAGGCCTCGGGAATGGCGTTGGTGGCGTTGGGGTTCTTGGCGCACTGCTCGAGCTGGAGATCAGTGCCGGCGTAACCACCGATACGGGTGTGGACATCCCAAAGAGCGGCGTCACCCTGCTTGGTACCAGCGAGGTTCCACTCCATCATGATAGCACCGGGCTGAGGGCCAGCAGTACCAAAGATGAGATCGGACATCTCGACGGCGCCAGTGTCACCGGGCTGACCGACCTGGAAGACAGGCTTGGGATCCTTCTGGTCCTTGAAGAACTTGTCACCGCCAGCAAGAATCACGGGCCAAATCTCACCAGTGATCCTGATGTTCTTGGGAACCTTGATGGTCTTGGTGACGAGGTAAGCACCGTGGTCAAAGTAGACAACCTGGTCATTGGTAGCCTTGTCAAAGACGGCCTGGATGGCGTCGCTGTCATCAGTCTTGCCATCACCCTTGGCACCGGCAGACTTGACGCTCACGAAAGAGCTGGCGGGAACGTTCTCGTACTGAGGCTTGGAGCGGGTGAAGACCTTGCCAGTGCTGGAGTCAAGGAGAACATCAGGCTTCTTGATGGTGCTCTGGGGGCTCTGAACAGCCTTGCCATTGCCAGGGACGCCGGGCTTGCCAGTGTAAGCGCGTCCCTGGGCAAAGAAGCCGACGGTCTGGCTGCCCTCGAGGATAGTAGCCCCGGTGGCATTGTTGTAGACGGCCTGAGCGGTACCGGACATGTCAACGTTGTCAAGGATGAGAGTGCCGTTGGTCTGAGGAGACTCGGGGTCATAAGCGGTCTTGATGCCGATGGGAGTGTTGCTGAACTTGCTGTCGACAACGAGGACGGAGCCAACAGTCTGGCCGGTAGGACCACCGTTGGACATGTCGATACCGACTTGGCAGTTGTTGATCTTGACGTCCTGGAAGGTCCAGGCCCAGTTCCAGTTCATGAAGATGGCGGTTTGGCAGTCGTTGAAGGTGAGGTTGCGAGTGGTGAACTGCTGGTTACCGAAGAAGGCACCATATCTGCCGCCGTTGAAGGTCAAGTCGCTCATGAAACCGCCCGAACCGTTATCCATGAAGATACCCTGCTGAGTGTTCTCGGCGCCACCATCCTTGCGCATGTTGAAGACAATGTTCTGCAAGCTCGTGGCCTGGGCAACCTGCCAGTGGATACCGGCGCCCCTGTTGACAGGCATCTTGGTGAGGTCGATGACGAAGTTGCGAACCTGACGGAAGAAGTTGTTCTGGTTAACCCACCAGTTGTCGCCCGTGTCCGAGTAGGGATCGGAATCAATGACAGCCATGCCCTCGAAGCTGGGAGCGGCCTGGATGGTCGGGGGGCTGATGGCATCGCCAACAAGCTGAGTGTAGTAAAGCTGAATGATGGGCTTGCTGACGACATAGGTACCGGGAGGGAAGTAAACAAGCGCGGGGGTGGTCGTGCTGGAGGAGCAGCCCTGGGCGCATCGGTTTCCGTCGGAGATGGCCTTGTTGATAGCCTCGGTGTCGTCAGAGGATCCATCGCCCTTTGCGCCGTAATCGCGAACATTGCGGAAAACCTTGTAGTTGGTGGGGTCCTCGTTGAATGGCGCGACACCTTGATGTTGGATACTGCTCAACCACCAGCCGCCCGTAGCCTGACGGGGTGCTGGAGCCGCCAGGGCTGGAGCAAATAGCCGAATGGCCAAGAGGAAGAAAGTGAGGATTGATGTGAGGCCCATCATGATGTAGAACCAGCTATATCTTTTGGACTTTTGTTTGTGTGTAAACCGGGGATTGAGGCTCCGGTACTGTGCGAAGGTGAATATTAGCGAATGTGCCGGTAGAACGATTGTGGAAGTTTGGAAGATGCGGAAAAGAATGAGGACAGGGGAAAGATCAGGGATGCCACGCGGCTTGATAAAGAAAAGGGAAGGGGCGAGTAAAAGGCACCCGCCGAGATGGACAATAGGACAATGCCCATCTTCCCTTTGTTCACACTCAATGAATAGGGCCGACTGCCAGCGCCTATTGAGTAATCACAGCCCTGTAAATGCGCCGACAACAGCACACTAGGGTACCCGTGGTCCGTCTGATCCCTCAATAGGGCACTTTTGAGTGTGGCACTTGGAGGTGCGTAATGCAAGTGGGGGTATGTGTGAAGTTGATATCGGATGACAGGTACTTGTAACTCACCTTGCTGGTTGAAGATGCTGATGAAGAGCCAACACGGCTGGCCAAGTCGGATAGAAGGAATGAAAAGAAGGAATAAGTAGAATAGAGAAGAGAATGAAAGTGGTTGGAATGACTTGGGCAAGGCCGAGCCCAATGGTGGTGAGAATGAATGTTGGTGTCCAGATGGGATGAAGTATGGTTGGGAGGACGACAACTTATACTAATGCGTCTGCAGGAGCAGTCGCATTCGCATATGGCTTGAGGGTGCAGAGGCTCTGCCTCGTCGTGTGGATCAGAATCGTAGTCGAAGACCTGGCCGGGCGTCTCTCCCGCCCCCATGGCCATGGCAGTACTACTAGGGTACAAGGGGGAGTGGTGGCAAGCGATAGCCGCCTCGCCGTGGTCTGGCGTGGAGGTGCCCATCATGGACATGGGTTTCTCACGGGAGCTCTCGAGTGGGACCGCCATGCTAAGCTCAAGCTGTGGTATGTCTGTACCTGGATCCGCAACATGGCCATGCGTTAGTGATGTTTCCTAGGTAAGAAAGGTATGGACCAGGTCCCTTGTCATGTCGAGCATGATGTGTTGTTTAGGTTGGTACTGTAATAGCAGGAGGCGATAGGGCAGATGGCAATGAAACACTGGCAAGGTCAAAGCGCTGCCATGGTGATGGTTTCTGAGAAACAACCGCCGAGATGGTACCTAGCAGCTTGGACAGGCTAACAATAGGCGCGTCCTTCATCAGAGATAAAACAAAGAAACACGGGGTTCACATGGTGGTTGGTGTACAAGTCCTTTGAAACTCAAACAAGCTAGGGACTAGCTCGGGGCATGGGCATGGGGAATGGAGACTTGAGCAAGGTAACGACTAAAAACGGGAGCCTCTTCTCCAACCGCTGGGAAGGTCAAAGAGAATTCGATTGGCTGTGGATGGTTGGGTACCTGGATGCTGGGCTACTGGCTGGATGTGGCAGAGCGGGATCGGACGAAGAAACGGGCCAGATCTGGCGGGAAGAGAAGAGAAGGTTGTACACACCACTTTCACCAATTCAGGGGTTTCGTCAATGCAACCGCCAGTCCACTCGATACCAGGGAACACGCCTGGTTGACGTGCCGCTGGTGTGGATTGTGGATTGTGGATTCTGCGTGTAGTGGCAGTGTTGTTGAGGATATCTACTCGTTGTAAGGCAGAGATAGTTTGCTATCTGCAAAAACAGTGACCGGCCGTATGCGACGGACAAGACACTGACCAAGACGGTTTCCGACCTGGACTGTCTGATTAGGGTGCCGGGTAAAAAGTAAATCAGATACAGCGGTGAGTCAACAAAGAAGCGAGCGAGTTGGTTATGTGCAAGAAAGGTGGGTTGTTGGAGTGGTGGTTCAGTTCACCAACTTTCACTTTTGGTGTTTCGATGATGTGAAAGGAGAAGTGTCGTCGGGTTGCAAATGATGAACAAATTGGGCAAGCCGCGGTGCATTGGTCAACCCACTTTGAGCGTTGGTCACTGCGTCAAATCGAAAAGCCAATGATCGTCGAAACACTTCTTGGCAGGCAGCTGGCTCGTGCACTCTCATGTTTCACGGTTCCTGGCGGGCTCTTTTCCTGTTTAGGTTTAGCCTGAGCTAAGGTACGTAATTTTATTGCGGGGTTCCAAAAAGTTCCCCTTTTTTGGGCGCTTCGAATTTCCACTTTGAATTCTCATTCAAGCTGACCTAACTTGCAAGTCAACTCCACCATTTTGATGCATTTTAGATTCGACCTCTCAACACCAAATCTCTTTGTCGAGGAGATAGAGATCACATCAATCACAAACTTTCTTTCCCTCATTTCTTCGGTTGTCATCACCTCTCTTGTTTCGCCCCCGCAATTCGATGCGCATGGACACACACATCAGTGCACAATGATCAGCTGCCACAAAAGAGCTCGGCTGTTAAGTCCAACTTGACTCGTTCTCGCCTGTCCATGGATTTGTTTCAAACAAAGGTCCCTGCCTCGCTTCCAACTTTCTAGACGTACAAAGGCCAGTCGTCGACCTCCTGTTCAGTGATCATCAGCGCCTGATTGGGTTGGTCCGCGCGTTTGAGATGTCGTTCCTTGCAGCCCCTGATCCCCTTTTGGCTGGCTGCCCGTTCCTGTGCCCCTGTCACGGCCAACAGCTCAACCAGAATCCCCGCGCCAATCGTTTCTCTTGTTTCCACCGTTGCCGCGCCATCTGCGCAATCCCCACAAATCCACAATGCGATGCCATGCGATGCCCTGTGCCAAGTAAAACGATTCCCAAAGAACCTCCCCTGGCCCCCGAGCCTCACCACCAACAGACAAACTCGCGATACCAACCTGCCGAGCACCGTTACCGGTGTAACACCAAGTCCCGTCTTGGGATCTGGTTCCTGGTGTTCCCCTTCCTTGAACATGCCCCTGGCGCAATCCTTCGACTTCCATCATGAGCACCTGTTGACCTCCGGGTTAATATCCAGACCCCAAGCAGAGGACTTTCGGAGAAACAAAACATCTTGTTTGCTAGTCAGGCTGAGTCTGTCTCGCGGCTATTACATGGGGCCATGGGGGCCGCAGCTGTCGTCCGTCAGACTCGGATATATGACTGCGACATTCTATCTTATAACGCACCGCTTTGTTCCCCTCGGTCCTTGTTCACTGCCCACCAACATGGCCATACTCGGTTAAAGACCCCATTTGCATGTTTGTCTTTTTGGGGAACCCCAAGTGCTACCTTCTCCTCTGTTGGTATCACCGGGGTACCACCCTGCAATTTCAAACCGCGATCACCAATTCCCACTCACAGTGTCAGCAACCTCTAGATGGCAAGACATTACTGCGTGATGACTTGGCCCGTCGCCGGTTCCCACTGCGGGACGATTCTCGACCTCTTCCCGTTTGGTAACTACCCTTTTCTGCCTTCCAGATTCGCCGGTTCGGCTATGTTGTGCTCGACAACACATGGCGGCACCAAACGCTGGTTGAAGAGTCACAAAAGATGATCAGAAGGGGGATAACCAAGGCAACCAAAGTAACCAACAACCCCTTTCACGGCCTTCATCGGAGAATCATGTCCATCATTCATGCATGACATGTAAAAATGCACTCTATCTCGCCATGTGGCGTGCTCACGTTCGAATCAACGCCCCCTCATGGCTCGTTTACACGACAGGCCAATACTTGTTTCTTTCCGTTCACCACATTCTGCGTACCTGCTCCGCTCAAGCTGGAATCTAGACCTTAATTGCTGATCTTATACCCAGGTACCAACTCAACTTCATTGGTGAGGCAGCTCGGTATGATGTCGAGCTAACAATCTGTTGGTTAAGGCACGGCAGATTGGCCAATATGTCGTTACTGCTATAATGTGGCGAACGTGCCGTGGAAGGCGGTTCATGCTTCAACACGGCACGGAGGACGGTAGTCCCCCTCCGATAGGCTTTTGTCGTGGCCCGTTGCACCGCTTTCCAAGTCCGGGCGGGGAAGTCTCTGTTCCGGATGGTGATGACGGGGAAAATCTCTGGTTTCGGCAGTGCTCCGTTTCTCTTTTTTGCCTTTGACGCTGCACATCGTCGTCACACTTCATGCCTGTCCCTTGCTTCCTTACTCGTTTTCTGAGAATGGAGTCAAACTCGGTTCATCCCATTACCTTCTCCAGATTTGAGATCTCAGTGGCGTTCTGATAAGCTGTCAGGATTCTGGCCGTTGTCAAAAATGCGAAGACAACAGGGATTTCGAGTGCCCTGCCTCATACTCAGCAGAAATATGATACACTGATCGCATCCCACGACTATCACAACTCTCACCGCACACCGAATCAATAACTGACGTTCCCGTTGTCGTATCGGTTGCTCATGCACAACCACTCGGCCCCAGTATTCCACCAAAATCTTATGCTATCATTCTCATTGCTTTCTTCTGAGCTTCCCCCCCATATCTCCTTTGAAGAGTACATGCCCCTCTTAATGTCACCAAAAAGCAATCTATCCCCGACACCGAAACCCCCATCACTCCTCAATCACTCTTCATCTCCTGATTATACTATCCAATCCCCGGCTTGCCCTCTTTCCAAGGTGCGCCTGACCCCAAAGTTGTGTGCCGTTCACAGGCTAGACGGGATCGTGAAACACTGAACGCCCAATCCTACCTGTCCTCGAGTACACATGAGGAAACCACATTACCATTTCTTGACATCCATCAGTCATATCACTACGTCCTACTGCAGAGTGTCTGGTGTCCTAGACCCCACACGTGCCTGGCAGTTCCCGAGTCCTGACCAGAATATGTCAGGCACAAAAGGCGCAAGAGGCACAGAGCACGTACGAATCAGAGTCCACCCTGGAGAGACTCGGACCAGACTCGGCGGGTGTGCATTCAACCTGGGGTCCTGGGCTCAGATCTGGACTCGGAATCTGAAACGTGAAACAACCGCCAGGGAGATTAGATAGGCTCAGGACTAGGTAGCAACGGGAGCTCAGAGCTTCAGGATGATGGTAATTGACGGCGAGTTGGCTCGGGAACTAAATGTTCTTGCGGCGCCGCGTCCGCATGTGCCAGACTCCGACTCCCTCTCAAATACCCCGAATACTGTGTGTTTTTCAGATTCATTTCGCCAGAGATAAGAGAAGATGAGACGGGTTGCTCTCTGCTGAAGAGGTCATGTAGGTAGGTATCCTTGGTAGAATCCGTTGGCTCTTATTATGGAGGCGATGGTTTCTTTGACTGCGGTCAACTGAAGCAGCCCAAACATTGGATGATTGAGCAATACGTTGAGAAGTGGCTCTCCAGGTCCTCAAGGATTGAAATATGTACGGAATGATAGCTCAACAAATTATCCGTCAATAAAAAGGAGTGTACATGCCGTGTATGGTCATCACTAGTTTTGTTTCCCAGCTGGCAAGTTCGATCCTGCGAACGAAGGTCTGGATTCGACTTTCCAAATGCCACGATCACACACACACCCAGGAGCCATGAACCGAGACCACGAGACAAATCACCAGTGGCTCCGACCTATATTTGTATTGCCACACAAGCGAAAGTAAGCAGACTCAAACCGAGCACACCTCAATGAATTGGCAACATTTCTCGCAACCCAAACCTCACTCATCTTGCTCTCAATCTCGTCGGTCTCAACCCTATCAAAGTAGGTTCCTTGGGATAGATTCCTTCTTTTCTATCGTTGACTTTCCTTCCTCATTGTTTGCTCTTTCCTTTCCTGCCCTTTCCTTCCCCCCCTTTTTCTTTGCCACCCGTTCCTTTTCCACCCGTTTCTTTTCCACCCGTTTCTTTTCCACCCTTCAAGTTTTCTCTTCCACCCTCCATACTAACCCAATGCTTTGCGTTTTCTTGTCATTATATTACTTGTTCCCTTGCCTGTACGGCCCGCATGACTTCCTGCAGAGAGGGATGAACGGTAACGATGCCGCGAAGGCCTTCATGAACCGCGGAGAAAGTTCCTCGAAGTACTCGTCCCTCCCATATGGATTCAAGGTCAATCAGAAGCTTTATGCCCGTTTGTCGAATAAGTGTCGAGGTGGTCTTTTGCGAACAGATCGCTTAGATACGGATAGAAGTTGTGCCTTGTCCATGGTCCAGGATTCCAATCTGAATTGTCTAGGCCTACCCTGATCCCTTTCAACCATGGCGTAGTATCCCTACTGGCCACGGCTGCTGTCAGACCTTCTAGTTGTGGCCGGAGCTGAACCTCTCTGATGTCGATTTGCGTGATGTCCAGCGACTCCAGACGTGGACATCCTTTGACCAGTCTGACAAACTGTTCTTTGATAAATCGTTCTGGTGCCCGCTGTAAGGCACTGTGACAGATCCGCAAGACCTTGAGGTTTGGGAAATAACCAATAGTCTGAATGAGGTAGTCGTTAACGCCCATGTTGTTTGGTTCATTATTGAAGAGGGTGTCGATCAGTGGCACATACTCTATGGACAATGCTTTGAGTTGCTGTGAAACAGGTCTCAAAGTGAACAGGATCCGCGCGGGGCCAAGAAAGGGGAAGTCGAACGGCCTCGCTCTCCCGATTGTTGGGCTGGCTTCAGATGTAAACACGAAGCGTTCCAACCTGGGGCAAGCCCTGATAATCTTGAGTAGATCCCCTGGCCTCAAGAAAGCGCAATAATGAAGCTCCAGTGAGCTGAGGTTCTCTAGTGGATGAATGGAAACTGTTGCCTTGTCACTGCTCGAAAATGCTGTGAGGGTCAAGTGTCGGAGGTTGGGGGCGCGATTGACGAAGGAGACAACCTCCTCGATTGGAGTAAGTAAATATATGAACAGTTCAACCTCTCTCAGGCTCCGAGGTGGCACATATGTTGATGCTTCCAAGTTCGCGGCTTCCAAGTTTGGAAACGCAACAGACTTGGGGACCGTATCCCTCCACAAGAATTGCTGCTTGCGAAAGATAGTCAAGTGATCGAGCCGTCTTAGGTTGCGGCAGTGACAGACCATCACCACCGGGATGAGGTCGGTCAACACGTTCAAGACGTCCAAGAACCACGAGTCCTTGTGTGCCATCTTGCTCAAGAATGGGATGTACTTGTTGATCAAGTTCATCAGCGTCGAGTACGACTGCAGTTCTTGCGCCGACATGGACAAAGGGTACCGCTCAAGATCACAGCGATCCAAGAACGTTCTCAAACTGTCCTCAACTTTGGTGTTCTCAACTTTGGTTTGAGGACTTGCTCCAGAATATCCAGTTAGTACACTGTACACTTCCAACTTACTCATCAAGGTGTATCGGGCCATGGAGGAGGGACTCACGCTCGATAAACCCGAACCAGGTCAGCGAGCCCGTTCTCTTCGGCAAGTATACGAATAAAACTGTACACCCCCTGAATATCTCTGTTGAGGCAATTCCCTTGAAGCAGAAACGGCTCCTCGTAAAGGAAGGGTTTGACGATCTCGTTGAGGCGACGACAAGTACGAGAAAGTCCGGCCAAAGCATTGATTGCCTCGTTCATGGGGGTATTATAACTGTTGCTATTATAACTCGTCATCAGCCACACCCGAAACTATCCCAAGTTTTTGAAGGCAGCCAGTCAGTCAACTTACTTCCGTTCGCTCATCGACCTGGTAGGAGGCTGGTCATCTGGCCCCTTGGCGTCGAGGTGGAGCTGCTCGACAATCAAGAGGAGGATCTCGGTGGGAAGGGCGGAGAAGGAAGGAGAAGGAGGGGGAGGAAGGTTCGCGTGTGTGCCGGCTAGATCCATGATGGGATCGGTAGGTTTTGGCTTCATCTTGGTTGCGGAGTGGATATTTGGCTTTGGCCTGGCGTGAACTGGGGCCAAAATACCCCCAGAGGGCGCTTTTGGCTGCGATCGAGGTGGTCAGCTGCCTTGGTGCTGTTCTTGTTCCTCTTCGGTAGCTCGGACTCAGCTTGGTTGCAGTCTACAATCCCAAGCTCGGCCAGGAGCGAAAGGGAGTGGAATTTTATACCCCTACATAATGCCGGTGTTGAGGCTCAACGCCATCGCCATCTCCAGGGAAGGTATGGGTCGTGTATCACTTCCAATGCAGTTGTTCTCTTCACTTTACAGACGAGACACTCACGGATGACGAGCTTGGACTGGACCGTACGGAGGTGAGCGGAAGACACCTACTCAGTCGCGGTTTCTACTCCTGGTCTGACACTGACGTCTGTCCGGGCCCTCGAAACCGGGATCATTGAGTGTGTGTAACACGGAAGTGCTCGCTGCGTGGTATTGAGAGCCGGACGCCGACTCATCAACTGCTGGCATCTGCGAGTGAGTGACTGCCATCTGGACGCACTCGCATGTCTGCGTTTGTTTGACAGCGAGGTCAAGAAAGGGTGAAGGTGTTGGTTTGGTGAACAAGGTAACGACTTTATAATTGAGATTATCACGATTAGTATATCGCAAGGGGGACATCACGCCGAACCGAAATCCTGAATCCAAGGCCCGATCCGGGTCAATTCGTTACGCCGGATCTGGAATGCCCGGGACCCACTTTATCGGCCATGCCGAAATGCCAAGACCCGGACCCGGCTCGGGCCCGGCACTGGAGGGCGGGTCCGGCCAAGCAATACCTAACCCAAATCGTCAGTGTAACCATCAAATCTTATTGGTCATTATCTCTAAAACAAGCTCATTTCCTCAACACCCACTCATCTTCGTCCCCATCATCTGTGAGATCATCTTGTCCCTGAGGTAATCAGGGTAATCAATCCGACCATCCACCAAACAAACAGCGTCCCGAAAACCAGACTCCCCGAAAACCAGACTCCCCGAAAAACACAGATCGAATCGCAAATCATTGCCCAGCCCAGCCACACAGCTGAGCCAGCCATTCACAGCTTATGTGAGCGCTACCTTAATCCAGTGCACGTGGATGTCATTCGTCAACGAACGCCGCCGGAAAGAGTTTCGTTGTCAGCCGCAACTGAAATTGTCCATTGGCAATTTTCGTCGAGTTGGAAGCGCAGGCAGGTCGGATGGTGAGAGAAGTATGATTCGCCTCACTTGAGTGGAATGAAGTGCGTGAAGCGGTTAACCTTCCGGTCAAGCAGACAGACTCTCAGACCGAGGATGAAATGCAAAATTCTTTGATCAATGACCTCGTTGGCCACCTCCCATCCTTCCCATCTGTCTAAAACAAAGAATTCATATTCGCTACCAAATGAAAGGAATTTGCCACCCAGATCCCGCCAACACGATCGATCGCGGACCCGACGACAACCCCTGTGGCTGTCAAATATAGTTGAATGTACAGTGTGTAAAAGATACCCCGGATTTTGAGGAAAGGCAATTTCATTGCCAGTTGCGACATCGATCATTTCTCCGCAATCGCCCAAACGGTGTTTGAGGTTCAGTTCTCCACGGTGTGGTTTGATCACTAATGTTCATTCTCAACCCTTCCATTTCGACTTCTCGGTGCCTTTGGTCGTTGTCCGGCTAGGTATGGTTATGGTTACATCCCACCGCCGAACGACACAAAGGGACGCACTACTGCTGCACCCACTGTAGAGGTGCAGAGAGGCGGTGGTCGGTGCCGTGGAAGCGTGGTGATCATTGCGTTCAGTGACCTGGCGTGCCTGGCGCTGGCCCAGACCGCCTTTGACGACTTGGCAAATCTCGAGATGTCCGACACGAAACAAAGAGTTTGCACATGTTGAGAAGCCCATATTTTCATATGTGTTCAGTGACATGAAGATAATTCTTGTCAAGACCGTTGAGGTGTCATTGTTGTCGTCGTCGTAGTGATTACATGATGCTGCAAAACCCGACCCTGAATTCCCTTGTCCCTTCCCTGATCCACCGCTCCCGCCCGGGCCCCTTGCCCTGTGGAGGCTGGGGAATGGTTGTTGCCCAGTGCCCGCTGTTGTGCAGCCTTTGTCCCACTTGGAAGGTGGAATTACAGGGGATGGAAACAGCGACATGTCCACGGGCATGGAAGTCACTTTTTTGGTGGGAAGGCTGGGAATGCCTGCGTTATGCAGCAGCAACCGGACAAGTCTTTCTTTCTTTCTTCAACAGTCGCTTCATTGTTTACCTTTTCCCCTCCCTCCACACCAGTGGCTTCCTCCTCCTTCCCACCGCCCTTTTTGATCATCCATCATCTTGCTTTGGGGTTTGGCCTCTTTTTCTGCAATTCAGGATCGATAACACGCTCGAATATTCAACGAAGGGTACCTCTACTCCGACTCCGACAACGAGACACACAGACTCGACCAAATCCCTTTCTTGCTTGCGCCTTCCTGCCGTCCGAATCCTCAACATCGATTCGCTCCCTCGTCCGACACCGTCGCCTGCTTTTTTCTTCAGCCGCTCCACCACTCTTCTAGACTTCTCCCGCTTCGGGGGCTGATGCGCATCAGTGCCATCCCACCTCTCTAGTACCTGTCCAGGTCCCCATCCAGTCCGCTTCTCTGCCTTCTTCCAACCACCGTCGAGACTACGACCGCCCTTGATCTCCGATCCAGGTCGAACCCGGCTCTCCCTCCCGTTCAGACCATTCCGCCACTGGCAGCCCTCGATCAGGTCGCCAATCTTCCCAGGGATTCCCACTCACGGTCTGCAGAAAACCTCGCAGTCTAGACAGTCCCGATACACTCGTGCAGACCTCACAGACTGCCGCAAGGGGAAAAGTCCAACCTCCTGTCTGACCAGAGGTGGACTCGCCAAACATACATATGGGTCAATGACATCAGAAGCCCAACACTCTTTCTACGCTACTAGAACTCGATTGCTTTAACTCGATCGCTCCTCCGCCATTCCACCCTCCTTCGTTCCCCGTCCCCGTCCCATCCGGCGCAATCCTTTCGGCGCTCCTCCTACTCCAGCGCACCTTTGTCGGCCATCACCACTTACCCGAATCCGACCCTCAACAATGGCGACACACGCTCGCGCAACCGCCTCGATGGAGGAAGCCCAGTCTCCTCGCGCCGCCGAGTCCTCGACCAAGACAAACCGTCGCCGCGGCCACAGTCTCAGCGTGTCACCACTTTGGCACAACGCAAAGTCGACGACAGACAATCATGGTCCAAGAGACTCGACCCTCCAGCACAGCATCTTTGGACAAAACCATGGCCCGTTCCGCAGTCACCGCCAGAACAGCGCCGCGAGCGACGATTCCGTCCCCGCCCATCACAAACAGGGTCACAAGTTGAAGGGCATGCTGCGTCGAGCCTCTGTCTCCTTCCGTTCGGGTGTGAAGGGTATCGTCAATAGGAGGACCTCCGTTCCGGATACCCCGACCTTCGATCAGGATGTCGGTGCCGGTCCTTCTCAGTCTGCTCAGGCACGTCCCACTACTGCGCATTTGACCTGGAACAAGCTGCGCCAAGCCACGAGCTTCCACCGCCATTCTCGCAGGGTGTCCGCCCACCACGGCGAATACCCCTTCGGTTTCAACGCCCTCGAGTCACCGCCCCTTCCTGTCCCTGGTTCCGGCGAGCAGCCTCCCATCATTCCCCGTAATACCGGTGCTGCAGCAAGACAGGCCGCTGCGAGCGCAGGTCACGGCTTCGAGATGATCAACATCCCTGCGCCCCGACCATGGGCAAATGACGGCATGGACGACTACGAGAGTGGAATTGGTATTGCGGTAACGAGAGGTGGATCGTCCGAGTCCGACGTCTTCATGGATGGCGTTGACTCCGATGTCGACATTGAGCTGAATAGCCCCTCTCCTAACGACGAGGTGGATATCATCAAGGTTGACTTCATCTCTCAGCTTCCCCTCGAACTTGGCATCCACATCCTGGGACAATTGGACGCGACATCGCTGGCTTCTGCCTCCCTCGTTAGTAGGTCTTGGAACCGTGCTGCTAGGAACCAGCACATCTGGCGCGAGTCTTTCCTCCGCGAGAAGACCACCACCTATGCCACGAGCGGAGCCGTCAAGCCGGGAACTGGTCTTGGTGTGCCAGCTATTCGCCCTGGAAACGACTGGAAGGAGATCTACAGGGTCAGAGAGGAACTTGACAAGAGATGGAAGGAGGGCAAGGCTCGCCCTATTTACCTTCACGGCCATACGGATAGTATCTACTGCTTGCAGTTTGACGAGTACGTCCCAGATTCGCTCCCTCGAAGTCAGCTTATATGCTAACGTGATATAGACACAAGATCATTACCGGTTCCCGCGACAAGACCATCCGCGTCTGGGACATGAAGACCTACTCCTGCAAGCTCGTCCTGGGTCCGCCCGAGATCATCAACGACTCCGACTTGTCCCTTCTCCACGACGAAGCCGGCAATGCCATCCACCACGCGACCCTTCCCGAACTCGAACCCCACCCCTCAGCCAACGGTCAACTCCAAACCCCCGCTCGCAGCCACTTCTCCTCCCCGGCCCTCATCTCACCCCCCATCTTCCACCGGGCCTCCATCCTCTGCCTCCAATACGACGACGAGATCCTCGTTACCGGCTCCTCCGACGCCACCTGCATCGTCTACGACATTGCCTCCGGCTACCAACCCGTCCGCCAACTCCGGCACCACTCCGCCGCCGTCCTCGACCTCGTTTTCGACGACAAGCACATCGTTACCTGCTCTAAGGACGTGTCCATCTGCGTCTGGGACCGCGCCACGGGCGCCCTGCTCAAGCAACTCCGCGGCCACACCGGCCCCGTCAACGCCGTGCAAATGCGCGGCAACACCATCGTCTCCTGCTCCGGCGACTTCCGCGTTAAGCTCTGGAACATCGAAACCGGCAAGCAGATCCGCGAGTTCCTGGGCCACACCAAGGGTCTCGCCTGCAGCCAGTTCTCCGAAGACGGCCGCTATGTGGCGTCCGCGGGCAATGATCGCGTCATTCGCATCTGGGACGCCAACACGGGCGAGTGCGTGCGCGAAATGAAGGCGCATGGCGACTTGGTCAGGAGTCTGCATGTTGACAGCGTGTCGGGCAGGCTGATTTCCGGTAGCTATGATACCGATATCAAGGTGTGGGATATGGACACCGGTGCCCAGCTGCTCGATTTCCCCCAGTGGCATAATAGTTGGGTATTATCCGCCAAGAGCGATTACAGACGCATTGTCAGCTCGGGACAGGATCCAAAGATTTTGATTATGGATTTTGGTGCGGATGTCAAGGGGATCGAGATGTTGGAGACTGCTGGTCCTCAGATCCACCCGCCGCGGCAGCAACAGCAGCAGCAGGTTGTTGTGCCCTCGGAGCAAGGGCAGGGTGGGTACTTTTGATGAGGTCTGATATGGTTTGACGAGATAAGACGAGACGAGATGAGATGCGTGAATGATCATGGATGGCGTTTTTGGGATACGGGATACGGGAATCGTCTGGATTGGACTGGACTGGTTGGATCACCCAAAGACGGGATAACGGGATATAGACAGTGATTTTGGGTTTTGTTATAAGTAAACTGGCCCCTTGATAAAATGAGCCGGGGTAATTCTTAATATGGGTGCTCCTCTAAGGTTGTCGTTGACAGGACTCCAGATCGCTGGTCGAGGATTGTTCTGCGTCAACGACCCGAAGGGTTAGCTGCTTTCCACTTCTTTCTGTCATTCTTCTTCTCTGGATCTGGATTTTTACAAATAGATAGATTACTAGTTAACTGGGATAGCTTAGTGGGATAACATGGGACGTTTACTTTGCTTTGCTGGCTGGAGTATACTACGCTTGGGTAGGCAACCTGCTCGGATTTTGGAAGCTACATGGAGCAAGGAGCAGGGGAAACCCAAAGATGGGGAACCGACCGTCATGGTGATTCATGGATGGATGGAGGAATATGCGCTTTAGACCGGGCTTTTACCATGCCCTACAAGGCGTTTGAGTTACACAGAATAGATAGATTGCTCTTCCTTCTCTTGAAGTAAATAATGGAGGTGCTTGTCAGAGAAACCTGCAGAGTATTTCTTCAACATCCATGCCTGACTCATCCGCTTAACGTGACGGAGAGCTGAGTGCTTCATGGCCGTCGTATCACTTAGAGTGATGGCCGTTTCTGTGACAGTGACTGCCTACCTACATCAGAGGTAGTGCCTGGTACCTCCGATTATCGATTCTCTCCTTCGTGCCTTCCTTTATATTTCCTCAAAACTTGAACGTAAAATTAGTCTCTTGAAAAAGATCTGAATCACAGACATGGAACAGCCCGAGCATGGTTGAGTGATGAGCCGGGCGACGAGCTGAACGAATATACATACACCCGAGATCCATAGCATAGAAGATCAGATCGGTTACTCCTTTCTTCTTGTTACTCATCGAACCCCTCTTTCCTGCAACGTCTATTTCAAAGCCACTTGAAACTCTACCTACCTCCCATCAACGCAACCATCCAATATTTTCTTCCTTTAGCTGATAGACCATGTAGGTACTAACGAGTGAGAGTCGCGGTACAGCAAGGCTGGTTAGGTATATCGGATCATGGGTGATTCGAAAGCAATGCGGCGAAAGAGGCCATGGTGGCTTTTATAGTCCATCCAGATCCTACATAGAAGCAGGGAATGACTAGAAGCATAATGGTATGAGGATGAGAGTGAGGATGATGATGATGATGATGATGATGATGATGATGACCTTGTGAGGATGGATCACGTAAACGCCGGACATCAGGCCTTGAAATGACATCGTGCTGGCACGGCAGTCACGCAGCGATAGCAAAATGGTCCGTCGCAGGAGATGGATTACTAGGTAAGTACGGTGAAGGACGATGACTCGAGCACAGGACAATGTGAAGGAAGAGGAGTCGAGAGAGCTCCACAAAGATAAGGTACCTACATCTAGCCGGGGGGGAGGGACGACCGGCAAGCAAACGGGCCCTTGGCGGGTTCTCCAGAGGTCGTGACGTGAAGAGTACCTACCTAGGTACCTAGCCAGGTAATCTGGAAGGAAGGGGTTACCTACCTCGTTCCTTCTTCTCTCTTGTTAAAGAAAAGCGAAGGCAGAGATTTTTCTACTCACTTTATAGGTCCCCCGCCCCTCCATTGTCCCTCGTCCACTTGCGCGCGCTGCAAGTTTACTTTTCTCTCTCTCGCTTCTTCTTCCTCTTCTTTTTCTTCTTTTCGTGCCCAGCTGTTTCCTCGCTCCATCTCTAACTCCTTCCGCACCTTTATCCATCCCAAGTTCCTACAACCACCGGTCCAGGTGCGTTTGCTTCGAGGCACTTCAAGGTATGGCTCCGGTCCGACGAGTCTTGGCACTTCGACGTTGTTGATAAAAATGGGTCTGGTACGGTCTGGTACGGTCCGGTACGGTCCGGTCCCCACCACCCCGACGCCGTGCCGACGCCGTGACTACCTTAACTCATTTGGATCAGGTCTCAGAACCCGGACTTCTGCTCAGGTGACGTTAATTCTCGCATCCCACTCTCCATTGATATACTTGCCTTTTCCAAAGACTTCGTTCCCACGTGTTCATTCACTATGCCCAACTCTGAATAACCCAGACTCAATACTATTCCCATCAAACAAAACCAACAGAAACGTTTCAAGATGGATGGCAGTCACTCACTCACTCAATCCCACCTACGCTAGATAAAGGCAATCAAGTGAAGTGCATCACTCCAGCCCAACCAACGCACGCTCAGAATCACCGCATCACGAAGGGATTCCCAACTTCAACGTTACACACACACACACAGACACACAGTGAATGATCCGGGCTCCGTTGTCCCTCCCGGCTCTCACGCAGTCACGCAGCATACATGGATGATGGATGATGGATACCAACCGCCCGGATCGGATCTCTTCACCTGCACCTGCACTTCGCTTCACGCCCGTTACTTGCGCGAGTGCCGAGTGCCCTTTCCAGTGACGGACGGGGAACAACCGAACCGACTCAAACCTGAACCTGATGCACGTCTCAAGGCGCTGGTAGAGATGGCGATTGTGATGGCGCTGAAAGCCTGAAAATCGGACTGGTATCACGTACGTAGGGATATAAATCTCCCCTTTTATTTTGCAACTGGCCAGATCCGGACTGGATTCGAGAAAGCAGGAACACCACGGCATTGAGCAGCCTGCCCGATCCAGATCCAGCTACCAACCAGGAACAGAACCCAGACCTTTTCGTTTTTCGACAGGAACTATCGTACCAAGAGACCGTCCCCTTTGGCTTTCTTCGCCCCGTTCGGCGTTCACCTCGCGCCAGTTTTCGCCAAACTCACAAGGCGCAACAAAGGCGTACCTAGGCGGAGGCCCTACTCCTACTCCTCGGTCTCGCACCTGTCATACCGCACGCATATCATGGACCCAGCCACCACACACGACGCAAACCTGCCCCCCGCCCTTCCCACCGAACTTCTCCTCTTGATAATCGAGTGCCTCCAAATCGACGCCAAGGGTCCCGAGAATGAGTGTGCTGTGTACCTCGTTCGCAGGAAGAGAGAGCACCGGAGGTGAGTGACTGCCCCCCGCCCCTTCACCATTCAGGACCTCGGATAATTTTGATTTGTATGTGTGGCTAACGATTCGACTGACTTGCTTGCTGCTGGCTGTACCAGAAAGGTGAAACAAGCAATCGCAGCATTAGGCAATCTCGCGCAAACCAGCCGTCGTTTCTACGGACTTGTGCAGCCCTTGCTTTACGAAGAGCCTTTTGTGCTTGTTGATGATGAGCAAGGCTGCTTTGAGGGAGACAGCAGCGGACTCGGAGTGTATAAATTGATCCGTACACTACTTGGTGAAGAAGAAGAAAAAAACGGGCTGCTGTCTGACCTTGTAACCGTGTATCGAGAATGAGTCAGTCATCTTTTTCCATCTCCCTGCCCTATCGTGTTTTTTTCCTACAACCATTGTTGGAGTGTGTTTGTTAATCTGAGCTGACGTTTTGCGCGCGGCAGACCTCGAGTAGTTCCGCCGTGGGACCTGGGAGAGTTTCTGGGTGAGACGGGATGGCCCAGGTTAGACGGAGTGTCAGAGTTGGAGAAGTCTTTACGGTCGCTGATGAGCAGATATCTGCCCTGGTTGACCAGGAATGCTTATTCTCAACGGCCGGCACCCACGTACAAGCCATACAAAGACTTGGACATATTTCTCGACCTGATCCCCGCAGCGATCCTCTGCCATTGCCGCAACATCCGCCGGCTCGATCGCTTGAACATCGGATCCAGAAGTGGCCGCGGGCCGGACATTCAGTTCATTTGGAAACATCTTGTCGACAGCTCCATCACGTTCCCCAACTTGGAATCCGCGAATCTTGTCACGGCGTATCGGCTTTCTCAAAGCGAAGAAGTTAAGATGTATGAGCTCGATCAAATTCCGATTGTCGAGGCCATTTGTTTTATCAGCCGTGCGCCAAACCTCAAGCACTTGTCCCTCACAGGATTCTCCAGTGAAGACTGGGCCGGTATGACACTAAGAGCTCCCCTTCCACCACTACAGAATCTCAGCTCGCTAGAACTCCATTACTGCGCATGGCTGAATGAAGCTCACCTCCACGACATTATTGACGCTTGCCCCAAATTAGCGACCTTCAAGTTCACATCAGAAGCTAGTCCCACAACTGGTCAGCCGATTCCCACGTCGTCCGGATTTAACTTCGTCGGTCCCGCACTGGTTCTGAACGCTTTGAGGCCACGTTCAAAGACACTCACCGCAATATCGATACGGTATATGCCAGTTCTTGACTTACTCTTCAGGACCCATAGTATCATGGACACCGACAAGAACCTGATCCGAACCCTCGGCCACTTCCCTAATTTGAGGGTCCTGCAAATCTCTCACGATGCTTTACAGTGGACGGATTCTGATGGTCCCGAAGGAGAACAGGAGAACAGCTGGTTAGACTAGTCAGAGGCTGTCCACGTCTGGAGTCACTTGACATCACACAAATCGATATCAGAAAGGCCCGGATCCGGCCACAGTTGGAAGGCCTAACTACAGCCGTGACCTGTATGAATTGTACGCCATTGTTAAAAGGGATCAGGGTATCCATCAACGATAACAATTGGTCTCGACCATGGACGAGGAGAAGCCTGGGCATACATGCGAGTGAGTTATTGGAGAAAGACCACCTCAACATTTACCAGGAAACGGGCATAAAGCTTCTGATCGATTTTGAAGACGCATATGAAAACCTAGGCACTTTCTCTTCCGTTCACGAGGGCCTACGCCACGCCGTTACCCTTCATCCTGGCATAGTCAGGGTCTCGGGTTTGAACTTTGAGCGCGACAATCGAAAGAGGAGATCAGACGATTGTGGCCATCACGAAATCCCTGAAGACGACGTCCCTGAACACACAATTCTGAAGAGTTTTCATTGGCCACGTGGCACAAAGGTGCTGTACGGAGTGCTCGCCGATGGGACGAGTACCGAGTATTACGTCAACGAGAGAAGAAAACTCGTTGTGATGCACCGCGACTACGGCCCTTGGGGTTTTGGGGTGCAGGTCCAAGGACTAGTGTTCGATGGACTGACCGTGGTGGAATAGGACGGCAACACCAGGTGTTCCAGATGACACCAACATAAAGAATGAAACAGAAAACCATCTGCGAAACAGGTCAAGCGACCAGGAAACGTGCAGGGGAACAATACGCAATGGGGTGGAGTTGCGGTACGGGAATTGATGAAGTCCGCGTCAAAAGAAAGAGCAAAGCACTAGACGGGTGACAGAGGAAGGGGATATGGAGGGCAAACAAGAAGGACTTTAAGGTGCGGAAGAGCATGGAGGGAAAACTTCAAGATAGAAACTAAGAGGAATAGAAAGCATGAAGGAAATCAAAATCTCTGAACCTAAAGCAGCTGGGATCCTGAACTTGCCAAAGGCACCGGGTCGTTGGACGCATAAAGAAAGCTCGTGTAAAGTCCAAGAGCATCTCTCACGGCTCAAGACAGTGTTTCAACTTTGGCGATCTGACATGTTTGCGGGAGGAAATGGTCAACGGTCGCTTGAGGGGGATGCTCCCTTTCCCCTTACCCAATCAAAACAGACGATCTTCCCATATTAGGCAATCGGCCACCGGCTCCGAGAAGGATGGATCCGGAAGGCCGTTTTCTCGTCAGATACACAGTAGATGAGCCACCCCACAGTGAACCCCAACATTCCACTGGGAGACGGAGGACGTTCCTGGACCCCTGGCACTGTGAGCATCACCAAGCCCTGCTTGGACGAGGGAGACACGGGCAGTTTAGCCGGGGCAGCCTATAAGCTGAGGAAAAGCAAGGAGGCTGTTTGGAAACTTACTATATAATACGAGAGGAGCATATGAAATGCCGTGTCGGCTTCATCATCCTCCACTTTTCGATCGCCTCTGATATTTCCCGTTTGTCAGGCAGACGGCATGACCACTATGGGGATTATGGAGAGTATGGATGAAGTGATCGTCGAGAGGTTTCGGGCCTTTCGCTTGCTGAGGCCATCGGGGCACTCGCTTCCTTGTGCGTATCGATGTTCAGGTAAAAGTGAATGCCGATCGACTCGAGTTGTATGTTTTTGAGGCAGTTGTTCGGAAACCGAACCCGACTACCAGGCTCGTGAGCTGGGCGAAGGAGTTGGCATAAGCAACCCTGGTAAGATGGAGGGAGGATGATAAATAATCATCTTGTGTATCCCGAATTGCATCTTTCCGTCCCGTCTCTCAAGCGTCATCGTCCGCAGCCAAGAAACGAAGGTCTCTGAAAAGTGCCGTCAGTCGGGTCCCAGTGTCTTCACATTCACTTCTTTTCTCCGCATCAACAGACATCATGGCCAGAGCGTTGAGACTTCTGGCGTCCTGCGCCTTGTTCTCCCAAGCCCTTGCGCACTCCCGCATCCTGTACCTCATCATCAACGGACAGCAGTATCGAGGATTCAATCACCATGCTCCCGATGCAATCAGCAACAGCATCGGCTGGTCGACAAGCGCCGTCGACGATGGCTTCGTGACGCCGTCCAACTACTCGAACCCCGATATTATCTGCCACCGCGACGGCAAACCAGCCAAAGCCCATGCGCCCGTCAAGGCAGGAGACAAGATTCAGGTGCAATGGAACGGCTGGCCCCAATCTCACAAGGGCCCCGTCTTGTCGTACCTAGCCCCCTGCGCCAACACCACAGACGGATGCGCTTCGGTAGACAAGAACAAGCTGTCATGGACCAAGATTGATGACTCGTCACCAGTTCTGCTTGACGAAAAAGGTGGCCCACCCGGTAGATGGGCAACCGACGTTCTTATTGCCCAGAACAACACTTGGCTGTTGGGGTTGCCGAGCGATCTCGAGCCGGGACCGTATGTGCTACGTCACGAGCTAATCGCACTGCACTACGCCAATCTGAAGGACGGAGCGCAGAACTACCCGCAATGCGTGAACTTGTGGGTGGAGGCTCCTGGGCCAAAGACCGCAACGGTCGGCAAGGAGGAAGTGGTGGTAGCCGGACAGAAAGAAGGGGTGCCGGCTACGGCGCTGTATAAGACCACGGACCCGGGAGTGGTCATCGATATCTATACGGCGCTGTCGACGTATGTGATCCCGGGGCCAACGGTGGCGCCCGAGGCGAAGCCGGTGCCGGTGACGGAGCAGGGACTGAAGAGTACCATCACGGCAGTGGGGACACCGGTGGTAGTGACGCGGGCAACGGCGACGGTCCCATTGCCCAATGGAAAGACGGCGGCAGCGTTCAAAGGTTGAGGTCCACGGCTTCGAGGCTGTCTTGGAACCGAGTCAGAGGGTGGTTGAGCGCCGAAGGAATGTGCGGTTTGGCTTCACATGTACATACCTTTAACGGTTCGTCAGCTGTTCATCGTCCTTGTTGATTGTATCGAGAAATCTAGCAACGCGCGCTTTTCCCAAGCCAATGTGACTGGTGATGATGCAATGTACTCCCATCGTGGTCCGAGAATCGTTGGCGCGATGGGTTGGAGGGGCACGAGAGGAGACAGCTGGCAAAACCGAGTCGTCAAGGTTCTGCCGGGCCGCTATCTGCATGTAAGTCACTTCCGACAGTCCAGTTGATTGGCCCTCGTACCTGCATGTTGGTGGCTGCCGGCGCCGAGGCCAACAACAAACGACTATCTGGCATCTACCCGTTGCACTAACAGCAAAATTTCCTTACTCTATGATAAGTCGGGCACATTACTGTTAGTGTAGTCTGTCCTTCATGTTACTGTGTACCCCGTCTCATCACGATGACATCGCCCCCTCGAATTAGGCGTCAACAATCAACATCACTTCACCAACGGAGACGGGAGTGAGGGTCTGATCTCCAACTCCTGCCGCTTACACTCTCCACCCAGCACACGATAGTTGGAAATGAACCGACGACACCCACATTTCCGCATAGTCATTCCTTGATATCAGTCGGGTGTCGACCATGCGTCATGGCGTCCACAGGCTGGCGGGCGCATTCCCGATAGCATATCTCAACCAGAGCTCGCGGCTCTTTACCTCTTCTTCAACGTCTCTCCTTTCTCATACCTCTCCGCGATATCAAGATGATGACACACCCCCGAAAAAGCGTGGCCGAAAACCCAAGGGAGAGGGCGAGATGGGGCCGCAGGATCACAATGGACAGCCGTTATCCGAAGAAGCAATGGTCATTGCCCGAGAGTACTGGAGGCTACAGCAGATCGTCGACTTCTCTCTGACACCACTGACATCCAATATCCTCCATGAGATCCAAAGTCACCGGAAAGCCTACACCTCCATCGTCCTGGGCCAAAAAGGTGGGCGTGGTGCTCCCATCACCCGGACATACGAGCCGCCATATGTCGATCCAGTGCAAGCCACGTCCTTCCAGCTCGTCAACGCTCCCCAACAACTTGGATTATCGCAACAACCGCCATCATACGATGACTTCGACGACAAGCTACCCCGTCTCGCTCCAGAACAAGAAGCGGTCGTTGAGCTCGCCGCCATGGGCCACAACATCTTCTACACGGGCTCCGCCGGCTCAGGCAAATCGACCGTCTTGCACGCCATCAGGGACCGTCTCCGGCGTCTTGGTCGGCGAGTCCGGGTCGTAGCCCCCACCGGCAAGGCAGCATCCAATGTCAACGGCATTACCACCTGGTCCTTTGCCGGCTGGAGTCCAGGCCTGATGAAACAAAGCATCATCGACCTGATCCTGTCCGCATGGTACGACGACCTGGTCATCGACCGCATCAGGGCCACAGACGTCTTAATCATCGACGAGATCAGCATGGTCGAGAATCACCATTTCGAGCGCCTTAACACCGTCTTCAAGGTTCTTCGCGCCGACCCCCGACCCTTCGGCGGAATCCAGATGATCGTCGTAGGCGACTTCTGCCAGCTCCCGCCCGTCCTGCCCTTCCAGCTCTGCTACCAATGCGGTTCGCAAATGACCATCCAGGGATATCAAGGCCGGTCCTCCGCGCGGTACAAATGCGACCCTTGCAACCTCGCCTTCTCCGACTCCGAGAAATGGGTGTTCCAATCCCGGGCGTGGCAAGAATGCAACTTCACCAACTTCCACCTGCAGTCCATTCACCGACAGCGTGACCCCAAATTCATCGACATGCTGGAAAAATGCCGAATCGGCGTCCGCCTCACCCCGCAAGAAGTCGACCTCCTCGTCAACCACCGCTCCGACACCAAGAACGCCACCAGGCTCTATCCCCGGCGGGCCGAAGTTCGCATCGTCAACGAAGAGGAATTCAAAAAACTCCCCGGGCATGCCTGGACGTTCCGCGCCCGTGACACCTTCCTCTGGCAGCGCAAGCTTCACCCAACGCTAGGCTACCTGAACGAAAGCTACCCCGACGGCACTCTCAAGGCGCTCAGCGAGCAAGCCCTCCAACCCAAAGTGCAACTCAAACTCGGCATGCCGGTGGTCCTCTTCCAGAACCTCGACGTCGCGCGCGGTCTCTGCAACGGCAGCCAAGGCGAAATAGTCGACTTCGAACCGTTCGATCCCAGCCGGCACCTCAAGGAGCAAATCCCCGACGGGCTCACCGACCACCCCTACGCCGACATTATTCTCAGCGAAGGACACGCGTTTTCCAAACACAACCGCCGCCGAGACTTGGCGTGGCCGGTAGTCAAGTTCGCCAACGGGGAGACGCGCACCATCAAGCCCATCACGCGCATTACCGAGTTCGGCAGCCGGGAACCGTATTCGTTGCTGAGCAGGACGCAGATACCGCTGGGGCCGGCGTGGGCGATGACGATTCATCGCGCGCAGGGCATGACGATGGATCGGGTGATTGTGGACTTGACGACTGCGTTTGTTACGGGGCAGGTATACGTGGCTCTTTCGCGGGCGAGATCTCTGGAGGGGTTGAAGGTGGAGGGGGATACAAGGCACTTGCTTGCGGGGATGGGCATGGATAAAGCTGTGAGGGAGTTCCTGACTAGGACTTTTGGGACGGGGTGGACTGGCGGTCGTATGTCTGAGGTGTACTCGCTGCCAGCGATGCGGTATACACTACCGATTGCTGATCCAGATGCAGGTGCAGCGTCTGATCCAGATCCGCCTGCAATGGAGGCGGGCGGCGGTTCGTGATAGTGTTTCATACATATTCTATCACCCCTCGGAAATCGCTGGTCTGTATCCAGCTGGTTTTTGCCGGTCCTCCAGCCGTTTCGGATAGGATGCTGTCTGCCATGTAGTACCAGGACATAGCAATGAGCGAATCAAAGAGCACAGGCATTGAGGTCGCGGGTGTTGTGAAAATTCAACGCTCAGTAGCATGTCGAGGTTTAGGTATGAGCAGCTGAACGCCAATTTTCTCGCTTTACTAAGGATCTATCCATGTTGCCTTTGTCCTAATGATGCACAAACAATGGTACTTCCCGCCTCACCGGTATTTCCCTCGCTATATCCGACTTGATCCTCATTCTCTCCGTCTAACCAAAACTCCCCACGTTACTTGTTCGGATGTAGCTCTCACCACTGGTCTGGAGGCAGCATTTGAATCTCTTCTTCATCATCCGACTCTTCATCATCTTCTGAATCGGACTCCTCATCATCTTCCGGCTCCGGCGGCTCTTCAATCACTGGATTATTCAAATTCCGACGTATCAGCGTCATCGTTCTCGCTGAATCCGCACACCCATGACAGCTCTCAGGATGAAGTGCCCTCGCCAACCTCATGCCGATGCCCTCATCAATCCTGCTGCCTCCTTTGGTCCTCAGTTTCCGCAACATCTCCACCGCGGCTCGAGCCGTTATCCTCTCTTCCCATTTGAAACTCAACATACTTCTCACCACATCCACCACGCCGGCAAGTTCATCGAATCCTACCCCTACAGCTACCCTTTCTATGTCCGCTATAGTATTTATCACCGTTAGCTTTAGCTTTCCCTCTCTCTATCTATGCAACCCTTCTTTTCACCTTCTTATGCCGAACCTGTTTCCACGTGGTCAGGAGCGAAATTCGAATTCGATAAAACTGCTTAACTGACTCTTGAAGGTTCGCTCGTCAGGAGGACGTTCAAGAACGTAATCATCATACTCCGTTGAACACTCATCCTGCTTCTCGCTGACAAGGTCCGCCTGGAAGCTACGGACGGCGGCGGTCCGTTCGTAACTTTTGGAGCCGGATCCGCGTAAGAGGGTCGTCCATCTGTAACGTTGGGGGCTGGAGGGGCTGCCGTCAGAATATGGCCCTTCATGTATCTGTAGAATTGGTGCCCTTTGAATATCGGCCAGACGATGATGACCCAGGTAGCGGGGAGAATAGCTAAATGAGCATCTCGAGAAAGATGGCGCCTAGGGAAAAGACAGCGCCTTCTTTGGTTCATATTGCCATATTACAGGGTTTTTCTCGTTTCTCGATCAAACCAAAGCTTGCCCCATTTTTCTGGAGCGTGGTACATCAAATTGGTCCAGACGAATTCTTGGGTTAGAGGTGGATAAGTGTAGAGTCCGGAGCTGTTCTGGGGTGTGGGATCAGCATATTGGCTGTTGCCGAAGTCGCTGATCTTGAACTCGACCGACTTCTTTTCTTTTCGCGGTCTTCCCAGACCAAGATATTTCGTGGGCTTAAGTCACCACCATGAAGGCCTGGGATGCTCTCGTGATTTTCGCCGGTGTCAGCCGCACAAGTGATAGGCGCCACGCCATCGACACCGTGGATGGCGTCTAGCGCGGAGGCCAGACCATCTTTTGAAGAAGCTCTTTGTCCACGACAATGACGTTGAAGAACCAACGATTTAGTCGATTGTCATCGTTGTTGTAATTGCAGAAGGCGTCGACCATGTACCTGGGGAGGAACAGTCTTTCTTCCATTTCCTCTTCTGTTTCTTTTTCTGATTCTTCCGAGTCGCTATCATCGTCTCGCTAGCATGGCGGGTGGCAAGATTCAGCCCTGAGGGGCGGGCGTAGGCGCAGGTCTGGCACATGGTGGTGCCGAAACGAAAACGGCGCGGGCCGGGGGCCAAGGGAGCGGCGCCGGCGGGAGAAGAGAGGCGCAGACGGTTTCTCAGCCGGCATTCGACCTTGTGGTGAAATAAGAAGGAAGATAGATGTGCGGCGAACCTCAACGAGGGTGCGCTGCTCCTTTTCCCATTTAATGCCGGCACCGCAGACGATGTCATCATACACCACGAATTCGAACATATTTTCCGGTACGTCGGCGAGGTGATGACCGGTAATTGCTTCGGCCTCAGCCTCGGTCATTTCTGTCTCGGTGTTGTTGTCGGTCATGGTGACGAGTAGAAGTCGACAAAAAGAAAGACGGTATGCATGTCAACGCCAAATAATGATGTTGATGTGTTGAGGAATGACACAACGCTAACGAAGGTTTGGGTTGAGGGGAAATGCAACAATAACTGCTTGGTTGACTGAACAAGTTAGGTTTGAAGGGTCAAGTGGACGGTGGTCCTGGAAGACTGCAATGATTTCCTCCCCTTCCCCTCCCTTCTCCTTCCTGGGCTTCTCTCTTCTTCCCTTTCCTTTACCCCTCACTTGTCACCGGCGGTGAAGACGCTCCTTCCCAAGCTCGGAACGTGACATCTCTTCTTGTTTTGAGACATTACATCCGATGTAAGAGGTGGGTTGCTCCTTCTTGCTACTGCCCTCCTTCGACCGCTTTCGGAGAGGACCTTGACGGATGCAGCCCCGCCTGTTTTGCTCCTTCCGTTTACACGTACATCTTTGCGTTGGACGTGACGATGGGAGCTTGTCGCCCGTGTAAGATCACGGGACTGTGAAAAATGTACCACTGCCTGCATTGAGGCCCTCAAACTTCTCACTTTCCCCTCTCCACATCATGATTCCCTCCACCTTGTTCCTCCCCAAACGGCTTCTCATCATGATACTTCCTCGAGTACCTTCGCGAAAAGAAATACCAGATTCCGACGGTGAACAGCGTGATGGGCACCGAAACAACCAGAAACAGCCACCAGTCTCCGGTGTATCGCAGCTTCCCGGCGTCATCATCGTACTGGACAAACTGGGTAGAATAGAAGCTCTTTTAAATCGTCAGCAAGAGTAAGTGCCCCATTCAATGGAGCCATTGATGATCGCCTGCTTACCATGATGATAGTTGCCGGCAGATACACCAGCGTGATGATACTCAGCACTTTGAGGCTCTTGGAGTCACTGTGTCCTTTCTTGGTCAAGTCATGCATGGACTTGCTTTCTTGCTGAGTGTCGGTCTGGATTTTCTTGAGCGCTAACGCGGTTTGTAGCTCCAAGAACCGAGAGGTCTGTGACGTCTTGACATCAGTGGGTTGCTCCCCCTTGACGCGTGCCTCCCCAGGAAAGAGGAAGTTTGCTCTTACCAAGTTTCTACTTTCTTTGCACTTGGCCACCAGTGCCTCTGCCTTTTTTCGAATGTACCCAACCTCTGCTGCTTGCTGCCGCAATGCTAAAAGGATCCCGTCCGTTTGGGCAGCATACCCCACGTCTCCTATGCTAGCACCCCCGATTACCCAGAGGTACTGGTTATACATCTCCGTCATTTGCCCAACTGTGTGTGATGTTGAATCCATGCATAGGATTATATCAAGCAGTCGGAGCTCCAGGTAGTGCAGCTTTTGCTCGTCATTGAGGGATAGGAAATCTTCGTGTGTTTCAGCCACAGAGGCCTTGTCTGACTGTCAAGCGGGACGAAGACTTGTTAGTGCTGGTTATTGGATGTTCCCTTCATGTAGGAAACTTGCCTGTGTGGAAACGCGTCTCTCGAGGTCAATCATGTATGGCCTCCAAGTGGAGATGGCCATGTCCAGGAAGATGACGTGGAGCTCAAGCGGATTGCAGTTGGGGACTGAGAGTTGAGTCCTGCGGCAGTAAAGTTCCAGAATGACTTTTGGCATGTCTGAAGACCCCATGAGAATCCACGTCGATGTCCCGCGGCTCTTGGATATGCCTTTGCAGTTGTATTGGTGGTAAAAGTCTGTTTGTCGCAACGACCATGGCTCTGCTGCTGGCCGATTTGGACGCTCCACAAAGCGTAGGGCGTATGAACATTCTGTTTGAGCGGTGGTCAGACAAAACTCTGATACTGATCTCAAGACTTCGCTCCCATAAAATACCTACCAAATCCCGTGTTCAAGTCTAAATATTCATCCTTCATTCCCGGACAAGGCTGCCCAGTGGAAGGCCTTGAGAGTCTGAAGGTAAATGCTGGAGGCCCGACCTCCTCTTCGGTTTGCTTATCTCCAAACCCGATCAAGACCTCCCGGAATTTGGGAAAGATACGATTCACATCCACAAGATGTTTGAACAAGGACTCTGTAATTCGCAATTGGCGGAACGAGTTTTTCTGGGTCAAGAAGCTAACAATAGCGTGTCAGTCGCTGCTTTTTACTTTGCGTTCATGTCCGCCAACTGCATCTTTGAGCTCACTAAACGCGGAAATCCGTTCTAGTTTTCTATGAGGTTGCGTTAGCAATGCTTCTCAAATTTCGCAGCTTTTTACCTTCAGCAGAAGATATGCCTACCATAACTTCCATCAGCTGGTCTTCGTCTTGCACTATCGCTGAAGACATAATTGTCGCGGTGTCACAGTCAACCTGGAACTCTTCTGTATCGGGACTGGGACTCTCTGTTGCGGAATCGCAAGTCTCATTGGACTGATCCTCAGAAAATCCCGAGTCAACATGCTGAAAAAGAATGTTCTGGTTGCTGGCGTGGGGCTGGAACAGAACTTCGATGCGAGAATTCTTGTTTTCCTCTTTGAACACCTTCTTTGTCGTGGTATCGGTATAGTAATCGTGGCATGACCAGTCATGGACCGAAGTAAGGATCTGGTCGAAGCCGAAACTCAGCGGGTAGTGCTCACCACTCCAGCAGCTCATGGTGTTGAATGTGTGAGAAAGAAGAAGATGTTGTCGAGTGAGTTGACATCGAGATCACGAAGGCCGGCTGGATTCGAAGGAGGATATCTTGTCTGGAGCAAAAGCACAATCAACAGTCATCCAGTCAGCCAAGAATCCACTGTGTCACATAATCTCTTCGTGCTTGTGGCTGAGACTGTTTCGAGGCGGCTATGCAGTGCTTGGTACCCGTCTCAACACCTCGTACAGCATAAGAGGCGTCCATCGATCAACTGGTCCCTGTCCAACCACATCGTGTGACAGGGCGTTCAACAGGTCAAGGACCTGGCATTGACATACCCAAACCATGCGGCCAGCCGAGGTAGACATCCGTCAGCGTCATCGTTACGGACGCCGCGGTACACATAGTATGGCTTTGACACCCTGATGGCATCCTTCAATGTTCACCATCAAGCTACTATTTCCAGGCAGATCCGTCATATTGCGTGTTCCTCGACACCACACACACATCCCATTCGGCCACTCAGCACCAAGTAACCGCGCCTAACCATAGCCACCATGGCCGAAGACAGGGATTCGAGAGGCTTCATCACGCAAGTTGTGAAAGGCAGGTATCTGAGTGAGAAAAGACTCGAAGATAACCTACGAGCGAGATTTGGAGATGGTAACTTCAAGGCGAAGGTGGGTTTGGGCGTCCGTGGTCTCCCATCCATGACGAAGTCTTGCTTATTGACACAAAATTGAGTTTAGAAACGCGAAAAAGACTGGAAACTGACCATCCCGGAGGAAGTGGATGAGGTCAGTCCTATGCCAATACCGATGGATAGATATCTCCATGGGGATATTTTGCTGACTAGTTCCAGGCATTCATACGGTCTTGTGAAGTGGATAGTGATGATGATTGATGAAGATGATGGCATGAAACCAGTTTGGGGGAGACCAAATTTGGAGAGTTTGGGCTTTGGCACAGGCAACTTTCACACAAATGGTCAATCGCGCAGACGTCTTCCGTTCTGTTTTCCCATCTAGCATACCATATGTTAGTGAAGAAGGCAAGCAGTTTGTCACGGACAAGGGAACCATTTAGGTATTTAACCATCTATTTCATGGCCATGCCTCCAGTCCGCGGTACTTTCGGTAGGTATGAAAGCGCTCTCAGATAGCACAGCACAGCAAGCCCCTCAAAGGCTTCGAATTATCATCAATCACAATCATGGCCGCAGGCACAGGAGGTCCAGAGTTGGAAAGTGAGAAATGGATCCGAGCCTTGTTAAGAGAAGTGACAGACAACGGCAAGAACGCCCATGACGGTCTCTACCGCGCAATCCATAGCTTCTATGATCCCCTAAGACATGATGGCAAATCTGAACAGCCCGCGAGTTACTACATCCCGGACTCACTAACGGATATTGTTGGAGAAGAGCTTGAGAAGAGCATCAAGCGTGTGTTTTCTGAGAAGTCATTGCGTGAGGGGTTCTCGAAGCCGAACCCGCAAGGTTCGCTGCGGAAGCTTTTGGTCATTGCGGTGTTCTCGTTCAAAAACTATCAGTGGTTTTTGATGCGAACGTTGCAGCTAGTGCCAGATATATCGGATGGTAATCTTCCACTGGAGGATAACCCGGCTTCTGATGACCCGGAGTATACCAAGTATTTTGACGTGTTTTTCTGGAATCAGTATCTTTTTTGTGGACGTGGTTCGTCTTTTCTTGAACGGATTCATCGGAAAGTGTCCGGTTTTATTAAGGAGGGCACACCATTAAGTGAGAATAGCTCGGAGCGGGAGCGTACCACGCCGACTACGGCTGGCTTACCCGAAGATGTACTACCTGCTGAGGGCAGCAAGGGGAAGCTCGGCTCAGCATCGTCCAGCAAAGTATACAGCTTCAACACCATAGCAAACATGGGGTTTCCGGAGGGTCATTACATGAATAGGGTATAGCATGCCACTCATTGCCCGTGCAATCCATAGAATTGACCCCTACTTGTCATGTGTAGTACACTAACCAAGTGGAACTTACCATGTGTAACGAGCAGAACTAGTCATCCCTAGCCATCAAAATCTACCACCAACGCTCCCAAAAAGACTTTAACCGCGAGCGGTGCTTCTGGCATGACATCGACCACCAGTCCGGTCCATGTCCATGTCCTCTATCCCACGCCCACATTTTGCGTCCCCTCTTATTCTGGAGATGTAGTTACGACATCTCCTTCGCCATAATGCCCCGTGCCGAATGCGACTTGGCGGCATTCATGAAAGAGACTACTTCTCGAGTAGATGCTCACAGCTGGGGATTTAGATGGCTGGTGAGACAACTGGTGGGTTTGGTGGAGGGTTTGCATGCCGTTCATAACCCTGGGCCGGTGGGACGGGGCCGGCAAGAAGAGAGGATGGAAGTTGCCGTGGGGTATCATTGGGATATCAAGCCCGAGAATATACTTGTCACCTTTCCCCCAGATAGTAATACCACCTCTGAAACATCCGATACCTCTGCCTCTGGTACCTCTGGTAAAGAAAAAGCTCCCATTTTTCAGCTAACAGACTTTGGCTGCGGCGGCGTCGCTACCTTCTGTCCGCACCAATCCCCAGGAAGCGACATCCGAAAGATGAGTAACGTAGGAAACACCGAATACAAAGCGCCTGAAAAACAAGCGCCGGAACGAAAGTGTGGAAGGGACTACGACGTCTGGTCCCTGGGTGGTGTGATGCTAGAGGTTCTGGTTTGGTATTTCCACGGGATGGGGGAAGAAGACGAAGATGATGATGCGGATTCCGATTCTAGTGTTAGTAGTGAGTCTGAGCCTGATAAGGAGGAAGAAAATGAGGAAGAGTCGGAGACTGTGGCTCGTTCCTCTAGGCCGCAGCCGAGTGCTACTGGTGCAACGCATGGCGGCGCTGTTCTTGATGGGGAGCAGCGAACAATGGGTCTGAAAGATTCTAGGAAAAGAAGGGGACAAGAAAAAAAGGCGGCTGAAAAGGGAACCAAATGGGCCGGTATTGAGTATGCTGGGTTTTTCATCCATTCCTCCGACCGGGAGCCTGGAGATGCGACGTTGGTGCCTTCTGTGAAGAGGGTTATGGAGGAGATTCAGAAGACTGCTGCTGCTGTTGCTGATTTGCATATGGAGGGGAGAGAAAGAAGAGCACTTGGGAGGTTGTTGGAGGTTATTCAGGGGATGTTGGTGGTGGATAGGGAGGCAAGGTTGACGGCGAGGGAAGCGAAGGTGAAGATGAAAGGGGTTTGGAGGGAGGTCGATGGGGATGAGGGAGAGGTATGAGACGTGTGCTGGTAATTACATATGCTCGTAGGTATTGGGACGTAACTGTATGCAAGTCTCTGTAAGTTTATGCTTGACAAAGTGCACAGGAAGGTGCAGCTTGCCGGTTTCTTGCCGTATCGTATCGTATTTCGACTGTGGTTTGTGGTACCCGGTAGGTGACGACTGATGCGGGGTACAAGCCCGGTATTTTTTTTGGGGAGAAGGATTACTTCTTTCTTCTCTCCCTCTTTCAACTATCCCCATCTTCTTGGCCATCAAGTACGATACCTTTCGGTCGGCTTTTACCATTCGCATTGTATCCATCTCCTCATTCCAGACGCCGGGCCTGACTCCCCAGGTGCGTTCTTGCGCTGACTCCTTATCATGCTCCATGTTTCCTTCATGTCGTTTCTCAAATCACCCGTATTCCAGGGCCCTTTCCAAGCACCAACACCGATCTGACGGTAGCCAAACTATGTTTAACAAACTCACATGAGAGAGTGAATGGATACAATGGGACTCATTGCCGTCATATGACGCAACGACTGAGGAGGTGAGTGGCCTATTTCAAGCTCAGAGCCACATGTTGAAGGCCTTCCCTTCGTCTTCTTCTTCAAGACCACCCGCTCTCTTTGGTACACCTTGACCGGTTGAATGTGCATGCTATACCATCAAAGACAGTAAAACATGGATTGGTCAGATCACGCGTGGAAAGCCGGTTCCGACACTACAACCGAAGGGGAAGGCAAAACATGGACGATAGTCGTCAAACACGAATGTCGCAACCGTCTTTTCCATGCAATTCATTGCGATCTTGAGGTGCACTTAAAAGGAAAAGGCAAGTCACTCCAGTCCTTTTGCATTCCCATTAGCCTTATCGACACAATAGGCCCAGACCTCGACCCTGAAATCCAAAACGTTCTGTGTCTGCACAACTGGCATAGGAGACTTGATGCTTCCAAGTTACGCAAGATCTTCTTGAGATCTATGCTTGCTTCGGAGGATTACAGAGGGTTTCTTGTGGACATGCTTAGAACTAATGATAACCACCAGTTATCCGACGACAGCCTCCCCATCGAAGGCAGCCAGATGAGGGGCTTGGATGAGAAGTACGCGGAGGCTTTTCGGGAGTTCTTTTGGTACCAGCACCTCTTTCTTGATGGCTACTGCGTGGGTCCATGTCGCTTCAAGCTGGAGTTGGAAAAAGCAACGTCTCAGAAACCGTATCTTCCGAGCCTTTACAACGAGAAAGACCTTTGCAGGGAGAAAAGGGAGGTCAGGTCGGCCGCTTTGACTCTGTCGTTGATGTCGCATTCTGATTGTCATCACATGAAGAAGGTAGGTCTTTCTCGACGTTGCTTGTGAGGGAGTGCCTTTATGCTCTGAACTGACTCAACTGTATGGGCTCGCAGAACTAGGGTCACCGGCATTCAAGGAGTAACTACGAGCAGAAGCTGCCAGTAATGAACGCAAAATTTTGTCTTTCATGGTGACCGGCTTACCGGAATTCCCCCCATGAAGACATCGTCAAGCATTTATTGTCCTGGGCCTACGACACCCGACACGCCGTTGCCATCCTTTTACGCGCTGATCTTAAGCTAGAGGAGCTTTGAATGAAGGAAGAGGAGTGAGTGATGCTTCCCTGTCAATGTGATATCAAGTGAACATCGTTTGTCTTTCTCGCAAGCCTCTGAAGTAGGACACGGACTGACAGGGCAGACAGAAGAGACAGAACAGCTCAAAGCACATAACGTAACAATGGAGATGCCGAATTGCAAGGTATATGTTCGACCCAAGTTCCTCTCTCTCATATCGATTGAGCACACTCTAGTCAGGTGGAAGTCAGTGAAGCCATCAAATCCCCAGCACCCCATCCACCAGCCAACCATCCCCAAGAGCTAAACGAAACAACACACAAAAAAATGCCTCCCCCCAACACCACATCCTTCGACAACACCTGGCAAACACCCCCATCCTCAAACCCACCACCCAAGGCCTCAACAGCCCCCTCACCATCCCACCCACCGACATCCCCTGCTCCATCCCCGCCGACGCGCACGCCTACGTCTACCTTCACGGCCGTTCCTTCCAACTCTTCCCCGACGCCACGCCCGAGCAACTCCAAGATTACTTCGTCCCCGGCAGCGTGATCCACGCCCTTTCCAGGCATGAAATCATCAACCATCTAATCTCCGAGCCCAGCTTGCGAGAAAAAGTCTTTGAAACGGCGCCGAGGCTTTTTGTCAGGTGTCTCTTCTTGTTTCCTGATTATGAAGAGGTTCTGCAGAAGTTGATCAATTATGGGGTGGATGATAAGTGGTTGCCGCTGATGGTGAATGATTTGAAAGTGCCCGGGGAGGAGGATTGGGGGTTTGAGGAGAGACTGGTTAATACGTTGATACCGAATCAGGCGAGGTTTATGGTTTCTGCTAGGTGGTTGGGGCCGGAGGGGGGAGGATTACGCGAAGGGGAAGGGGAAGAGGAACGGATTCCGGTTCTGACGGGACAGACGTTGCCGATTTGGGTGATGGCTGGTGACCAGGATGCGGAGGCGAGGTATAGGAGGGAGTGGATTGGTGAGGAGAGGAGGGTGAAGGTGCATGGGGATCATGATTGTCTGAGGAAGGTACGTTGATGGCTCCCGAATCCCGAAGTACCCACTACCCCGGGTCGTCACTGTCCTCATCCGGTCCAGGTCAACGATGGAAGCTAACAACCAACAGCCAAACCCCCAAGGCCTCTACGCCCTCAAACTCATCAAATCCATCTCCCCCTTCCCCTCCCAAACCTCCGGCTCAACCTCCGTCATCCACTCCGCCATCCACCGCAGCACCACCCTCCTCCGCTCGCTCCGGCACGTCCCCCCACCCGCACATCACTCGGCACTTCAAAACTTTCTTCCACGACACCACATTCTACACCATCTTCCCCGCGGCCACCTGCCGCCTCGACCGCTTCATCGGTAACCCTTCCATTGGAAGTATCACCTCCCCCGCTCGTCTGCGAGAGGTCATGGCGCAGGTGGCTTATCTGGCGGGTGCCCTGGCTATGATACACGATATCCCCTGCCGGCCAGGGGCAGGGAGAGGGGAGGAAGGGGAACTGTCTGGGATGGCTCAGAAGAAGAAGACCGGGAAGAAAAAGGGCTTCCATCTCGATATCTAGCCAAGAAATATCCTGGTGTTTGAGAGGAATGGAGGGCATGATTTGCATTTTGAGTGGAGCGGGTTTGAGTGTAGTTGTGTTGTTGAGGTGCCGGACTCACCAGGAACACCAAGGACGCCGGAGACAACGGAGACATCGGAGACGGAGACCTCGGAGACGGAGAGGGTGGTTCCTTCGGCGATCAGACTGTTCACGGCAGAAATGGATCGCTCTGGTGAGGAACTGTATCAGAAGTACCTGGAGGCGTCTAACGAGATGTACTTCCCTCCCGAATCGGAAGATCTGCCGAAACCGGTCACCCAGGCGTATGATATGTGGTCGATGGGCGTGCTGATGCTGGATGTGCTAGTTTGGGGGCTGTATGGGGGCAAGAATTTGGGGATTGATGAGGTTTTTGGGGAAATGGTGAGTGATGTTCCTGACAAAGAATCCGAGAAATAAAAAAAGAAGGAATGAAAAGAGGGAGCGCGGAAGGGGAAAAAAAAAGCAATAAGGAGAAAAGGGGAGAATAAAAACTAACGCAACCACAAAACAGGGCACCCAAAGACCCCCCTCACCACTCAACACCGATTCCGTCTCCCCCAAAGTCTTCAAGCGAACCAAAGTCAACGCCGAACCGAGCAATACGAAACTATACGAACCTTTCTGCCCGTCCGAACTTGACGCCGACGCCAACGCCGACGCTCCTTCCCCTTCCACGCCCAGATCCTCTGGCAGCCATGAAACTGCCGTCGAAATGCGACTAAAGCTCACCATCCTGGACCGGAATTTCCCACATCCTCGAGGATCTCGTCGATGCCCCGCGTGTCAGACAGTGGTGTAACTGCATTATAAGCCTTCTTGAACCGGATCCAAGTAAGCGGGTGATGACAGCCGGTGAGCTGTGTCAACTGCTTCAGCCGGATACAGAGTTGGGGGGTAGACCTACATTGCCTACCACTGTATATGTGGATGGTATACGCTAGCCGGATGAGATGAAGGTGCTGGAGAATTGGTATAATGAGAGGAGAAGTAGAGGGGCTCGATGGATAGGATGCTGGGATAGGTACTAGAAGAGAAGGTCTTTAAAGGAGAAGGAGGCGGGTTTGGGATGAATGAAGAGTGTGTGCCGATCTCATGTCTGAAGAGATGGAGAGCTTTGTACGGATAGGGAGATTGACTCTAGACAGTGAATAGAAGGGCGATCTGTGCCAATTATTCCATCATGCTCAACACGTTCTTTCCCATCTAGCAGGTAGTCAAGGCACAATATCCCATCAACAAGACACACGGAAGACGTAGACTAACCATCCAATGTCTCGCGACTGCCCTCAAAATTATGATTGCCCGCCGCTTCTTCCATCCCATCTGCCCGCCGCTATCTCCCACCGCTCCTGCCTATCCCACGTCATCCCAAATCACAACCCAACCCATCCCCATCTAAGATACCTTAGATAAGCTCCCTTTACCAACTCCCTTCCCGTGGGTGGCTCGTTGGTGTAATGGTAACATTCCCGGCGTGGAAATTCCGCGTCTGCATGCGTGCCGCAGGAAGACAACGGTTCGAGTCCGTTACGGGACACTCACGTTTTTCTTCTTCCTTTTTTTTCTTCGTTTTACTTCTTTGCCCAAAACGTATTCCTTCCTGTAAGACAGATTAGTCAACGTATTTTGACGTTTTTCGCATCCCAAAAAGGGAAGTTTGTTTACATCGCGAACCGTCCCCTTTTAGCCCGTCTTGGTGTTATTCGCATCTCCACTCTGATCACCACAAACCCACCAAATGTCCACAAAGAAGTCCCTTAAGACGGCTTCTATTGGGCGATAAACACCGATGAGAACGGAGTTCACGGAGCCTTCTTTCTGGCCGGTTCGGAAACGGGAATGGTGGCATGGTTCCTACCTTAATCTCACGTCAGCTTCATCTCACCCGTGATCTCACCTTTCCTCTCCAACCCAACCTCAAACTTCCAAACTTCCCTCCGACTTTCCATCAAAGACTTCCACGGAAAGGGAGAAGGCAAAAGCAAAAACAGCAATGAAGCACGCATCAAAGACAACTCACCAACCACCCAAAATGACAACACCAATCCACCTCGTCTCCAAACACAACAACGCCCAAACCACCATCGGCTACATCGACGAACAATCCGCCCTCGCCCCCCCTCTCGCCCCCTCCTCCGTCCGCGTGCGCACCCAACTCATCTCCCCCTCCTCCAACAACCTCACCTACGCGCTCAACGGCGATCGTTTCGGGTGGTGGTCCGCTTACCCCGTTCCCATCGGCACTCAACTCCACTCCTCCTCCTCCTCCTCCTCCTCCTCCTCAGTACCCCAGGTAGATGCCGATATCGACTTGAACAAAGAATGGGGAATAGTCCCAGCCTGGGGCTACGCCCTCGTCCTCTCCTCCACCCACCCTCTTATCCCCTTCGGCTCTTTACTCTGGGGCTTCTGGCCCACCTCTGCCCACTCCTTCGACCTCACCTTGTCCTCCTCCTTCCCCGAAGCGGAAAACCAACAACCAGAGACGCACTTCCGCGAAACCTCTCCCCACAGGGAAAAGCTGATGGCCATGTATAACCGGTACATCCTCGCCCCCTCCTCCCCTTCGTCGCAAATTGACCTAGACAGCGACCTTGCCGCGCAAACAGTCCTCTCCCGCTTCGAATGTGGCGTCTTGCTGGAGAAATATACCCTCCACCGCCAGCGTTTCACGCACCCCCTCGGTTTGCCGGCGGGCGCACCGGCTGATACCATCCCTGGCGTGCCTGCCTGGGGTCAGAGGGACGCAGATTTGAGGAAAGCGGTGGTGATTAGTTTGTCGGCTGGTACCAAGACGGCCAGGAGTTTTGCGTGGATGTTAGCTCGTGAAAGGAGTGAGAGGGGGGAGTTGGAGAGTGAAGGGCCGTTGGGACTGGTGCAGGTTACTAGTGTCCCTGGGACGTTGGCTAACTTTAGTGATGGTGAGGGGGAGGGGAAAACGAAGTTGAAGATTAAGAATGTGGGGTATGGAGGGGAGGAGTTAAGGGCGGTGGTGGAGTGGGTTAAAGGACTAGAGGGCGTGGAGAGGGTGGTGATGGTGGATTTTGGAGCGGCGAAGGAGGTTACGGAGATGTTGGTGCAGGGCTTGAAAGAAGAGGAGGGGGGTGGTTCGGGAAAGAAACTGGAGGTGTTGGTGTTGGCGGTTGGGAATGAGTCCAGGTGTACTCGGGTGAGGAGATCCAGGCAAGGTGGACAGGCGCTGGGGAAGGTGCAGTTTAACACGAGCGGGGTACGGGATAGGGCGGCGGAGGTGGAGGGCGCCACAGCTTACTTTGAGGGGGTGGATGAGGCTTGGAAGCGATGCTATACCGAGACGGGATTGGGCGAGGTCCGGTTGGAACGGTATCGTGGTGTTGAGGGGGTCAATGGCATTGAGGGCGCGTGGAAAGCACTCTGTGGGCAGAAATTGGCACCCAATGCTGGGATTGTGGTCAGGTTGTCATCTTCCTGACTTTGTATCTCATTGATATTGTCCCGACTCCCTTCTTTTGTGAGCACTTGAGCGTTGATCAATTGCAAACAAGCTCATGAACATGATGCCAAAGGACTCGGAGTTGGTGGAGGTTCCTTCTTCCACCAGCAGTCCTGCAGCGGGAGAGAAGCCCATCGTCAGCGCCTCAAAATCTGCAACCCCAACCACGATGCCCTGCGAAAATTGCCTCAACTACAACTTCGGCTGGGAGACACTAGATCCTGAGAGGGATTGTCGACCTGCACTGTTCACCACCTTTGGCAAGCTTGTTGACCCTTCTACCACTTGTCCTTTGTGCAAGCTTATCTTGGAAGGCCTCGAAAACAATTTTGCTAAGGGCAATCAGGGTTCATTGAAGCATCGGGTGGGCAAAGACAGCGAGATCTTTGTGTCCATGTGGCCGTGGTGGGAGGAAGGGGAAACCACCATAAGCTTCTTTATTATACCCCCTGAGGAAAGAAGATCTCGGCATCCTATCCCAAGGCTTACGGAGTCAAATTTGCGTGTCTATTCGGGTTTGTGGCTCCAACTCCCGCTACTGGAAGCTTTACCGCTGACGCCGGCACACTACAGAAATCTATAACTGGGCCCGCTCCCCACCGCTCATACCGTGGAGTGAGCCATGTTTAGACCGGCTGAGACAATGGCTTAGCGACTGCCTTTATGAGCATGGACCGATATGTTGCACGACGCTTTCTGGCGAGAGAATTGACGAGTCGTTACCGCCAGTCCTTCCTACTCGAGTTATCGACGTAGGCCCGCTGGATGGCTCTGGGAGCGCCCGTCTTCTGGAATCGAATGGGGAACGTGGGTATTACACCGCCCTCAGTTACTGCTGGGGAAGTTCTCAGAAGTCTGACCGGCCCTATTTAACCACAACAGAGACACTTCAACAGCATCTTTCGGAGCTTCCGTGGGATTTGCTTCCGAAGACCCTTCGGGATGCTATCTTCTTAACCCGGGCACTTGGGGTACGGTATCTTTGGATAGACTCGCTATGCATCATCCAGGACTCCAATGCCGACTGGGAGAAAGAAGCAGCAAGAATGGGTACAGTGTATGCGCAGGCGCGGCTTGTCATTGCCGCAACAACAGGCACGAATGCCGAGGCTGGTCTGTTCCCAATCCAGACGCAAATTCATCGTCCAGGCCAGCCGTCTCTATATTTCCGCAAATTGCCCAACGAAAGAGGATCTCCGAAACTCAATCTTCCTCTATTCACTAGAGGCTGGGCAACCCAGGAATGGGTACTTGCAAGAAGGATTGTGTTTTGGACGCGAGAACGGATGTGCTGGTACTGCACGCGTGAGTGTGTCGGGGATGATGGTATCAGGGCGTCCTTTTACTCTGGCTTCACTGATCAATTTACCACATGGAAGGAGATTGTGACACTCTACTCCGGTAGGAATCTCACATACCCTGGGGATAAGCTCATTGCTTTGAGGGGCATCGCCAACAAATTACAGAAGAAGAGGCCGGCAGACAAGTACGCATTTGGATTGTGGCAGTCCAATCTACCCTACGAACTCCTTTGGTCAGGTCAGGCAGCCACAACTGACCCTAGACTGGAGGAATTGCATATACCGTCATGGTCTTGGGCTGCCCATCCTGGTGGTGTGCGGTTCTTGGAGGACGGTGTAAGAGACCGGCAACTGCGAGGCTGGGAACTATCCGCCCAGTTATCTATTTCTTTCCTAGAGTATCATTCCCTCCGGATTGTGGCAAGATCCAAGAGGGTGGATCTTCACGCACCTAACATGGTAAACCATTGTTTCCGTTGGTTCCGACGTGAAAATGAAGTTGTCAATCACGATAACCCATGCGTTGGAGTCTGTACGGGAGAAATATTAGCGATTTGTCCGAAAGAAATTGGCCCTGGCTCGGTCCAAATTGCTCTTCGCAAAGAGAGAATATGGGTGGTGTTTGACAGCAGAGACTTTCTCAGTAAGTACCAGAAAGAGCGAGATACTCGTAAATGTGGGAAGAAGAGGAAGACGATCGGAGCCCTGAAGCGTAGTTTAGGGATGTCTGCGGGCATACTTGAAGAGTTTTCATTCGTGGAGATTGCATCTGACATGGGGTGGGACTATGCCGTTGTGGGCTTGTTGTTGCGCAAAAGCCCCCATACACCCGGCAGATATATTAGAGTTGGATTGGGGTTTGCTTTCAAGGCGTGGTTCGAAGATGCGAAAATGGGGACGTTTGTTCTTGAATGACGGTTGGGCAAAGGGCCGGAGCATTAAAAAGTATCGTTGGGAATAAACAGAGAGGAGAGGGTATAATGAGAAGAACGACGGGAACGATGCTATTGGGTTTGATCCTGCAATCGTTCATCAGGGACGTGGCTTGCTGGAACTGAATTGGAAAGATGGTGATAGGTGTGAGAAGAAAGCGGGTTGGTTGAAGAAACAAATGGTTAAGTTATCGTGATGGGGGAAGAAGGACGAGACGGTTCGTCCAGATTCTACCACTGATCTTTGAACACTCCACATTTCTTGGCCAGACGTTCCTTCTCACTTCGCCCTCCTGTCAACCTCGTGAAAAGTCAATCATGACGCACCTTCCGGCTCGAATAATGCCGAAAATAGGCGTAACGCCGAGGGTGGAAGGTGCTTCTGGGAGGCAGGCCGGTTGGAGCGGGCACGACCTGAGGGTTCGGTCCTGCCCAATATCACCGCGACTCAACACCAGAAGTTACCTTGGCTATCGCGAGGCTTTTCAACCACATGGAATTGGATATTAGGGGATATGGACGAGCCATGATGTCCTCGGATAATGTGGGCAAACAAAGAAAACAAGGATGCTATTGCTAGGACGCAGCAAGGAAGCCAGTGATAGAAAGACTCGGAAGAATATAAACAAGACTGCGTCAACTGTGGAGGAAAGCATCAATATGATATTACAACAGAAAGAAGATGGACCTAAGGAAAATACAATGGGTATCTATGCTCACGCAAACTTCAAGTACAACCACACCTCCCCTGCTCACTCCCTCGAGTCCCCAACAACCTCCACATAACTCCTACACATCCTCAAAAACCTCTGCCGATACTCCTCGGGCGTAGTCGTAATACTCATCGGCCCCCTCTTACTAATCAGCAAGTTCCACAAGTTGATCAAAGCCGTCATCACCCTCGGCTGCAGCTTATGTTTCGCCCAAAAGAAGTCCAAAATCGACGCTCGGTAGATATACTTTCCATCCGCCGAGGCGATCCCGGTCCTCCACGACGGCGGGCCAGGCGGCACCGATGGGCCCTCGGTCGGCACCACCTCCGACACAGCTTCGGACGAAGAAGCAGCCGCAGGATCAGGGTTATTGTCCTGCCCCGGTGCCTGGGGCGTGTGCATGCGAACCAAAAACAGCGAGTAATCAACAGCATTATGATCAGCCAACAACTGCGTATCCTCCTCCAGACTCGCAAAGAACTCATCAGCCTGCTCTCTGCTCAAACGAATCTTATCATGGAACTCATCCGCCAACTGGCTCTTGGTGGCCTCGCTGGTCAGCGCGCCGTCGGCTATGTCGCGTTCGGGGTAGAAGTATGAGGTGGGCTTGAGGTCCCAGTCCTCCCAGTCGACGTCGCCGCGCTTTTTCGCTTCGGAGCGGCCGTACATGATGTTCTCCATGACGATGTGGTGGGAGGGCGCGAGGCGCAGGATCCGTCCGATGGAATAGCCGGAGGCGCCGAGGAAGTCGCAGATGCGCACGAGGAGGGAGCGCGGGTGAGTGGCCATGTATTCGACGTAGGGCGTTAGGAGGTCTTCACGGAAGAAGGAGTGTTCGGAGTGCCGTGGGACGGATTTGACGAGGTACTTTTGGTCTTTGGTTGAGTAGAAGGTCTGTTGTAGGTGGGTTGTTAGTAGATGTTCTGATGGCAGGGTGAGGAGAAGGAAGACTAACCGAGCCGGAAAAGCCCATGTCTCCTATGGAGGTTAGAGACTCTTCAGGCTTGTCGCCATCTTGTGGCTGGAAGGACTGGTAGTAATCATCATCTTCAACGTCCCAATGGTTTCGCCGTAGGTTGGCAAAATCAGCCGGTCGAATCTTCTGTAGGATCAACTGGTGGATAGAGAAGAAGACAGAGAATAGTGACAGGATTAGACGAAGGGGATTGCTGTTGCTTGATCGTCGTTTCGCAAGTCCAGTGGTGTCGGTAATAGCCCGCGCGATCGAGCGCGCGATCGTTTTTGAACGTCCCATGGTGCTTATGGAGGTCGTGTAGGATATTGTGTAAAGACTATCAGAAGGCCAAACAAGTCGAGGCCCATCCGATGTTTTCCTCTCCAGAGATCAGCCGAAAAGTGTCTGGCCGTGCTTGCTGATCAGGAACGGGCGACGGCCTGGAACAGCATCGCTGTACCAGTGACGTCATTGTGTTTATCGCGAATCTTATCACTTGTTTCGTCTCACGTACCCCTAACCCTTATCGGCAACTGCCGTCTGCTGTCTGTCCCAAAGGGATCACGACGAGCACATGGCCTATGCTTCGTTCAGGAAGCATGTCTTGTGGTGGGTGATAAGAGGTCAAAGCATATAAACACAGAGGCACCTACGATGATTTCATAAAGAATCCAAGCCATCAACGATCCCTGAGCTGGAATAAATCACGACAGCTAGAGCTAAGAATCGAGCTCCCTCCAAGCCTCACAGAGCTTGGGAAACTCACCTTATCATCAACAACCATCACACATGCGAGGGAGCTCGCAGTGACATTCCAGACATGTCTGCATTCAATTACCATACTGTACTTCCGATCGACTCCTTAACCAGAAGGGAGATCTCATATACCACGCTATTTCACCCATCCCATCCTAGAGGTATTCATACGCCCGAACTCCTGTCCACGCAGACATCCCCCATTCCCCCATTTACTTACCACCAGGCCTCTTCGGCCTAGCAAACCCCCTGCTCTCCACCACCTTGGGATGCAACTCCGCCAACACACTCTCCTCCGTGATCTCACTCGGCTCCTCCACCTCAAACTTCTTATCCGGATTCAACCCTTCCTTGCTCGCCACCTCCAGGACGGCCCGCTTCATGAGCGGGTACAGCATGCGCTGCTTGATGGCTACGCGGCCACCGTTGGAGCTGGGGTTGGTGTAGAAGAAGAGGACGGGCGACTGCTCGGAGCCGTTGTGCGTGTGCGTGTATCGATAGAAGGTGAAGCGCGGTTCGGTGGTGGAGATGGAGGAGACGAGCGAGGAAAGAGAGCCCGGAGTGGAGGAGGGGGCCGGGAGGAGGTCGATGGTTTCTGTGGTGGGGTTTACTTTCTGTTGGGAAGGTCAGTTACTTGGATTCTGATTGTAGAAGCTGTCTGTCTGTTGCACCACACGAACGACGGGATTAGGAGGAGGGGGAAAGAAAGAAAGGGGACAAAAAAAACTCACAAGCGAAACAACCCCCACCCCCTCACCCATCGCCAGCTCCTTCAACGACATCACCGCATCATCCCCCATCGGCATCGCCATCTGGCTTCCCAGATGAATCTCCCGCTTACTCGTTCCACTGCCCGCCTCCTGCTCCGCGCGTTTCACCTCGCCCAGACTCTTCTCCTCCTCCGTCAGCGGCGCGTCCAGCGCCGTGTGCGCATCGTGCTTCTCAAACCCAGCGCTCGTCAGCTCCTTGGCCGTCGTCGCGAAGATGGTCTCCCGGAAGTGTTCCGACCCCAGCTCGCGCACGAGCGTCAGCCGCGTCGCGGCGAACAGCATCTTCTGCCGCACGGGCGCCGTGTCGGGCACGTAGGTGACGGCGACCAGGGCCGGGGAGGAGTCGTAGCGCCTGAGGATGATGTAGAGGGCCTCTTTCTCTTTGATGTAAGGGGTCAGGAGGGAGTCGACGTTGGAGGCGAAGGAGGAGCCGGGGGAGGAGGAGGTCAGGGTTTGGATGGGCTGGAGCTGTTCGTTGGCGATGTTAACGAGGAGGCCGAAGGTCGATGAGGAGCCGAGGAGGTCGTTGAATTGGGAGACCAGCTCCTTGGAGGCTGTGTGTGGACGGATTGAATGTTAGCCATGTGATCGGGTCTGACTTGGAGTTGGGCTGTGGTGTAGCTAGCTCCCGTGTCCAGCTTCCAAGGGGGAGCTGAGGTTTGTGGCGATTGGGAAAGAGGGCGGCAACAACTTACCGGAAATTCCTGACTGCATCTTTTCTGGTGTTTCTCCTTGTCCCAAATGCAATCGAGATATGGGAAACAGGTAACTTAGGTTAGAAGATGTTGATGTTTGGTACAAGTCGGGCTGGCTGCGATACGATGCGGTCAACAAGGCCGGCAATGGGGCTCACGTAGCTATGGTGGGGTCCGGGCGGGTCTCGTGCCAGCAAGGTCCATGGAGTGGGGCTCAGGGCGGTTGGTACCTGAATTTACCCCTGGAGTTTACCAACGTCGTTATGTTTTTCTATCTTCAACTTCCAATGTCACTTCTTTATTAGTTTCCTATATCTCTTCATTGGGATCTAGGTGCGCAAGGAAGCCGTTTCAAGGTATGTAACTGTTCGAATTGTAGCTAGGTCGGTCTGTCCTTGAGTGCTGCTGGTCTTACGTCCAGGAGCAGCTGAGAGCTCAGCTAGGTTATTACCAGTCTTCCAGCCAACATAGGCGGAGAGAAGTTAGTGTATTATCTTACTCCTCATCGACGGTTACTGGATGGACTCCGCTTCGAGTCTTCGAGTCTTCGACTCTCTCGCCAGCGATGGAAAACGCAGTCAGTCAGGAAGTAACAATTTGAAGTTGTTTACACGAACAGCCGGAGACTTAGATTAAGACACGCATTGTTCAATTGCGAAGAAGGGGTTTTCGCTGGGTTCGGCATGATTATGTACTCAAAATTGATCGCTTTCATCCCCGCATCCGCTTTTCTTTCCTACTTCTACATCAAAAACTTGAGGGTATCAAACAAGAAGACAAAATAGTATCCAACTTCCACAACTTCCAACATCAAGCAAAACCAGTCCCCCACCTCTCCACCCCAAACGGCATCGCGCCCTCTAGCGCCGCGGCTTCCAAATGTAGATCCTTAAAATCGTGCTCCAAATCCTCTACTCCCTCGTCATATCCATCGTTATCATCATTATCATTGTTGTTTCCTGGCCTCTCTCCTTGTCTGGAAAGGTTAGCAGCGGCCACTGCTTGAGCTTGCTTCAGCTCGCTATACGCGGGGAGGTATTCGTCCTCCACTTGTTTCTGTAAGCGTCGAACGCTTGATTGGCGTCCGGTTCCGGGTGTGTTTTCATCCACAGGGTAATCATCATACCCCGGCGGCCCAATGCCAGAAAAGGCACTTCCTCTTGAGAATGTTCTGCCTAGTCCCACCGACCCAAAATCCTGTTGCCCGACGTATGTACGTGCGCTTGCCGCGCTCGTTTGTCTGCTTATGCTCTGCCCACCTCCACCTCCATAACCTCCATACCCTCCACCAACCGTCCGCGTACTGGCCTTGCTAGCCTGTCTGCTCACTCCAGGAGTCCTATCTTCATAAGATTGGTAGATGATTGCGCCTGTGGGGCCGGGCAACCTGATCTCCTCCGCTTCCAAAACCTCGGCGATATCCCTGACTAAAACCTCCATGGGACATATGTAGGCTACCCTCTTCCTGCTCGACCACGCGAGGACGTGGCCGCAGACACTGCCTCCGTCTCTTTCTACTACCCAGGCGCCGGAGTCGCCGGGGATGCCCATCGGTAGTGGTTGGCGGCGAGAGTTGATGGAATGGTCACTGGATCCGGATGGTCGGTTGGGACGGTTGGGTACGAGACCGAGGGAAGGGGTACCGGAGACTTGGTAAGTGTGACTGGGAGATGCCCGGCCGAGGATTTTCACCGAGGTGAGGGCGGGGAGGATGGTGCCTGTTTGCAGGCCGGAACTGCGGGCCATGCATTGCACTTGGAGACCGGGAAGGGTGTGGGAGGGGGCGATGGAGGTTGGGAGGATTGTTGGGATTTGGTCAGGGGGAATGCTGGGGAGGCGGGTGTGTTTCTTCCCCTTCTTGCCTGGAGAAGGATTAGAAGCCTTTGGGATAAAGTTATCAGTTGGTTGGCGATCGTCTTCGAATTCGAAGAGGGCCCAGTCAATTTCATGCACAAGACCATTCTCCTTGCGCCGACGAATACCGCTGGAGGCGTACATCTCGCCGACCCGGAAGGTGTCAAGGTGGTCTTGGTCTTTGTCCTCAGCGGAGGGATAGAAGTCCGAGGCTACGTCGTCTAGGGCCGGTTGCGTGATGATGAAGCCTTCGCCGCAGCCCGGCTCGATTCCGGGGATGTCGCCGGGTTCGGTAAATTGTTCTTCTTCCTCATAGTGTTCATCGTCGTCGGAAGCTTCGCTAGTTATGGCGGACTCGGAATAGGCTTCGGAATCCGTGTCGGAGAATTCGCAGGCGTAGTCATCGTTTTCGCTGCTGTCTGGGGAGGATTCGTCGGTGTTTAAGTATTGCTGGGCGTACCACGCTGCGAGATCGTTAAGGCCTCCGCCTGCCATACTCCTAGTATTGTCATCTGCGACATCATCTGAGTCGGGGTCATCCAGCATGTGGTGCACCGTCATGCCATAAGGCTTGTCGTCCACCACGATAAGTCCTCCCAAACTGACTGGCGGCAAGTGCCGATCGCCAATCCATGCCCCAATACTCGCCCCATTCTGTGGCTTGGGTTGGTATGACGGGTTGGCGGCTATGACATCTCCAGTATCTTCCGGGTTGGCCATGCTGCGGTTGATAACCTGCTTGCGTGACCGGAGAACCTGACCCTTGCATACCTTGAGTCCGAGATTCGACCGTGTTCCATCGAACAGAACGCCCAGCTTCTTCTTCAGAATGGCCCTAACCTTGCTGACCGAAGTGCAGACGACCAGAACGGTAGGCTTAGTACGCTGTGGTGACTCGCCGATCGATTCGAGAGAGATTTCGACGGACTCGGGGTTTTTGCGGTAGAAGGTTTTGAGAGCCGAGTTGATCTCTGGCATGAGAACCGAGTTCCACTGTTCGACAACATCTGGCGGAAGAGGAACGTGTGGATAAAGGCGTGCTTTCTCCTTGCCTGAAGAGTCTTTTCCTTGTCGAGCTGTAACATGTTAGATACTTGCGATGTCAAACTTCGGACGGAACTTGGCATACCCTGGATCTTGGCCCGCACTTCCAGTTCGGGATCCACTGGCACAACCGCAATAGGGGGAGTAGATTCTTCACTCTTTCGGCGGGTTGGCGTCTCAACCGCCACCTTTTCAGACTTGCTTTCCTTGGAGGAACCAGAGCCGGAAGCAGTTGGTTCTGAGGGCACCTGCACGGCTGGCGGAGCAGGAGAAAGGTCATCTCCCAGTCTCTCTTCCAGGTTGCTCACGCCATCCAGAATGCAGCACGCCTCGAGATATCGGCTAGCCTTGAACTCGACATGACGAGCAATCTCGTCCATGGTATGTTGACCACCAATTTCCTGATCCACTGCCCTCAAGCAGGTCTGAACGGCCTTCATGTAAAGCGTACCGCATCGAATAGCCAGTTGGTCAAGAATGGAATTGGAGACGACTGGGTTCTTAACATCCGGGAGGATATTCTCCAGGGTGTTCCAAAGACCCACAGAAATGAGGATCATGGCCAAAGAGTAAAGATCCAATGTCTTAGAATCAGCATTGTTGTTGAGCGGCGACTGGGTAGAGTTCTTTGGGTCCAACGGATGTCTATAAGGCGTAAAGGGATCAGGTTCGTCTTGTGATTGTGGATCTGAGAATAAGTCAAACGACGAGACCAAAGGCCGTCTGATGTCGACCTCGCCCTGACTCATTCCGCTGATCTCTGGGTCGGTGCTGACGGCATTGCAGAAGGAGATGTTGTCAATAAGAAGGTTGCCATGAGTGATACCCCTGGCGTGCATGTCAAAGATTGTGTTGGCCAGGTTGGCAGCCAGACGAAACTTGGCTTCCAGCTTGGGCTCGAAGTCCGGGCGAGCCAATAGGTTGGCCAGCGAGCACATGCTATACAAAGGGTTCTGGGTAAGGTTTTCGTAGGTGACCGGATTGAAGGTACGGGGGAACCTGTAGACCAACCCGAACCTTGAATTTTCCATGTCCTCAAAATAGCCCAATAAGCGGGGAAGACCTACCCAAGAACTGGATGACCGTTGAGGATCAGCTTGAAGACCGGATGACAAGCGCTCAAACCGGGTCATGGGTGGTGATATGCCTGTGATGGAATAGATGGAATCGAAGGGCGCGTATTCCAAAAGCAGAGGTCCGTAGGAAATCTGAGCACCCATCCGTTCCATCAGCTCGGCATAAGCCTGCTTGCCCATAAAGACAATCTCCCTTGTCCCCTGCTCCTGGTTTCCAGCCTCGGTCATGGGCACGGCCTGCATGTCGCGCAGGTTCATGAGGGTAGTAGGATCGATCTGCTGTGGTGTCTGGATCCTGGTAGACTCGAATGGGCGATACTCTTCCGCGGGCGAAGCAACAGCCCTCTGAAGCCTCTCACGTGCGGCGGACGAGTGCTGAGCATAGGAGGATCTGGTCCTCGACAGATCGTAGAGGGTATCGATGGACGTCGTCAAATCGCGGATAAGATCCTCGAAGCGGTTCTTGTCCCACACCACCATCCTGATCTTCTCGCCTCGCTTTGGTGGTTGATAGGGCTCATTACTCTCGCCGGTCAACTGTTTGGAGCTGTTCCATAGCGGCTCGGCCTCAGCTAAGATGTCCTTGATGGTGGACATGATACTCCCAACGACTTCGCTGAGGCCGGCCTTGGATAGTGAAGAGTCAATGTAGACTTCGGCGGAGTGTGTAGGGTCGGACCATTCCAGCCCCCAGCTGACAAGACGGTCCTTTTGGATCTTGAGCTTGCGGTGGAGGGACTTGATTTCGGGGTCGGCCTCGGCATGTTGGACGGGTTCCTTGACGAAGTCGGAGGATTTCTTAGTGTCGTTGTAGAGCCTGCTAAGTCTCCTGTTGAGGGACGACCCAAGCTGGAAGCCGCCCATTGGGATACCGGATGCCATGATTGCGGTTCGAATCGGGCCTTGTGGGAAGCTGTGCAATACAGAGGCTGCGCTGTAAGCAGTCTGATATTTATGTTCCGATTATCGTACGTATGTATTAGCACATGGCGATAGCTGATGGACCAGCCGAGAAGTGAAGAGCCGGTGATTGAAAAGTGAAGAAGGTATTGAAAAGGATTGAATTCAATCGAAATATTGTAACACGAGAGGCGACAAATCGAGGCTAAGACAACACGGTTCGATTGTAACCCGAGACCAGCTGAATGATGTACGAAAGGTGGTAGTCAATGTGGAAGGAGTGTGGCACACGATATATGGAAATAATAGAAGACGGGAAGGGTCAAGTCATGATTGTTACCGGGGGGTGGGTGAGAAAAGAGCCGCAACTTCTTCCCCGAGTTCTCTTGTCGAGCAGATCTGCAGACCCTTCTGCCTCTGTGGGAGGAAAGAACTCCCCGCGGTCATCACGAACAGGGCTTTGCACCTTCTCAAGAATGCCGGTGCCTGGTTCCCGTCATTTCCTCGGAAAGTGTTTGTCTAGACGGTCGTTCCATTTCTTTGAGGGAAAGAGCGCCGGTGCCATGGGCGTGTGGCTTGCGAACCGCGTGTTTGGCCATTGGTCCACGGTGGGGTTCCGGAATCCTGCTGCCTGCTGTTGAATGCGAATTACAGCGGGGGTCCGACCACGGTCAATGATTGGTCAGACACTCTCTTGATCTGCAGTTTCACAGCTTGACAGCCATTTCCAGTTGTCAAGACACCATGTGCCAACTGCCAAAGACCTCCTGTCTAGACTCCCGGTCTCCTCGACTTTCCTCTTGTTCACCACTTCAACGGCCACTGCAATATCCGTGACATGGCAACCAGGCTTCCGCCAACCGGAAATTACCCTCGACACCAAAAGTCAATTGAGGATCCCGATCATTGTTTTCCCACTAGCTGTTTATACAGCTTCCATATTGCTGCTGTTTCTACCTTCTCGCCACCACGTGCTCTTGGCCTACCTACCTTGACCTCCCTGGACTCTTCACCACGATGGCCCCTGTGGAGAAATGATTCATCTCCTCTGGCTTCTAGGCCGCCTTCTAGGTACCTGTTGATGCCGGATTTAAGCCTCAATGACGGACTTCTTAGTTCTAGCGTTAGACCGTCAGACTATTCAGGCTCCATCTTCGCGACACTTCAACCGTCCTCGCTTTTTTCAGGCCGCCAGATTTACACATCGCCTCTTCACAAGGCCCGCTTTGGCTGAAGACTATTCCCAATGACAAGATGGACTGCCTGGAACATGTCATCCCGTGGAGCACTTGGGTCTCTGGAATCTCGATAGTGTACCTCTAGCCTTCGGAGGGTCATCCGCTCGGCTACAAGGTCACTCCATCACCCTACATAGGTACTACTATCACTTGGCTCTTGATGCGTTCCACATCAATAGTTCATCAACGACCATCTAGGTCACACAACCGAACGACACCGGCAGCCACGTCGAGGCCCAATATACAGCACGGTCGGATGCAGTAGCGGATGCACTTGTCACCCACAGCTCAGACCGATCTACAGTTTTCAGCGACTCAGAGGCCAGTTAATTCTGCTGCCTGTTCGGTCACCTCAACCACATGGGCGGCTTTTTCCAACGCCTGGTACACCACCAACTTGACTTATCACGCATCGCGGCCGCAAGCAATCTCCACAGGAAGACGCACCAAGCTGCAACAAAAGTTTATTGCTCCACCGTTTGCCTAGCATTGGATTCGAACTTGGTGGTTGTGGGTTTTGATTCGGAGCGGGTGGGTAGTGGTAGCTCCATCTCTGAAGACCGAGCGCCATGAATGGGCCCAACAGAGATGGACGGGCTAGACACACACCGGGTCAGCTTTCACGGATCACTTCGCCCAAATCGTCCAAACCCCGAAAACATTCGGCAAAGCGCCATATTCCCCAAGTGTCCGCAGACAGAAGTCCACTCCGAACTTGCTGGCCCTGCTTCTTGGTCTCTTAGCTCGGCAGCCCTTGAGAAGCTGGGGCGCTATGTCGAGTATCATCACCATCAGTGCCCAGTCATCGCTTGATATTGCCAGAATGAGCATCCCATCTGCGAATCAACACTAACACCTGACACGGACAGCACGAGACCGATGCCGCTGATGCCGGGAACTGCTAACAACCGAGTATGAAAGACTCGATTCACTCGGTCTTACAAAACAAAGTAGGCACAGGCTGACAACTGACGTCGCTCCATTGCGTGGGAGCCCATGTGTAAGTGAATCATATGAGATAAGACACTAACCATTAGCCATCAAGTGCCCTGTGTCCGAGTTAAGGAAGCACGAGTCTCTCCATCCTCGTTGTCTGACAAGTCAACTCCCAAACCCCCTTCACATCCGAGCCAGCAAACCTCAAAGCTTGCTACGTGAAATCTTCCTACAACCAGCCCATCCAGCAGAAGTCGCCTGCATATGTGGACTCCTCACTTCCATGGTATCGAACTCCAGTCGGCAGGACGAACTCCTCATCTTCCCGCAGTTTCTCTCCTTCCTGACGCCAACCTACCCGTCTTCACCACTCGGATCACGATACTCCCCACTTGCCGTCAAAAACTTGGCCGGATTGCCATGGCATTCTGGCTCATTGCCGCCCAGACAGGGTAGTGTAAACACAGATGAAGCGACACACAGACATCGTTGGCGTCTTTGGCGTCGCTTCACATGCAATACGCTGAATAACTTCCATGCATTTGGTCTAACCTGTAGCGGCCTGGTGGCCTATTCTCGGGACCGGGTTTTCAAGTTCCGAAACTGGGAACGGGTCCCATGTGTACAGGTGGGTAGCCGGCTTTATTGCCATTCCGGACCGATCTTCGGGCCTCGTTGGCGGGTATGCGAAAAGGCTGTTGATCCCATGTTTACAAATGGGTACGTAGCCGGTTTTCATCCCATCTGATCATACATGAGCGTGATTTGGGACTCAGGCGGGTACCTACGCAAGAAGACTTTTGATCCCATCTGCTCAGTTGGCTTGGCAAGGCCCTTCAATCCTCCTCCTGCAGTCTACCAAGACCATCAAGAAAGGAACTCGTACGGAGAAAAGACAAAGTAACATGACAGAACAACAACGACAAGGTCCAGAGAAGACCAAGAGACAATATTGTAGGTAATCAAAGGGGTTTCATGGGAGCATAAGGAAAGAGCGAGCGCAGAAACCACCAGTTGCATTCTCCCCCATAAACTGCCACAAACAGACGATATCTACACCACACCACGAAGTCAAGTCCTTTCCCGTTCTATCCATCCATCCATCCATCCATCCATCCACGCACAACAGCCATCTAGGGCTGGGCTCGAGTCAGCAGCCACCGTAACACTTCTTTTCGCTCCACGCCCTCATCATCCAGCCCGAAACGTTACAGTCTACAGATGAAAGAAGCAGAGTCATTCCAGTACTCACCGAGGCTAGCTGAACGAGAACCATGTGCCTCGACATATTGTAGTGTGAAAGATCTCACATTCAGCCCGAAAATGCTCGGACGTACAAACACGGGTGGTCAAGTCCACTTGCAAATGGCCCGACGAGCACCTATGAAGGCATCAACGCCGTCGTCAAGGAACGAGAGCAGGATGCCAAAGAAATTCGTCTAGATCAATCTATTTCAGCCAGGAGGTAGGAATATAAACTGAGTAGATATATATGTGAGTGTCGGCGGCGCCAGTCATACGTTATAAAAATGATGTCACCGAGAAAGTGAGTCTACAACCATCTAGACATAGTCGCCGGATTTTCATTCATACTCGAGTAATCAATCAATTTCCAATACCCACCCTCTGATGTTTGGGTTCATCATTTCCAATTTGGTCAAGTCGGGTCGGCAAGTGGACGACGCCTTGCGAGTGAACGGATGAAGCCTGCCTTCATACGTACCAGATAACATCTAGATAGAGCACTAACACAATCAAGACGGACCCACTGTAAGGTTGTTAGGACCTTATCTTAATGACTTCCATCAGTCCCACCTGCATTCGTTCAACCTCCATCTGCCTGCCCAACCGCCACTATCAAGGAAACACAGACGCAAAGGAAGAATGAGAAAACGGCTCGAAGGAGAGCCAATCATCAATGCAACTCTGGGGTGAACTTATTAATACAAATGTTATATAGATCATCCCATTCTCTCAGAAGAGAGTGAGAGGATTTTGGTGCTCCTCGTGATCTAGGCCAGAGGCAATAATAGTATACTATCTCATTACCCGCGGTCCTGGTATATAAGACTGTTAGTGCCGTAACTGTCTTTCCATCGTCGGTTATAATCCCGATGTAATATTCTGTGTCAAAGTTACCTCTACTGTCCCTCTCCCGAAGCGGGACACACCAAGGGCCGAACGATATTTCTTGCGTGGGACAAGTCCAAAAGAGGGTCTCATAACTTTAGGTGCCGATGTGATGATCGCTTGTGAAATGTCATGGACATGTTAATAGCCAGGTACGTCCTCACAAGATCGATGTGTTCCCATCATATTGGCATTTAGTACCAACTCTCTACATCCATCACACACAGATTTCACCGGGTAAAAGATTGTTGTGGCTCATAAACATTAAAATTGCAATTGATCATTCATACATCATACTACCAAACTAACAAATGAAAAAGCAACCCAAGGAAATGAAACCGTATGGTCAAGTGTGAGGGGGTATAAGCTAACAATATCAAGACAAAAAAAAATGGAACAACTCTTCTTTTCTCATCAATCCCATCATCAATCCCATCATCATCCATCTTCAACCTCCTTTTCGCTCATTCCCGCTGTTCATATTTCCCCTCCTCATTCCTCCCCTCCTCTTTCCTTCTCCTCTTTTCCTCTCTCATCTTCTTTCTTCTGATACCTTTCCACCCCCTCATCATTCATCATTCTTCTCATGACTTAAAGCTCATCATGACCAACAACAGCCTCCGAAGCCTGGCTAGCAACACTAACCACAGTCTCCTTGGCCTCACTAGCCAAGCTGCTCACGCTCTCATACGCGCCCACCACGACTTCGGGGATAGAAGTAGCGTAGACTCCCCTGAGTCTGCTCACCACGCTCTCAGAGAAGGTTGGCTCCTTGCCCACGAGCAGTTCACTGACAATGCTACTCACGACACTATACTGTTGCGCGGCGGCATCCGTACCCGCAGCGGCATACTCGCCCGCCGCGCTAGCACCAGCACCAGCAGCGCTGGTGATAGAGGCAGCGTTATCAGCTGCGGCATCACTCGCCGCACCGCCGTATTGGTTCGCGACGCTGATGGCAGAGGAGCTGGCGGCGCTGGCGGCGGAGATGACGGTTTGGTACCAGGGAGTGGGGGTGGGAGCACCGTAGACTTCGATGCTGATCCTGGCGAGGACGGAGTCCCAGGATTCGGAAACTGCCGAGGCGGCATCGGCGACGTTCTCGGAAACAACGGACGCAGCACCGGCGACGTTCTCGGAAACGACGGAAGCGGCAGAGGAGGCCTTGTCTCCCGCGGCGTAAACGACGGAGGAGGCGTTCTCCCCGACGATCGAGGCAGCGGAGGCAGCACCGTCTGTAACGGCGGAAGCAACCGATGCAGCAGAGGCGGCAGCAGCGGAGGCAGCAGAAGCAGCGGATTCAGAGGCGATGGAGGCCGCGTAGGCAGCGTTGTCAGTAACAACAGAAGCCGCAGAGGCAGCGGACTCGGTGGCGACGGAAGCGACTGACGAAGCAGTGCCGACGAAGTCAGTGGGAGTAGGGGTGGCAGTCAGGGAGTTGAAAGCGGACGAAGCGGCAGCCAAGAACTCGGAGTAGCGAGCGTGAGCGACACCGAGGCCGGCGTAGTAGTTGTGCCTGGCGTTCTCGAGCGCCTTTTGGACGTGCTCAGAGGGAGTGGAGGGGGTAGGGGTGGCCAGACCGGCGGCGATCTTGGCGGACTCGTATTGCTCCTCGGCCCAAGAGCGACCTTGCTCGAGACGCTGGGCAGCAATGGATTGGATGCGCTCCCAGTCCACGGAAGGGATGTTGGGGACGGGAACGGCGGTGGGGAGGATCTTGAAGGCCTCGGTGGGAGTGCTCTTGTACACTTGCTTAGAGGCAAGCTTCAAGGCCTTGTCGAGGCGGACACTAGCGGAGGCCATGGCGTTGCTGTAAGCTTGGGTGACGGATGCGAGCATCTGCTGGTGAGCCGGCTCAGGGGTGCCGCGGATCTGGGCAGAGATGAGGGAGAGGGCTTCAGAATACTGGTTGTTGGCACGAGACATGGCGGACGAGTAGACCGACTTGACGTCGTTACGCATCTTCTCCATGGCTTCAGAAACGTCGTCGTAGGTATCTTCGTCAATGATGGGCTGGCGACTAGGCACCGACTGAGCAGCAGCTCCGAGCCAAGCGGACTTGACGGTGGTGGCAGGAGGCTCAGGAGTTTCGGAGACGATGATATCAGACTCCTCCTCAGCTTCCTCCTCAACGGGGAGCTCGACGGGAGCAGGGCCCTCCTTCTCTGCCTTGGTAGTGTTACCGACCATGACAGGGGTCTCCTCGAGGATCTCAGTAGAGGCGAGATCAGGGCGAGACTCAACGATAGAAGCGGCCTCGGATGCAGACTCAACATCATCAGCGACCTCTTCGGAAGCAACGCTGGCAGACTCGACAGTCTCGGTCTCGGTGGAAGACCCAACAACGACCTCGGAGGCTTCGCTCAGCACAGTAGTGGCAGACTCCTTTGCAACGTCAGTTGCGCTCTCGACAGACTCGGAAGCCGAAGAGGCGGCCTCAACGACGGGGGAGGTGTCCTCATCCGCAAGCTCCTCCATCTTGTCAGTAGCTGAATCCTTGGCTCCAACGACAGCCTCAGTCACCTCAGACACAACTTCAGCAGCGCGGCTGACACCATCACCAACAACCTCAGAAACCTTCTCACCAGCAGCACTAGCAGAATCGCTAGCCTGGGAAACGACACTGGCCGCAGCATCCTGAGCATACTCCACATGCTCAGCAGCCTGCTGAGCGACAGTGCTCTCGAACTCATCGGAGTCGTCACCAGCTTCCAACTTGCGAACAGCAACCTGCTTCAAGCGAGCAAGCTCCTTGGCAGCAGAGGCCGCAGTGTTCATGGCCTCTTCCTCAACAGCAGCCGCCTCATTCTGAGCAGCCTCGAGACCAGGGTGAGTAACGATGAGGTTCTTGAGGTCGTTGTTCCAGTCCTCGAAACGGCTCTTGAGCTCATGGTACTTGGCCCAGTCCTTGTAAGTGACGCCATCCATCCAAGCCCACTTCATACCGAGCTTCTGCAAGGCCAGGTCTCTAATGTCGCCAAGGATGGTAAAGTGGGCTTCGGCAGCATTGGTAATAGCGGACTGCATCTCGGCCTCGTAGTTCTCACGCCAGGTACGGACCTCCTGAGCTCTCTCCTTGATAGACATGCCCGCCTGACGTACGACGGCAGCAATTTGATCGCGTCCCTCGTCAACCGAGGCGGTTTCCTTGTTTACGGCCCCAATAATCTGCATGATCTTGCGGCGGAGTTGGACAAGCTCGGAAACAGTCGTAGTCTGGAGCTCGTCGAGCAGAGCCTTACCGGTAACCTTGGCGTTACGGCGGATCATCTTCTTGGTGATTTCGTAGATTCTGGCCGAGATCTCGGAGGCGCCCTGGTCAGCGGCCTTGGAGTACCTTTCCTGCCAGTCCTGAAGATCGGCAGCGACAGTCTCACGGGCGCTACGGCGAGCGGGATCTTCCTTCTCGAGCTGCTCATCGACCTCGGGAGGGGGAATGCGGTTCTCGGGAACATTGTGCTCTGTGGATTCGGAGTTCAAGACCTTTTGTTCTTCAGCGGCAGCGGCCTTGATTGAGGACTCGGCGTGGGACGAGGGGGTCGAAGCAGCGGTAGTGGCCGGTGTGGGCTTGCTAAAAGTCGATGTCTTGCTGCTGGAGGCACGCGATCGAGTCAGCACTCTTTTTGTCGACAACGGTGATGGAAGAGAATCCGTCGCCACCAACCTAGAGGACAAGTCCACAGGGGGCTTGGGTACCGACTTCTTGTTGCTCGTGGTATGGCGACCAAGGCGCTGGCCAATCTTGAGCAGCTGAGGCTCGACATTCTCAGAGTAGATGACTCTCAAATGGGGCATGACGGTTCCATCGAGGAACAGGTTGGTCTTGTTCCAGGCCCAACGGGTTGAGGGCAACACGGTGCTTGCAGCAAAAGCCGAGGCAGCCTTATAGCCCTTGTGTGCGTAGGGTTCGACGAAGTGGTACGAGGGCACGACAACGTCATGGTAGGTCTGGAGGGCGTTGGTGCGCGCAATCTCATAGTACGGACCGGCGGCAGTGGAAAGCTGCTTGACATGGGGACCAACGCTCTGTTCGTAACGGGTCTTTGCAAGCTTCTGGTACTTGACAAGCTGGGGCTGAAGGGTCTTTTGCCAATGGGTCTTGGTGTAGGCCTGGGCCTTTTGGATTCTGGGTTGCGCATATGCCAAGGCGGGAGCAATGGCCTTTTGATCGACGACATGGTAGTAGCGGTTGACGTAGGGAGCGGCGTAGGCGGTATAGTATGGTTCGACATGCGGCAAAACGGTCTGCTTGACCTCAAAGTATGTCTTGCAAATGCGGGGAGAAGACTTGTCGCAATCCTTGAGCGAGGCGGGGCAGCGGAAGAGGATGGTGAGGATAGTGTACCAGGTCACGAGTCTGTGGAAAAGCCGTAGGTTAGAGAGATGTCAACAACTCGATGATGGCAAAGACTGCTCGCTTACCTAGCTACAACATTGAACGTCCTAGCTATCACACCAGGCCGACTGCGTGGGCGTTGTCTTGGTGTGACTCTGGGGCTGGCCGAGTGGCTGAGGGTGGGCTTGATGGGGCCGTTGATGCCATTGATGCCGTTAATACTGTTGACACCCTTCTTGGAGTAGCCATTGATGCTGCTGAGGCCATCGAGAGTAGGGACGGGGCCTTTGGGACCTCCGTTCATCGAGCCGTTTGTGTCCTTCATGGTTGCAGGCTCTTATCAGCACCGGGCTGACTGTGGTGACGTCGCGACGAATGTGAGATGGTTGTCGATAGGTCGCTTGGTTAAGCGCGTTCAAATATGAACAGGCGCAATCATCGAAGTGTGTTGTTGCTGCGTCGTTGTTGGTGGTCGTCTCCAGGGACGGTGCAGAGGGAAGAAAAGAAAAAAGATATTGTTATCGTGTGAGTGGTCACGTCAAGGTCCCAGGTCCGTGACTGCGAAATGCGACTGCGACTGGGGCTCGTTCCAGCTGGTGGTTCCAGGCGATGGTTCGGTGCTTCCCGCTGCTACAGCACGCTTTCGTTAGCTCGTGCTCTCTTCCCGTCATCGGCCAGGCCAGGGCGGGGCCAATGATGGAAACAGTGGGGTGTTACCGTACCGTACTTTTACGTTACCTCTACCAAAGTTGAGATTCAGATGGAATGAAGCAGTCGTCAGGTCCTGAGACGAAGCGAAGAGTTGAAGGGCAAGGGGATTTGTTTTGCTTTGTTTCTTCTGCCTGTGACTTTCTGGGAGTTTCTTTTCCACGGTCAGTTTCAGGTATTCTCCGCACGCGACAGTCTGTCAGTGTTAAGGAGGCACGTACCTTGTATTAGTAGAGGTATTGAAACCTGTGATGCTACCGTAGCCGAGTTACCTGCTTCTTCAGTCTCTCTTCAGAACACAATGAAGGGCTACAATCACAACCAAATCAACAAACTGACGAATGTTGTTGATGTTGTTTCTGGGTGGTCCTTGGTTTAAAGAGAAGATGAGAAGTGGAAGTCTGTTTGTTTTCCCTCAGGTCAAGATCAAAACTTGGGGATGCTGTACAGATACACCAACGTCACCCTCCTCCTCCAATTCCAGGTATCTTGGGTAGCGTGCCACAGCTTGCCCCACAGACGTCATTGAGCCTTGAGGGTGGTGAGCGTGCTTTGGATGCACCGCCAGAGAGAAGAAAAGATACAAAGATCTCGTGTCCAATTGGCTCTGTCTTTGTTTATCAGTCAAGATATCTTGGTCGACATGTCCCGATTTTCACTGCGTGTTTCAGGCAACATGGTCAAGTCCATGGATGGGTGTCGTCTTGTTCCAGTTCTCTGGAAAGTGCACTGGCCATGTTCTCATATGGCATCGCGGATCTTAAGATGCGACATTGAAGGCCCCAAACTATTCACATCTCTGGCTACGATAGTTATCAGTTTCGAAATGTTTTTCTTTTTTCTCCAAAACGCTGATGCTCAAAGCCAGGGACTGCCTTGTAGTGGAAGCCAAAGATCTTGTTATTATTCTGTGGCAAAGAAAGCTCGAAAGTCTTTGACACACGAGAAGCGGAAGCAAGTTATGCAGGGCTCGGGACCGTTATGTCATCCCAACGTTGAAGCACAAAAGTTGTGATCAAATGTGCACATGTCCACATGCGTGGCATGACTGCGCCATGCTGGTGTGAACTCTTTCGTCCTTGCATTCTTCAATTCAGATTGACTCTGATCAATATCATAGGATTTTTCCAATCAACACATCAATCAAGACCAAAAGCTTCTCGATAAGTTGACTTTTGAAAATGACCTAGGTCACGGCCTTATCATTGAATCAGCTGGCTCGTGCACCACTTTGTCCTTTAACGCGCTATACCCTTTCTGTTTAGTGATCCTTGGGCGGGCCCGAGTGAGATCTGGCGGTTCCGAGTCGGGTCTAGCCTTTGCTGAAAGTTCCACTGCACGCTTTCCCGATCAAGGACCGCTTTCAACACTTTGTCACTTTTTGGTGCATTTGGCGCTTTCTCTTCCACTTCTTCCATTCACACTTCCAGACTTCCACCGTCTTCACTGCCGCCACTCAACGGGCCACCACCACCACAGAGCCTCGTCACCCTCTGTCGCCATTGCCGTCGCATCTTCTTCCGCGACTCGACTGCGGTGAACAACACGACATCCATTCCTTCTTCGACTGTCTGTTAGTAACAAGCCCCGCCTCCGACCTGACGAGTACCGACAACTTATCCGCCGCCGACTTCTCCGTCTTTCCCATCGAATTTTCTCCCAACATCCTCGCGACAATTTTGGTCGAATAGTCTCACCCGGCATTGCATTCGGCATTTCTCTCGACCGAGCTCGACCATCTCTGCGACAGAAACAGAGTCAGCCGACTCGCGCCGCCCAACGACGAGAATGAAGACCAATACATGATCTGACCGACACTCGACAACACCACAAACACACAGCGCCTCTGCTGCTGACAACAACTCACGCTCCCTTCCACCATGGGCGACGCTAACCCCGCCGACCCGACCGTCCTTCCGGGCTTCGGCCAGGACCAGCCCGACCATGTCCGATTTCCAAACACCAGACTGCGAAACTCGCGATCAGCCTCCATCTCGACATGGACAACCACCTCTGGCGGCCACTCCCACACTCATTCGCAACCCAACAATAACCCGCGCGAACCCGAGCAATGTCGTATTTGCCGAGGCGAAGCTACTCCCGACGATCCCTTGTACCACCCGTGCAAGTGTAGCGGAAGTATCAAATGGGTCCATCAGGAATGTCTGATGCAATGGCTGGCCCAGACCCAGAGGAAACACTGCGAGCTGTGCAAGACACCCTTCCGCTTCACCAAGCTTTACGATCCCGACATGCCCAGGACTGTTCCTGCCCACATCTTCATCGGCCACATGTTCAAATACTCGGTCCGTAAGCTTCTCGTCTGGGCAAGGGCCGCCCTCGTCGTTAGTGTCTGGCTTGGGTGGCTCCCCTACTTCATGCGCTCGGTATGGGCCATGCTGTTCTGGCTCTGTGAGGAAGGCTGGGGAGGTCCGGCTCTGTTTTCAAGGTCTCAAAACATATCGTCAAACGGTTTCTCAGTTACGGCTTACAGCACCACCGTATGTCCATCTAGTCCGCTCTTTCTCGCCAACACGTCTCCAGCCAGCGTAGGGGATGTCCTAGGACGTTTGCCTCTGAACTCGACACAGTTCGTAAACAGCCTTACTGGTGCCAATTCAGGTGCAGGCTACTCGTTCCTTTCCGTCCTACTTCGAATCATATTTGGCTCAGGCGGTATCGTGGACAGGACTCCTCCGCCCCTCAAGGAAATTCCCAGTCATCTCTCCAACAACGTCACTGCGACACTGTTCATCGACCAAACGGCTTCACCTTACAGCAATGTGTCCTATCCACCTTCGCTGCTCAGCGAGGTCGGCTTTTTGAAGAACTTAACCCGGAACCCTACAGTCAACAACAACATCATTGCGGTTCTCGAGGGCCAGATCATCACCGTCCTCGTCGTTGTCTGTTTTATCTTGATCATTCTTGTCAGAGATTACGTGGTTCAACAGCAGCCGGAAATCAACGAGCGCGCCGCTTTTGCCAACCTTCAAAACGTGCAGCCCCAGGTAGCTCAGGTCAATGTTCCCGACCCTGCCATGAACGGTAACCACAACGGTGGCCACAACGGTGACCACAACGGTGACCATCTCGGTGGTATCGAAGAAGAAGAGGATGCAGGTACTGACGACGAACATGCCTGGCATGCTCAACCTCCCCAGCCTGGACCCCAGCCGGACAGGAATCCCGTCAACAATCCCTATGCTTCTGACCTGGAGAGAGAACTCGGAGAATCGGACTCATCTACCATAGATGAGTATCTCAACATCTACAGGGAGGCCGGCGGAAACCCCGACAGAATTGTTGAGCTGGCCCAGGAGCGTGGTCTGGAGGAAAGATTGGCCTACTGGATAGCCCTTACCAAGACCATGAAGGAGCGCGCCGCCCGAGTTCAGGCAAACTACAATGACGGCCTCAACCCTTCCGCGGCGGAATCCAGTACTACCGCAGCAGCGAGACCGTCAGGCCACAATTTGGAGATGGACAGCACTCCTGCCGCCCCACGACCCGATCCGTTTGATGACTGGCGCTATCCTTTGGAAGAAGATGATCATCAGGCTGAAGAAACCGGACAAGGTTCTAGGGACAAGGGCAAGGGCGTTGCGACTGATGATTTTGACACCGAGTCGGATCCCGAAATTATCGGTGCTTCCTCGAGGCCGCGCGCCAATACAGATGGGCCTGAGATCAGAATGCACACCAATCCTCTGGGTAGCAACAGCTGGTCGTTCAATGACTTACCAGAAGACGGCCCGAACAGTCCGTCGACGGAAGAAAGGCCCTCTCAGGTTATTTCAACGGCCCCGGATCTCAATACTGACAATTATTCTTCCAATACCGAGGTCGAACCTTTGCTCGCTTCTCTGGCTGGCCAAGGGGAATCCGAGTCATTCCAGGAGAATCGCAGCCAAGATGGCAATAGGGATATAGCCGATGATGTCCGTGTACACACAGAGCCTTGGGGAGCCAACCCCATCCCAGAGCGTCAGTCGGAATCACAAGAACTGACAGATATACCCTGGCCCACCCTCGACGAGAGTACGGCTGACAGCCCCGCACAACCTCCTCAACCTCGTGGATTCGTCCCTAGAGTGACCGACTTCATGTGGCAAGGCGTCGAGGCGGATCAGGCGCAACATGATGCTATTGATATCATCGCTGACGCTTTGATGAGACGGGACGACCAAGACAACGTGGACGTTCGCGATGACGCTAGACTTGACAACGATGATGACCTAGACCAGGATGATGATGACGCCGCAGCAGCAATTGGCCTCGAACAAGACGCCATTGACGATGCCGAAGACCTCGAGGGCGTCCTGGAGCTTCTTGGAATGCGCGGGCCTTTGGCTGGCCTGTTCCAAAACGCCATCTTTTGTGTTTTGCTCGTGTCAGCCACCATCTTTCTCGGCTTGTTCGTTCCCTACAACATCGGCCGCTATTCGCTGTGGTTCATTGCGAAGCCTATGCGTCCAGTCTGGATCCTCTACAGTCTGTGCAGGTTCATCCAGGACATGGTTGTTATTGCCTTCGGGCTTGTCTCTCACGCACTCTCTCTGGTGCATCCAAGTCTAGGACTGGGTGGTGTGGCTCGCCTGGTTACGAAGCTCCTCTTCGGTAGCCGTTACGCGACAGCGACTCTTGATCCGCACATTGAAATGACCAACGCCGCCAAGCGAGTTGGGCACACGGTGATTCACGAGCTTGGTCGCGTGTCCATGTCGGAGATTCACACCTTTTCTGCTGTCAGTCACGAAGCCTTGTTGTCGGTCAAGGGGCAGATCTTTTCCGGCTTTGCCGCCCTGGGTTCTGCTCTTGTCTTCATCTTTGGCGGTGACTACTCTACCAAAGCCCCGTTGGTGTTCTCCGCGGCCAGCAGTGCAACTGCACTTGCCCTGAACGCCCTCAAGACTCTGCCTGCGACCTTGTTGAAGCCTAACCTGGTCATCAACGTCAACTTCCCTGACGCGAGTCATGCTATCGACCCGGCATTGGCATACTGGAATGGTACAGACAGATTCTGGGCAATCCTTGCTGGCTACCTCACGATTTACATCGCGGCAGTATTGTACCTGCGTCGTGGCGGACCTATCTCGTCTAGCCAGACCGGACAAGAGTGGGAGGCAGCCATCATTGACGCACTCAACCAGGCAAGCGGTGTGATGAAGGTCATCCTTATTATCGGCATTGAGATGCTCGTCTTCCCACTTTACTGTGGCATGCTCTTGGACATCGCACTCTTGCCCTTATTCGAGAATGCCACCCTCATGTCCCGCCTCCAATTCACCCTCAACTTCCCCGTTACGTCGATCTTCGTTCATTGGTTCGTAGGTACAGCCTACATGTTTCACTTTGCGCTGTTCGTCTCCATGTGCCGCAAGATCATGCGTCGGGGAGTTCTCTACTTCATTCGCGACCCAGACGATCCCGAGTTCCACCCGGTACGCGATGTACTGGAGCGCAATGTCACGACTCAGCTGCGCAAGATTGCGTTTTCTGCTCTCGTCTACGGCGCGCTTGTCATAATCTGCCTCGGCGCTGTGGTCTGGGGGCTGGCGCTCTCACTGCCTAACGTCCTGCCGATTCACTACTCGTCCAACGAGCCAGTGCTCGAGTTCCCGCTTGACCTTCTCTTTTACAACTTCCTGATGCCCTTGGCGGTCAAGTTCTTCAAGCCTGGTGATGGACTACATGCCATGTATACCTGGTGGTTCCGCACATGCGGTCGTTGCTTGAGGATTACTTGGTTCCTGTTTGGGGAGCGCAAGGCGGATGAAGAAGGTCGTCTGCGCATGATTGAGAGAGGCCCCGGATCCCAGGAATCATGGTGGCAGGCGATGTTCCTGCAGTTGGATGAGTCCAATGGACTTGTGAGGCCGTGGAAGCCCAAGTTCGTGGCCGAAAGCACCAAGGCCGAGGCCTCCGAGTCCGAACCTGAATCACCGAACATCAGAGGGTATGTGCCGTCTGAGTCTGAGGCTAGGGAATCTGAGGCCAGGGAACGGTCCCCTGAAGAAGGCTTCAAGGATTACTTGGTGGATACCAAGCAACTCATTCCCGATGGACGCTTCGTTCGCGCTCCGGCCTCCGACCAGGTCAAGATTCCAAAGGGCAAGACGGTGTTCCTGGAAGTGTCGGAGAAGAATGAGAGACTGGACGGCAAGCCTGATGTACCCGAGACCGATCTTTACTCGACGACACAGTACCGTCTGGTGTATGTTCCGCCGCACTTCCGGGTCCGCATCTTCTTCTTTATTCTCCTCATCTGGATGTTTGCCGCCGCTACGGGCGTCGGCATCACGATTATCCCCTTGGTCTTTGGCCGCTGGATGTTCCAGCTCTTGATTCCCGAAGGTGTGAGGACGAATGACATTTACGCCTTCGGCATCGGCATCCACGTTTTGGGGTCGATTGTTTACGCGCTCATCAACATCCGGTCCCTTTCTCAGACTGCCAAGATTCGAGTCGCCGGAGCTATCGTATCAGTCTTTAACAACGGCGCAGTCCGCCGCGGCCTGGCCGTAATCACCCGCATCGCCAAGATCGTCTACTCCTACTTCTTCCTCCTGGTTGTCTTCCCTCTCATGATCGCCTCCGTCGCCGAGCTCTACTTCATGATGCCCCTGCACGAATTCATGTACAGCGTTCCGATTGCCCAAGACATCAAGCAAGTCACGATCGAACACGCGGCCGCTCTCAACCCGCGCCACACCATCCGCGTTATGCAATCCTGGACCATCGGTCTTTTGTATCTGAAGCTTTCTGTCAGAGGAATCACCACTTGGTTCAGCGGTAGTCGTTTGGCACTCGCCACCAAGGCCGTGTTGCGACGGGGGTGGTTCAACCCCAACGCTGGCGTTTTGACTCGAGCATTCGTCATTCCTGCCATCCTCCTCTGGACCGTCGCTATGGCCATCCCTACCCTCTTCGCCAAGTTCATGATCTCCTGGAGTCTGGCGGAAACGTTGACCCTTCGCCATCCTCAAGCCGTCGTTGACGGTGTGGTGGACCAAACTTTCTACGACGCCTACGTCGTGCTCATCTACCGACGTAGCTTCCCGCTTACAGCACTTTTGTTGTTGGCTGTGGCGGCGGTGTGGGGTTTATTAGGTGTGTTCCAGAGTTGGAAGATGAGGATCAGGGATGAGGCATATCTGATTGGGGAGAGACTGCAGAATTATGGCGGGGGAATGCCGCAGAGGGGTCTTGGAAGGGGGACGAGGGGTGGATGGAGGGCTGGGATCGCTGTTGGGGGGCGGTGATGAGATGGGTGGGAGGAAGTTGTGAAGAAAGAAGGGAGATGGAAGATGAAGGCGGACGGTGAGATCGATGTGGAAAAGAGAGAAGAGAGAAATCATAGGGTAAAGGGAGATGGAGAGGAATCAGAAATGAAGCGGTGGAATGATACCAAACTGAACTGTACATGTTAGAGTATAAACAGCGTAGCATAAAGGATATTTGTTACTTGCAGTCTGCGGTTGCTAGACACTTGCGCTGCTTTGATGCGTTGGAGATGGCGTCTGTCGTTGTGGTGTAAGTACTCTTTTTTCGTTCATGGCCTAGGCAAAGAGCTGGATTGTATCAAGAGGTTTGACTTTATCAGTCTCAAATCTAACATCCAAGTGTTGATAGTGGTGTTATCCATTCACGGAGTCTGAATCTAACATCTAAGCGTTCATGGTATTATCAAGCCATACAAAAAGACAGAACGACAAGTCCAGCTCGAAGTCCAAAGAATCCAAAACATTGATTTCCAATCATCGCTGTCGCCACTTTTCAACACCAAATCACAAAGCAGCATGCTATATAGTCAGTCGCCTGCCAAATCTTCAAGAAAACAAAAACCCGAAACCAAAAGACAAACAACGCCCACTAATGATCCTCCACATCCTCATCCCTCCCGGGATAACAAATATCCTGCACCACCACCGCCCTCACATGATGTCCCAACACAAACAAATACGTCCCCAAAAGACAAATACTCATGCCCGTACCCACCCACAACACCGCGTCACTCTTGAACGCGTTTCCAATACTAATAGTAGCCAACGTAAACCCCGTATTCGGGAACACACTCGCCCACCACCCCAAGTGGAAATACCTCGGTCTACTAGCCAGCACCGCCAACACGCCAATAAAAAACCACCAAAACGCCAACGCCCACAGGAAAACCGCGCCAATGATCGCCATCGTCCTGATCTGTCCGGCGTCCATCAGGCCGTCCATGTCATGATCGAAATCCCGCGGTAATCCCTGGGCCATGCCCAGGAATGCCAACGCCGTGAATGAAGGGGGGCCGACGCACATGAATAAACCGGGGCGGTGTTCGCGGTCGGGTAAACCGACGGACATGAGTCGACCGACCATGTGCGCGTACATCATGAAGGCTACGGCGGCGCCTAGACCTTGGCAGGTTAGGCCGGCGCAGATGACGACTATGGAGCGATGGGCCGGTTGGGAGCCGGAGATGACGGCTGCGATGGTGCCCGAGAGCATGATGGGGAAGATGGGGAGGATCCAGGTTGGCATCATTGTTGACAACGAAAAAGATCGTTTTTGCGAGAAGAGGAAGGAGTATTGCCCCACCGCAACGGCCGTGGCGAGGATAAGATATATCCAGAAGGCGATATGCAGAACCCAGACGAGATCAACACTCGGCGTCCCGTCCACTGGTGTTCCATACTTCTGGGTACTCGTTATCAGAGTCGCTATCGACAAGAAAAAAGTAGGGAAGAAAAACCCTTCGCGCGGGTGGGTAAGACTGGCTTTGAATGTACCAGGGTGCAAAAGGAACCGGGTTACTTGCAGGGAAGTGAGCAAGACGAAGATAATCAGGTTGATGATATACACCGCCATCCCAATCTGGCGCAGGCCGGGGAAGGAGTGCGGTTGTGCCGCTATCAAAAGGGAGAGACCGCCGGTCGACATGCAGAGGGTGTACCAGGCCCAGGTGAAGTGTTTTAGGCGGGCGCGGAGGGGGAGTTTGGGGCGGGAGGGGTCGTAGGGGTTTGGGTGGTCTGGGTGGCCTTTTTGGTGGTGGTGGGGGGAGGATTCAAGGTCGTTCTCGTCGTCGGAGTGCCCAGCGCCGCCGGACATGTGTCCATCATGGTTGGACTTCTCGTTAGAGTTCAGGGCTAACTGGGAGGAGACAGCGGAGGGAGACAGGGAGGAGAAGGCGCCGCCGAGGTAGTCTCTTCTGGTGTTGACTCCTCCTTCTCTCCCTTCCTTCTCATAATCACCCGGGGTCCCGGCGTAGGTGCCGGAGGTGCGGGAGGAGGAGGCGGGATCGTCACCGGTTACGGTTGCGGAGGAGGATTGGCGGGAGTGGGAGCCGAGGAAGCTGGGGTCGTTTGGTGGGTTGAGTGTGGTTTGTTGTTGTGTTTCAAATTGGGACCGTTGAGGGGTGGCGTCATGGATGATGAATTGCGGTCCCGTCTGCATGGGAGGCTGGCTGCCCCTCATGGTGGTGGATTGTTCCATCGCGATGCTTCTGTGTGTCTGTCTGTCTGTCTGTCTGTCTGTCTGTTGTTTCGTTGGACGAAGAAGGATGTGACGATATGACTGGTGTGTCTCGATTCGAGATCGTGGTGGATATCGCAAACGATATCGATATTCAAGCGAAATGGATTTGGACGACTTTCAGGTCAGACCGGTGTCCTGATCAACAACTGGATTATCTTGGAAACCGAAGGACATAAGGTCTAGTATCTGGGAAGTTGTTCCCCAGCTATCGTCGATCAGCCGGCCTCTTAGTGCTGGCTGATGTCGTCGATGGAAATGTTGGAGAGCTCGAAGCGAGGACGAGGAGGGAAAAAGTTATTTGGCTGCTATCGAAGCATGGGGCTTGCTATTAAGATGGAGATGAAACTGCTGGTCTGGTCGAAATTGGTCAAAGCTGTGATGAAGCTGATGAAGATGGGGAATCGTCAGAGAACCGAGCGCGTGGACTCGTCTACTTTTAACCTTTTCCGGGGGACTCCATGATTTCTTCTCCAACTTGGACACCGCAGACCCCAGACCCCCTACCTCTTGCATCAGATCAGACGGACTGCACGCACGCCCGCACCGCACACCGGGTGGTCCCTGTGGTCCCTGAGGTGCCTCCCCCAGGACATTTGTCGCCCAACCGTTTCAAACCGGGATGGTAGATCTATATCTGCCAAGGGACCCACACGAGGCTTCTCGATGCTCTCGATGCTCGCGAGAAGTCTGGGCAAACATTGACAGACGGAGCAAGTGTGTATAGCAGGGAATGATGAACAAGGAGGTGAGACAGACAAGACATGTTGGGCTCTTGGCTGCGAGCGACCCACATTGTTGGACTGTTGCTCGCAATGGATGGGGCAAGCGAGAATACACGAGATGGTGGTTTGTCTGGGCATCTATTCCGTGCCCAGACCGCCTCCGTTAGCACTTGGCTGGGTAAGGATTGTTAGACTCTGAATATCTGATCCTAGCTACGGTTTTGTTGTTGTTTGGGATCGTATGAAAAAGTCTATCGTGGTTCTGAAACCACTCCTTTCTGTGGTTTTTTTTTTTTTCTTGACTTGACTTGACTCGCTCTGATACTGATGTCTGATGGATGGGGGGTCTCGAGATGCGAGTATGAACAGATGGAGACGAGAGGGATTGGGGGAGTTGGAGTTGTCGAGTTCTGAATTGGAGAATCTCGGACACCTCCTCCGTCGTCGTGGAGCTCTCTGAGAGTCAAGAGATGAGTTCTTGCACCGCCATGGAGGCTTCGTAAAAAGGGACATATGCCAAGAAGGATATCCATATCTTTTTGATGGTGTTCTTCGGATGCCCAGAAGATATCGGCACTTGTCTGCAGGGAATACACCCCTCGTCCCCTGTCTCTGCTTTGAAGATCACGCTTAGGGGGCGGCAAGGGGGCTTGTCTCCCGGGTCCCGGTCGTCCACTCTTGTGATCTTGCGAAATGCCAAGAGGGGGATTTTCTCTCGCCCAAAAGGATAGGAGAATTGCTCGTTGTGTTGCTTTTCGGCTTGTCGATTCGTCGAGCTGACTTTTTTCATCGCGGATGATGCCGGTCAAAACACCACGACTCTCAACAACAAGTCAAACAACAACATGCCCGACCCGGACGGACACCTTGATGGCTCCGACGACGACAACAACCTTTTTAAATCGGATCTTTTACGGTGTAGGTAAGTTGCCCATATCCATGACGGTATTTAAGACCCCTGGCTCTATAACGACTCTCCGGAAGCCGTCAACTTGACAATGCCATTTCTTGGCCGTTTGGCCGTGTTTCTTGGCTGTTTGGCCGTGTTTCTTGGCCGGTCTTGGCTGTCTGAGATGCCGCAGATGTTGTTGCAGTTAATTGAGGCTCAGCGAAGGGGTTCAAAGAAGGTTCACGGTGTGGAAGGAGAAGAAAGATAACATTGTGGTAGCAAAGCATGGATGACGTTAAGGAGAGGGACGTATCGTATAGACGGCCCTGGTTGCCAAGTCTCCCCCAAGACACCAAGGAAAAGCCAAGTGAAGCCACCACAACGCTTGACAAGGCCAAGACGCCGACTGATATCTCCGACTTGGCCTAAAGTACGGTGGCCCAAGTGTTGGCTATGGTCAATTGAAAAAGTTTGGTCAGAAAATGGCCCGTGCTAGCTGCAGGTACTAGATTTATACTAAAGGGTAGCTTCTACAATCTAATGTAATACCCTCTATCAAACTAATGAAGCAATGAAGTAATAAAGTAATAAAGTAATGAAGCAATGAAGCAATGAAGCAATGAAGTAATGAAGCAATGAAGCAATAAAATAATGAAGCAACTAGAGGCAACGGAAGTTAATTAAAATCGAAGGGGTATAATGAGCTGAGACTCTGAGAGTTAATGAGATTTGGGAGCCTTGAGGTTTACCAAGATTTAGGGTAGTAGTATAAATGGATCCCCCGGTTCTTCTCCAAATTTTGGTTAGAGAGTAAATAAGAGCTTCGAAGTTTGCCAAGACTTTTTTAAGGTAGTAATGCAAATGGATCCTTCACTTCTTCTCTAAATTTTGAACTTTGGGGTAGAGTATTAATACAAATAGATTTCCCTGTCCCTCTTGCTCTCTCTGAGCAATAGGAATGAATGAGAGTTGATGAGAGGTATAAGGGTTGATGAGAGGTATAAGAGTTGATGAGAGGTATAAGAGTTGATGAGAGGTATAAGAGTTGATGGGAGTTGATGAGAGTTGTGAATGTGATAGATAATGTAATGCCTTTAGATAGGGGTGAATCTTCTAATTTGAGTATGCAAGTGATATGGAGGCGTTAATATAAAAAGGCTGGCAACTGGGTGCAGCTAAGAGCTCGGACTAACTTTCAATTGAGCATAGCCAACACTTGGGCCACCGTACTAAAGGGTGTCCAAGAGCTTCTAAAAGCGCCTAAAAACGCCCAAAAGTGCGGCAATGCAATGGCGATCACCGCCTATCCGAGAGCATATCCCGCCCGCGCCCAGCCATATTTGACATGTGCTTTTGTTTTCAGGGGTCAGAGATAACTGAGATTGCGATGTTGGAGTTGCCCATGTTGAGCCCATGTGCCGGAAATTTCCATTGACATTGGATTTGTAGATTGTATAGGTGGTTTCTGATTTCATTACGGGTACGTCCGACAAAGAAGATGTGGAAGAAAAAAGGATGAAGCACGTTGTTCAGGGAAGCACATGGATTGGACGTCGACACAAGCAACAAAACAAACCCCCCTTTTTCTTCTCAGACAGATCTCCAAAATCAAAACAAACCCCCGCTGCTTCTGAAGGAAAGTCTGAGATGGACCCCCGTCGGTGGGCCTGCATCCCCTTGATGGCAGAGGAAGAACTCCATCAACTCCAGCATTCTCCAGCGATGCCTTCCCTTCCTCAGATCTCCTCGTCCTGAGACAACTCCATTGATGTGGACTGCGATGGACAAACACAGCCCTGACAGCGGAGAGCCGGAGGCGGGGAGAATGGACCTACATAACACTGCCACTAACAGGAAATAACAGACTCCGCTGCACCCCACCGCAAAGCCTGTTAGCAGGCAATAACAGTCCTCCACCTACGCGCGTCACCACCAGCAGCGGGGTCGCCAGCGGGTTCCCAAGTGGAATTTCCCGTCCTCCAGTCATCCAGACCATTCCATTGATCTTCTCCTCTTCAACAACAGTCAAGGTCGGCAGACATCAAGGAACATACGTACCTGCGTGCTCTGCCATAGGGTTGTTGCCCGGGCGCTTGCGCTTTGCGCATCATCGCATTCCAGTCTCTTGGCGATTTGGCCTTGCGTTTCTTGGCTCATTTTGGAGAGTTCGTATTGATAAGGCGCGTGAGGAAGGCGATATGCTGCCAAGAGGAAGTCGGGGTGTCCGAAGCGCGTAACTGGCCAAGTACCTAGGTAGGTAGACGATGGAAGCTCTCCGATTGATGGGAGAGGTTCGTGGATGACGACGCGCCGAGAGGACAATACACCTTGGCGGTCATGATGGTCTTTTTGGAATACCTATTCCTACGGCCTTCCTGTCCGGGCATCCCGTTGAAGGTCACACTCACTGGCTTGTGACTGGGCAGTGCAGTCCTCCGTCACAACGACACACCGACAGAATACCATGACCGATGACATCGGGGACGCATCGGAGCCGCATCGTGAGATCTCACAATCTCGAATCAAAAATGACCAATTAAAAGCAGATGTTAGCATGGAATTATGCCAGCCCAAATCAACAAACGTCGTCATAGCCAAGTGAGGCTCAAGTTCTCAACTCCGCCCCGTCTAACGAGTGTGGTCAAAGAAACACTCACCTCCTTTTCAACTGCACAACTTGGAGCAACCACAACCATCAAATTGCTCGTGATCAACAACCAACAGAGACAGACACGTCATACCAACTCACATCCACTTCCACCTGGAAACATTCACTCACTCACAGAAAGCAGCTCACAGAAAGCAGAAAGCGCACATCCAACTGACCCTCATCAACACATGCCTTAAAAGAAGTTACAAAGAAATAAAGTCCATCATGATGTCCTACACTGAATGAACTTAAAGAAGAGCACAAGCAAAGACGGCAGCCATCAGGGCAACGCATCCGGTGGTGCTGGCCATCATCTTGGAAGCACCAGCGACGACGGGAGGAGGAGGGATGGCATCCGAGGGCTCAGGGACGGGGACGTCATCGGAACCACCAGTGCCGCTGGGGCCAGAGCCGGAACCACCGCCGTTGCCGCCGGTAGGGCCAGCAGAGGTGGTGATGGTGGTAGAGTTGGTGAAAGTGACGAAGCTGGACGACCAAGAGCCACCAGATCCGCCACCAGGGACGGGAGCAGAGGTGGTGATGGTGGTAGAGTGGGTGACAGTGACGAAGCTGGACGAAGAGCTGCCAGATCCACCGCCGGAGCCGCCACCAGGGACGGGAGCAGAGGTGGTGGTGGTGATGGGGCCAGCGCTGCTGCCGCCAGTAGGGCCGGGGCCAGAGCCACCGCCGTTACCGCCGGTAGGGCCGGGGTTGGAACCGCACTCGGTGAAAGTGGGCTTGGCGGCGTCACACTTGCAGAGCGCGTCGACGGCCGAAAGGACGTCGTTGATCTTGCTGGCTCCGCAGGCGCCCAAAACGTCCCCGGCAATAGTAAGCTGGATTTTCTGGGCGTTGGCGCATTCGCACTTGTGGTCACCAGAAGCACAGCCCAGGTCGAGCGCAGCCTTCCCAATAATAGGAACGGCGCACTGGGGCACGGCAGCAAACTCAGCGGCGCACTCCCAGCTCTCCTCACCACAAGGGCCGGAGGGGGCAGGACCGGGAACGCTGTCAGTTCCGGAGGGGACGACAGTGCTGGAGGGAATGACGACAACAACATTAGAGGTGGAGGTGGAGCAGTCCGAGGTAACGATGTCGGTAGTGGTGATGGTGGTGGTAGAGTCACCTCCGCCAGGAACAGGGACAGAAGCGCTAGGTCCGGGGTTGCCGGAAGGCTCGACGGGGGAGGAGGTAGTCGTGATAGTGATGGGGGGCTGGCTGGAAGGCTCGCCAAAAGGCTGGACGGAAGGCACCACGGCAATGGAAGAGATGGTGGGCTCATCATCGTCGCAGCCATCATCGGTCGTGCTGGGCTCAGCACTGGGCTGAGGCTCGGAGCTGGGCACGGCAGGCACAGAGAGGCTGATGACAGAGCTGGGGGCACCGCCGGTAGAAGGCTCGACGGGGGAGGAGGTAGTCGTTATAGTGATGGGGGGCTGGCTGGAAGGCTCGCCAGAAGGCTGGCCGGAAGGCACCACGACAATGGAAGAGCTGGAGATGGTGGGTTCATCATCGTCGCAGTCATTAGTCGTGCTGGGCTCAGCACTGGGCTGAGGCTCGGAGCTGGGCACTGCAGGCACAGAGCTGGGAAGGCTGATGGGAGGCTCGGAGGAGATAGGAGGCTCGGTGATGGTAGGAGGCTCGGAGGAGATAGGAGGCTCGGAGGAGATAGGAGGCTCGGTGGTGGCAGGAGGCTCGGAGGAGATAGGAGGCTCGGTGGTGACAGGAGGCTCGGTGATGACAGGAGGTTCGGAGATGGTAGAGCTCGGAGTAACGGTCGGGCACGCGGTAAAGGTGGATGCCGTAGCGTCGCAGGCGCAAAGGTTGGAGACGGCGTTCATGACGTTGATGGCGCCGCCGAAACCACAGCTGCCGATAACTGCGTTGGCCATTGCGGCCTGGAGCACCTCCTGCTTGCCACACTCGCACTTGTAGTCGCCGTGGGCACAGCCGAGATTTGTAATGGCGGCCGACTCGATGGCAGCGGTGGCGCAGGCGGGGATGGCCGAGTAGGAGGGAGCACACTCCCAGGAATCGAAACCGCAGTCAGCGGCGAGAACTCGAGCTCCGGCGGCAACCAGCATGAGGCCGGCCGCCTTTCGGGGGACCGAGTACACCATGGTTGAAAACGAGGGAAATGATGTAATAACGGGAAGGTTGAACGAGAGGGTCGAGGGTGAGGGGAGAAAGAGGAGAGGAAAGTAACATCAGTGGGGATGTCTTCACATCTTTATTTACCTACTTTCCAGCTCCTCCTTCTCCGGCTGAAGGAGCCGCACTACGGGAGATCACCGGAGGACTGTCGGCGCTATTGGAGGCTTGGAGGCTCGAATATGAAAAGGACGGGACCTATCCCAATCCGGAGAATAGGCACCAGCAGTTTTGTCTGCCATTGGCCACTCCCTGCTCCTGTCTCCAGAGAGACAAACAATGTGACGGATGTGTGTGGGCAGCATTGAAGGCAGAGAACTCGGGTTGTGGGAGAACCCGCCTCATGACCTCCAAAGGGTCCTGGGGGCGTGACGCGTCCTTCAAGAACGCCATAATGTCTTGACGTTCTTAACGTTCTAGAACGTCCCGGCGGAAAGTACCAAGCTCCACCGCCAATCAATAGCTTAATCGACTACCGGGAAGCCTTGTCGGTTTTAATCTTGAATCTCCGCTAGTTCGGGAGCTACGTCTTCCCTATTCCAGGTTATTTAAGCGAGCCTACACAGTATTTGAGTCTGGATTCGGGGCTATTTGGGCGCTTAACGACCGAACTCGAACGTCCCGGAGGGAGCTCCCTCGGTTGTAGCGCCCACGTTAAAGCTGAACCGCTAGCTCGGTTCAAGGACCGGACTTCACGATAGGAATCCAACCTATCACGAGCTAGCCGACTATAGACTATAGGGTTATTCACCGCGCTGGGTTATAGTGGCTTGCAGCTGTCGAATGCCGTTGATGGATGATAATTGAGATTGGTTGGATGCCGAAGCGGTGCCGTTGTCTCTTCCTCGGCAAAAATTGTGCATCTCGAACAGTGCAAAATCCAACTTCCCCAACCCCTCTCACTCAGGCTCGTATGTGCTGAGCGTACTGTGTCTGCCTGTCAGCCACCGGTGAGATGGTTCCTCGCAAGAAAATCGTTCCTTGGAATCTTGTCAGAGACCTTTTTCTCCCAACATTTCGTAAAACAACCTGCCGTCATTGCCGTGATCGCTTCACCAGGGAATGCTTCACGGGTCTCACTAGAAATTAAGTTTAGTAACGGTGGGAAAACCAAGGAAGACCAAGCGCAGTCACTCACGCATAACTCGTTTCCTCTTACCTCAAGGTGTCCTGTCTGTGGGAAATACGATTCTTCTTCCCAGGCTCATCTTGCACCGCCCGTCATATCTCAAATTGGTCAATTTTTCGGTGTTCCCGGCAGCTTGAGTCGACCTTGACATCCCAGATGCAACCCAACAACAGCCCTACGCCCTTGTAACTCTCGCTGCAATCTGGCGTCCTGCAAGGAGCTGCCGTTGGAGATCTGCTTGTCTCCTTCCGCTGTTGGTGTAGATGGTACCGGTTGGGTGGTTCCGGGATGCAGAGAATCCTGCTGGCTTTCTTCGTGTCGTCCATCGTCAATCTATACAGTCGTCGTTCCATTCGTATTCACGCAAATAATAACCGTCAAACCTGTGTTCACTGAGGCTGATAGCTCTCAGACGCGCCGGGTCGAGGCGAGGAACAGGAGGGGCCTCAAGCTGACCGGTGTTGCAGGAGCTTTGGTGTATCCTTTGGAAGTGGATTTCTCGTACGGAAGTTGAGTATCAAGTTGTGAGTCTACCCATCTGAAACCTTTGCCTTTGCCCGTTCGCCCGCGGTCTCGATGCACTGGTCTCGTCTAGCCCATCAAAGACGAGTCTGTCAGCTGCATGTGTTTAGGGGAAGAAACCCATTCATAGACGTTGTAACTTTGCAAGACGCGACAAGAAGGGTCTGGAGGGAATCCGGAGTGGTGTAAAGTCCGATGAGATTTTTCGGAAGCGATCACTGACTGCCTTGAACAGCTGGATGATGCACCGTTGTGCTCAGAGTCTGGCCTGCGTAGAGACAAGACAGTCAGGGAAGAAGAACACATCGATGTAAGAGTCGGTAGTCCTACAATTGTGCATGGAGAAAACTTGCGCTCTCTGTCACTCCCTCTTCCTTCCTTCAACTGCGGCAAGACAACAAGCTGCAATCGGGGATACTTTCCTTTGTTGGTAGTCATCGCACACAGGCAGGCTCGGCAGGGTCATGATGAATCGAAGTGGATTGACGACAATTGCGATCAGGAATTGTCAGCCAGGTCGGCTGTGGTGGTGGGCGATATCAATGCATGAAGCTTGGTCCTGAGGGAAAGCCCGTGAAGGTGATGTGAATGTTTGGTGGGCGGCGATACAGGTCGCGCATCAGGGCACAGATGATGGAAGAGTTTGCGAAAATGTGAGTTGCGTAGTTCAGTCAGCAATTCTTCTTTTGGCAGTCGGAACCAGCCGGCGTCAAGTTGTGTTTCAGTTTCTCTCAACTTCCGGCCTCGTTGAGACATGAAAGCTGCGCTCAACCAGCGATGGGCAAGTAGGACAGCTCGCTTGCGGGCATCGAGCTTTCCAGGTGAGATTAAACTCGGAGCCCCTGAGATCAAAACTGGAAGGCACCATCAGCTCAGTCATGTACTCGTCTTGTATGTGGATCCGCGGAACATGGCGGAGAAGGAAAGAACAGACTGCCGTAAAGGTTGGGGAGTCGAGAGTGGATTGGTCTTCTGGCTTGTACCTTCCACAGGTGCTTGCCATCACTGCACACATTCCTGATGAACCTCCCAAAGCCAAGACGACTGTGAATACAGTATGATCCAAGTCAGGTGAATCGTGTTGCATTGAGTAGTGGACAGTTGGTCCTTCCCTCAACATCAGGGGCATTCAGAGCCCCAAAGGACAATCGACATCGAGGAAAGTGCCCAGCACCGTACCTACCCAGACTTCCGTCTCTTCCAATGTAATTCTCCATGCTCTATCCAGAACTTGGGGAAGCACGACCGCCAGCGATCCAAGGTGTCCCAAAGCGCTTCTTCGTTTCCCAACCTGAAGTGCTCGCAGAATGATTAAGCAGCCACGGACTACCCCTTTCTTCACACCGTCATTATCATTGTGTTTGCTGGTCCATCATCATGACTTTGTTTATCGTAGAAATAGCTCTGCGGCCATTTTCCACATTCCTTATGAAGAGATTCGAAGTCCCACCCCGGCAGGAAACATCGGCCGTCACGGTGCGGTCCGAGAGGTGAGTTCCGGACTAGCATCCTACTCATTTCCCCAGCACAACTGACACGTTGCTTCCCATGCGCGCAAGTCGCCGGTGTGGTTCCGGACACTCACTGTCCTCTCCTAACGACCAGCCTATCACTGACCTGACGCATTACCTCTACCCATCTCTGATAGAGACATTCCTCTCGTCCACCTTGAAGATATTCCGAAAGCACGGCTGATGTTCATGACCGACTGGCACGGGTCGTCAGTACGCGTGAGGAATATTTTGTCGACAGTTGTTCAGTGAACGACTCGATACATAAGGTATTGATCATGCCGAACGGCCGGCAAGAGGTGCCCAATGAGGAGTTGAGCTGCAACGATTGTTAGCCAAGTGCCGGTCGCGAGAGTCTGGGTTTTGTGGCGAGAAGACTAAGAACGGAAGAAAGAAAACAAACCTCGTGTGCACCCCGAAAGTTCTCGGAAGTCGAACGACCTCCTCTCAACACCCGACCGAACATTTTCCGTCACCAGCATCAAGTACCGGATCAGTCTTTATCCGTCTTCCATTGTCTCCCATCCTTCAGCCCGATACAAAGCAAAGTTTAACTCATCGACGACATCATCACCCACCTTCTCCTCCTCCTCTTCTCCATCTTACACATCTCCCCCGTCAGCCTATTCCCAAGCTTCGAACACCGCGCCCAGATCAAACTCCAAGTCCGGATATTATTGAGTTTCCCCTTGCCACTTGATTCCCCCGCATCATCAACCAGTTGGTCAACGGTCACGCCAAGAGGGTTACATGCACAACCGACCGCAGGCTATTGTTCCGGCAAAATTGGGGAGGAGGATTTTAACCGTCTTAGCTCTTGTCCGTTCGTGAACGCTAGAGCAAGCTCGCTGCCGAGTGGTCAATTCGGTCGGTTGTGACTTGTCCCGGTTGTGAACTTCAATATCGCGAGAGGTGTTGCCGGTGAACTTGTGAGCGGGCTGGTGAGGAGAAGAAGAGGCAAGCGAAGGAAAGAGGCAGGCGAAATGGAAACATCATCCGCGATCCGTCTCCGCCAATGTGGCTTGCTTGCTACTTCCCATTCTTGCGGTCCAGTCGCGGTTCGTCCGGCTGAATAGATTGCTTGCTTGCATTTACACCTTTTCAGCTTGCGTTTTCATGTTTGTTCGTGCGCAAGAACACCACAAACCAAAAGCTTCACTTGGTTCATCAGCCACAGCATCACGAACCGCAAAAACGTACTGTTTGTACCTCGGACTCCTCCTCGACACGTTCGACGGCTTCTCGCTCCACAAACCCGGTTACTAACCCTCCCGAACCCCGGACCTCACCCCTGTCTAGCACTCACATTGACCCCAACCAGACCAGGCCATTCATGACAGTCCATGGAAGAAACTGTCGTCGAACCGTAAAGGTAGGTTCTTCCGAGAACGACGCGCTTGTCACTCGCGATTCTGCGCAAGGAAACATCGGTAGATCCGGGGTGACGGATCACGACCCCATCCAGCACTCCATCCAGTAGGTACTTAGCATCCAGAACCATGTGCATCCATGCCCATCACGCATGGGGAAATGAAGCTAACGACTCCATCCTACCTACCCCATTCCTTTTCCCCATGGGGAGATGATGGGGTCTGTGGGGTTCGCTCGCAATAGTTCGTGACTTCTGGTCGTGATCGGTCTCGACGGTTGGTTGACTCCACCTCCACCTGGATGTCTGCCTCCTGACCGTGATCCTTTATAACCGTCCTCCTCCTCCCCATCCTCAGGGTAGCATCTGTCCTGGTTACTCATCTCGTATCTCCCGTCGAGTTCCCTCCCCTCCCTCCTCACCTCCCTCCTCACCTCCCTCCTCACCTCACGGTCAAGTCAACCCACAGCCAGTCCACCATGCAGACCAAGTCTCTCCTCCTCTCCCTCTTTGCCCTGGCCTCCGCCGTACCTCTGGCTTCCGCCGGCAACAACGACAACGGCAACGGCAACGACAACGGCAAAGGCTCCGGAAAGTCCTGCTCCCACAAGGGCCTAGACTGGTACGCCAAAAAGGCCGGACTCAAGTACTTTGGCGCGGCCACCGACTCGCCCGGCCAACGCGAGCGAGCGGGTTATGAGTCTGCCTACGCCCAGTACGACGAGATCATGTGGAAGTCGGGCGAGTTTGGGCAGACGACGCCTACTAATGGGCAGAAGGTACCTTATGATTTCCCCTTCCATTGTTACCCCCCTCCCCCATCCTCATCCCCTTCTCCCATCCCATCCCTTTAGTAAAGGGCGCTAACAAAGTCCCCCACCCCAAAGTGGCTCTTCACCGAACCAACCCGCAACACCTTCAACTTCACAGAAGGCGACATCGTCGCCTCCCTCGCCCGCCAGAACAACAAGCTTTTGAGATGCCACGCCCTAGTCTGGCACTCGCAGCTCGCACCCTGGGTCGACTCCTCGTCAACAGACTGGACAAAGGACGAGCTCCGCTCGGTAATCAAGACCCACGTCACCAACGTCATGAACCACTACAAAGGCCAATGCTACGCCTGGGACGTGGTCAACGAAGCCTTCAACGAGGACGGCACGTACCGGGAGTCTGTGTTTTACAACGTTCTTGGTGAGGAATTCATCCAGCTCGCTTTTGAGACGGCTGCCAAACAAGATCCCAAGGCCAAGTTGTACTATAATGACTATAACCTTGAGTCGCCATCGCCCAAGACGGAGGCGGTCAGGAAGATGGTTAGGGGACTGCAGAGTAAGAAGATCCGGATTGATGGGGTGGGACTCCAGGCGCACTTGGTGGCGGAGAGCAGGCCGACGCTGGATGAGCATGTTGCTGCTATCAAGGGGTTCACGGAGTTGGGAGTTGAGGTGGCGTTGACGGAGTTGGATGTTAGGCTGCAGACGCCGGCGAATGCGACGAATTTGGCGCAGCAGAAGGAGGCGTATAAGAACGTGAGTAAATTCGTTATCAGGGTTGCACATGGACAGTTGCTAACGTTTCAATTAACTAGGCCGTCGGAGCTTGCGTCCAAGTCGACGGATGCATCGGTGTCACCATCTGGGATTTCTATGACCCCTTCAGCTGGGTCCCTGCCGTCTTCGCCGGTGAGGGTGCCGCCCTTCTCTGGTACGATGACTTCAGCAAGCACCCTGCCTACGACGGTGTCGTCGAGGCTTTGACCAACAAGACCCAAGGACATAACGGAAACGATCCTCGTGGTGCCAAGCGATGGGTCGCATAGGTAGGTTGTGGAGTGGCAGTCTGTTTGAAATAGTAATTCTTGGTCATTTGTAGTAATCTAATACCAAGTTTTTTGATAAGAGCTTTGCTTCATTTCGTCGTTACCTATCATGTCCCTGTCCAAATATGTTGCGGATCTCATTCTCTTGTCTGCAGAGTGCGACTTGATAGTCATTCCCGAGGGTCAACATCTAGATATCATTGTATCCCAGCATCTTGGGATGCTCATCGTCGCATACTAGCCATGACCATGCCGCGCTAGGTGTGTAGCTCGTTGTGGTAGAGTACGGTCGGCCGTAGTCGGCTCGTTCGAAGATGGTACCTGTATGATCGGATCTTTTCATGTTGGCGACGTTCTCGGGTGTGGCGACGGCGAGGAAGTGTTCGCGCTGGGAACCTTTTGGTAGTGCTCTGTGGTGATGTTTCGTTAGTAAGATGTGGGTTTCTCAATGCTCGCTAGGTAAAAGGGTGAGAAAAGTGTTGCAGAAACCACTCCAAAGATGGTAGGTATATCTGACGGGACGCGTGGACTGGGCGCAACTCACAAGGCATTCCCAAAGATGCCATGACACAAGCTAGGCTCCTTCTTCAACAGACCCTCCACCCATATACACTGGCGACCTAGCCTAATAGCCGCATCGATCTTCTCTTCAAGCGCAGGGAAGTGTTCGCGCAACGACAGCAGCGACACAACGAAACCCGGGGCGCCATGACAGAACTGCACCAAGCCCTTGCCAGTATGAGCATGATGTTCCGAGCTAGGCCAGTTGCCAGCAGGATGCTGTAACCTCAGCAGCCTGTCAAGAACCGATTCCAGTTGCGGAGCGGTCTCGGGCGACGTCAAGACGACCTGGGTAAGGATGCCAATGTCGCCATGAACAGCACCAAGATAGCGCTTGTCATGCCACGTCCACTTCGGGCCTCTGTTCAGAATGGTATTCGTGATCTCAGCAATAGCCGGGTCAACAAGCGAGTTACTGCCAGGAACCCAATGCCGCACCAGTCTCAGGAGATATAGTGTGCCTGCTCGGCCGTAGAGGATCTCATCCGGGTACTCCTCCACCTCCAGAATTTGGCTCACACACGACACGAAGGTCCTAACATGCGCCGTATCCTCGGGAAAGATGCACGCGCGCACAGCCTCGAAGGCTAGCTTCTCATCATGAATACCGCATCCACGCGAACCAAGACGGAGGTTGTGTCCGCGCGACCCCGAGATGTAAGCCTTCGCCCAGTGATGGGGAGTCTGGCCGCTAACCAGCAAGTTCGGTTGCCGGGCGGAGATCTGGAGCATCAAGAGGGCGATGCCCGTCGGCCCGCTCCATAAGCCTTGGAGGTGCTCGTGCGAGTAGCGCGAGCGAGGGGGGTAGCTGGCGACGATGTCTTCGAGCGCGGATTGCAGGTATTGGAATGTGTCGTTGGAGATTTTGAGGAGGGAGGAGGGGTCCGAGAGGGTCATGTAGCGGGAGTCGGCCATTTTGAGACACGGAGGCGGAGGCGGTTGGGGAGACAAGAATAGGATTATGGTATTAGATTGACTGGGAGGGAGAGACGATGATCTTCTCTGGTGATCCTGGGGAATAAGCCGTGGGAATTATGCAGTATGGCAATAAGGCGAGAACGATCAATGGATGCGAATGGATTGCCTTGTTCAGTCAGGAACCAAGGCAGTAGCAAACGGAGGCATTCCGAACCATGGACGGTGGTAGCGTTCCTGGATGGTGTTGATCCGATGAAGTGACCGTGGATTGTCTGGACGACTAGAGGTACGCGTGCTTGACGGTTCCATCAATGTGTTGTGTTGATCGGGAAAAGTCGTCAAGAATCAAGTTGTCGTCATGATGTTGGACTTTGGCTTGTCCTCTGCCTGGCGAGCTGTGCCTGTCCAAGGTACGTACCTGGAATTGTGGGGTACTTAAGACCGGCAGGCAGATTACGGCCAATTAGAAGCTGCAAAATGCGATGGATAAAAGGAACAAAGTGCGGGGACATGGGTAACCTGTCAGAGGCCAGAGGATCCACTGGGCGTGCACGTGCCCAGTTGGGCTGGGACATGCGGGATTTATCCAGATGCCAGAGCTTCGAGTCTGTAGAGCCAGTCTTACACACATACACACAATCAAGCTACATTGAATCCCATATCGATTATTACTAGTAATATTACAATTAAAAGTCTTATTAATTTGATTATTAAAGCTATTGCTAGAACGATAACCGATTAAACGACTACTAATAATATTTATAACTAAAATTAACAGTATTGCCTTCAACGGCCCTAAGGGTTGGCCGGCCTAAGAAGATACTTTTATTTTTATAATTTAGGACCTAGGTCTTTAGAAATATATCGATTCAAATAATTGTATTCCCTGGCTAACCGAACTGATAAAATCTAATATCGCTAGCTATTAGAGGGAGGTTCCCGCTAGAGAAATTAAAGAAGCTAAGAAGGATAAGAAGGCTACTCTATTTATTGCCGCTAAGCTTTATAGCTTCTATTATAAGCGCGATTACTGTAACTATATAATTAAGAAGTTGTATTGGCGTGTAGAGGTTATGACTTTCTTTAATTTAGGTATTAAGAAGACTATATTAAATCGCTAAATATTTGAAACCGTTGGAGATAATTATTAGGAGATTAATTTTATTAAATGTATTAGTTTATACGAATAATATAATAATCTTAGTAAGTCCACTGCTTTTAATAATTGTAAGGTAAGAAAGCTCGCCCGAATTAGATTTATTAATATTTTTAAGCCCTTTAGTAAAACTAATTATAATTAGTATAATTGGACCTTTTATTAGGAGGCGGCTATAGCCCTCTATATTGCTAGAGGAATTACTAGAGTAAATAAGCTAGACCTATAGTTCCTAAAGTTCTATCTAGTTATAAGGTCGAGTCCTTATACTACCTAGGCAAATAATTATTAGCTTTAGTACAATAAGGAGATTAAGAGAAATCCTAATTTTAAAATCTCTTTCCGTACTATAGCTAAAGACTTTTATAAAGTAGTAATAGTGAATATTATTTAGGGAAAGGGTTGCGCCCCCCTACTTAAGGGTGCTATATTTATAGTTACGTTAGGTGGTAAGCCCGTTAAGGAGAACGTTCTTAATAACGAATAAAACCTTGGCTCGGAAGTAGAAGGATAGGAGAGGTTATAGGTAAAAATGGTAAATTTAGGAAGAATACTAATAAGAATAAGTATCACAAGGCTGGCCTATAATATAGTTACACTATACTAACTATATATATACCATACTAGAACTAGTACTATAGTCCAAAGCCATATACTCACACACTAATTATATATTCTAATCATATATAACCTTACGTACGCGCGTACAAACTAACTTACCTAAGCTCTCGCCTATATAACCAATCCTCCACGCACACTTCCTTTTCTCCCCTTCATATAATAACGTATATCTTACCTTACCCCTAATAATACCCTCTCGCCCCATAATAATTTATTATACCTTTTTATTACGCTACGTACGCTTACCCAAAGGAAGAATAATTATAATCAATCCTAATTGTTATAACATCGCTAATTTAATATTATTAATTCGAAGTTAAAACTCATTTCTATATAATCAAGACCCCACGTCGCAATCCCAACCTCGAACTAAATAAACCACTAAACCGAATATCGCTATTAAGCAACTCGCACTCTCTTTTCCCCTTTTACCTACCTAGCGTATTAATCCAATAATTAATATCTAACGACATCGTTTTATACACTCCCCTAATAACCAATAATTTTCTTACTATTACTATAGTTAATGCCCTCGCTACTCTAAACCTAATTAACTAAAAATATTATTCTAACGTCGCCCAAACCTTCGAATCCCTCAATAATTAAATAATTCAAATTAATATAATTAATAAAAAGGTATTTAGCTTTACTTAACTCCCTATTTTTTTAAATAATCTTCAAGGCCTTTAATCCCCTCCACTATAATAATATTATCGCCGCCCGTATTCAAATATAAAAAGTATAGGAAGAATTCGAAATTAACGAAATTAAATTCGCTACCGCACTCTACAACATCAAATATCGTAATAATAATATCGCTACAATCTAAACCCAAACCCTCCTCTATGCATAAAAAATAATTAAGAATTATAATAAGGCGAATAATAACCTTTGTAATAACTACGCTAACGAATTCAAAGCTATTTATAATATTTATTCCAGCATTATTAACACCCTTAATAACAATATTATCGCTTTAAAGTAGAAATTCGCCAACTTTCACACCAATTCCAAAAAAGTATATAAAAAGTAGCATAATAAATATTTATAATATATTAACGACCTTTATCAACGTTTCATCGCCGCCTCTAAAGCCGAATCCATTCCTAAACCCGAAATCATCCCGCTCCTTAACGAAGATCCTAATAACAACGAAGACCTAAAAACTAAAACGATAACTTCTAACAACAATAATAGCTATAAATCAATATTATGTATTATTATATCTCCTACTTTTGATAATAAAAGTACCTCTATCGAACGTACTACTAAGTACTATACCTAATACTTCCGTATTAAATTCGATTAAATTAATAAACCGAAAACTTTTATTAACGAACGTACAAAATTTTTATTAATCGCCTACTCCATCGAAAACCCTTTTTTCGAAATTATCGAAACCGAATTTAATAAAATTTTCACTAATAAGCCTGCTAAATAGGGTATAACCCTCGAACTAATCGACGAACTTAATAAAAAATACAATAACGTCAATATTATTATATATTTTCGTTACGAACTAAAAAAGCTAAAAATAACTAAGGGAATAAAGTAGTAGGACTTCGAAAAGAAATTTACCCACCTTATCCATCACTATAATTTTAATAACGGTATAAAGGTTAATTACTTTTATTGGAAAATTAATAAACGTATTTATATTACCTTGATTTACTAGAATAACCAGCCCGCTAATAATAAATATAAGGAATAACTTACTAAGGCCTACAACTTAACTAAAAACCTAGAAGATAAAAACTAGTATAAGAAGAACGCTAACCCCTTCTACAAAACCGATACTACTACTAGCACTGGTACTAACGCCTCCGCTCCCGAAACTAATACTAATTGAAGCAGTAACGCTATAAACCTTAACGCTATATCCACTTCTAATATTTAATTTTCTCGTATAATTAATAATAAAGTCTTTAAATTCCGTATAAAAAAATAGAATATATACCTATTATAATAAAAAAGGTTACTTCTCGGCCGAATACCACTTTCGCATTAATTTTAAAAAGAAAATTAAATTTTCTACCCGTAATGAAAAGAATAAAAATGAAAATAGTAATAATAATAATAATAACGGTAATAGTAACAGCGGCTAATAACCTACCTAAGGTTAATACAACTACGGCCAATAGCGTCCTTACAACGGCGGCGGCTATTAAATTAATACTATAAGCACTACCCCTCCTATAAATATACCGATGGGCGTTCTAAGTCCCGGTACCCCCAACCTTGGCAATTACTACTACTTAGTCCCCGTATACTAGCCCGGCTTTGTCGGTCCTATTATAAGTAATAAGAAGAACTCTATTTATAATTAGGGAAATATATAACTTCCTAGTTAAATTGCATTTAGAGGTACTAATTTACAAAATGAAGAAGAGGAAAACAGGGGCCTATCCCTATATAACTAAGTATTATTAAAAAAATAAATCTTTAATAAATAGCCGTTATAAAGACTCTAATTTATTTAATTTTTCTATTTACGTCTCCTATAGACTGTATAAACTATATTATTTTACCTTTATTAATAGTAATTATACTACTTTTAATTTATCAACCATCGTTTTATTTATTGTTACCAACTCCCTTATTTTAAATTAATATCCCTTAAACTACTTTACTTTACTAATAGCCAAACCAAAAATAATATTACCCACTTCTCTAAATTAATAATATAAATGGGCATTTACTACGAAATTAGTGACCTACTTATCTACGATTTAATGAAGGATAACCCTATTATTTTAGGTTACTCCTAATTAATTTACTACGCTCCTAATATTAATTAACCTAATAATTGTTTTTAATTTAACACCGCCTATAAACGGCGTAATTACTTCCTTTATAGAATTTTAATTCACTTCCGTTATATTTTGCTAACTAAATAATACGCCTTTTCAACACTTCTAATTAAAATAGCCGGCATACGCCCCGTATATAAAAGTATATTTTATAAGGAGGTCCCCAACGAAAGGGAACTAAAATAATCGCTACCATAATCGGCATCCACATACCGCCTCTCCATCTCCGCAATCGTAAAAAAGGCTACTTATTAATAATTCAACTACTTTAAAAATCGAATCGCCAACCAATTAAAGACTATACCTATTGGCAAAACCCCTAATAGCCCGGGCCAAATATTTATATTTACTACTTTACTTACAACTAGACCCCGCGTATTTCTAATACCCTACTAGATCGTTAGAAGGGTTCATACTAGTAATACCGACTACCAGATACCGATTAAATTTTATAATATCCCTAAAGGTCCTATTAACACTAATAATATTAAGGAATTATTTACCTGTAATTTTAATTAATTAGCCGAAAAGTATAAGTTATAAATTATCCG